GGTGAAAATGAAATAGTAACCCCGCCTGCGCTAACGGGATACGCTGGCGGGGCACCAGTGAGAAATGATTGGTGAGGATAAAAAAACAGGACAATTAGCCCATCGTGACTAATTCAACGATAAATTAGTCACGATAGTTTCCAGGGGGAACTACGTGGAGGTCGACCCGATAGAATATATTGATAGCAATAAGGACTAACCTCCTCAGTACTAACAATCCCTAAGCAAATTATGATTAGGTAATAGTGTTTTACATCCGTTGTTTCATCATATTAGCCTTTAACTGTCCTATACTAAACATAAGCCGCCCCCTTGGGGGTTTTTGCCAGTAGTTGCCACGCTTGGCAGGCGGACTGGCAACCCGCAGTCAGGCTTTAGGGATGTTTTAAGAGGGACGCTTCTGTCCATACCTCGCCCTCCCTTAATTGTCTCTGACGACACCCTCGGGAAAGGAAGGGATGGCCTATTTTCTATGATAGGACCACACGGCCAATGCACATATGTTGTTGATTGAATATTTATATATTTATTGATACTCGTATATATAATACTAGCGGCCCGTCCCGGCTTCGCACGGGTGGACATTAGTACAACATTTTAAAAAGTGCTTACTGTGACATAACGATAATAGTTGGGCATATACTGTCGCGAAGTTTTTTGTCGTTATTGATATTTTCTTCAATATTGTAGAACATACTTTTGTTCTATCACCAATAGTTTCCGCAGCGCACGCGACGAAAGATATTTTATAGCATTTTTTTTACACCTTGAATTACGTTACTAAAGTTTTGGTAAGGATCCCTAATCTTTTCTAGCAATAAATGTAACCTATGTTACTCAGGGTGAATGTATCTTTCTAATGGTGAAAGAATTTTTTAAATCGGCAAAGTAGTTTTTGAGTTTATTCATTACAAACATACATATACACAAAAATACAAATCTTTCCTCTTTATAATATTATTGTATATATATATATATATATGTTGAATTGAAAGCCTAATCGAGACATGGAAGCATCGACATTTGAGATTCACCGAGGGAGAAAACGTACGTTACAGTTAACTCATTATATGTTGAAACTATTTGCGTCACAGCCTTAATATATTGCTAATATGCTACACCAGTGATTACTAATAGAGTCTAATAAAATCTCGGATGCCTTTTACGCATTTTCTGTAACTAACTTTCTAATATTCAAAAGATACAAACACGCATCTCCACTTCAAATTAAATGTCACATTATATTGAGCAATTTGCAAGAATTAAAGATATAAATGGTCGAGTTTTCGTTTTATTGCGCTGACTGGTTCTTAACGTAAATACCAAAGAATGTACTGGGTACAGAGGAATAACACCTGGGTCCTCAGGAATGGCAACGCATAGGGGGTATCATGGGCGAAACAGTATACTCTGTTATGTCCATGGTACTGCTCGTGTCTATAGGCGACGGTTACCACTTTCCATCAGGTGGGCCGTCAGCTTGTTTGCCATTCTAAGTTGGATAAAAAAAAAATGTAGGTAATGTTTGTTGCTTGTAAACAGGTGCGTATAAATAGATTATCGTTAGATTCGTCTGAATTATAACAGTGTAAATATCTTTACCTAGGATCCTTAAATACGTCATGTGAGTCCCGGCGTAGAATTGTCCGTCCCTTCCTTTCCCGTAGGTGTCATAAGAGACGACTAAAGGTAGGCGAGGGATGGGCCGAAGCGTCCCTCTTAAACATCTTTAATAGCTCAACTGCGGTTGCCAACCCGCCTGCCAAGCGTGGCAACTACTGGCAAAACTCCCCTTATGGAGCTTATAGCCAGCAGTGGACAATAAACAGCTTATATAATAATAATAATAAAAGATCCTTAAATAAGATTCCGCTTTTTTTTATACCACTAAAGTGGCAAACACGCATACGGCCCACCTGATGGTGAGCGGTTACCTCAGCCTATAAACAATTGAAATACCAGGGGTACAAAGCGCGCATTGCCGATCCCGAAGAAACATCTTTACACATTTTTTAACCTGTTTACACCTTTAATTAAAAAATTTAAAGAACAATAAAAAATCTCAACAGGCCGCTTATTCCATAATCTGAGTGTTCGTGAGAGAAATTATATCCAGATCTATGTTAAATAAGATTACGTTTAACTGAACTAGTTTAACCAAAAAATACATACTGCCAACAAATCTTAAAAATTTAAATTATAATAAATAAAAAAAGAACTGCATAAATGGCTAGTAAATAAGTGTTACTACAGTGCCCAGGAATATATACAAAATATGTATAAAATAGTGACACATTATAAAATACTCACTTTTCTATATTAAAAAACAATTAACGTTTAAAAAATGACATAAGCATTTACATAATTACACATTAAAGAATTATTTTGTCATAAATTTTGTAATGACTGTTGCACGCCACTAATGACAAAATGTGTAAAACTATTTTAATATTACCATATCACCTTATTGCTAAGAACAAGGAATTACATAAAAACAATGATAAAATAAAAACTGTTAATCATATGAGTGCCTCCTTTCTTCTTATGCAAATATAATTAGTAAAAAGAGGACGAAAGATACGCTATCAGTTGCTATTTTTATCAATTCATAGCAAGCTTGTGTATAGAAAATGTATACGGCCGTATAACCCTACCAAATTCAGATACCATCTGCTTGCATACTTTCTACATAAACTGTGTCGAATATATAATCTAGTAATGTAAAATTTGTCATTCACAAATAATACAAATATCAAACATTTTTTTAACTCAGCGATTTCGGTTAAGCATTGATATTCGAGTCAGTCATTTAGCATCCTGCTATATATTAATATATAAATAATATATAATGTATATTACTCACGATTTGTTACTACCCACCTACGTAAACGGCTTAAAAAAATCGTCACCTTTAACGTACACATAGTATTTGGAATCCTAAAGAGGGTTGACGTCAGGCAGGCGGCCGGTCGTAAAACTATAAGCCAAATCATTTAGTAATATGGATAAAACCATATTACGACGACCCCAAATAATAATTGGGATAAGGGTAGGAAGACGACGACTTAATATTTGGAATCGAGGAAGATATACGCAACTTTTTATCCTAGTAAATTTTTTTTTTTACTTAGAATGGCAAGCAAGTTGACGGCCCACCTGATGGAAAGCATCAATATGATTGGATCCTGCATTTGTAACCATTCCTGAGAACTATAATATATTATTTGCCCCTACCCTATAATCGACATGCCCTAATCACGCAGGCCAATTCGTGGGTAAAAACTAGTATAAAAAGGATATTTTTACATTTACTCAAAATCCAGGACCGTTTACCCAATTTCTTACTGTGTATCCATCATACTAGTTTCAAACATCTAACTTCGCCCTTTGTTATACTCATATGTAGCATTCAGTGACACCAATTACGAACACAACTCATTTATTAGGCGAGCTTGCAAAACTTTTAATGGCCTTGATTCTGATATTTTTTGCACCCGGAATATGAGAAATACATTACATATTTGTATAAATATGTAATATATTTATTATAGTCTACGCATATTGTGCAACATCTCTCTTTATTTCACTATGAGTAGCAGTTTAAAATATTAATAAAAAATATAATATTTTATCTGTAGAAGAATTCTCTATGACAGTTTAAAAGATTCGATGATATTGTGCAACTTACTGGCACACAATAAAAAATATAAAATTTGAATTTCGAATTGAAAATTTCCGCCTTTTTGAAGCTCGTTAAAAAATCGGTTCCGAATTTAGATATCACGTAATAGGTAACTATTTTTTTACACACAAAAAATAGACTAAATTAAGAATTACACTCATCTTTTTACATCCTAAAATCTGGTCGAAAACATACAATACCGTGCATGTATTTTTAGAAGATACTATATTGTCTTAAGAACATAATTCTAATATTTCTTAAGTAAATCACTATTATATTAATTCCTTGACATTTAGTCATATTAAATGTCCATTTTTCCTTACGATTCGACGCCAGTTTTATTACCTGTGAACCGTTATCATATTTCTATGTCAATACACAAATATTTATAGCTGATTTTTTTTTTAATTATTATACATTTATCAAAAATCTACCTAATTTATTCTACATTTGTGATTAATTTCATTAACACTTTTATGACAATTAATATACATTTATTACGTATCAACAATATTATGTTAATTTTGTACTTATTTGATATATCATTAGGCAGATCACTGCGTGGTACTAATAACCATATATTAGATATAATGTTAGGTATAATTAATGTCTCATACATACAAGTACCGGTTACCAAACAAGATTCAATTGGGTGAGAGATGGCTACACGGATAAATCACGTTTGAGAAAAAAAAAACTACATTTAATTTAAAATGCGTTTCTAAATATATTTTTGGTAATAAGTAATAATTTGAAATGTCATGTTTATATTATGGAATTAGCATTGAAATTTAAAACAACTATATTAAAAAATACTAATTACATATTATCTGCTAGGTATGTTTTTTTTTAATAGTAAATAAGATAATGGTATGGTAACCCCGTCTGCGCTATCGGTATACGCTGGCGGGGCACCAGTAACTAATGATAAGCGAGAATGAAAAGGCAGGTCAGTCAGCCCATGATGATCAATACATCTGGAATTAACCACGATGGTTTCCAGGGGGGACCACGTGGAGGTCGACCTGACAGGTTAATATTGCTAGCAATGGGACTGATAGTCAGCATTACTAACAACCCCCCCCCCCAATGTATGTCTATAATTACGTAAGCTTAAAATGGAAAGAGGTCAAGGTAATACCGCACTAACTCTCATGCATAGAGAGGTGACAATCAATGCAAATATAGGCATATTAGGGGGGGGGGGGGGGGGGGGGCAAATGGGCCGTTAGATAGTTTTCATCCCGAAAAGGGGCGCTGTTGTCGACATCTTGCATTTTGTTTTTATAATACTAATAAGAGATCCGTTGGTATGCAGGCGGCGCCGCGGCCGGCGGCGAGCAGCAATACTCGCTGCGCTGGAACGACTTCCACTCGGCGATGGTGTCGTCGTTTCGGCGGCTGCGCGACGAGGAGGACTTCGTGGACGTCACCCTCGCCTGCGCCGGCGCCACCTTCACTGCGCACAAAGTAATCCCTACATCCGCATCCTCACAACTGAAGTACTACAAAACCCACAATGAGTGTGTTTATAACTGAACTGCTTTCTGGGGGTAAAAGACTCAAAGTGTAGCCAAAAATGAACTAAATGTTTAAACAATCTAGTAATCGTGTTTTTTTTATTATACGCTATATATATATATATATATATATATATATATATATATATATATATATATATATATATATATTATTATACTATTATACGCTGTAAAGAAACTGAAGATTGTCTTCAGTTTGAATGTCCAATCTGTATACGATATATCGAATGATGAAAATACATCGATACAAAATCAAAGACTATCCCTTTCTGTTACGTATTAATCTTTTTTTTTTTTATATGTATAGTTTTCTTTTTCAACCAACTTAAAAAAAAATGAGGTTCACATTTCGTTTATATATTTTTTATAGTTGTTACCTCATAACTCCATCAGTTGTAAACCGATTTATAGAATTCTTTTATATCTGAAATACTTATAAATTGATTCCATAGAAATGTTATCAAAATCAGTTATTTAGTTTAATTTTTAAATCAAAATAAATGGGTTTGCCACAATTGAAGTCTTTTTTTGCATCATAATCTTAATTTAAAAACAACATGCATATGAAAATCGATGTTAACTTTATCGACTTTCGTGATATTGATCTTTTATTAATCTTCTCATGGATCAATCTTACACCCCTGACTCGAACTGATTCATTAAAAATTGCTCCTTAAAATAATTTCCTTAAATAATGCCAGAGGAAGACTTTGTACAAAAGTCGTCTGCTTGGGCAATGCTGTCCTATTCGTGTTTCAACCGTGAAGCAGTTGTGTTTGCATGGATATATTTCGGTTTGAAGGGTGGGATATACCAGTGAATTTACAGGGTACAGAGCAATAACACCTGGGTCCTCAGGAATGGCAACGCATGGGGGGGTTATCATGGGCAAAACAGTACACTCTGTTATGTCCATGGTACTGCTCATGTCTATAGGCGACGGTTACCACTTTCCATCAGATGGGCCGTCAGCTTGTTTGCCATTCTAAGTTGCATAAAATAATAATAATAGTACTGGATATACTATTGCGAGCAAGTAACGTCAATTTTCTCCAATTTGATTAAAAATCCAAACAAGTATTAAATTTTCCAACGTTTAAATGCCAGTATGCATTCTCTATGCAATAATAATTAAGTCATTCTTATTCAGGTGGTGCTATCAGCATGTAGTCCGTACTTCCGAAGGTTATTGAAGGCGAATCCATGTCAACATCCCATCGTCATCTTAAGAGACGTTCACGACAAAGATATGGAGAGCTTACTCAGGTATTAAATTTTTATTTATTATTTAATTGTTTTGTGATACATAGGTAACAATGGATGGTAAAACAAGATAAGTCCTCTATGAACAACATTATATTTATAATAAGTTTACTATTGTAATCTTTCGGAGGAAACAATAAAGAGTATCTATCTATCTAACAATCTATCGATGTATAAAAATTCACAAACATATATATAAGAATAAAAAAAAAACAAAGGAATCCAATAATGTTACATTTCCAGTAAAAAATCATAATATTAAGACCACTTATTGCATTTATTTCCAAGGAAATCATCAATAGCATAGTATGTTCTGTTTACTACTAAAACTAATGATATAATATCATTAGTTAAAATGATAATCATTTGAACCAAATCTACCCAACCGCATTTACAAAAGGAGGTAGAACAAAAGTCGTACGCTTGGACACTTTTGTTCTAGCACCTGCGGTCACCAGCTGCGGTCGCACTTGTATTTCTATCGCTAAATACCTTCAAGACTGGGTTTAGATTTGAAAAGTGTAATATAGCAGTCCAATTACAGGGATCGGATGCATTATCCTTAGAAATGATGAATGTAACAGTGACTTCATGTCGGTAGGCGACGATTACCAATTCCCATCAGATGTGTCGTCAACTTGTTTGACATTCCGAGTTATATAATAAAAACTTTTCCATTAAACTCATCGTAAATATAATATTAATTTGTCTTAATGTTTTATGTCCAGTCGATCGTGATAAGACAAAAATATAATATTTTGCTAATCTAGCGAAAGATGCGCAGACGCAGTGCTCACACTAATATAAATAAGTAGCTACTAAGAATAATTTTCAATTTTTTAATTTCCTTCTTAATAAAATAAAAAAAAATACCACATAATTGTGTACTGAACTATGTTGTTTCATTTGTGATTTCAAGAAGTATATAATTGGTACATCGCATAGGGTTTCGTCAGTAAACAGTAGATCTTGGATCTAGTAAAGTCAGCTACCCCTGTTATCAATTTATTCTTACAGCTCTAGTCCTCAGTTATAATTGGCATTGCGTTTCCTCAGATTTATGTACCAGGGGGAAGTGCATATCGGTCAGGAGCAATTAAAGGAGTTCCTCAGGGCCGCGCAACTGCTTCAAGTCAGAGGTCTAACAGATGTCCCAGCGCCGGCTCCGGTCCCCACGCTTGACCAAAAAGCATCTCCAGTGTGTATAAAACATTACGATATTCAATTCTATTTATTTATTGTATCAGGGGTGTTCTTCTGTAGAAATCTGTCCGATTCTAGAATACGGGCATACGGGTATGCGACCCCGGCCTCCCGAGCCGCTGCAGCGTCCCAGTCTTTTCCGCAACTGCAGTGTCCCCCTCTTTCCTTTCCTACATAAGTCCCTTATTCCTCTTATTTACTAATTTCCTTTACGCATTTCCAAAGTTCCCTTCCTTTTTTCCTCAATCCTTTCTTCCAAACTGTAGGTGGCGGAAACCACCAACAAATACAATCCCAAAGAGGGTTGACGTCAGGCAGGCGGCCGGTCGTAAAATTATAAGCCAAATCTTTTTGCAATATGGATAAAACCATATTACGCCGACCCCAAATAATATTTGGGATAAGGGTAGGAAGATGATGAAATCTATTTATTTATTGCATTCTATAATATTATTTATTTATTTAAGGACAAACAACAAAGCATACATTTATATCTACTAAAAATACATGATAAAAAGGTTACGTTATAAAATGCTGCCTCAATTAAAGTTACATATTTTATTATAAATGAAAGGAAAAACTAGTTGATAAACAAAAATAGGTAAATAACCTGGATCTTAATATCCGGGCACTAGTTGTACTTCTAAGGGGAGGGGGGGAGCTATCATTAAAAATATATATATTATTATGAAATATCTTAATGATTAATATAGTATATTGAAGACCCAGAGGGAGACTGTGCAAAAGTCGATTGCTTGGGTACCTCTATCCCATTCGTGTTTCAACTGTGAAGCAGTTGTGTTTGCATGGCTGTGTTTCGGTTTGAAGGTTGGGATATGGCGTGAATTTACTGGATACAGAGGAATAACACTTGAGTCCTCAGGAATGGCAACGCATGGGGGGTATCATGAACGAAACAGTATACTCTGTTATGTCCATGGTACTGCTCATGTCAGTACTACTACTCATACTCAGGCGACGGTTGCCACTTTTCATCAGGTGGACCGTCAGCTTGTTTGCCATTTTAAGTTGTATAAAAAAAGACCTGTCGGGCACAGAAATTAAGAAGCGAAGAAGAATTTTTTTAATTTGACCTGACAGGGTATATTGCTAGTAATGGGACTAGTAGCCCACATTACTAACGATCCTCCCCCCCCCCCCCCCTCATGATGTACAGTCACTCTGAAATATAGCATATAATTTAAAAAGCTTGGTCTCCAACTCAAAATTGTATGATTAATACTGACGTCTAACGTAGGGTAGGTACATAAGAGCATTTTATTTAAATACCTTAATTTTGATAACAATGAACGATTCATTAAAATGTTCGTTCTAGTTAAAATTACACTAATGTGTGATTACATTATTATAAATTACATATTACAAAATCGTTGTATAAAAAATGACTTCAATTATGGAAAAACCAGTTAGTTTCATTTAAAACCTAAACTACTAATTTTGATGAAATGACTATGTAACCGATCCGTAGGTAAATCCTTTTAGATAAAAAAAGAATTTCCCAAATCGGTTTAACGAAGATATGAGGTCACAAACATAAAAAAAAATACAATTGTTTGAGTACTTCCTTCTTTTTGAAGTCGGTTGAAAATCATCGATGATTTTCATAAGGAGATTAGTAATTAAATGTACCTAATATTTTTTATATGTATTAGATTAAATGTTCATCATGACAAACAAATATACCAACAGTCAGCGTCATCGTGGACGGAAACGGGTAGCGGGGGCTCGCGAGAGGGACGGGAGCCCCAGCAGCGTGAGGGTAGAAGGTCACGGAGACCCGAAGAAGGAACAGCCAATACGCCACCTCCGAAGCGGGCACGATCATCCGATTTATACCAAGCACAACTAAAAACTAGGTAAACTTTTGTCATCAAAACATAATACCACGCGTGGGGTAATTCATTTAAAAAAGTATACCAGTGTGATTCTATAAAATTATCACCAAGTTTCTATTTGTATTTACAGGACAGAACAGCTTCTGGCAGTGCAGGGTGGTAGTCCAGAACGATTGGGTACAAACGGCCATGAGTTGCCATTCTTCAACCAGGTCCTAGACAATGCACAGAGCCAACATATATCGGCAACCTCCAACAATTTGGTAAAGTTTATATAATTTATCATATACTTAGTATCGAAAGATTATGTATTATTTACTTACCAGCAGAAGGAAACTGTACAAAAGTCGTTTGCTTGGGCGCCTCTGTCTCATTCGTGTTTCAACCGTGTAGCAGTTGTGTTTGCATGGCTGTGTTTCGGTTTGAAGGGGGGATATGGCGTGAATTTACAGGGTACAGAGGAATAACACCTGAGTCCATGGTTACTGCTCATGTCTATAGGCGACGGTTACCACTTTCCATCAGGTGGGCCGTCAGCTTGTTTGCCATTCTAAGTTGTATAAAAAAACTTAACTATTACCAACAGTCGGGTGATGGAGAAGAGTCGTCATCAGACGCCGGTGCTAGCGATACTGAAGGAGAAACGAGGGCCAAACAAGAACCTTTGGACTACGACGATCCAGCCACGATGGCCAACACTAACGGAGCACTACCGCATAATTTCCCCGGACTACTTAATTTACCAGGTATTCCTTAAATATCCGTAACAACAAAACGCAACGTGTAATCCCTAAAAAGTATAAGTAACGATGTTCTTTAAAATTGCAGGCTTCCCAGGACTACCAGGACCGTCAGGATTACCAGACAATTACGGTGAGTAAAACCTTGAAATGTACTAACATACCCTTATCATTATATGGCTCAATAATTTTCCAATCACATTTTGATATCACAATTACTGTTCGATACAATTCTCAAATTATCGTAATATTAATAACAATAAATACCAAAAAAGTTCCTATATCATTAATTGTTCATTATTGAGTCATGTACTGCATGTAAATAACACTAACAATTAAATAATGAGAACGACACCAAAGCGCTTAATTACTCTATTAAATACTGTTAGATAAAAATCCGTTTTGCCCCAAACTATAATACAAAACGAAATAGGATAAACCTTAGCCACAATGGAAGTTACGTCGTCGAGCGAATCTGATTATAATATAATAGAATAGAATGGCGCAAGGCGCGGTAAACCGAACGTTACGATAGGCGCCAGCACTGAACGAGACCTCGTCTGCCCCAGGAGCCACATGGCCGGGCGGCGGGGAGGGCAAGCCGGCCACAAAGCCCGAGGAGCGGTACCAGCCATACTCAGCCACCGGCAACTACGGAAACGGTGAGGCGTCCAAGCCTGCGTGCCCCGAGTGCGGCAAGCTCTACAGCAACAATAGCAACCTGAAGCAGCACATCCTCAACGTGCACTCGGCGCGCGAGCTGGCGCACTCGTGCCCCGTGTGCGGCAAAGCGTTCAAGACACGCCAGTACATGCAGATACACATGAACTCTATACACGGCGTGAAACAGAGGAGGCGCGACCCCGCCCCGTCCGCAGAGTACTGCGACCGATACACTCACAATAGCGCTTAAACGATGTTCTAAACGGATCACTGTCTCTAACCGCCGCCTCTGTGTTACAGGGGCGGCTCTCGCGGGCGGGGCGGCGATGGGATACCGGCCGCAGTGTCCCCTGTGCGGCCGCGTGTACTCCTCCACTTCCAACCTGCGCCAGCATATGCTCAATGTGCACTCGCAGACCGACCGCGACCAGTGGTTCCCTTGCCAGCACTGTGGCAAGAAGTGCAAAACCAAGCATTACCTCATCAACCATCAACTGCAAGCGCACGGCATCCGCCAGCGACAGAACTCTTAGAGACGGCGAGACGCCGAGCGACTACCGCCCCCCACTCACCCGCCGCTCGGCGCCTGGTGGTGATGACTCCCCACTGCCTGCCCGATCCCACTCCCCACCTGATCTCGTAGTCCTCGACATGCGGGCGAACCTTATTGATGCAAATGGTGTGTAGACCGTCTGCACACGCCGCACATTCTCCATTTATTGTACAATAATGTAGGAATAGATGTGCCAACGGAAGTACGTAAACGAGGACGTAACGGAACTGTTTATCGATATATATATATTGTATTTATAATATGATGTAATATTTTTAGAGAGTTTATAAAGTCATTGCTATTAGGGGGTATAAAGTTGCCGCCGGATTTGCCAAACGCTTTACCATTTGCTAGTTTGAGTAACATGCTGCTGTCGGCATTACAGATGCCGCGGCGTGGGGGGCATTGGCAAACCCGGCGGTAAGCGATTGCATCAAGGATGAGGGGGAGATGCGAGGGAACGAGTTGCTAAAATACCTGGAGGAGAGTGAGCACGCAAAAAGCGCCAAGTTGAGTGGCGAGCAGCTGCAGTGCCCTCTGTGCTTCACTCGGCTGGAGTCGCTGGCGCTGGCGCGGCGCCACCTGGAGGCACACTACCCTCGCGACAGCCCCGTCTGCCCGGTGGCCACGTGTGCAAGGTACTTCGCGCATCCCAATTCCGTGCGTAACCACATGAGAATTAAGCACCGCCGCCAATGGGAAAAGATGAAAACCCTCAAATGGAGTTGCGGTTGGGCGAATTAGTATGGGGGCATAGAATCAGTGGCGCGTATACGGTGGAGAAGCTGCAACTCGTTCATAATAATTTGGTTTCGAGAGTTATTTGTATAAAAAACAAAAAGGCTGTGAAACGGAACTAACTACAAGTGGGGCATATAGTTGACCGAGAAAGAACAGAAAATAATGATCTCCAGGATGCATTTTCATATTTCGCTGTCACGTACGTTAACGTTGTATAAAGCAGTAGGATAAATCGACTGAAAATTATTTTTGTAGTAGAATAGACTGATATTGTTTAAGTAAGGATATATTAAGTAAGCGCATTATGACATGTGATGATTGGTGCCATTGATAGAATACGAAGTGCAACTAAGAATGTCGATCATTCTCGAGACTTCCTGAATGTGTTTGTAACTTCCATTGTTAATTGTAATCCTATTTCGTTTAGTTGTAGCTATTACTAGATGTCCCGAGAGCCTGCCCCGCCATTGTGATCTTCCAAAACTCTTGCAACTGTGAGCTTTAATATGACAATGTGTTCAACGGGCAGGACATCGTTCCATCGTTCTCTCGCAGCCGATGCAATGGTTTTCAACACATTCATTTAATATATGTAACAGTGCCAATAGATTTTTTATATTTGCTTGCAGAAAGTTATTACATATCCTGCTTCGTAAGTTGTGTAAAGCCGTTTTTATAACGAAGCAATGCTCAACTTATCAGCCGGGTTTACATATTTAGGCATCTCCAGAATGCATGCGAACATCAAAGCAAAACCATTGTACCGGTATTATATTTTCGACCATAGATAAGACAATACGAAATAGTATAAAAAAAAATCTAATGCCTTTTAATGCAATAGTTAAGAATAAGTTCACTTCCAATCATAGAGTATTTATTTTGTAAAAAATAAAGTTGTGTGTGACGCCCGCGCCGTACGTAAAAGCACAATCAAAAACATATCTAGTCAGTGTAGGCAAACATACGAAAATATAATGAAAAGGATTTATTTAACATGTAAATATAAATAATTAATATTCCGTTCGCATATATTTTATTAATGGAATGGAAATTAACCTTATGTAGTAATTGTGACAGAATTGCAATATTACGCCTTAAATGGCCTGTTAATTATATCTAATGTAGGTGTTTATAATGTTATCAAATATTTTAATTAAAATTTGATATCTAATCGCGACTTTTTCACGTGCATTTTTTTTTCTTATTCGTCACCAAATATCAAAGATTTAGCTTCCTATTTATTGTTTAGTCTGAATATAAAGGCAAAATCGAACAGAGTAAGCCCAACAGAATCAATTAATAACTAAACACAAAAAAATCCTTTAAAAAATACAGCCTTGACCAAAAGTATATGCCATCCTAGAAAATTACAATTAACTTAAAAAATACAGTTTGGACGATGAAAAACCCATGTACTAAAAACACCTTTAATGCTAAAATTACATTAGTATTTCGTATTGAAACCTTTATTTTAATTACAGCATTTATTCTTTTAAGTAAAGAGGAAATTATATGTTTACATTCTTCTGGAGTTATAGCATTCCACTGCTGTAACATATAATTCTTTAAAGTTTCTTTGAAAGTAATCGAATGTTCTTTCATTTTGCGCTTTATCGACTATAAATGTTCGATACAGTTAAGATCCGATGACTGAGGGCTTAGAAACTCAACTTAGAAGCTCTATACTATTTTTCTCAAACCAACTCATAGTGGTTCTGGACTTATGACATGTCGCCATCTAGGTTCGTATCACCGAACATCGTATCCAATGAGGGTTCCAACGCTGTTTCCAGCACCTCGATGTATTTTTTCGAATCCATTCGGCCTTTACACAATTCCTGAGGCAGACATGCAGTCCCAGACTATAACACTGCCTCCGCCGTGTTTTGCTGACAATCCGGTATGCATTCTTTGCCAACTTTGCTTCTTGTGTAGGTGGCACCTGCAGTACCAAATATCTGAAATAAAATAAAATAATAAGATTTTTGAAAATATGTCTGTTATTGAACCATTAACTTCAATGCATTACAAACGTCTTTAATTAGTATTTAATCGGTTAAATGACATACCTCAAAATTGGATTCATCCGGCCAAACGATATTGGCCCAATCTTCCTCGGTGTAATGTTGATGTTTAAACACCACTGTAAGTTCATGTTCTTCTCAGACAAACAAGGCTACTTCAAGTAAAGTAGCCTCGGTGGTCTGAGAAGGTGACTCATCCTGGAGCCTTGTAGCAGTTCTAGCAAAAATCTTTTACCCCAGCATTTCGCTTAGTTCAGCCAGCCAATTCAAAAGATGATTTCATACTATTTTTCAAAGAAGTTCGCATTAACATTCTGACTTCTCCTGCAGGTGTAATTCTTTTTCTTCCACTACGTCTTAAGTTTTCCGTGTCTTGTGGTCATCTTGTACCGATTTGAGGCAACCTTACAGTACTGTGAGAACATTTCATATCCTGGCAATTTTTCTTTTATTTTTGTCTTCTTCAGACAACAAGTGGATTTTTTATCATTCCTCGTTACTTAATTCACGGCATTCACGTATTTTTCTAGTTTTTTTTATAACTTGTCTCACGTAAAACAACAACCCATTTGCAATAATTTATCAACAGTTCTCCACACTATAATGAATCGTAATAAACTAAACATTTCCCTAAAATTCAACTTACCTGAAAATGAGTCACCTCTATTGTGTTTAAAGTTTATAACATGGTGCGTTGTTCTGATTGGCTCATTTTAACCTTTAGACGTGTACTATGCGACAATAGGATGGCAAATACATTTGGCCAAGGCTATATATGTGCATTTTATTTACTCCCATAAACACTTGGTATTATTTTTACAATCTCATATATTATTCAAGGAGTAGAGTCCTTAACACTCTAATTATGTATACACGACGTAATGGGCGCTATTATAATTTACCGTAGCATGGTATGATATCGTACGATTTTATCGCTACGATATAATAGAAGAACAAAATATTTTCAATTGCATATAAAAACATTTTCGATTAAACTTCTTTTTTAAATTTTCCTGCATGCCGATATATCGACATACATTATTTTACTTTTCTATTATATCGTAACGATACAATCGTACTATATCATACCGTGTTACGATACATCATAGAAACAATCAATAAAGATGTATAGTAACGATAAACGATGCCTTCAAAATATATGCGATAGGAAACTTGTCATATAGATCTCCAAAATGAAATAAAAAAAATATTGGTAAATTTAGCGAGTAGTTGAAATTGTTCCTGACGCCTGTGAGGCAATGACGTATATCTTTATAATTATAAAATTAATTTGTAAGTGTACAACATGTAATTAGTCATGTCAATAACCAAATGTTCAATGTGAGTAAACGATTCTAGTTGCGAATGTATTAGTGATACGACATATACGTAATAATTTAATTTTTACCCGAAAAAAAGTGTCTGCTTATATTAATAAATACTTAATAAAACTACGAAGTAGAAAAGACGTGTTTTTAATTTAAAAGCAATTAAAAGCTTATTTGTCTGACGATTATCGATATTATTAGTTTTTTTTTTTTTAATTTCAATATTTATAAGCCAGCCAAGCAACATTTATAATAATTAAAACCTACAGACCTTAGATCATTGTCACTTTTGTTTGAATTATGAATATAACTCAATAGAAAGAGACAAAACACTTTAATAATTAAAATATCAATTAATTGTCAATAGTCGTCAAAATATGAAAATTACAATAAAAAAAAAAAACTTTAACAATGTAATAATTTAGCGTATAAAATAGACGATCGAATACTTAATTTGTAAAAAAAAAAACAAAAGATTAATAATTAAGAAAAAAACAAATTAATCTATTTTTTTTTTTAATTAACGTAAGCAAGGACCGTAAAGTAACAGATTAGAAAGATGCCGTATAAACGAATGGGGGCTAAAATTTAACTTTCTATTTTAATTTATAGATATTAAAAAAAAAAAACTTATTTCAGTTTTTCCTTTAAAAGGATTTACATTAAATAGTATATATTCTTTATATATATTATATTTAATTATATTTAATAGTATAGATTATAGCATCGATTCACAGAATAACTTAACTGTAATTATTTTACAATTACGAAGTACTAACCGCACAGTTCGAAAGGTAAGACCACAATCAGATTCATTTTATGAATCTAATTCAAATTTTAATGATTACATGGTTACATTCTCTTTTCTGCAGGCTGCCGAAGAAACCAGGATTTGTTGAGAGTTAGAGCAACGGACCCGCGACCCTGTCCGAAATGCGGGAAGATCTATCGGTCAGCTCACACTTTGAGGACTCATCTTGAAGATAAGCATACCGTCTGCCCAGGCTACCGGTAAGCAACAGCTCTCTTTACGATAAATCCTTTTACATGGGATGGACAACAAAAAGCTTCGAGCTACCAATAATAACCGTATCAGCCTTTAACTGAGTATTGCTAAACATGTCTCCCCCATAAAAGGAGTTTTTCCAGTAGTTGCCACGCTTAGCAGATGGGTTGGCAACCGCAGTCAAGGCTTGATGATGGTTTAAGAGGGACGTCACTACCCATCTTACGATACCCATGGGAAAGAATGGAGTCCCCAATTCAGTTGATGGACGCAGTGTGTTAATATCGGAGACTACCAGAGGGAGACTTTGTACAAAAGTCGATTGCTTGGGTACCTCTGTCCCATTCGTGTTTCAACCAATGTTACCAATTTTAACTTAATTGTAATTTATACTTAATATTTTTTTTATACTTAATAACAATTTTTACTTAATTGTAACCAATTGTTAAGTACGTGTTAACAGAGTATTGTTTGGAGCAATTTTTTTTTTATACAGCTTAGAATGGCAAACAAGCTGACGGCCCACCTGGTGGAAAGTGGTAACCGTCGCTTATAGACATGAGCAGTACCATGGACATAACAGACTATACTGTTTCGCCCATGATACCCCCCATTTGCCATTCCTGAGGACTGATGTTTTTCCTCTGTACCCAATAAATTCACGCCATAACCCACTGTTCAAACCGAAACACAGCCATGCAAACACAGCTGCTTCATGGTTGAAACACGAATGGAACAGAGGTACCTAAGCAATCGACTTTTGTACATAGTCTTCCTCTGGTAAATGACATAAAAGTAATACGATGGTAAAAAAATTACCAAACAATATAGAATGTCACTATGTTTAAAAAGAACTCTTTAGTTTCATCACTTTTATCAATCTACAAGCTTACAAGTTGCAGTACGTTGCTCCTTTTTCCATTTCAATAACAATACCTTGCAATACCTACTTAATACGTACCTCATATAGGGTGGCCGCCATTGGCATCACGACTCATTCTTGCTTGATTTATCTCAAGTCAATTTATTTGCACAAACATAGGTTGATTACATTACTTGATATTATATACAAAATTAAGATAGCTATGTTCCGCTGTTATTGGGCATACAATATCACATAACCTCTCGCCAAAACCATTAAATCTATCATCAAGAAATATATATCTAATTATTATATATTGTTAAAATTAGGCATTACAACAATTAATGTCACATCTTCCATCACAATTCACTTCCAGTTTCAACCATCCTGTCCAAATGGCTAAAGACCAAATCAATACAATATCTCTGTTCAGTAAGTTTAAAATTCTGCACCTACAAAAGTAAATGTGAAAGTAAACAACCTACAGGTGCGTGCTGTGCGGCACAGTGGCGAAGTCCCGCAACTCGCTGCATTCACATATGTCGCGGCAACACCGCGGCATCTCCACCAAGGACCTGCCCGTGCTGCAAATGCCGACGAGGTTCGACCCGGAACTTGCTAGCCAGTGAGTATCGTCTCTATTGATCCTTTCTTACAACCAGGGTGATCATCTGGCATAGTCTGCAGGATAATCACTACTATCTTTGAAGACTCACACCAGCTGAGGCTTTAATCGTATGCCATGAATCCTTGTCGCATGCAGCTTGCATTACTATATTTCATCTTAAAACCAGGGTACACTATACAAGCAAGCTACTTGGTGACAAAAATTACTGAGATAGGAATACTCATATAAACGTCTTTATACAAAGATTCTCTTTGGTCTACCATAAAGAAAATATATTGGCTATAAAAATCACGACACAAAACATTCACATTAGTCCAAATGGATTATGTGAAATACCGCACCAATAATCACTGATATCTACAACTCCCCGTACTTGAAAATACACAAATTCACGAGACAAAACTCATATTTCAGACTCCTTGCTAAAGCGGGTGTGAAGGTATCTCCGGAGCAACTACGAGCGCGCGCCTCCCCCACCGGGCCGCGGCGCTCCGACATCAAGCTGGACGCTAAGTCCGCCGCTTCAGAGAGCAGTTCCGTCTGCGGTGACAATGATAACGATGATCTCAGCCAGTCCAGATACCAGGACAGCATACCGGTGTCACCACCACGTAAGTTACCTCCTCTCTAATTTGACAATACCTTTTCTTACTAGATCATAATTTCTTAAAATGCTCTAGCTTTTCTGATCTACCAAGTTTTTAGAACTTATAAATTTTAACATAAAGCTCTAGTTTCTTTCTCCAAAATCTAGAACAAATTTTCCTGATACCTTTCCTGGACCGAGTACAAATATGTAGTCTTGGTGAATAAAACAAGCATAAAATGTATATACATATGGCAGTAGTGAATATAGCCAGTCTCCACTCCGTGACTGGAAATGTTAATTGACCAGGATAAAAGTGGGCTACGTCCTCCAAGCCTAATGCTACGTATATCCCAATTTTCATGATGATTGGTAAAAACAAAGTTGACAAAGGAATATCATGGATAGATTTCCAGAGTAATGCGTCATAATCTTAATACCCCGCTGGTGTGTCCCTCCTTCATAATAAATCACAAAGCCACATTAAACTCTAATTCTACAGATATAAACAATTTGGCCAATACAACCATCACAAAAGTGCCAGCAGTGCGAGCGGTTACAGCCAAAACCGTGGAAAATCACCCTCACGGAATGAGCACGATTATGAAACACGATGACTATCCACCAGGGTACGGTGGCTCCGCTATTTTCGACAGCTACATGCAATATTTGGGCGAAAATATCTTCGGTAAGCCTGTAATTTTTCTATATTGATTTGCTTATTTTGACAATACTCCAAAATCTAAGCAGATGCGGTTGAATTTAACGCAAATAAGACTTCTCGAAGCATTCCAAATCTTTAAATTCAAATTTCTTGCTTTTAGGAATGAACGCGGCAAAATTAGCGCAAATGACGTCAATGCATATGGACAGAAAAACATACGACGAGCCCTCCCCACAAATGGGATCACTGCCGCCAAATCCGACTAGCCTTGTTCACCAGCGTTATCTGAAGCAAATACAAAGGCAGTACACCGACTCTATGAACAAACCGGACATCATGCGCAACTCTGATGAACCGCTGGACCTAGGGAAGGAGAGGCAAAGGAACGATAGTATTAGCGAAATGGACAGCGATAAGCAAGAGATGACAGATAAGGAGAACAGCAAAGATTTTCAAGACGACGACAGGAACAGAGTGAACAGTTCCGAGCAGGAACAGGAGCACAGCGGTCAGGAAGAAGGCGACTACTCCGACGACGAACAGAAGAACGCGTCTTCATGAAATGACCGTGCGCTTGCTGTAGGAGTATTGAATTAGTCTCGACTGCGAGCACAATTAGGACAATGTTGTGTTGGTTTTTCAAACGGTGCTTGAGTGTTATGTTTTGTGGTCATTAGCTAATTCGTTCGTTTTTACGGTTTAATTGTTGACCCGTGGAATGTCGTTGGTGCCATTTCCAATATTGTAATGTATATTTTAATTAGGATTAAATGGTTTGAGCCCGCGCCGGGTATCGGTTGCAAGTTATCTAACAGGAATCTTGATTTGGTGAAATCTACAAGTATAGTACAAGTCGTCGACGATGTCTGCCCGCTGGATGCTAAGGCATTATTTTATGTGTACAGTGGAGCTCGTCGCGATGTTGCCCGGTTTTTTGTTCGGTTCCCACGGGGACGGGTTCCCGCGTGACACCGCATCACAATTCACTTAGCGTACCCCGCGTCATGTTAGTTCAGTCGTCGACTCGCCACTCGTTTGTGAAGTTGTTTTAGTAGTTAATGATACTAGTGAGTAGTGTTTTTGTATTGTGTATGTGAGGTCCCTGTCACGTAGTAGGGCCTCTTACATAGTAATTCCATCCAACTACCTCAGCATTTGGGCCAATGCGGCGGTTATAAATAAAATAAAAAAAAAATATCCACACAAATTGTGAAATTCCATCCATCTACCTCACTTCAATAGATTTTATTTAATATTTTATACAATTTATAGATATAACTGTTGTTTTATGCATTTTGCAGATTGCATTTATATATATATATATATACTATATATAGAATATATTGTAGGTAAATATATGCAAGTCATTAGGTCATTGTTAGTGCTGCCCGTAGATATTCGTTAACCGTTTATTTTTGAATAGATTACGCACTCACTAGAGAAATATTAGACTGTGTCACAACTGTAGCGAGTAATGAACATAACCTCCGATATCAACGTGCACACTAATATAAATAATAATAATAATAAAAAAAAAAGATATCTTTGTATACGAACAAACATACAGAGCTTAAAATTTAATGTTATTGATAAAATTTTAATCGATCTACACGTGTCGCATTGAGATGTTACAAATACTTATTGAATAATTTACTACGGACGGAATGTATCGATCGTAATTATGAGATATAACAATAATTTTGCATCTACAAATGTTAACACTTGCTGCCTTGAGACTGAAAACTATTTCCAAGGGGGTAAGTAATTGGTCGCGTCACACCGCGACTATCGAGTTCAAATTTGACACTTAAATAATAAACATATAAGACATAATGTTGCATTGTATATAAACTGAGGTGATATATAAGTACATAATGATAAACAAAAGCAATAAATAAAGTATACCTTGATGTTGCCTTCGATGTGTAAATAAACGTGGGTAGTGGTCGAGTTTGTGTTGGTTTGTGAATTATGAACCTTATAATAATTGACAGAAGAATGTTTATTTTGTAGTAATGATGTGGGCTCGTTACTTAAAAATAACAATTACTGTGATTAAAATCTCATGTTAGCCTTCAATACTTATACATATTTTTTAGAGTACAATGTTATAGTTATTTAGTATATTGTAAGAATATTTGTAAGCGAGTCACAAAATATATTTACTTCCCTGAACATTAGGTTTCACATTAAGTATTTAAGTATTTAGAGCAATAGGTGAAGCATTTAACCTTTTATATGAAAGATATTATAATATGAATTTATTGAGATGTCACTATTTCTTTTGAACATTTATTAGGTTAACATACGATAGTGAAATGAAAAGAAAAAAAAAAAAATATTTTGCCGAGTGTTGCCAGCAACAATATTTATTTATGTGAACTCTTCCTGCGAGTGACACCCAACAAATTCATAGCGTACGATAGTAATAAGTGCTACGGGTTGATTGATACGTTATTTTGTTTAGTGTGTTAGTGAGACTTGTCGAGTTATGCCGCTTTCGTTTGCGAACAATCTTGTTGACAGTTAGCAGTGTTGCCATAGTGATTAATTATTTTTGACTGTATATAAAATAAGTTTTCATTGTTTAGAGAGATGAGTGATTAATTCATTAATTATGATATAGGGAAAGAACTTTTTATTTAGATTACACTGAACATATAATTCTATTCGTAAATATAAATAGATATTGCACGATATAAATAACACAAATCAATAGTCAGTTACCAGAATGTGATCAAAAGATAAACATATATATATATTTTTTTTCAGAACCAACCCCCCCCCCCCATACTGTTAATTAAAAATACAATGTCAAAATATAAGCATAAATATTCGGGTAGAAGTGACACTCTCGTGAATTTAATAATAATAACATTGGGGCGCTGACAGCCTATTTGAAACTAAATCAGTCCGTACTTGGAAGCATTAAACGACGTAATGAGATCGTCTTGCTCACTCGCGCGTAACTAACGTCATATCATATGATTTGTTAAATACGAATAAATTTGTGACAGCCCTACTATCCTGCGCCTAACCCGAACGAAGGGTACATTTAAAAAAATATATGAGCGTCACTTCTGCCAAGTGTGTTTATTCTTATGGCCAACTATAGAGGTTACATCGACGATATTTCGATTTCCAACTTGTTATAACCTATTATTCACTTACATTACAAACCTGTTATTTTATCGATGAAACAATAAAGGTTGTATCTTGTCTATCTATTAATCGTATTGTATGCCCGATGTATGGGTAGGCTGTTTTCCTTTGAGACGTTAATAACATCTTACGAAAAATTGTAACATACAGCTCACAATAAATTTATTCTATTCTATTCTATTCTATTCTTAATTTTTTTTTTTTTTTTGAAATAAAACCTCGATGTAACTCGAATAGCACTGTACCGTTGTTGATAATGCGCATAATTATATTATACCAGTGAATAAAATATAATGAATAGGACTTTAAGTCAACGACTATGCTCTTGCTATTGTAAAACTTATGTTTAGTTACCGTATGAACTTTGAAAGTTCACACTTCTTTATTTTATAATTGTCTGTACCTCATTAGCATGAGTGTTCATGTAAAACTCATTTTTATTTGTTTCCTATCACTGTTTAATGTTGTTATATGGTGCGATACTTGATATTTTGGACGTGGGAAAGGTAATTAAAAGCATGTATGTTAAAAAAAAAAATTCGCAGCCAGTATCTAAAGAGAGACGGTTTAATTTTTTTAAATAGAAGCACCGGCTGTGCGGTAGAGTTGGATATTACATAGTGGGTAGTTGGGTATTAAAATGTAGCACCTTGATGCAAATTAATATAGATACGCTTCCGGTGTGGGCGATATCGAAATGGGTGACGACCTTTGTCCCGCCATTAATCTATATCTAGAGAAACCCAATATATAGGTATCGGTGCGATACAGATATTACTCATACCTACTATGCGGTATTGAAAAAAACAGATTCTTAATGTAAAATAATTCCTTATTTTACATTAACAATCTGTTATTATCCCACTGCTCAGCAGAGGTTACACTCCTCTCTAGCTGGCCAGGCGATTTAGTATAGAGTTTTTCAAAGATTTATATATTTTGTACGTTGTTTATGCACGCACACATGCGAAAGTAGCTACAAATTTAATAAAAAAAAATATATAATGATAAACTGCTATAAAATAGAATAGCAATACATACTTTAGACAGTTTGGAACACGCATTAACGATATTAAAAAAAAATAGCTATTTCCACGTCCAAAATTATCATGTGAGCATCAAATGCCGAATATAAAAGCGAGCACAAAGTACATATATTGTTTTTTTTTTTTTTTAACTGATTGGTGTATGCGAGTAGGTAGTTGTTAGTTGATTTGATGATTTGTTTGATTTTATATTTACCACCGGTTCTAATATAAGCATATTCGTTTTTCAAAAACACCTAACACTGTTGTTTTTAGGCAAATATGAAACAGGGCTAAATTCAAAGTATGGGATTGTATAAGATTGTCAAATAAGTATATAAAGGTAAATTATTATCAACAAATGTGTAAATTACTTTGGATTCAATTTTATTTCATACAAAAAGTTCTCAATTCAAAATTGTTATATTTAATTACTGTGTCGTACGGACACCACCTGTATACGATCGCTACACTGTGTTGCCATGTTATTTCGTACCAAGAGAATTCTACCATTTCACACAATTACGAATTTACGTAGATTATAATCTACGTGATTTTTAATTAAATTCATATTTACACAATTATAAATTAAGGAATAAATTACATGCATGATGTAATAACAATTTGAATAACCTACCTCTTTATTGCCAATACTTTGAGATATAAAAATTTATGTGTGAAAATTTTGGTAGAAATATATATATTTATATATATATATAAACGATTAAGTTTCCCGTCGGTACAACTCCACGCCTTCACCATTATACATTAGTGTACTAGCTGTACGCCGCTTCACATTATTATTATATACATGAATAATAAAAATAATTGTTTTGAACACGGTCGTTTGATTTCAATTAAAAAGGAAAAAAAAAACAAGAAAATACAATTTAGTGACAAAAAGGACAATTCATATAACTCATCAATGAGACAGTATTACTAGTTTTTCGTTTCGTTCCTATTTAAATTTTTTGATTTTATTTATATTTAATTTTTGAATTATTTTAATTCCACTACCATAAGTTGCATATGCGATCGTCAACACTCGAAAATTGACTATTATTATTATTATTATCAGAAGTTCTATAACCTTCCATATTAGCCATCAACCACCGACCGCCATTCCGTCCACACACGTTTTGTAGCCGTACTAGTCTGTTAATATTACGTTCTCAGCGCAGAAGCCTACTTAATTATGAGGGATATACAAAACCCTCTTATGACAAACTTAATACACGTTTTTATACATTCAAAACAGAATGAGAAAAAAAAATTACAAGTAATTTTTTTTATCCAACTTAGAATGGCAAACAAGTTGACGGCCCACCTGATGGAAAGTGGTAACCGTCGCCTATAGACATGAGCAGTACCATGGACATAACAGAGTATATTGTTTCGCCCATGATACTCCCCATGCGTTGCCATTCCTGAGGACTCAGGTGTTATTACTCTGTACCCTGTAAATTCACGCCATATCCCACCCTTCAAACCGAAACACAGTCATGTAAACACAACTGCTTCACGGTAGAAACACGAATGGGACAGAGGTACCCAAGCAATCGACTTTTGTACAGTCTCCCTCTGGTCTGGTAAATACTTTAGACCCATATGGGCGTATTTTTTAAACGGGATGTCGGGTGGACCTTACTCACCCCAGAGTACAAACAAAGCTTTGCAAAGTCATAGACAAAGAATCATAGCATTTTAGACGAAGTAGGCTCATTGTAAACAAGTTACCAAATCAACTATGCGGTACAGTCAGCATCAAAAATTGATGAACAAATTTACAAAATATTTAAACAACGTTACGAATAAAATTAGAAAGAATTAGCTGAATATAACAATGGCATTTGTATGCTATGGAGTGTACGGATTTTTTTTTTATTGAATAAAAATGGAATAGTGAACCCGCCTGCGCTAACGGGATACGCTGGCGGAGCACCAGTGAAGGGTGATAGATGAGAATGAAAACAGGCCAGTTAGCCCATCATGATGAATTCATCAGGAATTAACCATGATAGTTTCCAGGGGGAACCGCGAGGAGGTCGACCTGGTTGGGTATATTGCTAGCAATAGGATTCTCAGTCTCCATTACTAACAATCCCTTTCCCCTCAACAAGTGTACGGATTTCGAAAATTGTAATGTGTTTATCAATTTTTGACGTTGACCATTAATCAGATACGTCGTAACTCTCTGAAAGTACAATAGGTTCAGGGTTGAATCCATCATAGAATGTACATGCAAAACAAAAACATTTATTTATATGGAATCACAATTGCAAAATATAGTTAACTCTTACACGTTTAAATTAAATATGAACCTAAAGCTAAGGAATAAATATAGTACATCTTTATCACACACAAGTCTACTACTTACATTAATAAGGGGCCTATCACACTGTCATATGTATAGGATCGTAATATCAACTTGCGAGAGATCGGACGCCTAACAGGGAAGTACTAGAGTATTTTGTTTCATAATGAGTCAGTATAAAAATAAATCATATGTTCAAACTATATTACTATAGTAAAAAAAAAAATACAGAAAAATATGATAGTATAATAACCCCTTACGAGTCACAATGCAAATATAAAAGCAATAAATGTTTTTTCTCACTCATTCATTCCTAACCCTAAGCTGTTAACAAGATATTGTTAAAGTTAACTGATATTGAAAGGGTGTTTTACATAATAAATTGATCTATCTAGATATGATCATATATGTAGGATAATGTAGTAATGCCTAAAATAAAAAATCTGTCTAACGAAAACCAAGTGTCTAAACTTTGTTGCGGCGATCAACATTTAATTCCATTTTTTTTTTACAAAACCATGGTGTAAATTAATTTCGAAGCCGGATCTAATTGATTGGTAAATTTTGCCGTAAATTCGCTTAATATAATATTAATTAATCCCTTTTTATCTCATTCTTCTTTGTGAGGAAGTAATGTACGCCAATTATAGCGTGCATTCTGGAACAACAATAACGTCGCGTCACCAAAGAGAATAATTAACTTTTTTTTTCACATGCACACAATACAATGTGATCGAATAAAAAAGATTTTAAAAACATAGAGGACTTTGTCATATTTGAAGGTATCAACTGTCAAAGTAAGATGAGGTAAGCAAAACAAATATCGTAAAAATAATATTTATTAAAAACAATTTAATATTTTTTCGAGTTTAATCTTTTTTGTAAACGGTACATAACGAGGTTTTTTATTTTGATCACACTGTATATTAATGTTATAGAGAAGGTAAAGTGATTAAAGACCTTTTGTTTTGAAAAATAATAATAAATGAAATATTCATTTCAAGAAGCTATCCCAGAAGAAGTTTCTTTTTTTTTTTACACAACTTAGAATGGCAAACAAGCTGACGGCCCACCTGATGGAAAGTGGTAACCGTCGCCTATAGACATGAGCAGTACCATGAACATAACAGAGTATACTGTTTCGCCCATGATACCCCCCCCCCCCCATGCATTGTCATTTCCGAGGACTCAGGTGTTATTCCACTGTACCCAGTAAATTCACGCCATATCCCAGCCTTCAAACCGAAACACAGCCATGCAAACACAACTGCTTCACGTTAGAAACACGAATGGGACAGAGGTAGTCAAGCAATCGACTTTTGTACAAAGTCTCCCTCTGGTAAACTGACGGCCCACCTGATGGAAAGTGGTAACCGTCGCCTATAGATACGAGCAGTACCGTGGACATAACAGAGCAACTATCATTACGTTACATTAAAACAGGTTTTATTTATTGTTAGACAAAACTACAATACTAGTAACATCATGAATAGAACATTGCTTAAGTCTAAAACTGTGGCCTTTATAATCACTTCACCTATGGATCTATTTACAATATGTACTCACAATAGAGCCCAATGCTATTTCTTCTTGGACGCGAGCGCTACACCCAACCCAACCAGCCCGCCGAGAGCTAGCACGGCGGTGCCCGCCATCGCGATGCCGATCAGTCCCTCTTTTTCCATCCTCTTGTTTATTTGTCGCTGGAAATAAATACATACTAACTTTTAACGGAACATGTTTATTGACCGGGACAAATAGGAGCCTGTAGCCTGTCATATAGTATACCAAATTTCATAGCAATTGGTAAAGACGTTAAGGCGCTAACAGGTTTGTTTTTATGCAACTTAGAATGGCAAACAATAAAAAGAAATTATTGTATTTATAAAACTGAAACACACGCTTGTTACAGGTGCAAACCCCTTCCAAACCATACTACAACATACCAATACGTATTGCACAATAGCTGTTCCCACACACAAATTCCCAGAAAGAATGAAGACACACTTTACAAAGGAAATTTGATAAAAGGGAATACCACAGGGCGGTGAGAGGACAGTATGTTTTAAGTCACGGACGTACGGTGTACATTTTAGGAATCAATCGCGATTCATAGATGTAACTAGTATTATATAATTACTAATTTTAAATAAAGACTGTGTGTTAAATTGTATTAAACGACATTGTGAACTTGTGAAAAGGAATGTGAAAAGGACTCCATTTTCCGCGCTTAGCCTCTCATTTGGGCCATTGTGCGTATGAGTCGTGGCTAGTGCAGCCAACCTAACTCCGTCCAGAAGCGCAGAAGCTTCCTGGGTTCTTCACAGGCCTCACGGAGCGACCTCACCACATTGTGAACTTAAATAGTATTCGTTTTTTAAAAAACCTATCACCGACCGTCAGAACGTAATTCGCTTAACACACATATATGATTATTTGGCATCAATCCAGTACGTTTTCTCCTTCCTATTTACTCCTCAACACGTTTTTAATATTTACGTATGTATGATACACATGTATTAAAAATAAACAATGAATTTGCAATTTTGTTGTGTATTGTGCCTTCCTGGTGTTCATTACTAAACATAATAGATTTTTTTTCTAAATCAATAAAATTAAAATATCACCTTAAAATACCTTCGCTATTGGTATATGTTAGCCGGGCACCAATGAGTGATGATAGATGAAAATGAAGCAGGTCAGTTGGCCTATTGTGGCGAATTCAATATATATTTTTTATACTACTTAGAATAGCAAACGAGCTGACGGCCCACCTGGTGGAAAGTGGTAACCGTCGCCTATGCGTTGCCAATCCTGAGGACTCAGGTGTTATTCCTCTGTACCCTGTAAATTCACGCCATATCCCACCCTTCAAACTGGAACACAGTCATGCAAACACAACTGCTTCACAGTAGAAACACGAATGGGACAGAGTTACCCGAGCAATCGACTTTTGTACAAAGTCTGGTGTTAATAATAATTAACCTCAATGTTATCCAGGGGAAACTACATATATGGAGGTTGATTCGATAAGGTATATTGCTAGCAATGGGACTGTTAGACCCAATTAATGTCAATCTCCTCGTCTCCCCCTCCCCCCTCCCATGGAAGTAGTATAAACTACACACCAATAGGTACACCTAATAATTTAACAAATCACATAAAAGAACATCACATACCTCTAAGGCAAGAACTTGTTGATTAGCAGGTTCTATCTCAAGGAAAGACTTCACATAGTGGAGTGCCTTGTTGTACTCCTTGATCCTAGCATTGCCAATGGCAAGGTAGAAAAGATAGTCGCGTTTTCCTTCTGGATGTGAGTTAAATAACTCTTTTAGAAGAAGTATGCCCTGAAAATTAAAATATGGGCATGATAAATCGTCCATTTTTAATAAAGACATATTTTACATGAGTTCAAGGCTGAATGGTGTCTAAATGACAACGCTGCTGTTTTGTGTTTTTTTTTTTAGTTTTTCTACAGCAGTTGCACTAATATATGCTTTTTAATCATCTTTCACGAGACACTGATGATGAGCAATAAATTCTTACTCTATCACCATATAGGATTTAATGTCCGTATAAAAATACACTGAACTTTTTATTTAAATTGTTTTTACTTGCATACCTGACTGCCTTGCTTGAGGTAGATAAATATATACAAAGTGTAAGATAAATAGAAATATAAGTCTGCAGAAAAAAATATATTGATAGGAGAGCAATATCAGTCTAAAGATAAATATAAATTACTGATATAATTGACATGAATGATGTTAATAATACTTAGAGTGATATATGGAAACAAGTTTTTTTTATATTATGATCTGTTGTAAATAGCAGGATGCAGATGCATAAAATATATATATATATATATATATATATATATATATATATATATATATATATATATATATATATATATATATATATATATATATATATATATATATATGTGTGTATTTGTGATATAAAATAATAAGTTTAGTGAAAAAAATACGAGACATGTCTTATAAAAATCTGACATCGAACAAATTTAAAAATAATACATTGTTCTAAAAAACCTCAGTGTCAACAGCCAGTATTAAAACTTCAACATGATCAATAGTAAGTATATAATAAGTAAGTATATAGGAACCATTTTTGAATTATTTAGAAGCACAACCAAGGTAAAATAATGAAAAAAAAAAAAATGTTTAAAAATACTTAAAAATAAAAGTTTACCTGAATAAAAATATTTCTTTTTTTTTTTTATTTTCAATCCTATTTCTACCAATATTGTAAATTGTATAATAATAAGTTATTAATTAGTTATGGAAATAAATTTGGTTTAAACACTTTTGAGTGATATCTTTAATAAAATTCTAATAAAGGATTTGAAATATTACATGAACTCCCAAAAAAAAACAAAATGTTTTTGCTTGAATAGACAGTGAAAATGGACATAGGAAAAAAAGCTAAAATTTAGAATTGACCAGCCATAGTAATTCTTAAGATATATAAGATAATACACAAGCCAGCCATTATGAATTTAACCGTTTTCGTTAAAAACCCTGTATATTCTCCAAGATCCATAGTGATGTTCATATCTTTAGGTGACAATTACTAATTTTAATAAAGTGGCCCTAGCTTGTTTACTATTCTAAATCAATGATATTAGCTAGTCTAAACTTGTTGATGCTGTATTTGAAACAGATATTTTAATAGTAACTGATCATTAAAAAATAAATTAAATCATTTTTAAGGATATGGTTATTCCAAACTACAAAAAGTAAATACAAGTTAAATGAAAATAAAGCAAAATTTTTATCGCACCTTCCTTATATCCGTGGGATATTTACTCCGTACAAGGCACCACGCATATTCGAATTGAGCCTTATGTGTGACTTTTCCTAGATGTAATTGCTCGTGGAACACTCTCTCGAACTTCTACACAATAGATAATACAACAGAAATTAAAATTGTACAATGACTCATATCATTATTGCACAAATTATACCGTACTTGCAAATCCTCAGAAGACACAACTTCATCCAAAACATCCTCCATGGTGATGCGATGGTAATAACAAATATAACACTACACAGACAGGCAAGTTTAAGCGAAATCAAATATAAACTAAGCAATAATACCCAATAAAATTATTTCACTGTTTTGCGTTATCGGTAAAAAATCGAAAATGACATTACAAAAATTGACACTTTGTTTACAAAATGCGTAATTGAAGTTGACAGTTTGTTTTATATTTTTTTCATAGGTGTAAATTACGTGTCGATTAAAATAGATAATTGATTAGGTACTAACATCTTTTTCTCTTATAAGTCTTTAACTTAATACATATAATTAAATATGTAATGTATATTAAACGAGCAAAAGTTAAAAAATGACGGAGGAAAAATGTTCAATGTTTAGCTATATAACTATTGTACGAGGTTTGTCCGGAAAGTACGTATAAAAGTTTTTTAAAAATTTTATTTTACAATTATTCAGGTAAATCAATTTTATCCCCTTCAAAGTACATAATGCACTTGTGCCAACGCCGTTTTAGAAGGCTAAAGTCCTTGGTTGTAGGTTTCTCATGCCCCGTCGTAGCTTTTTTTATCTCATTTATGTCCCCCAAATGCCGCCCCCGAAGTACCAATTTGGTTTTTGGGAACAAGAAGAAGTCACACGGGGCCAAATCCGGCGAATAGGGGGGGTGTTCGGTCACCGTAATGGAATTTTTACTCAAAAACTCACGGAACGATCTTGGCGCAAATTTTTTTCATTTGAAGTTCGTTTCTTAGAATTTCGTGGACCACGGTTTTGCCCAAATTAAGCTCTTCAGCCACCTGTCTGACCGTTAAACGACGGTCCCCATTAACACAAGTTCGAATTCTTTCCACGTTTTCGTCGGAATGTGAAGTGGAAGGACGTCCTGAACGTGGGTCATCTTGAACGCTTTCTCGGCCCTCTCTGAATCTTTTAGCCACTTGTGGACGGTTGGTTCCTTCACAGCATCATCCCCATAAACTGTTCTGAGATCGGCAAAAATTTCACGGCCATTCTTGCCGAGTTTCGAGAGAAACTTGATTACGACGCGCTGCTCTTCAACGGAAGCGGGCTCCATGCCGACGGGGTTTCGTTAAGAGGTAACTTCAAGATGGCGTGACAAGCCAGTTCGCACCGCACGGCGGTCAGACCAGAACTATTGTTAGGGACATAAGGAAGGGGTCTGCGCTTGGCCTATTTTCTCGCATTCCAGAACACTTTTATACGAACTTTCCGGACAGACCTCGTATTGTTTTATCTTTAGGTTTGTAATGGATTATTTTAATTATACAAAGAATTTGAAAGATTTGATTTATGGCCGTTTTAAAATTTAATCATTGAGTTTTATATTGCAACATAATCATTAACGACTAACATCGAACAAATATACAGATTTGAACGAAAACTAATTTAAATTTAGTTTCTGGTGGTCCTAGTTTCACCAAACTACAATTTACAACTCATGATCAATATCATCAGGTTTAAGAAGAGTTAGAGTAACTATACTAAAATCAATTATTTAATCACTAATCGACTCCAATTTTTATAGGCAAATACATATCTGGTACTGCTCTACATATGTCAGTGTCAACATCAAATCTTACTGTCATTGTTCAAGCACTGTCATTGTTCAAGCACTGTCATTGTTACTATAGTAAATTCTCTTCGTTTTTATCAATAATAAATTCTCTTGCTCAGGAATTTTATATTAATTTAAAACCATAACAGAGTAATTTCGATATAATTGTACAATAGAAGAACAACATGCAGAGTGTAATTAATACTGTTAAGGGCACTGCACTCGGGGTGGCCGGTTATTTGACGCCTGTGCTCAAGGTGAATTTTATCTTTGTTTGGCTTTGTATATATATTATTTTAAATTAAATAAGTTTAACACATTGATTACCTATTTTGCTTATATACACTATTCTTATCGGTTTCTTCTTCATATTAATATTAGCCAATATATTCTACGATTATGCTGTAAAACTTTGGTTTAAAATATTAAATTTAGTAATATATAAAAAACGCAGTAAGATTTAATTGTCAAATTACTGTATTTAATTTTAAAAAACTTTATTGTGTATATTTTACTTTGGGACACGTTAAAAATATTTTAATGAATAACAATGGGATGGAAAGCTTGCCTGTGCATCTATATATACACTGGTGAGGCACCATTGAGGGAGGATAGGTGAGATAAAAAGGCAGGTCAGTCAACCCATCATCATGAATACATCAGAAATTCAACACAATGGTTTCCTGGGGTGTTTTGTATTTATTTTTTATTTATTTATTTCTTCTTTATTAACTACAATACAAAATGTGTCTGATACAAAAGATGGATTTAATGCTATATATCAACCTGATAGGGTATATTGTTAACAATTGACTGATAGTCCACACACATATATATATATATATATATATATATATATATATATATATATATATATATATATATATATATATATATATATATATATATATATATATATATATATATATAAATATATATATATATATACATAGTATATTTGTTAATCAAATAATTGTACATTGCAAGGCATTGATGAGAAATTTAAGAAGTCTCTCTGATATAGATCTCTATTCTTCTTATCTACACATCAGATCTGAAAATAAACTCTTCACTTGTCCTAATTAATTAAATACCAATAGAACAGACAGAGAGAATCCATCAATTTCCCTCCTTTACATAAAACGTCACTTATATTCATAATATTATTTATTAAAACTACAACAATAAAGTATACTTGAAATTCATCATCTCTGCATAGTATAAAACAAAGTCATTTCCTGCCATTTGTATGCTTAGATCTTTCAAATTGTACAACAGATTTCAATGCAATATTCATGGGGGAAAAGGGATTGTTAGTAATGGAGACTGACAATCCCATTGCTAGCAATATACCCAACCAGTTCAACCTCCTCGCGGTTCCCCCTGGAAACTATCATGATTCATTCCTGATGAATTCATCATGATGGGCTAACTGGCCTGATTTCATCCTCATCGATCACCATTCACTTGTGTCTTGCCAGCGTATCCCGTTAGTGCAGGCGGGGCTACCATACCATTTTCACCCATCAAAAAAAAAAATGCAATATTCATCAATATTCAGGAAGAAAGTTTATATGTATAATGCATGCTATACATGCATATTATAGTAGAAAAAAGCTGTGCAAAACTAGAGTGGGTTGCTAATTAAAATTAAGTAAATATTCATAATCCAGTAACAAATCAGAGTATTGCATGAATTATACCAATCAAATGATTCAACCAAATAATAAATTTTAATTTATTACATGTAAAATCTGGACAATTTTGATAATAAATTTAATTAAACTAAATAAACTTCCGTAAAGAATATAGTTGTGATATAAAAGTTATATCTAATGAATAATACTCATACATGTTTTCAATACTTTATTCACAATTTTACTTACATTGATTACAGCATTCAGGGTTTTATTTATTTATTGTTTTATTTAATTATTTTATTTCTAGGAATCTAAGTTCCATGAAACAGGAGTGCTGACTCCTGAAGAATTTGTGGCAGCCGGAGATCACTTGGTACACCATTGCCCTACATGGCAGTGGGCCAAGGGCGAGGAAGCGAAGATCCGGCCCTATCTTCCAAATGATAAACAGTTTTTGATCACCAGAAATGTGCCATGTTACCGCCGGTGTAAACAGGTATGGTGAATATGAAATTTAATTAATTATTTTGTATATAACAAATAATTATAGGTACATACCTAACTAGACAGTTTCTTATTCATAAGGTTGACTAGATGAAATCTTTCAGAAGAACTTTGATATTTTAATCTCTTACTTGTTTCATTAATACACATTGATAACAAATAATATAATCATGTAGAATAAAGCATATATAAACAAATTCATAATAATAACAAAGTGAGTTAGTTGTAATTGTTTTATTAGTCATTAGTTATCTGGTCGAGTCTCGAAGGAGTAGACAGAGTTTTCTAAAATATGCCTATGTTACTCCCTGATAATATAGATTCAGTTGATGATAAAAGTAAACAATCAAATTTTTCCTATTTATAGTGAATCTATCTATATACATACATACATACATATACAGTGAATTTCATTTATTAATTACCTTGGTTGTAGCGACCATTGCCTATTTGCGACGTTAAATCTAAGTCCCTTGAATTTAAAGCATACTTTAGTACAAAATTCATGTGGCAAATAGCAACTTTGGATATAACGCCGAGTTCGGGTGTAACGACTGTTTTTAACGAATCATTTGTAACCACCATGCGTTTTTCAAGGCACTTTCTTCCACGCACAATCATTCTTTGGAATCAACTTCCAGCAGCAGTATTTTCGAACCGATAGACAACATAACCTTCAAGAAAAGAGTATATTCCTTTTTAAAGGCCGGCAACACAAAAAAAAAAATAACTAATTCCTAGAAATCCCATGCAGATATTGCGACCGAAGTTCGCCGCTAAAGAGACACCGAGATTTCTTTCTTTCACAAACATATCTAACCTTTTGTTTACATCCACACAGATGTTCAGCAAGTACGTTTCGGAGTTGAATTTATGGTTCAGTTACAAAGTGATATTGCAATTGAGTTTAGTAAACTTTTGAATAAGTATGCCTCGACGCACATTCACTTTTAAAGAAAAGGCGGAAATCATTTCAAAATTGAAAAGCGGTGAAAACAATGCTTATTTGTGCGAAGAAAAAATTATACATGTCTGTATCTCTTTACGTTTGCCTGTAACGACTTCCGGATATAACGACGAAAATAAAGTGGTCCCTTCATCGTCCTTATACCCGAAATCCACTATATATATTCAGAGACTAAACTAACATTCTTAGAAAGTTTTCGGTTGATAAACTTTTTTGTACTTACAGATTGAATATTGTGAAGACAATGAGAAAGTAATAGAGTCAGAACATGATGAGGATGGTGGCTGGGTGGACACACACCACTATGACACAGCTGGGTCACCTGCATTAGAAGAGAAGGCTTGTATTTTTTTGTTTCTTTATAGTAATACAATTGCTCCCATATTCATATAAAAGGCCCAAAAGTATATATATATTTTTTTTTATTTATTTAATTAGCATGCATAAATACATTAAAAAAAATTGGATTTTTTAGTACCACTTAAACCTCTTGGGCTCGTGTGTGATACTTTACATTTCGTTCTCAAATGTCAATATTTACATTCATATTCTGCTGTTTTAGCAAGCTTGGACAGTAAATAAGCATTCAGTTTAAACTTTATGTTTTTAACAGTGATATTGTTTCGCAAGTCGGTAGATAGAGAATTTACTAATATTTGTTTTGGCATCATGCAAAAATACTGCACCAAACTTGATGCTGTTTTCACAGTTGTGTTCCTGAAGATCTAACGTAAAATCTGCTGCATGTGTTATTGTGATATGCCAACTAGAAGTTGGTCTAAGTCATTGATATATCTATTTCTAAAATCCATATGTACAAAGTGGGTAAAAAACTATGTAGTTAGAAATATAATTACTATCTTTAATCTGACCTTCAATCACAATTCGCATCAATTTCACTACCATACCCCTCCTCTCGCATTTTTTTAATGGATGATAATGGAATGGTAACCCCGCCTGCGTTAACGGTATACTGGTGCTCCCTGGTGCACTGGCGGGGCACCAGGGAGGGATGATAGGTGAGGATGGAGCAGGTCAGTTAGCCCACTATGACGATTCTAACAATAAAAAACAATAAATCACGATGGTGTCCAGGGAGAAACACGAGGAGGCCGACCTAACAGGGTATATTGCTAGCAATGGCGCTACTAATCCCCATTACTAACAATCCCTCCTACCTTCCCCCCCCCCCCCCTCGCATTGTAGGGTCGTCCTACTGATGATGATGAGAGACTACTAAATGTAGTGATGACCTCAAGTACATTGTAATGAGTCAGTGGATGCAGGTGGCTCAGAACCGTTTCTGTGGCAGTCTATGAAGGAGGAGTATGTTCAGCAGTGGATAGATAATACCCGAATTTGTTTAATATATTTATTTCAATAGGTACACATTACAGAGAATTAATTATCATCATGTCAGCCTTTAACTGTCCGCTGCTGAACATAAACCTCCCCTTGGGGGGTTTAGCGAGTAGTTGCCACGTTTGGCAACCGCAGTTAGGCTTTAGATAGATGTTTTAAGAAGGACACGGCTGCCCGTCCCTCGCCCTCCCTTAGTCGCCTCTTACGACACACATAGGGGCGGCCTATTCTACGCAGGGACCACACGACAACAGAGAACAAGTTAATGATATAAATTTTTGTTCAGTGTGCTTAAAACAATCTAACTAACTAACATTATTGTAAGTTGTACCTATGGTATGTAGATATTTTGAACTATTTTGCAATGGACGTTAAAGTCGATTGTTTGGCACCTCTGTCCCATTCGTGTTTCTACCGTGAAGCAGCTGTGTTTGCATGGCTGTGTTTCGGTTTGAAGGGTGGGATATGGCGTGAATTTACTGGGTACAGAGGAATAACACCTGAGTCCTCAGGAGTGGCAACGCACGGGGGGTATTATGGGCGAAACAGTATACCATGATACTGCTCATATCTATAGGCGACGGTTACCACTTTCCATCAGATGGACCGTTAGCTTGTTTGCCATTATAAGTTGTATAAAATATATATATATCTATGCCTCGTTAATATTACACTCGACATAATTTACGATTATGTAATATAAGTTTTCAAATACCCCAGGTATGTGAAATGACCTTAGAAGCGGCTGACACAGGGGACAGTGACGGCGAGGGCGCAGGCGCCGACCCTGATGATGACGACGACGACGACGATGATGGAGAGGCCGAAGACATGGAGCAGTTCCAAGAGTCGGGGCTGCTGGACGAAGTGGACCCAGTGAGTGCTTAATTGTCAAACAATTATTAATATCAAAATTTTATTCTTTTAAAATGAAATATCAATGATTGTACTATAACAGTGTTGAGGCTCTTCTACGTCAAACGGATCATCACGGTACCTCTGTCCCATTCGTGTTTCAACTGTGAAGCATTTGTATTTGCATGGCTGTGTTTCGGTTTGAAGGGTGGGATATAGCGTGAATTTACAGAGGAATAACACCTGAGTCCTCAGGAGTAGCAACGCATTATGGGCGAAACAGTAATATATCTGTTATGTCCATGGTACTGTTCATGTCTATAGACGACTATAGGACTATAGGTGAACCGTCGGCTTGTTTGTCATTCTAAGTTATATAAAAAAAATCTAAAAGTCCAAATAATTCCAAATCAACAGTCGACTGATCTCGCGCCACGGAAGGAGCCGAAGCCGAAAACAGAGCGCAAGTGGAAACAAGCGGAGGGCGATGAGATCGTGCGCACGCGCACCTACGACCTGCATATCACATATGACAAGTACTACCAGACGCCGCGCCTGTGGCTCATCGGATACGACGAGGTTGGTACTTATTTTTTTTATAACAGGGGACAAACAAGCATGACTCATCTGATGGTAAGTGACTACCGCCGCCCATGATTACCCGGAACACTGGAAGTATTACAGGTGTGTTACCCAACTACTAACGTATGCTAAAATCAAATGAGTTAAGAGGCACCTGAAAATCAGCACTATATGTGTATCTCGCTGGAAGTGTGCATATATAGCAACAGCTGAGGCAGCTTCTATTACCAGCAAAATGTACTGATTTTTTTCTGTCTCTTTATTCTTGATTATTTTAACTGTAGTTATAATTTTTTATTATTGTTGGTAATAAAGGATCTATCAATTTATTACCACAGGGTAAAAACACAATCAGTAAACGCATCATGATGAATTCATAGAAAAAATATCACGATAGTTTCCAGGAGGAACCGCGTGAAGGTTGACCTGTTAGGGTATCTTGCTAGTAATGGGCCTGTTAAATTTCATCACTAACAATCCCTTTTACCCCGAAACAAATCTCAACAAGCAAAGCTGCTAACAACAGAAGTATGAGACGAACAAACATTGCAAATAGATTATTAATATACAAAAAAAAACCTTCCTTTAATAAAATGTAATACTTCCCAGAACCGGACGTTGCTGAGTGTGGATCAGATGTACGAGGACGTGTCACAAGATCACGCTAAAAAGACAGTCACAATGGAGTCACACCCGCATCTATCGGGACCTAGCATGGCCTCTGTACATCCATGCCGGTAACATGACTACTGATTTTATAATAACTATAATTTACTATAATTATAATTAGATTTTACAATAACTATAATTTGTTTTTACAATAACTATAATTAGAATAGACTATATTAAATCTTGAATAGCCACCTTCTCTTCTTCATTACCCTAGGTCAGTAATAGTGCTTATAAACATATCCACTCCCCTCTCATGTTGATATTAAGGATCTAGATATAGAGTGTTTTTTGTCACGAGCTTTCGGTGTATTTTTTATACCACGAAAATGGCAAATAAGCATACAGCCCGTCTGATACGTAAGCGGTCACTACAGCCTATAAACGCCTGCAACACTAGGAAAGTCACGTGCGCGTTGCCGTTATTGCTTAATATATCCTTTTTAAAAACCTCATACTGTAGTCTCTAGGGAAAGCTTCGGCAGGGAGCTCATTTCACAGCCTGAGCGTTCGCGGGAGAGAATTCCTTTGAAACCGCACTGCTTTTGGCTAAATAACTGTTAATATCCTATGACGAGGTTATGTCTTATTAATGTAGTCATTTAAATAAAAAAAACTAGAACTAAATCATATATTATAAATACTAGTAATGGATGAATGGATGAAATAATAGAATATATGTTATAAACTTGAAAATAAATATATAATTCGTTTTTATTCTAGGCACGCAGAAGTAATGAAGAAAATAATAGAAACAGTAACGGAGAGCGGCGGCGAGATGGGCGTGTACTCGTATCTCATAGTGTTCCTCAAGTTTGTACAGACTGTCATCCCGACCATAGAGTACGACTTCACACAGAACTTCTCCATCAACTAGGCACTCTGATACGAGTAATGTATTCTGTGAACTAGACATTACTTTCGGCCCACTGATTATGTATGTTGCTCATTATTTTTGATATGGTCTGTATTATCTAAAAGTCATTAGCGAGCAAACAGTAATAGGCTATGGTGCTGCCTCTACAAAGCGATTTAGGAACTAATTATTGTTGTGAACTAATTCTATTTGTTGCCATTCGATCGCTATTACTGTTTGTCAAATAAAAGTGTATCTAATTGATTCAGCAATTAGGAAGCAATTGCACAAAATATCTTTATTTTTTTACAACTTGTTACCAGCCACGAAGTAATCGCGGAGTGTTTGTTAAAAATTGATTACCTAAATCAGCCTGCGAATTTAGTTTCGTGTAAATGGGGCGTAGCTTGGTGGATTTTCCCTCCAAATTTTGACGGCTGGTGATTGTGTGGGTGCTTTTTGAGACGGTTCATGTCTCTCTGCGATTATAAGGGATTTATCATCAATGGTATCTATATTGTATAGTCCAAAAATAATTAGTGATGTTCTAATTAGAAGTGGGTACGAGAATCGGTGCCATTCCTACAAACACCAAATTATTACAGCTTTGTACATTTGTTGTAAGTATCGCTCTTATGAATATCGCATTTTATAAGTGTAGTAGTTTTTTTTATTATTGCATATAGTTTTTAAGTGTCTGATTAATGCTTTAATCATAACTCGATGGTGTGAGAGGTAAAAATGTCCGATACTTGATATAAAAAAAAAATTCTTATCTGCCAATGTGCAACAAATAAGAAAATAACTTTTAAAAATTGTTTTTGAAACTGACATTTAAAAAAAGGTATTTTTTTTTTCATTTTGATTTTAGCCAATTTTTGAACGGAATTTATTATAATGTTATTTATAAAACGCCATCCATTTGAGTTTTGTTATCGAATTTCATTTATGTACTCGTATTATGATAGCTTAAAATACAAGTATTTTTATTCCATTATTTGTCATGAAATTTTGTTTTAGTACAATTTAATTTTAAATAGGTAGGTACTTGAAGTTCGCCATAAGGTATCATTGGGCATTTTGGTCCTGGTCCACATGGCAGCGAAACCTTGGCACCTTGAAATTGGCTTGTGGAAGCATTAGCAGTGAATTTAGTCGTGACAAAGACTTGCTGACGATGTTAGACTGCCGCGTGAACTTTGTTATCTGAACTAACTTTGAACTAAATTGTGTTTATTTGAATTGTAAGAACAGTAACGGGTTGCCATGTGATTGCCGCTAGTGATACCTACATAATCCCCCCCCCCCCCCCGCGCCCCAATAACGTGGTACCCTTTAACGCGTTTTCGTACGTTTTCGTTTTCGAATTGAACATTCTATTAAAAAAAATATCAGTTGAACGTTATTTATTTGAAATTAACTGTTTTTTAGTTACATATGCATAACTTTTTTTGTTTAAAATGTTCTATATTTTAATAAAACATACACATTTCGTTCATAACATAATTTTTTTCTTAATATTCGATTTAAACCTGTTTTAATGAGAAGAGTTAAACGTAAATCATTTGTACATAACGCGTTATACGGGGTCGTACAAGCGCGTTATATGGTCATACAAGAGCGTTATACGGAGTCGTACAAGCGCGTTATATGGTCATACAAGAGCGTTATATAGGGTCGTACAAGCTCATTATGTGGTCGTAAAAGCGCGTTTTGTGGTCGTAAAAGTGCGTTTTGTGGTCGTAAAAGCGCGTTTTGTGGTCGTAAAAGCGCGTTTTGTGGTCGTACAAGCGCGTTATACGGGCTCGTACAAGTGCGTAGTACGAGAATACTCGTACAATACGTTCTATAACGCGAAACGAATCTACCGTGTTATAGGGGACATTACTGTATAATGTACAGTAAAAGATAGGTATCAATGCTGTCTCACTAACGCAATCTGCATTAGAAATAATCGATTACAGATGGCAGCTGATTAACATAGCTACCACCACGGTTAGCTACCTTTTAAATGCACGTTATAAGTGTTGTATAAATATTGTTTGTTACATCTGCTTCCAGTTAATACGATGTGCAATTTTTTATTTATATATAAGATAATGTGGCTTAACCAACTTTTATATTTATATTACGATTTTAGTTTAAAATTCAATAATTATTATGAATTTTTAATATAATGATATAAGTTAAAGACTGCCGTACAAAATGTTTTGGGAGCATTCCTAAACTAACGGCCGGAACGTGAATTGAGGAGGTGGTAACACACCTTTACACATTTTATGGACTAGATATTTACTGTGATTATTTAGTGGTAGCCATGATGCTATTCGCGTCTATACACGACGGTTACCATTTTCCATCAGGCGGGCCGTCAGCTTGTCACCTGAAAATACTGTGTGAAAATATATCACAGGAAAATGATGATGTTAGAGATATTGTCGTATTATTGTAATTTTTAGCAAGATGTCTTAATTAATTGACAGCTTCCCTTATTTTGCGAGATCCCTAATATTCTCATTTCCCTGCAATGCTCTCAAATGGCCTCAGTTTACGTTCCAGTCGTTTTAAGTTAAATATAAAAAAAATGATATTTTTTAAGGCTCATTTCTGAATCATTAGGTTGTTTTTTGTTTATATTAGAAATGTAGATATTTTGTTTCTTAAGTTATGGTTATGTATAATATTCTAATATGTAAAATAACAGAGCTATGTTACTACAAGCTATCATGCGATGTGTTTATTATGTTTTTTTTTAAGTTATTTTGGTATAAAACATTTTACTACATTTTTGTGTTATTATTCGAACATTCGTTTTTCTTCTGTGTTCATTCCCATTCATGTTTCTACCGTGAAGCAGTTGTGTTTCGGTTTAAAGGGTGGGATATGACGTGAATTTACAAGGTACAGAGGAATAACACCTGAGTGCTCAGAAATGGCAACGCATGGGGGGGTATCATGGGCGAAACAGTATACTCTGTTATGTCCACGGTACTGCTCATGTCTATAGGCGACGGTTACCACTTTCCATCAGGTGGACCGTCAGCTTGTTTGCCATTCTAAGTTGTATAAAAAAATTCCAAAGGCCTGTTTAACTAAACCGCCTTTAGAGGAAGAAGAAATTAAAGCATTTTAATTGTATGGATTTAAACTCTGCTAAATCCAGTCTTATATACCACTATGATTACATAAACATTATTTCAACCATCTCTTATGGTCACACTTTGTACAACATAAAATGACAAATAAGCGGCTCATCTGATAGTAAGTGGAAACCGTCACCTATAGACATGAACAGTACCATAGACATAACATAGTATACTTTGTCATCCATGATACCTACCCTTCATGCATTGCAATTCCTGATGACTAAGGTGTTATATTTCTGTAATTCTGTACCTTGTAATTTCATTGCCATATCCCAACCTTCAAACTGAAACACAGCCATGCAAACAACTGCTTCACTGCAGAAACACGAATGCGACAGAGTTACCCAAGCAGATTACTTTTTTATAAAGTCGATTGGCAATATGGCTCTTTTTTTTGTAGCACCTTAACTACCTATCTTAGTACTGCAGTTTTTTTATAGGTGATAATGGAACGGTAACTCCGCCTGCGCTAATGGTATACGCTGACGCGGCACCAGTGAGGAATGATAGGCGAGATAAAAAAGGAAAGTCAATTAAACTCAATAGTGATGAATACATTAGGAATTTAGCAACGATGGTTTCCAGAAGGGAACCACGTAGAGGTCGACCTGACAGGCTCTTTAAGGATGATAATGGAATAGTAACCCCGCCTGCGCTATCGGTATACACTGGCGGGGCACCAGTGAGGGATGATAGGTGAGGATGAAGCAGGTCAGTTAGTCCATTGTGACGAATTCGACAAGAATTAACCACGATGGTTTCCAGGGGGAACCACGTGGAGGTCGACCTGACAGGGGTGACAGGGCCATCAATAACTATCCCTTTCCCCCCCGACCTGACAGGCTATATTACTAGCAATGGGACTGATAGTCCGCATTACTAACAATCTCTTTCCTGTTACTGTAGCAAAACGCTGGCGAAGTCGCAGGAGACGACTAGTATGGATGTAAATCAAACTAAATAATGTCCCATATTTATTTATTCATTATATATCGCATTCATTATGTACAGCCACCATGGTTTATAATAAAATATACACAATACCAGTACACACGGTGTAAGAAGCCCGCTATGTCCAACATTTACACTAATTTACAAAATAATACACTCTACTACGCAACACAAATGGAATCTTGCTCTAAGGATATTGTACATAAAACTTGATAACTTCAAATGCTCAATTAGAGAGCTACCTTGAAGTCATCTATATGAATTAAACAGCTGCGTTTATTGTAAATATTGGATTTTACAAATTAAAAAGTAATTAAATTACACATTTAATAAAATTATAATATTTTATGAGAACTTATTTTAATATTTACATTTGTCGATTGCAAAATGTATATGTATATGTCATAAGCAAAACTCATAACAAAAATTAATTGGACTACAAGAGACTGTTATAACTATATAGTTGGAATATTGAACGCTATGTATGCAAGTACTACAAAAATTGGAATCTACATAACTGTAATATGTAAATTGAATTTACAACATCCTATCATTTCGACTCCAACGTAGTAACATTTTCTGGATAGAGTTTAAAAAGTGCTTAATCTGATATATCACTGAATTACTCAATACATATTATAATTTTAAATACCATTTTTTTATACCACAAACGTGGCAAAAACAAATATACAGCCTGTCTGATAGTAAGCGGTCACTGTAACCTATGGACGCCTGCAACACTGGTGATGTCACGTGGGCGTTGCCGACTCTAAAGAAATCTTAATATATCCTTTTCGAAGAACCCCATACTGTAGACTCTAGAGACTAGGGAAAACCTTCACAGGGAGTTCATTCCACAGCCTGAGTATTCGCAGGAGAAAATTTCATAAGGAAAAGTAGCCGAACAGGTATATTGTACACTAAATTGTTTAAAATATTTATTTTGGCCATAAGAGAAATTTATACAGACTTTTACTATATATATATATATATATATATATATATATATATATATATATATATATATATATATATATATATATATATATATATATTAATTACCAGAGTAGTGATCTATCAGATTTTACAATAAATTTTACACTAAGCACAGTCACAGTGGGACTGATTCTTTAGGCGCTATTTCTCTAAACCTGTCTAAAAATAATATTTCAATTTGATATCACATCATTATCATCTCAGCCATTATCTGGCCACTGCTGTCCCCCCCCCATTCGTGTTTCAACATCCACTGACTCCCTGCAATGCATTTGTTGTTTTTAGTGCATGGCTGTTGGCAGTTCTTCGAGCTATGTGACCAGCCCATTGCCACTTCAGCTTGCCTATCCTTATATCTAATGATATCACAACGAACTTCGTATTCTAACTTTATGACAATCCATAAAACATCGAAATTATCAAAATTTTAATAATGAGTTAAGAGATACATTTAGAGAGATAACGCCTCGGAATCGATCCCAGTGACTATGTTGCGGTCAAAACCCTTAACCAGTCAAAAGTACTATTGACTAGCAAAATCAGTTAAAAGTACTTTTGTCCGAACAGGTTGGTCAAAAGTGGTTTTGACGGTTATTACTGCAAATTTGCAGTATACTCTGTTATGTCCATGGTACTCAAAAGTACTTTTGACTGATTTTGCTATAGGCGACGGTTTTGCCTGCACCACTTTCCATCAGGCGCACAGTGGGCCGTCATATAAACACTTCCAATAATAATCACAGTTTCCATCCTGGAACAAACCCTATTCTAAGTTTTGTAAAAACGCTAAAAAAAAAAATATTACCGAGTAATGTAGTGATCTATCAGATTTTACAATAAATTTTACACTGATAGCACAGTCACACATTGTTTTTATTAATTAATTCTGCCCTTTTTTGGACTTTGATTCTTTTTTTATCTTCGATAGAAGCTATAAATTCTCTAATTAAAATTCAACTGTCTAAAAAAATAATATTATAATTACAATAAATAATTAAAATGATATCACACACATTATCAAATATCACTACAGATAAGGTATACATGAGAATATAAAAAAAAAAAATACAAAAGTAGTTTAAACATTTAAATAAATTATATTAAAAATGATAATGGTATTCATTAAAAATTGTACTTACATTGCCAATGCCTTATATATTAAATTATAATTCATCATTCATCCAGTATTGAATTGGTCATTAATTAATTTGATTTATAATAGATATTATATTTATTAGAGGATTAATCATTTCCTTAAACAAGCAACAAGACACATACTTCTCCTTGATTGCAGACAAATAGTTACATTCTATCCTGTTCTTTATATAGTACAGTGTAGATATATATCCCTTTCAGACCCAAGATTTTTTTTCTTTCACATTAAATATTTTCGTGTTTTGGAGTCAAGCCACCTTGCCGGCACGCACGAGACTACTGCACCACCTAACCGCTAAAATGATTTCCTATTGGCTGGTTTAGAATCTCACTATCATGTTATTTCAGCTTCGTGCGTAAAAATGAATTGTGGGCGGTTTTAGAATTTTTTTAAAGTTACAACTCACGCCCGTATCGTTCAGGTCTGAAAGGGATATATATATATATATATATATATGCAAGCCTAGGGTGTCTTGTTAACGCTCGTGTAACAACAATTCATTAAAACAACATATGTTTATAGAATTAAATAATTTTCTTCTTTATTCCTAAAACCATAAGACCTCTTTTAACTATTAGCGCGCGTCATTGTCCTTCAAATGTAGCTCGAAAGAGATGACGCATTAGGCTTATGAATTTTAACACTATTATAAATAGGTTGAATATATATATATATATATATATATATATATATATATATATATATATATATATATATATATATATATATATATATATATATTTAAGAAACGATTCATTTTAACGTTCTTATTATTATTTCTATACTTATGGACTGTTTACATTCTGTTAATCAATAAATTTCGCTACATTTTAATAATTTCCTTTCATAAATATCGAATCGAATTACTAGTCGTATAATTTTTAAATTATTTAATCGAATTCGTAGAAGAATAATATGTTGCCACCAAGAAGGCTATATCCAAAAAGAGATATATTTTTTACAGTGTATGTTTGTAAATTATGCTGGTTCTTGTTATATAATTTTATTATTTATTATATTATATAACAAGAACAAGCATATTTTACAAACATAAATTGGTGGTCCTTCGAACCGGATATGAACCAGCGACTCCGGCTCGAAGGACCACTAATTATAGTATTGTATGTATTTTTGTTTTTATTTCAATTGTTTTATCAATTCTTTTTATAAAAAAAAAAAAACAATTGTCAAAGTATATAAAAAGGTTAATTTTGAACAGTGTGTCTTATTTACGCCCTAATCGTCAATTGATAGAAACATATGGTAAACAATGGCGGTTTATTCGTCTCGTTTACATTTAGAAGTGATTTCTTTTAAGGATATATATTTAATACTTAAATATAATAGAATAGATGCCATTTATTGGCAGAAAAACATAATTATAACAGAAAATAAGAACAAGAAGTGTCTCATATTAGGCAAAAGGAACGGGCTCAGCTGAAGCAGTAAGCGTCCCAGCGCAATGTGAACAGCTGCACAGCGCTGCAGCTACTGGTTTTCTCTTAACATAATACAATAAAAATGCAAGGTACAATTGTAATTTAAGAATTTATCTTCCATTTGGTTAGAAGCTTCTTGGTTGCAACATAACTAAACATTATCTGACGGAAACTGGAAGTGACTTAATCAATGGCAGATATCATATAATAATTCCTCACCTTTTTTATTTCTTCATGTATCTACACACATTCTCGTATGTACGACGGTTCAAATCTCAAGAAAATATACTCGAATCATACTAGAATCCATTTCGCATAACCCGTCCGAGTTTAATAGGTCTCTTGCAGTGAGGACGTAATATTAATGGACTAGTACATTTTCATCGGCGGGTTATACGAAATAATAAATTATAATTAATGGAAAGCTAATAAATAGCTTTAGGTCTGTTATTATTTCTCAAATAGTTGGTATTATGTACACTGGTCTAATTAGGGTTTCCTTTCCTTCCTAACGGCAGTGTGCAAGCTTGTCAATGTCTTTAAACATCCGATCTCAATAAAAAACCAATGACAGTTAATATTCTAGGAGGAGACCAGTTTTTGAGGGTGGGAAGTACCCAGCTGGCCTTTATAGCTACGTACTGGTTCTGAATGCTGGTTACCTGAAAAGTGCAGCTGGGAGGTAGGTTACTCGTGCGGCACGATGGTGACGAGCCGCAGCAGCACCAGCGAGAGGATCTTGTCGAGGGGGTCGAGGGTGCCGCGCTGCAGCCACTTGGGAATGGTGGTGCGCGCGTGGCTGAAGCCCAGCTTCTGCAGGATGTAGTCCACGCCGTACGGCTCGATCGACTTGCCCGCCCACGATAGTAATCTGCCAATATACAATTTGCTTCAAATATGTTTTTATTTTTATTTAAGAGTTTCCTCTTGTCGATGCAACTAACTCATGTATCTTCTTCCAGACAGTTCTATCCCAGGCCATATCTTTGGTATTCCTCAAATATGGTGGTCATAGCTAATTTTAAAGTTTCCCATTGTTCACTCATATTTTAAATATACAATCGGAACTTAATGCGAATCTAAATACAATCCATGTTAAAATGTCGGCAACAAAGAAGCAGGTATGTAAGTACTATTTACCTGTAAGTGTTTTATCATCGCGTTGAGTCTCGATTGTGTATTTTAAATATATGGTAATCATATCCCAAGTTGAAATAAGATGCATTCGAGTTTTTTTACCCAATTTTTTTTTTATATATACAATTAAGTAAATAAATTTGCAAATTATATTTTCGAATATGCACAAAAAGAAAAAAAATTGCGATACGAAGTCTAGTATACTATCTATCTATCCTATTTAAGAGCTGCGCTCTTGTCGGTGGAGCTCTTGCCACTCACTACGATTTCCAGCGAGTCTCTTCACCTCTTGATACGACACGACACCAACTCCTTCCTTGATCTGCCCGATGTAACTATGCCTCGGTCTCCCTCTTCCCCTCCTTCCTTCTATCTTACCTTCTATTATAATGTTCATAAGTTCGTCGTGTCGTATCAAGTGTCCCAATATTTTTCCCCCTCTGTCCTCAATAGTTCTAAAAATTTGTCTTTTTTCCTTAACCCTAAGCAAGACCTCCTCATTACTAATTCGATCCCTCCAGCTAATTTTCTCCATTCTTCTCCAGCACCACATTTCAAAGGCTCTAAGTTTATCCATTTCCTTCTGAGTTAATGTCCACGTCTCACATCCATACAAAGTATAGTATATCTATCTATATACTAAATTTCATACAAACATATTCAGCCGTTTAAACATGATAAAATCATTTTAAACTGAGTAAAATTAATATTTTAAATATTTCTTTAGTAGCTAATACCAACTATGATTGCTTAATAAATAAGTTTGTATAAATAACGCGGTTAGAATGACGGTGACGGTGATACCTGACGGTGGGCTCCAGGTGCCAGGTGACGCAGCGGTAGTCGCGGTAGTCCTGCACCAGCGCCTCGCCGCCGCCGCCCGGCACGCCGCCGCCGCCCCGCGCCGCCCGGCTCGACCCGTTACCGCTTCCTTCGCCCCACGCGCCCCGCCCACCACTCGGCATCTAATTAACGAGGTAGAGGAGAAAGGAATTGTTAGTAATAAGACCTAACAGGCTCATTACTAGCAATATATCCTGTCAGATCAACCTCCACGCGGTTCCCCCTGGAAACTATCGTGATTAATTTTTGATGAATTCATCACGATGGGCTAATTGACCTGCCTTTTCATCTTCACCTATCATCTCTCACTGGTGCTATATACCGCATACCGTTAACACAGCGGGGTTACCATTTCATTGTTATCCATTAATTAAGAATGTATACGTATACAGTGTAAGACTAGAATTTCATTCTGGTTTCGTTGTTCGTGATTTTATTCAGGTTACTTCCCACGATCTGTATACAATTTATTTCCTATAAAAACTGACTTTATTTTAACGAAAATAATAAAAAATGTAAACCATATCAATAAAAGAAATAAAAATTAAATACATTGTGTCAAATGCACACAAAATATAGTCAAATCAGAAATTGAAAGCAATTGGAATATAAATGAATAATTATAAAATGTGAACTCTGATTATATAGATTGATAGATAAATATACATTTTATTTGCATTACTTACAGCATATAAATAACAGACTTAGATAGACATTCTCAATAAAAAAGATAAAATATATATAAATATATATATATATATATATATATATATATATATATATATATTCTTTTATAGATTTATATATATTCTTTTGTTAAGAAATTTCGAGGTTGGCTTTTGGCCATAACAAAATGTAAGTGTTTTGTTTTGAGGGCAAAGCAATAAACTGAGTTGCGAGCATTTTGTGTTACTGTAAGTGGAAATTTTTTCCACTATTTCTTTTATGCAATTTCCTTCTTTTTGTATATGTATTTCTTTGTCTCTTTTTTTTTATGTATATATATATATGTATGTCTATATACTCGTATGTTGTTATTTGTGTGCTGTAAGTAATGCAAATAATATATATATCTAAATGAAAATCAATACTTACGACTCTGTCTTTTTCTTTGATATAGGAAGATATGAGATCGTGCAAGAACAGGAACGCCTCCGCGTCCACCGACACGAATATGTGGTCCTCGAATTCCGTTATAAAGCTGCACTCAACCACTGGTTTCTCATCTGGAAAGCAATTTTTTTATTTATTAATTACTAGCGGCCCGGTACGTGCTTCGCTACGTATAAAGTGAAATAATAAAATTAAAAAAAATTAACATCAATATCGCTGATAATTTGCTTTAATTGAAGCATGTCCAAAATTAAATGACCGCACGAGTGACATAACAACATGCTTGTACTGTCAACACTGAAAAAAGTTTCCATTTGACAGCACAATGCCCATCTTAAAAAGAGTTTGAACTTGACACAAAAATCGTCATTAACAAAATGATCCGCCATTTATTGAATTCATTTGTTACAAAAAGTGTGATATATGAAGAACTGCTCGACCGATTTTGTGCAAACTTCACATAAACCATCTACTAAATAGTCCTAACAAAGCCTAAACATTTGGTTGGGATAGGTGAGCCCGTTCTTGAGTTATAAAATTACAACGAAAAGTGGCATTAATTTATATATATATATATATATATATATATATATATATATATATATATATATATATATATATATATATATATATATATATATATATATATATTTATTGGTTATCAATAAATATTGTGACATTTATCGTGCTCAATTTTAATATAATATAATGGTTATCATTATTTAAAACAAGTGAAAACGTGATCAAATGCGCTCAAATATCATAATAAAGTTGTACCTATTGTTTATAGCTAAACATAAAGACATTTCTGTGTTTTGCTAGAAAGTATGTGAGCGCTAATTGACGAATGCACCTTATTAGGACTGACCTAAGATGGTGCATTCCATCAACTCCCTGAAATAATTTTAAAGTCGCCACATTATCACCACGTAATGTAATAAGTGATCACACTAAACAATCTTTATTTATTTCAGTTTAAATAAAATAAAATTATTTTAGCTTCTTAATTCTCCTTTTTTTTTTCTTTTTTTTATACAACTTAGAACGGCAAACAAGCTGACGGTCCACCTGATGGAAGTGGTAACCGTCGCCTATAGACATGAGCAGTACCATGGACATAACAGAGTATACTGTTTCGCCCATGATACCGCCCATGCGTTGCCATTCCTGAGGACTCAGGTGTTATTCCTAAGTACCCTGTAAATTCACGCCATATCCCACCCTTCAAACCGAAACACAGCCATGTCCTTACTATATAGATCTTTTTAATTTTTTAGAATTTTTTAGTTTGTAGATTTTTTAATAATTTTGTAAAATACTAATTACTAATTAATTAATTAATTCGATGTGTCAGAACAAAACTACCAATAGTACTAGGCGAGCAGAAGCTTACAGAAAGTATACTTGGTGGACATTCCCTACGCCTAGGTATTACTTCCTGCAGAGTTCTGGTCGCCTGGTAGATGCGGCGCGGGTGCACGTACCGCGCTCGGTGGGCGCGGCGCGGCGCTGCTTGTGCTGCGTGCGCAGGTGCAGCTGCAGGCTGGGCAGCGCGAAGATCACCTCGCGCACGTGCTTGTCGCTCTTGTCGGCGCCCTTGCCGCCGCCGCCGCCGCCGCCGCCGCCTCCGCCGCCGGCCGCGGACCCGGCGGCGGCCGCGCGGTCGCCGCGGTCGCGCTCGGTGCTGCCGGTGTTGCCGCCGCCGGTGCCCTCGCGCTCCAGCGACGGGAACATCTCGATCGCTGATAAATCGAATGCCCAAGTTATAAAAAAAAACGGTACTAAGATGACTTTGTTCGCGTGCGTCATATAAGTGTGTATACTGGAATATTACCTATCTGCATAGGAAATTTCATTTAAATCCGTTCAGTCATTTGTAATCGAGTAAGTTACACCTCATATATTTATATATAAACACATTTATACTATAATCCATGTCTCGAGTCTACCTCGAGATATAAGATCCACATCTCGAGATAAATTACCAACGCGACTAATCTCATCAAAACGGCCACACAGAAATCTATTATGGATCGCTCTTACTCGGCTCTGAATAAAAAAACACAAACCATAGAAAAACAGAGACCCATTGCGAGGACTTCAATCGCAAAGAGCCTCATCGACAATCCACAAAATTTAAAGAAGACTCGACTCTCATTAATCTAGTGTTTTTTTCTTTATTTTATTTTTAATTTTTTTTTTGTGTTTAGTGTAAATATATATATATTTATTTATTTCTCTCACAAAATAACAACGTATTAAAATACAATCGTGAAAGTCACGATCACTCCGTTAAGAGCATACGACTAAAGAGAGATTAATAAGACACGCGAGCTAATGTCTTGTCAAAAGTGACAGCAGAGTGGAAAAGAAACAACAGGAAAGCTGCCTCTGGCTATAGCCGAATTGGAGCTGGGCTGAAATGAAACCAACGGCATCAAATTCAATATAAGATTATCTCTAATTGTTTATCGTTTTTGAAACAGCATGGCTCACCGTCAATCTCGCTGTTGGCGAATGCATACTGGAACCATTCGCGCAGCGTCTTGAACTGTGGCGGGAATAGTAGGGCTCGGGTCATGCGGCACACGGTAGCCATCGACTGGTGGCCGCCGGAGCCTCCAGCCGAGCCAGCGGAGCCCCCGGAGCCGCCCAGGCTGGCCGTCAGGCTCTGCACCACGTGCACGTCCAGCGACCCCGGCCGGCAACCTTCTGCTTTTGAAGTTGTAAAAAAAAAACACAAATATATTGTAAAATATAAAGAAACATGGTCCGTTTTGGGTTTAAACCGTTGTACAGATATTACAAGTAATTTGTAAAATACAAAAGGATTATTGGAAATATTGAATAAAACTAATTTATTAAGTAGTTTATTGATTTTCGATTAATCAGTTTCGTTACTTCCAAGGAATATTATATGTATGACATGTGCTATAAATAAAAATGTGAACATATAAAATATATGTAATTATTTATTAAAATATAAACCATTCAAATGGTCTTATTAAATTACATAAAAAATATAAATTTCCAAACGAAAATGACAAAAGTAAAATATTTGACAATGTATTTCATACATTATTTAAAAAATCTAATTAATAATATTTCATATTATTAAATTATAAAAAAAAACCTCTTGTTGTTACTTAATAAAATATTCAGTGAACATACCTTCCTCGTCAGCGACCTGCTGCGCCTCGGTGGAGAAGCTGATGCAGGGGTCCTTGAGGCTGAACAGCGCCCACGACTTGGCCTTGAAGCTAGTGCCGTGGAAGCACGCCAGCGAGATGTTCGTGCCGTGCAGCTCCATCGTGCCGCCCACCACGGTTCCTATGGAAAAAGTAAAATTTCAAATGGTTTTTTTTTTAATGGCAATGTAAAATTAATGGAAAACAATAACTTATATTGAAAATGGAACGAGAAACAGACAAAATAAAAATTTCATTCTTTTTGAAATTGATTGGATATAAATATAATAATATTAACCTTGGAACTTTCCACGTTGAACAGTTTCTGGTTTAAGAGAGATGATAATTCACGTAATTATTTAAATATTATAAACTTCAGTTTCAACCACATAACACTGGCCGTAGCATATTTTTTTATATCATTGAAGTAGTAAACAATCATACAGCCCACCTAATGGTAAGTCTTTATCCCTTTTTTTGAAGAACCCCACGTGGTAGTTTCTTGGAAAATTCTTTATCTAAACGATAATTCGCATGTGACAATCCTAGTAGTAGAGGCGGTAGTGGCGCGTAGTTACCGTTGGCGGGCAGCGGCGTGGGCAGCGAGGCGAGCCGCAGGCCGGACACCAGCTGCAGCACGCGCTGCCAGTGCCGGTGGTGGCGCAGCTCGCCGCCGCCGCCAGCAGCAGCACCAGCAGCGCCAGCGCCCGCCGCCGCCTCGCTCGCGCCCGGCTGCGGCGCCGCTGCAACGCAACATTACAATTAGTAATACCACACCCCGAAAGAAACTTTCTTGAGTGAGGACTCCATACGGGCAAACGCAATGTAGAATGACTCCCCTCCCCCTTCCCACTAGATGCATTGCCGGGAGTCAGTGGAAGCAGGTGGCTCAGGACCAGTGTTTCCCAACCTTTATTGTGCTATGCCCCACTTGAACATTTCTAAAATTTTTATGCCGCCCTACATAATTTTCCTGACAAAGTTTACTTGACGACTCTAATCGCCCAGTTGATATTTTGGTAACGTCAAACGAAATTATACGTAATAAAAATTTACAGCATTTTTTAAAATTTATTTTTTATGTTAAATTTGTCACCAATATCTACTTCTAGCATTGTATTTAAATGGCCTGAAGCAACAGAGAAAAAATCGCTTCGAGTCCATTTTTTAATTGCCCCCTTGTGGGGCGTGAGCCCCACGTTGGGAAACACCGATCAGGACCGTTCCTTATGGCAGTTATGGGGAAGGCCTATGTCTAGCAGTGGACGGATAATGGCTAAAATGATGATGATCATCATCATCATCACACCTCGGACACACAAAAACGCCACGATCCGTGCTTATCACAACTACAGAAACAAGTAACGTCCGTACAGGTCCGTAATATGTGCGTCCGTAATTAGAATTAGCGCGGAAAAAAATTGGGTATTGACGCATATTTCGTCATAGTCGTAGAATACTGACGGATCTATATATGTAATCTTTGTCAGATCCGTCAGTATTCTACGACTATGACGTTTTGAGAGGGGGTGAAGTCAAATCGCAGCGCGCAGTAGCGAATATTCATACCTGTATTTTAGTACTTATACTATGGTAATAATTTGTTACCGTGTGGTCCCGGCATAGAATAAGTCACCTTTCCTTTTTTATGAGTGTCATAAGTAGCAACTAAGGGAACCTAATAAGGGCAGCAGCATCCCTCTTAAAACATCTCCAAAGCTTAACTGCGGTTGGCAACCCGCCGGTTCCAAGCAAAACATCTACTAGCAAAATCTGCCTTATAGGGCAGGCTTTTTTTAACGTCTGGAAAATGGTGTACGCAGACCCCGTAAGGCGGAGGTGTACCCACCAAAAACCAGACAATATACTTTCGAGGTGCCATATGTCGAAGACATGGGTTCGCTTTCGCACTCACCACATCTCCGACGGTAGCGACCCGTCCCTAGATAATAAGAGCAGGTCTCCTCTCTCAAAAGAGGGTGGCTGGCGTGCTCACCCTACCACTCAGGGGGACGCGCCGGTATATTAGCACTTCCCCCAGGATTATGGGGCAGGCCTATGTTCAGCAATGGACAATTAACGGCTGGTATGATGACGATGCTTTGAAATAAACCTGCATATTTTAACACTTACGTTCTCTTTTGTCTCGCCTCGCGTTGCTATAGTTCGGGTGCAGTGAACTGAACACCCGTTTGCTAGACTTGAACTGCTGCGTGAAGAACTCCTCCAGCTTGAGCTGCATCTTCAGTAGATCGGGTGTGGTGCTGCGGCTCATCAGAATCTGAAGCTGGTGCCAGCTCAGTGTGCCGTGCGTCAGAATTATCGCCGGTCTGAAAACGAATTATTATTTTTAAACAACGATGCCGAATTTATTGTAGTAATTGTGATGTTAATGATGATGCGCCGTCACACATTATGCTTCTTCTTTCCAGTTTTTTGTCGGTTCAACTAATTCATGTATTCTCTTCCAGTCAGCTTTATCCCAGGTCATATCTTTGACCTCTCTATACGACATGACACCTAGTGTTTGACTTAATTGTACGACGTAACTTCTAGTATTTCATCTCCCTATACGACATGGCATCTAGTGTTTGACCTCTCTATACGACATGACATCTAGTATTTGGCTTCCCTATATGACATGTTACCTAGTGTTTGACTTCACTATACGACATCACACTTAGTGTTTGACCTCCCTATATGACATGACACCTAGTGTTTGATCTCCTTAAACGACATGACATCTAGTGTTTAGCTTCTCTGTGCGGCATGACACCTAGTGTTTCCTTTATCTGTCCCATGTAGTTGACTCATTATGCTACAGTATAAAAATTAATCTAAAAGTATAAATGTGGATTGAAACACGATGTAGTAATAAAAATTGAAAAGAGTGTGTTGCACTAGTTTGGTCATTTGGAGAGGATGGATCAAAGAAGAATATACGAAAGAGATTTATCGAACAAGAATGAAGTTAGGAGCCGCTCTAGACGGATGTATGCTGACCAAATAGGCGACGTACTGAAGAAGGGCCAAATTAAAAACATTTGTAACCAGCGAGCGCGTATGAATGGATAGTAGAATGTAAGCATGGTAGCACCTGGCGGCGCCGGCCAGCCAGCGGTCGCGCAGCGCCTGCCGCAGGCGCGACACGCGCGCCAGCAGCACGGGCGTGCCCATGTACTCCAGCCGCAGCTCCAGCGCCGCCAGCCGCACGCCGCACACGTGGCCCGGCCAGCAGCCCGGCTCCTCCGAGATGTACACTGCCGCCACACACACATATACATATATATTACTTCAATTAACATATTATTAAAAAAAAACTCCCTAAAATCAAACTTAAAACTTTAAAAATATTTATATGTGCATTCATTCATTTAACATACACTGGCCGGTAAGATCATGTGTTCTAAATTTGAAATTAAAAAAATCTCCTAAAAATATATTCCAGTTTGTTTCAAGCATAACGTTTCGAGTGCATGAGGCACACGAGCGGTAAGATAAAGGACTTTCAAAACATTGGCAAGTTTTCTAGCTCTTTAAACAACACATGCACAAATTGGACATGTTTTTGCCAATTTTTTTTATTGGATAAAAATGGGACAGTATCTTCGCCCGTATTATCGGCATACGCTGAAGATTCAGCAGTGAAGGATGATAGGTGAAGATAAAGCAGCCAGTTGCAACATGAATTCAACATGATAGATCTTCATAATGAATTCATTAAAAATTAACAGGAGGTTTTCAGGAAGCATCCATGTAGAGGTCGACCTGTAGAAGTATATAACTAATACTCTACTCCTCACTGTCTATTTGCTATTGCTATTGGTGACGGGCAGCACGGTATAACCTATAGAGGCGTACCGTAGGTGTCGATGGAGGCGAGCGAGATGGCGCCGCCGACGATGCCGGCGCGCGCGTCCAGCGACGAGCCGGCCAGCGCCACGCCCACCAGCATGTTGCGGTGCCCGGTGCTGCCGATGCTCAGCCGCCCCGTGCAGTTGAAGTCGCGGCTCTGCCAGCTGCCACGCATAAAATGGTATAATGTAGCCGCGTAGATCCCGGCGTAGACTAGGCCACGCCTTCCTTTCCCGTAGGTGTCGTAAGAGGCGACTAAGGGAGATTGTGGTGGAGGGATGGGCAGCAGCGTGAACTCAAAAACTGGCAAAACTCCCTTATAGGAGAGGATATGTTTAGCAGTGGACAAGTAACATTTGATACAACAATGATATAACCTGGCATGGCATCATAACGGTATACAATAGTGAGGTATAGAGACCTGACGTTGCCCATGACGTTGCCCATGTTCATGTGCACATTGAGCCGCGTGAAGTTGACTGCGAACAGCACCAACGTCTCCCACGCCGCGCCCACCGTCGCAGGCTCCTTGTTATCTGCGGAATAATGTTACTTTTTTTTTAATTCTTAATACAAAAATCAACAGCTCTTAAAAAAAAATAACTTATGTAGTATGCCTCTTATAAATACGGCCAATAACGGATAAACGAAAATTATAATTGTAAAGCAAAGTAGGTAAGTTAGAGTGGCTGTATGTAAGTAATGTATGAAAGAAACTGTAACAAATGAGTGTCCATAAAGTCAAGTTGATTAATATATAAATAAAATAAAATCTATGTTGCTGCAGTTCAGACATCCACAGGGGTAGTTGGGTAGGGTAGTGTACATTTAGAGTTACATATAAATTTAATAGATAAGAAGTATAACATGATGTATAATATTTCAGCATCTGAACGGTTTCGTATAATTTTTATTTATTTATTCATTATTAGTACAAATATGTGTACATGGCGGACTTAATGCTAAAAGCATTCTCTCTCAGTCAACTAATAGGGAAGTGTCAGAATACTCAAATGCGGTACTACTAATTATTGATATACATACATACTAAAATTACATATATAAACGAATAAATATATATAAATAACAAATATACTTATATAACATATACTATATTATGCACGAAATTGAGAACAATATAAAGCACTTACTGCTCGGATAAAGATAAAAAGTGAGCGTGAACGCTTTTTTTGAAAGATGGTTTAGTCGGTATTCTTCTTATGTACACATACTATTTGTGAGGGAGAATTAACATTTTAATATACAACTTTTGCACTCACCTTTAGTTTTTTGATCAGCAGTCTTAGTTTTCTCTCTCTGAGGCAATACCGGCGACACCGGAACATTGTTACTGGACGACCTGATAATAGACAATTATTGATATCACTAATTTATCATATTTTTTTTTCAAATGATTTTTAGTCAACCTGGCAGTCGCAATGCAAGACGGCTATATCTGTGGGTAAAGGTGTCCCTGACGGACTGACAGACTGACTTTCAGATAATCCCTATGAGGCTGGCATAGTCACTCTGGGGTACTAAAGTCTCAACAAAATTAAAAAAAAAAAAGATTTTTAAATAAAAATAATTACTATCATTCAAAACTAAATAATAATGAAAATATTTACATATAAACAATAAAAAAAAATGCATTCAGTATACGTACGCGTGATGCGCGTGTGCGTGCGTGTGCGCGGCGTGGGCGGCGTGGGCGGCGTGGGCGGCGTGGGCGGCGTGCGAGTCGTTGAGGCTGAGGTCGCCGAGGAACATGCGGCGCACGATGGTGCGGCGGTACCACGCCTTCGGGAACGCCAGGATCTCGCTCAGCCGCCGCATGTCGTACTTGAACCACGCCAAACCCACGTCCACGATCGCTGCGGTTGTCGGTCGACACATACAGTTACCACCACTATTGTACTAGATATTCAATTGTATCTCTTTTTTACTTAACTTAAACTTATACAAATGGTGTGTGAAATATCAGAGAGTACGGAATATTATGCGATAATATTACGAGATTTCATAGGCAATTCTGAAATCGGCAAGATTAGATTTACCTTTTTTTTAGGTTTCTGAGTTAAAAACTAAAATATTTTATATTATTCACGACTGAAGTAGCATTTCTTTGGAGAGCTAAATGTAGTTATTTTCATATAAATAAACATACTTTATCATCACAGCCACCTTTTATCATCATTAGCTTTTAAATAGTCGCGTACAGTGCGGTTTCAGAGGAGTTTTATCCCGCGAACACTTAGGCTGTGGAATGAGCTCCCTGCCGAGATTTTCCCTAGAGACTACAGTATGGAGTTTTTAAAAAGAGTATATTAAGATTTCTTCAAGGTCGGCAACGCGCACGTAACACCTCTAGTGTTGCAGGCGTTCATAGACTACAGTGACCATTTACCATCAAACGGGCTGCTTGTTTGCCATCTTCATGGAATAAAAAAATACCTACACTAACTACTTCTAAAGGTTTTTATACATGTTTTTTATCACAAGTAGCTAAAAAAACTCACTGGAAAACCGCACGGTGGCCTTGGACTGCTCCTGGTCGGCGTGGAAGTTGACCTTCCTGGAACGCGACAGGTTGAACTTGACGAACTCGACGTTGACGCTCAGCGAGTCCTTGCGTTCGCTCTCGGCCAGCGGCGACCACTGCGCCTCCTTCAGGCTCGATTTCTTGCCGCCGTACGGGTGGAAGATGTATACGGAGAAGTCCGCCAGGCACCCAGTCACGCTCAAGCCGCCCATCGCCACCGCCGGCTCCGCCATCTCTCTGTTACAACAATCAATCAAATAATCAAAATAATTAATTGAAAACTTTATTTTTATTTTTTAAGTTATAAGTTTCTGGCTAATTCCAGTAGAATTTTGACGTTGAACGTAGATGTTAAATAGATAGACAGATAGATAATTTATTTCCATTACTTACAGCACACAAATTACAATACATACATACAGACCTACACAATAAAGGAGAGTAAGTAACTTTTAATATTTGCATGCCTAATTATGGCGAAATATGAGGACTTATTGCAACATCTATACACTTACCATGTTTCTTGTAAATAAATAAATAAATAAAATATACAATTTTACAACTACCAAATTCGGAAGTTTTTGAACTAGAAAATGGCCAAGAATATAATTAAAAAAAATGGTAACACTAAATTGTTTTTTAACAAAACCAAAATTTTGAGTTTAATAGTGATGTGGCGCAACTGCGTACGAGAAGATAAAATTTTCAAAAACGATCTATAGTCATTGTTACTCGCTGATAATTTAGTTTTTTATAGATGAAAGAATTTTTAAAATCGTTCGAGTAGTTTTTGAGTTTATCCATTATAAACAATCAAACGAATCTTTCCTCTCTATAATATGATAATCTATACTTATAATAGATTTGTAGAGAGGTCAATTCTGTACATAAAATATATTTCCAAAATAACTATTGATTGGTGATCGATACTGATGCCAAAAATGCAATTAGTAAAATTTTTGTCTGTCTGTATGTTCGTTATAGAAACAAAAACTACTCGACGGATTTTAACCAAACTTGGTACAATTATTCTTCATACTTCTGGGCAGGTTATAGTATACTTTTCATCACGCTATGATCAATAGGAATAGAGCAGTAAATAGAAATGTGTCTGTTACATCAAAACCACTGAACCGTGAGGAAGGACATAGGCTACTTATTTTACGAAAAACGACGGAAACGCGGACGAAGTCGCGGGGAACAGCTAGTTATAAATAATTGTACGTGAATATGCTTTATAAAACAGCGTGATTGACAAAAATCAATTGTATAAATAAATAAACAAATAATAAAAAAAAATTACACAACTTTCATACATAAACTCTGAATTGAGATTCAGTCATAGTGTATGTAGGGTTTGAACTTATTTGAGTCAAATATTTATTTATTTATATATTCTTTATTGCACTTGAACAATACATGTAGCGATTAGTTTAACAACTTGTTAGCAAGGGAGGACTTATCTCTGAAAGCGATCTCTTCCAGTTTTGGTTTAAAGGGTGATATGGCGTGAATTTACCACATCTTCCATCAGGAATGGCAACGTCATGGGGGTTCATGCAAAACATTCTAAGTTTTGTAAAAAAAAAATCAGGTGGGCAAACAAAATTTACACAACTTTCATGTATAAACTCCGAATTGAGATTCAGTCATAGTGTATGTAGGGTTTGAGCTTATTTGAGTCAAACATTTATTTATTTATATTTTTTTGCATATCACGTGGTACAAATTAGATATTATAATAAGTAAGCATACAAGACACGTGACACTCCGTAGCGGCACAGCAATTTACAGACAGGAACATTGAAATGGAAAGCACAAGAAGTTAGTACATGTGTTGTATTTGGTATGTGTATCGTAGTGTGTAGTGTATACTGACTCGTCGCCGGCGCGCTTGGAGCTGAAGACGATCTGCAGGCTGGGCAGCTGCAGCAGGCACTCGACGCGCGACGCGGGCAGGCAGCTGAAGCGGAACGTGGACGGCTGCATGTGGAAGTGCACGATCACGTCCACCGGGAACGACGCGTACACGTACTGCCCGTACTCGCCGCCCGTTCCTCCCGCCCCGCCAGCCCCGCCAGCCACCCCCGCCCGCGCCTCTTCTGCACAGACCACAACGACCCATCAACAGGCTCGTCGACTACATCATGTCAGCCGTTATTTGTACTGTCATTGCTGATCATACGCCCATGAGGGAGGAAGACTGCCATAAAGGATGATGTCCCCTGACCATCAATCACTGACGCTGTGCAATATACTTAAGATGGTGGCTCCATCTAATAGAAGGCCATCATATACTGAATTTGCCTGTTCAATCACTATTCAAGAACCTTTACCCCCATCTGTTGTCAATTTTTCGAACCATGTGACTACCCCGTTATCATTTCAGCTGCCCTCAGGCAACACGGTTATTTTTTATAAAAACATATTACTGTTTTAAAAGTACGATTTAAAAAAAACACAATGTCTAAATATTTCTTAAATTTACGGCGCGGGCTTTTTATATTTTAATGGGTGTAGATGGAATGGTAACCCCGCCTGCGCTGTCGGTATACGCTGGCGATCCCACCGGTAAAGGTTAACAGATGAGGGACGAAGACAGGTCAGTTGACCCATAGTGAGCAATTGAACAAGAATTAATCACTGTGGAGATCGACCTGATAGGATATATTGATAGAAATGAGGCTAATAAATCTCATTACTAACAATCCCTTCCCTCCACACTGAGGGCTTAAAGGGCATGCAAAACTGAGAGAAGAGAAAAATCTTAAAACTATTTTATATGACTATATTCTTTGTATGTAACTAGATTTATCCAAATTCATTGAGCAATTTCACGAACATCCAAACATCTTTGCAATATGGAAAAAAAAAAATTATTACCTGAAGTAGAAGTAAAAATAGACGCCTTTGTGGGTATGGGCTCCAGCGTCTGCTCGAGGAACTCCAGTATGTGGGGGCTGATGATGGTCTCCTCGGGGATGCTCTGCAGCGTGATGTAGGCGAACAGCGCCGCCTTCTTGCTGGCCAGCTTGCGGGCCGCGCCCGACAGAGCCGGCCCGGCCTCCGACGCGCTGCTACTACTCGGACCGCTGGTCCCGCCCTGAGGGGACGCTGTGTCTTCCGGCACTGTCTTCGACTCGTAGTGCACCTATTTTGAATATTAAATATTATTAACAAAGGTATCAATTCGTATGTGAATTTGAAAATTAAATTGCGTATTATTTTTCAATACTTACAAGTATGTTGCAATGGAAAGTATGGCATTTATGTTATCTATAAATACTGGTTAAATTAATGTCAGTGGTTACATTTGATATCTTACTTCTCGTTTAAGAGTTTTCTCTTATTAGGGCAACGAATTTATGCATCTTTTTTTTTTAATCTAATATATAAAATTTTCGTGTCACGGTGTTTGTTACCAAACTCCTCCGAAACGGCTTTACCGATTTTTATGAAATTTTGTGTGCATATTGGGTAGGTCTGAGAATCGGCCAACAACTATTTTTCATAACCCTCAATAAGAGTGACTTACCTATAAATATTTTATTTTTATTTTTTTGACAATTTTTTTTTATTTTTATTTTATTATAACTAAACATTGAAAAATACATACAGCTTCAAATTTTTACCCTTTTATGATCAACCCCTGTTTTTTAATAGCGATTTTTATATTCCGAAAAAGGGTTGCAAGATGGCAATCGAAAATAATAATTGTAGTACGAGAAATTTTCATGTATAGTTCTAGAAATAATGTATATGGTAAAACAACGTTTACCGAGTCAGCTAGTAAATATATAAAAATAAAATTTTACATAATGTACAATAAATTGTTAATACAAATGAGGAATAAATAAATGAATGAGTATACTTTATTTGTATTATATTATATAGGAAATAAGCAAGACAATTAACAAATGCAACAATACAGTTGTATAAGTACAGTAAGGCGGTCTTATTGCTGAGAGCAATCTTTTCAAAGTTTTATGTTGGTCCTAGTATAGAACCTTGTGGCACTCCTTGCTTTTATATTATCAAATTTTGTTAATATTTTGTTCCATTTGATCCTAGCTTCATTATGAACATATTTAAACATGAATACAGGCAAGAGACTCGAAATATTGAAACAAAAAAGGGAAAACCCTTACTGATATTGTACAAAATCCAAGAATGAGTTCGCTAGAGCTTGAAGGAACAATTAGTGTTTGTGATTATGTAAATACGAAGATAGTGCAGTAACGGCAACGGACCTTGAGGTGGAGACCGGGCACGCGGAAGACGGTGAGGTCGAGCACAGGCTGGTGGCGCTGGTGGTGCTGGTGGTGCTGGTGGTGCTGGTGGTGCTGCTGGTGCTGGTGCTGGTGCGCGGGCTTGCGGCGTGCCGTGGGGGAGCCCGTGGCCGCGTCGGGCGCCGCCAGCCCGCCCGACGCCGACCGGCCCACGCGCATGCGCCCGCCGCTGCCACACGCGTTGTTCGTGTTATTGAAACCTACATATCTACTTATCTGGGACTACCACTCCCACTGCTAGCAATACACCTGTCAGGGTGACCTCCACGTGACATCATCGTACCTTTTCATTTTTTTTACAACACAGAGGGCAAACGAGCATGCGGCTCACCTAATGGTAAGTGACTACCTCCACCCATGATTACCCACAACACCAACAGCATAGCAGGTGTACTGTTTTTTAAAAAGGTTATGTTGTCGTATCGGTTCGGAAATACTGCTGCTGGAAGTTGATTCCAAAGAGTGGTTGTGTCTGAATGTGTGGCTTTTCATTTTCACCTATCATCCCTTACAGTGATCTTAATTTTATATCTTTTTCAAATTTTGTAAAGAGACTTTACTAGTGACATAAATTTTATTATTATATATATATATATATATATATATATATATATATATATATATATATATATATATATATATATATATATATATATATGTAAAAATTTAATTACGAAAACAACAAAATTTCTATAGGCTAAATCTGACAGTATATTTTTTTTATTTATAAATGACAGTTATGAGGTAATAACATAAAATGAGAAGTACCTTTTTTTTTAAGTCGTTTATAAATACGCTAAATGCGTCCTTAGCCTATGCGTACTCACATCTTGATGTCGTCATCCCTGCAGGGCTCCTTGGTGTGCAGCACGCACTTGCCACTGTTGATGTGCACTTTCACGTCTAACTCAAAATCAATGTTCGGTTCCGCGGTCTTGCTCTTGCCCTGTTTGCCATCCGCATTGGCGCCCTCTGACGACGGAGCGCTGTACCACAAATTTTATTATTTAATTGTGATTTAGTAACAAAAGTAATTTTTTTTTTTAACAGAGGATTATACTCCTTCGAAAAGAGGAATACAAGTATAATGCTCACGAAATATTGTAGTCATCATAGGATTGTTGTGACGTCTATTTTCAACCAAATTAGAATAGGAAATTCAATTAACATTTTTATTAAAATTCAGGCAAGAGTTTCATTTACTGCTTATTTGTGACATTTTACTAGATGTCTGTCAAAGATGTTGGACTACTGGTTGTGCATTACACTGTGGCAGCAGTTGTTGTGTATGCGAGTGTTCCGTGGACGTGGAGGTGTGTGTGCGGTGTGTGCGGTGTGTGCGGTGTGTGCGGTGTGTGCGGTGTGTGCGGTGTGTGCGGTGTGTGCGGTGTTTCTACCGTGAAGCAGTTGTGTTTGCATAGCTGTGTTTCGGTTTGAAGAGTGGGATATGGCATGAGTTTACTGGGTACAAAGAAATAACATCTGAGTCTTCAGGAATGGCAACGCATGGGGGGTATCATGGGCGAAACAGTATACTCTGTTATATCCATGTTACTGCTTATGTCTATAGGCAACAGTTACCACTTTCCATTAGGTGAACCGTCAGCTTTTTGAGGAGCCCATGAGGGGTGTAATAATTAATTGAAAATAACACCTGAGTCCTCAGGAATTGCAACGCATGGGGGGTATCATGGGCGTAACAGTATACTCTGTTATGTCCATGGTACTGCTCGTGCCTATAGGCGACGGTTACCACTTTCCATCAGGTGGGCCGTCAGTTTGTTTGCCATTTTAAGTTGTATAAAAAAAAAGTAAGGGGGTTTAAAAATCCCATTGCTAACAATAAAGCATAATATTCGTTAGCAATCAAGTCGACTTCCACGTCGACCACTTTGGAAACCATCGTGGGTAATTCATCATAAAGGGCCAACTAACCAGAGCTTCTAGACAAGTGGCAAGCGAATTCGTCGATTGAATCGACATCGCTAGCGAGTCCGTAAATTGGAATAAGTCACCCGGCGTTGCTATCTCATTCTGTCTCACGGAATCGCTAACGATGTCTATTCCATCGACGTACTTGTTTGCCACTTGTCTAGAGACCCTGCTTCATTTTCACCTATAGACAGTCATTGGTATACCGCCAGAATGTACCAATAGCGTTGGTTTAAGTTACCATTCTATTATCACCCATTAAAAGGGTCTAGGGTCTTCAGCCTGCACTTTAGTCGCTGACGATATCAAAGAAAGATAGAGAATAGAATATTCTATAAGATTTAGAAAGAAATAAAAAAAAAAGTGATAACTAACTAGTCACAGCTAGTACTCATTTCAGTAGTGGTGACAATCACAGATCATGGTGTTTTTGTATGAAGTACCCTAAGACGTACACTGTGAGCTTACTCGGCACTCCTAGTAATTTCTTCCAAGCGCCATCACAGCATTATAGACAATGAAAATTAAAGTTACCGTTCCCATTGATAGGCTCGCTCTCCATGGAGCTCCAGCTACTGCCCTCAATGATGTCAGCGAGGCGGTTGTCTTCATCAGCCAATAGCAGCGTCTCCCCGGAGTCACCCACGCCAGCTGCCAGCACTAGGTTGGTCTCTACACCGCTGTAATGTATTATGAAATAAAAAAAATATAACCAGCGGGAAGAGATCTCTTTTAGAGATAAGCCCACCTTTGCTGACAAGTTTTTAACTAATCGCTGTATCTTTTACAAGTGCAACAAAGAAAGAAGCAGGTATGTAGGTACTATTTACTTGCAAAATTTTTAATCGCGCTTTTTTAATAGGAAACACATGAGAGCGAGTTCGATTTCATTGGAGGGCATTCGTAGATTACAGTGCATAATTCGGTACATTTACTTAACTTTTACTGAACTTTATTTTTAGTCTAATTTATAGTTTAAAAGTAAATTTTTGTTATTATCAACAAGTTTTATTATCGTATATAGGTTACAGCGGCCTATTTACGATATATATATATATATTCTGTATATACAAAATTCAAATTATTATTAAAAAAATGGCTACTTGCAAATGCTTTCTATAATATGAATGAATTCTTTGCTCTTTGACATTTTTTTTTTACATTGAATTTTTTACATTGAATTTTATAAATAATTTAATTAATATATAGGATGATAATTAATATGTTCTAATGGTGACCATGAGTTAGTTTGTGACTGTTGATTGACATGTTTTATTTTATTTTCAATTTTATTGACAATTTTAATGTATGACTGTAAAATAATTAATGTTTTGTAATTAATCGTATTGTATGCCCGATGTATGGGTAGGCTGTTTTCCTTGGAGACGTTAATAACATCTTACGAAAAATTGTAACATACAGCTCACAATAAATTTATTCTATTCTATTCTATTCTATTCTGTAGTGAAATATTGAGTTATATTTAAGGCTACGTTTAAGATTAGTGGTACAGACGTGTGGAAGTCTGTGGTGTCGTGCGGCTGGTGGTGGTGGGCGGGCACGTCGGGCACGACGAAGGAGCGGCTGCGGTTGTTGGCGAGCCCCAGCTTGCCGCGCGTGATGGAGCTGGCGCGCACGCTCTGCCGCCGCAGCTTCTGGATCATGTCCCTGCACACACGCACACGCACACGCACACTCACACCGCGCTACACATAACTGTCCACGTCGAGCGAGTATCCAGTATACACTCACTCGCTTGGGTGTCACTACCAGGATTGTGGTAGAATGCGAGCGCAAATCTTAGGCCTTCATATTACAGCTAAAAGGCCGAACACTGTGGTATCATTAGCTCATATAAAAAAAAAAGATATCGTCATCTCACCTTCTTCCATCTCACATATTTCGGTATAAACAATGAATGCTGCCCTACTGAACAAAAATTGTAATTGCTGTCTATATATATATGACAAAAAATAAGGCTTAAAACCCTCACAGCCATATGGCACTATCATTTTATACTTTCAAGCTTCTGAAACACCTTTGCTTTTAATGATAAACCGATTGTCTTGCCTTATGAAATCGAAATAGGGTGAAATAAATACGTAAAACCAGTATTTACGTAAGCGGGTAAAGACTATGAGCTCTGTCCATGATGTAGGGACAATCTATTACATATTTACTACATACTAGTGGTCGCCCAGTAGTCTAAATTCGACCATAATTATATATATATATTGGCCAAATTAAAAGTACCCGTAACCGGCGAGCGTATATGAAAAGATCGATGAATGTGGAGGAAGCGAAAGAGGTTTGTTTGAATCGAAGCATTTAGCGTTCCATTGTTTCTGCCTATCCTAATGGAATACAGGCGTAACAGATATGTATGTATGTATATATTGCAATAAATGAATTTATTATGGTTATGTTTGACATTCAGTAAGACTATAGACAAATAATATTAAAGGCAAACAATATTAATCTATTCTCAATTTGACCATAGACTTAAAAGTATTTTTTTTTTTTATTGACTTAATGTATTTTTATGCATCTCTATATAAACTATAAATGTGCGAAATTTCATACTTATTAAGTATATATAGTCCGTGCAAATTTTGTTAAACGCAATACGAGTAAAAAACCATCTACTGGTCAAACTTCATTACTTCTATGTTTCATTGCCATAAATCCTACCTCCTGAAGTCCTTGAAGACGAGCGCCTCGAGGTCGTGCAGGCGCTTCATCTCGTGCTCGATGGTGGTGTGGCTGGCGCCGAGGGTGCGCAGGTCGTTGATGATCTTGGCCTGTTCGTTCATCTCCTTCTCGATCAGTTTGGACCGCTTCTTGGAGTCGATGCTCGTGTCGAACACGAACGCGGGCAGGTGGTCCGTGTACTTGCGACGCAGCACTATGCTCTCCTAAACGCCACCAAATATACTCACTTTACTACTATTGCCCGCGCGAGGGTTTAAAGGCTTCGTTTTATACCTCGTGGTAAACCTCTGTTGTGATTTACCGGATATTGCGGTCTCTGATCGGTTTTCTCGCTGGCCGCTAAGACATTCTACAGACAAATTTGACGGTCTTTGAAAAAAAGACTAGGACGAAGAGGGGGAAAGACGGACATAATTTTGTTACGAGAAATTTTCCTTTTTATTGTAATACTTTTGACAACCAAATTTTGACCTTCGACCCCCGATTGGTAACCGCAGTCAGGCTTTGGTGATGTTTCATGAGAGATGCTGCTGTCCATTCCTCGATCATTTAATTCCTTTAATCACCTTTTAAAACACCCATGGGAAAGGAAGGTGGCCCTTTCGATTATGGCACCACACGACTTCTTTATTCACACGGATTCATACATATTACTATGAAATAAATCCTCTGTAACATACTTGTGAATCTTTGCTGTTGTCAGCTTCATCGTCCAGGTCGCTCTCGTAATCCATCTTCAGTGGGTCTTCCTCTTCAAACCCTGAAAGAAAAAAAATTACACTAGAGTATTAACAGCTTCATCATCATCATCATATGAGCCGTTCACTGTTCACTGCTAAAAATAGCCCTCTCCCATAAAGAGAGGTTTTACCAGTAGTTGCCATGCTTGGCAGGTGGGTTTACAACCGCAGTTAGGCTTTGGTAATGTTTTAAAAGCACCTTTTTGCTAGAAAATAATCGTAAGTAGAAACCATTGTACTTAATGTCTAGTGAATTCGTCACATTAAGCTAACTGACTTGACTTTACCTTAACTTTATCATGTAGAAAGAATGTAACTTGGATTTTAACAGTATACTTTGTCAGATGGCTCCATCCCTGGGAACCATAGTGGTTAACTCCTGATAAATTTGTCACGATGAGTTAACTGACCTTTTTTTTATGCAACTTAGAATGGCAAACAAGCTGACGGCCCACCTGATGGAAAGTGGTAACGGTCGCCTATAGACATGAACAGTACCATGGACATAACAGAGTATACTGTTTCACCCATGATACCCCCCATGCGTTGCCATTCCTGAGGGCTCAGGTGTTATTCCTCTGTACCCAGTAAATTCACGCCATATCCCACCCTTCAAACCGAAACACAGCCATGGGACAGAGGTACGCAAGCAATCGACTTTTGTACAAAGTCTCTCCCTTTCAACCTCACCTATCATCCCTCACTGGTACCCTATCAGCGTTTACAACGACGTATTACGACAGTTCGATATAGAGATATCTAGATGATTTGATTTCTGATCTTAACACTATATAAATAAAGTCCAAATAAACAAACCAGTGAGCATGGTGAGCGTGTGCCCGAGCGCGGACAGCTGCTTGCCGACGGACACGTCCAGGTGGATGTCCACGCCCTCCATTTGCCACGACACGTTCAGGAACCACTTGGCGTTCTCTGCCGGAGTAGCGGGGGGAACGAGTTAGAATTAACTAGAACTATAACATTTAAAGACGCAGTTAGAGGAAGAATGGAACTTATTTTATTTAGCACTAGTGCTAAATTACCAATTATTAAACCTCTTAATTAGTAAATAATTTACTGCACTGCACGCATAAACATAGAGATAACTTCATAGAACTTTCCAAAGCCTCTGTATTTAAGTAAGTGAATGAAATAAAACGATGTAAGGGGCAGAGGCTTTTGGTTTATGGTTGTTTATCTACCTCGGAAGAGATCTATTGACAGGTAGGAAAAGTATTTTAAAGAGGATATTTAATAATATGGTAGTTTTTTTAACAGTATACGTAGTTTATAACTTGATTAAAGTAGTTCGAAATAATATAATAGTTCATAAAAGACTATGGTAATTTACTTGGATAATCTGGACATTGGTTGATTGACGTAGCGCTGTAATGTGTCTGTTTCCAAGGCTGAAGTAGTATTTGGTTAAATTCCCCCTAGTGGAGTTTCGGCAGAGCTATCGTTCCTTACTTGTCGCATTCACCTCTCTCGTGGATGATGTTTGTGAATGTTGTGCGCATGCGTATTATTTATTGAAGTACCGTGGCGCTTGGCGGCGGCGGTGCGGCTGCAGACCTCGTAGGTGCCCTCGGAGACGCAGCAGACGTTGGCGGTGGCGCCGGGCTCGGGCTTCCAGTCGTCGAGCGAGGCCTCGAAGTCGTCGGCGAAGCGCAGGCACAGCCCCACGAAGCGGCCCTTGGAGACGAGCGCGCCCGAGCTGCAGGCGGAGATGCTGGTGCTCTCCAGCGTCACCACCACCGCGCCGCGCCACTCCGCCTCGCCCGCGCCGCCGCCCGCCTGCGCCACGCGTCACTTCACTACTCTCTCATACCGCTCTCTCGATACTATCTATTCAACGTTATTTTAAACATACGTTTGCTTCGGTACCTCTGTTCCATTCGCGTTTCAACCGTGAAGCACTTGTGTTTGCATGGCTGTGTTTCGATTTGATGGGTGGGATATGGCGTGAATTTACTGGGTACAGAGGAATAACACCTGAGTCCTCGGGAATGGCAACGCATGGAGGGTATCATGAGCGTAACAGTATACTCTGTTACGTCCATAGTACTGCTCATATCTATAGGCGACAGTTGCCACTTTCCATCAGGGGGGCCATCAGCTTGTTTGCCATTCTAAGTTGTATAAAAAAAAAATCCTCCGAACAGTATGTGCAATATCGAAATGAAAACTCACTTTTTTCCAACAATAACTTCCAGAGAATCTCAACATATAGATATTGGTGCGGTACCGATATTACACATGCCTACTACGAGTAAGACGTGGGACCACTTACCACCGGCGGCTGGTTGAGCGGCAGACAAATGCCGATATCGTCAACGTTCAGCTGAAGGAACAGAGTACTCAGATGTGGAGTAGTGATCTGTGACGTCAGTTGTACCTGCAAATCAAATATAAGAGTACATTAAATGAAATTAAATTAAATTTATTGCGATGAATGTGGTAAGTTTAAGGTAATATATATAAGTGCTTTATATTATTCTCAATTTCATGTATAATATAGTATATGTCATATATGTGTAAGTATATTTGTTATTCATATATATTTATTCGTTTATATATAATATGTAATTTTAGTATGTATGTATATCAATAATTACTAGTACCGCATTCGTGTATTCTGACACTTCCCTATGGTTGACTGGGAGAGAATGCTTTTAGCATTAAGTCCGCCATGTACACATATTTGTACTAATGAATAAACAAAAATAAATAACCTTAACATTCAGCCAGCTCGGCATGCAACATTTTTATATGTATTATTAACAATCAACTATTAAATATAAGTTATATTACTAAAGCCACATTGAAATTCAAGTTATTATTGTAAGTTTATACATGCATGTCATGGGAAACGCGTTGAGATCTACCTGATACACCCTGTATTGCCAGCATTACTAACAATCCCTTTCCCCCCTACCTCAGATGGGGGTGGTAGCCGCTGTCTGCCCGGCTGAACATAGTATATCGATGGCGAATCGCTAGTAACAGTAGCAGGACGGGTTACCTTCTCGAAGACCTGCTGCGTGGCGGTGAGCACCTCCTTGTTGAGGTTGAGCCGCTTCTCGTTCCAGTACTCGTAAGCGTTTTTGTAGTTGAGCCAGACGAGGATGGCCCGGTCCACGGCCACGGGCTGGATGTACACGAGCGGCCGCTTCAGCGTGATCAGCACCACCTCCTTGTCCTCGCCCGCCACCGTCTCCTCGCGGAACGCGTTGCGCATCGCTGACACACGTACGTAATGTGTTAACACGTTTAGATATAAATGCTTGAAAAGAGCCCATAAACATAAAAGAGTGTGTCCCCAGTTACATTTTTTTTATACAACTTAGAATGGCAAACAAACTGACGGTCCACCTGATGGAAAGTGGTAACCGTCGCCTATAGACATGAGCAGTACCATGGACATAACGGAGTATACTGTTTCGCCCATGATACTCGCCATGCGTTGCCATTCCTGAGGATTCAGGTGTTATTCCTCTGTACCTTGTAAATTCACGCCATATCCCACCCTTCAAACCGAAACACAGCCATGCAAACACAACTGCTTCACGGTTGAAACACGAATGGGACAAAGGTACCCAAGCAATCGACTTTCGTACAAAGTCTCCCTCTGGTATACATATACCACAGATGGAATATCATTAACTGGCCAATTTCTTAACATACTTAACATTCTTTGCCTGGAAGAGATCGCTCTTAGCAATAAGGCAACCTATTTTCAATCTTTTCTTGTAATTATTTGTGCTTATAATAAGTTTATTAATGTAATCTTTTAGAGAAAAATCTTTTAGAGGAAATAATGACGAGTATCTATTTATCTTTTTCAAAAGTTATGAAACCTGTCTTAGACGTTATTTACCGGCGTTATATAGATTTTGGTTAAATGTCTAAAGTCAGCTTAAAAGAGTGGCAGTATAGGTTTTTGTACAAAATAAAGATTTCTCTTTCTTTATTTATTTTAAAACCTAGTATATTTATTTACATTTATAGTGTGCTAATATTGATGTCAAATGTGTTGATGAAAACATCAATCATTTAGGATCATTTGTCAATTATTTTTATCAATTAAAAATAGAATAATAGAGAAAATTATGACTTTTCTTTATTAGTTGGTAGATATGACAATTACACAAACAAGATGGAAGCTAGACCATAGACAAAAAAAAAATATATAAAAAGTAATTGACAAGCAAAATGGCGCGAGATTTTTTTTTTTACAACACAGGGGGCAAACAAGAGATCCTCAAACTGTCACTTATGTGTAGTCTAGTGCACATAACGATCCATGATATAGATCATGAAGCATAGATATATGTTTTAAATGAACATAGAATATACCTTACCGATTCTAGTGTTGAAAAACGCGTACTGTTGAAATTCGGGCTCCGCTTCCTCGAACATCGCGTTGCGTATCACTTGTCCCAAACTTAGGTTTACATCCACCTGTTTACAAGATATACATTAAAAGATATTTTCTTGACACAAGCGGCAATAATATATTTAAATTGTTTACTTATCACATCCTTAATATCAGTCTTGTTGTATCTGCTGTTACCTGTCTACTGCTGAACATAGCCTTTCCCATAAAGGGGGTTTTGCCAGTAGTCGCCAGGCGGGTTAGCAATTGTAGTTTGGCTTTTGGTAATGTTGTAAGGGGGATGTTGCCGCCCATTCTTTCACTATAATTTTTTTTTTACTGCACAGGGGGCAAACGAGCTTGCGGCTCACCTGATGGTAAGTGACTACCGCCGCTCATGGTCACCCACTATTACTATAAACCCTCTTCCTTGCTTCTTACGACCCTTACAGGAAAGGAACGGGTGGCCTATTCTATGCCGAGACCTAAACGGCGGAACATCTGTCTACTGTCTAAAAGTTCAATGTCTAGGTGGGAGAAAGGATCTATATTTTTTTTTAATAAGAACTTTATGTATAATAGAAATTTATCTAGCTCAAATTGCCTTAGTAAGTTCAGGGGTAAGTAATTTCATAACTAAAACAAGTGCTAAGCGTGCGTGTCCGCCTGTACCTGTGCGCGTGCGAAGAGCCGCAGCTGGTGGCGCGGGCCGGGCCCGGGCACGTTCTGCACGCGGTTGGACAGCTCGAACTCCACCGCGCCCGTCTCCAGCCGCACCGCCGAGTTGCTGGGCGTCGTCGCCGTCAGCTGGATGCGCTGCGCACCACACCGCATACAACATACGACCCTCTCACCACCCACGCTACGGTATATCCTTATTACAATTACAAATGTGAAAATGGTATTGTTTGTCAGCTCTTAACTCCTTAACAGATGGACCGATCACTATAAAATTTATTACACATGTACTATATTAGACAGAGAAGGATTATATATCTCAGTCAATGTAAACAAATCCCAATTTCGCAGACGAAATCACAGGTAAAAACTAGTAATTTATATCGAAATTCATAAGGAGGAAATGTAATGTTAACAAGTAGGCGAGTTTAGCAAGGATTGATGATCGAGTTTCACAATGTTTTATTTAACCTAAACTTCAGCTCTTTCCCAAAAAACATGAATTTCTTCTATTTTAATGTAATAACTACCAGTCTAACTTACGTGTAATTAGATCGAGAAAGCTCGACTAAATTCGAGACCCTTAATCGTGAGCGGCTGTGGTGTGAGTCAAACTGCGCGCTTCGACCCAACGACTGTTTTCTTTCATACAATCCATCTTTTACAATTCCTCATTTATCTTGTATTAATTTCAAATTAACTTCGCTATAATTATGTTGTTCGCGACATTATTTGTATATATCGTAATTTATAGTTGTTAAGTCCTAGTTAATCGTTTTGTATTCTGTTATTTTATATAGATTTGCATAGATTTAAGATAGTGTAAGTTAAATAAAGTATTTCTTTGTGTGTTGTCATTATTACCTACGAATAGAAATAGAAATGAAATTGTAAATTGCAATAAATAAACGCTATAGAGTACCGATCTGAAGAGACACGCGTCTCGTTCTTTCTCGCCCCGTCCCGCTCGCGCAGATTCGCTAACGCGAGTTGGAAACGTTATCATGCGAGCGGGCGGGTATAAAGATAGGCCGCCTCTCGTCGAGCGGCATTCGCTTCCGGGCAGCGACGCACTACACTCGAGAAGAAATAGGACAAGAAGAAAAAATACTCTCTTCAGACGGTACCGGAGGCTTCAGAATAGTAATCGCTGTGTTTCACTCCAGCCTGAACCAACGCCCCTACAGTCCACGCTCACCGAACGGCAGTCCACACCGTTCATCGTGGTCCTTCGAGAAGCCGGATTGCTGGAGGAACACCGTTGGTACATCGAGAAGCCGGATCGCTGGAGGAAGACCATTCTGAAGCCGGATCGCTGAAATGCCGACTACGAGGAACATGAAGTCGTCGCAGCAGAAAATCGCCGTCACCGAAGCCACAACGTCCGCCGCCACGTCGACTACGGCCGCCGGAACGCTGTCCGTCGCTGCCACGCCGTCCGTTGCTGCCACCACGTCGTCTGCGGCTGTCAGAATGCCTTCTGTCGCTGCCACGTCGTCTACCGCCGCCACCACATCGACTACGAACACGTCCGGCGATACGACGACCACAGGAGCCACGGAGACTACCGAAGCCACAGGAACGACAGAGGAGACAGCAAGGAAGAAGGAACCGAAGCACGGCACGGCACGCACGGTTCGCACCACGGCCTCGCAGAAGAAGAAGGCTCTGGCCAAGGCACGGGAGGAGCTACTTCGAAAGGAGGTGGAATTGGCTGCTGCACGTGTCGCCGCCCTGGAAGCCGAATCAGAGGACGACGAGGAAATAGACGACGACGACGCTACCGTCAGAAGAGAACGAACGTCGGATTGGGTTCATCGAAGCACGCTAGCACTCACGATGGAGCCGCATGTACCAGAGATAGAAGAAGTCACCGGCAAGCGTCAGGGGTTCGTCCCATCGAGACCCGTTGAAGAGGATTCGAGAGCGCCGCCGCCACAGCCGAGCAGCGACGCACTTCACCGGGACCACGCACGCCACGTTGACCCACATGCCGTCATGCCTACGATAGCAGCGGCGATGCAGTCGATGAAGAAGGAAGAACCGGTGCTGAAGGTGGGCATCGATTGTCGCCATGCAGATGGCCGCTCGCAACATACTGCCCTCCACAGCGTCAAGAGTCACCGAGTTGCCAGTCTTCAATGGATCGTCGAGCGAGTGGTTACCATGGAAGATGGCCTATGAAGAGAGCGCAAGTCAACTCACAGAACAAGAGAACCTAGCAAGACTGCGCAGAAGCTTGAAGGGGGCCGCAAAGGACGCGGCACGCTCCCTATTCGTCGGGTCTACGACCGCAGAAGAAGTAATGAAGATGTTAGCCGCGAGGTTCGGCCGCCCTGGAGCACTCGTCACAGCCGAACTGAACAAACTCCGCGCGCTACCACGACTCTCGGACAACGCAAGAGACGTCTGCCTCTTCGCAAGCAAGGTGCAGAACGTCGTCGCCACGATACGAGCGCTGAACAAGAGTCACTACCTCTACAATGAAGAAATAGTGAGAAACGTCACAGAGAAGATGCCGTCGGTACTACGCTTCAAGTACTACGACTTCGCCAACGACCAACCGGAGGGACAACCGGACCTCATAACACTCTCTCAGTTCCTGCAAAGGACCGCCGCACGATGTGGAAACTTCGCCCCCGCCGAGGAGATACCGTCCGAAGACCGGCGGGAGTCCGCTCCTAGGAAGACGGCGAAGACATACACGACGCAGGAGAAACCCGCTACACCACCGTGCCCGATGTGTCGACGAGAGGGACACGCTCCATCGGACTGCAAGACGATGAAGGAAGCAGACACATCGGAGAGATGGGAGTTAGCGAAGACTCATAGGCTGTGTTTCCGCTGCCTCAAAGTAAGAAGATTTCGCCACGCCTGCAAGAGCAAGAGATGTGGAGTGGATGAGTGCACGCAGACTCATCACCCTCTGCTGCACACCACGCGACAACAGCCGGAGAATGAAGTGACAACACACGTCATCGAGGACAAGTCCGCCGCAGTCGCCGCATCGGCAAGGGAAAACGACAAGATCGCGTTCCTGAAGATCCTGCCGATACGAGTCACCGGTCCCACGGGAACGTGCGACACCTACGCGCTACTGGACGACGGGTCGACTTGCACCATCATCGAGACGGCGGTGGCGGAGCGAATCGGTGCTACGGGTCCCCCGCACCATTCTACATGGAAGGTGTGGCCGGGGCACGGATCAACGCAGCTCAATCGACGCGTGTTCACTTCAAGATCCGCGGGCGGAATTCACAAGAATAAACAGTGGGGGCACGGACGATGGACAGACTGCAGTTATCACCGCAGTCGGTACCGCGCAGCGTCATCAAGGGCTGTCCACATCTACGAGACATAGAGAGAGGAGTTGGTCTATGAAGAGGGCAAACCGACGGTACTGTTGGGGCAAGACAACTGGCACCTACTGCTGGCCCACGAAGTTAGAAGAGGATCCGACACGCAGCCGGTCGCATCACTCACCGATCTGGGATGGGTACTGCACGGTACGAGTCGCGGCAGGACAAGACAGCAGGTGCACAGAATCAGCCACATAGTGACGACACATGAAGAGGAACAATCGATGGAAGAAATGATGAAGCAACATTTCGCGCTCGAATCGCTGGGAATCGCACCGAAGAGGTCTTACAATGAAGAAGAACGTCGCGCCCTGCGCATTTTAGAAGAGAAAACTCGTCCGTTACCGGCGGGAGGATACGAGACGGGGTTATTATGGAAGAAGGACGACCCTGTGCCGCCGGACAACTATGAATCGGTAATGCGACGTCTCCAACCGGTCGAAAGGAATTTCGACAAAAACGAAGAACAGTGGCCGCGTGAAGATAGTTCAAGCGACGATAGTCAAGCGAAAACGGGAGAAGAACGCGTACACAAGCTACAGAACGCGACGCAGTTGTCTATAGCATTACCCGATCCGTCACGTTTTTCTAATTGGTTGAAACTTGTTCGCAGTTCAGCACGGGTGTTGCAGTTCATCGACCTCCTGCGACCGACCAGTCAACGCTGCACCGCCATCCGAAAGAGAAACAAGAAGAAAGAGAGCGCCGACCCCACTTGGACCCGCACGAAGAAAGTCGATAGAGAGAAGACGAAGATGAAAATCAAGAACAGCAATAGTCCATCTGTGTGTTTCATCCCCATAGACACACACTACCTAGATCGCGCGCGACGGCTATGGATTCGCGCGATACAACAAGAGGCGTTCGGCGACGAAATCGCAGTATTGAAACAAGGGAAACAGCTGCCGTCATCCAGTCGACTCATACAGCTGTCAGTCGTCATAGACAACGACGACATTCTGCGACTTCGATCGAGAATAGCAGCCGCCGCCGATCTGTCAGCCGAGCAACGAGAACCCCCCATCGTCGACGGAAACCACGCCTGGGTGCGCCTATACATCGCATGGGTGCATCGGAAACTTCACCACGGCGGCTTCGAGATCACCACAAACGAGGTGCGACAACACTTGTGGGTGTTGCGCCTACGACACGCCGTCCGCAGTGAACTGAAGAGGTGTCAGCTGTGCCGCCTACGAAGAGCAAGACCGGCGCAGCCATCAACGGGCAACCATCCACATAGCAGGTTGGCGCATCATCAACGACCGTTCACGTTCACCGGCCTAGACTACTTCGGGCCTATGACCGTGACAGTGGGCCGCACTCACCAGAAACGATACGGAGTGCTCTTCACCTGCCTAACGACGCGCGCAGTCCACCTAGAAATCGCCGGCAGCCTCAGCACGGACTCCGCCATAATGGCCCTGCGGCGCTTCATAAGCCGCAGAGGGTGTCCCACAGAATTATGGTCCGACCAAGGCACCAACCTCAAAGGTGCTGACGTCGAACTGAAGAAAGCAGCCGAGGAAGCCATCCAAGAAGAGTCATCAGTTCATTTCATCCGGTGGCGCTACATTCCCCCGAGCGCACCCTTCATGGGAGGTGCGTGGGAACGGCTGGTGCGTAGCGTGAAGACCGCACTAGCCGCTACGTTGAACGAGCGGGCGCCCAAGGAAGAAGTCCTCCACACTCTGCTGGTCGAGGTCGAGCACACCCTCAATAGTCGACCGCTAACCCACGTGTCAACATCGGCAGACGACGACAGCGCCCTAACCCCCAATCACTTCATATTGGGCGGTCCATCGCGCGTCCCACTGCCAGGCAGCTTCACAGAGAGCGACGCGGCGGGACACAAGGAGTGGCGTGCCAGCCAGAGGCTAGCTGACTGCTTCTGGAACCGGTGGGTGAAGGAGTACCTACCCGAGTTGCAACACCGGCGGGAGCTCCGAGCTACACACGGAGCCATCAAAATGGACGACCTGGTCCTGATAGCTGATGGGACCTTGCCTCGCAACACGTGGCCGCGAGGCGTGGTGGTGGCGACCTACCCTGGACCAGACGGCGAGGTTCGAGCAGTCGACGTGCGGACGAACAAGGGCATCCTACGGCGACCCACTAAGAAGCTGATCATACTGCCCACATCGACATCGAGCGACGCGAACACGAGTTAACTCCAGCTACGAGAGCTGCGGCGGGAGATTATGTTCGCGACATTATTTGTATATATCGTAATTTATAGTTGTTAAGTCCTAGTTAATCGTTTTGTATTCTGTTATTTTATATAGATTTGCATAGATTTAAGATAGTGTAAGTTAAATAAAGTATTTCTTTGTGTGTTGTCATTATTACCTACGAATAGAAATAGAAATTGTAACAATAAATAGAATTAAGAAATTGTAAATTGCAATAAATAAACGCTATAGAGTACCGATCTGAAGAGACACGCGTCTCGTTCTTTCTCGCCCCGTCCCGCTCGCGCAGATTCGCTAACGCGAGTTGGAAACGTTATCATGCGAGCGGGCGGGTATAAAGATAGGCCGCCTCTCGTCGAGCGGCATTCGCTTCCGGGCAGCGACACACTACACTCGAGAAGAAATAGGACAAGAAGAAAAAATACTCTCTTCAGACGGTACCGGAGGCTTCAGAATAGTAATCGCTGTGTTTCACTCCAGCCTGAACCAACGCCCCTACAGTCCACGCTCACCGAACGGCAGTCCACACCGTTCATATGTATATGAAAGCCTATGTTCAAAATTGCGTAAAATTTCAATTATTCATACGCCACCACGACACAACAGATCATACCACTAGAAGTATGAATTAATGGATCTTTTTACCAATATGTCACACTTATTTGATTGACTCTCTAACTACTACCATCTCTTTCTCTCTCTTGCGTAATCCTTCTATTATCTTTTCCAAATGGCCAACTTAATATATTGTTCTTTGCTACTACATTCTTGAATGCACATTTCTCTTTCAGCTTTAAATTGTAGTTTCCTATACGTCCTAGTGCACCACCTACCTTGATCCTGATGATGAGCGTGAACAATATCCTGCTGAGGGCGGACGAGGACGCCTCCTCCTCGTTCCACAACGGCACGGGTTTCTCGCCACCATACACTTTCTGTACTACTTCATTCACTTCCTGCAACGATGTTGAAAGCATGAAGGAGAAGTTGAGCTAAGTCCAAATTTGTCTACATATGGCAAGTGGATTATAAAAGATTTAAAATTGGAATTGTCAAGAAACAACATTTCATGTTTTAACACGTTGAGCGCCACGCGTATTTCTACAGCAATCCCGTTCAAGCCACGCGCGCCGCTTCTAAGCGCTGGTACTACAGGAGCTGGTGTTTCCTATCGTAGTAGAAGGTAGTTTACGTTTGGAACGTGATTCTTATAAATTTTAAATAAATTTTCTGTAATTCCGTAAAATAGTGTAAAATTTTATAGTTCTCATGTTACACGCTGTCAGACACCGATGGCTGACGCGGCCTAAACGGAAAGTCTGGTGTCAGCCACCGATGGCTGACATGGCGCTCAACGTGTTAAGGAGAATATCATAGTGTTAATAAACACAATAATACATTGAAATTGTTGACGGTTGGAGTCCAAATTATGTCCCATGTAATGTAATGTAAATTGGACTCTATTTCCAGCGCTTAGCCTCTCATTTGGGTCATTGTACGTGTAAGTCATGGCTAGTACAGCCAGCCTAAATATATCGCATTAAGTGAGAGCTTGCAAGTGTTATTACTATTCTTGTTATCGGCACACAAAGCACCCACCTTCATGAAGACCTTCTGCACGAAGACGAGGTGGTTGAGCAGGTCGGTGGAGAGCGTGTGCTCGAAGAGGCCGATGTCGGCCGTCGCCGCCAGGTAGCGGCCCGCGCGCAGCACCACGCCCTCCAGCGGCTCCGCGCCCGGGCCTGGCTCTGGCCCTGTGCCCGGCCCTGGCTCTGGCCCTGCCCCCGGCCCCGGCTCCGGTCCTGCCCCCGGCCCCTGTCCCGGCCCCGCGTCCAGCACGCGTGCCGCCACGTGCACCATGGGCAGCGCTACCGACGCTGCCGCGGGGATGTTCGCCTCCGTCTGCGTTTGCGTCTGAGAGTACACATTGTTATCGCAATGTAGCGATAAATACACATGTATACTAAAGTTGATGTAAACGTCATCGAAAGATTTAGCAGTTGAACTAGATATGAGTAATATCTGATATCTATATATTGAGTTCTTCCTGATATTAATAATTGCGATATCGTCTATACTAATCCGATATCTATATTTTCGATATTATATATTGGATATCTGAAAGTTATTATCTGTTACTAAGCCAATATATGTACGGATATTATAACTACAATATAATAATAATAATAATAACTTTATTTACTTAAACAAAATTAGCCTGTAGTACAATATAACTATGACCCCACACTAGGCAAAGCCTGTCTCGTGGAAGATAATAATAATAAATCGTGGAAGAATAGATATTGTTGTATATTACCCACCCTTAGTTTTAACGTATTTGTTTGCTATTACACTATTTAGAATTACTTGTCGTCATATCTTTAAACAGATAATGCATTATCCTACTATCGATTGTTTTGCAAAATTTTATAGATAGATAGATACTCTTTATTGTTTCCTCCAAAAGATTACAATAGTAAACTTATTATAGATACAAACAATTACAAGAAATAATCACAATGAGAAAACAATGGGCACCCTTATAGCTAAAAGCGATCTCTTCCAGACAACCTTTGGATGGAGAGGAGTAATTAGTAAATGTACGTTACTTGCTTCTACTTGATAGTTACATAATGTTTATTTCGGTAACATATAGCAGGTAGTGCGGTAGGTGGCGGTAGGAGGTCGCTACCTGCAGCTTGGTGACGAAGCTGAGCGAGTGCTGCGGCAGGTCGACGGTGAAGTGTGCCTTGTGGCCGGTGACGCCGGCGCTCTGCACGTGCTCCATGCGGTACTGCGCCTGCAGCGACGGCAGCAGCGCCGCCGTCACGCTCAGGCTCTACGACCACACGGTACCACATTACACGTGCTTCTCGTAGCTGTCTTAGATCACCGACTAGTCTTTCGACTTTGTACGAATACTTCACAGATGATATGGAGTTAATATAAGAAAAAACTTGGATGTCGTATATCGTTCAGTAGTAATTTACAAATTGGCTTATGAAAGAGAATATTAAAATGTGAAGGAATATGTGCAAATCTGGGGGGTCTACTATGAAATGAAATTCCGAATTTTCGGACGCAATTTGTTCTTGTTCAGAGCAAAATTAGTTCAGTAGTTTCACATTTTGTTCGTCATAAATCTTATTATAAAAGTCTAAAGGAAGGATATTTTAAAATTTTTAATTTTCAAAATGGTATATTTTTCCCCTTCTGTCCTACATAATGCTATGTAGGACAGAAGGGGAAAATGTTGGGACACTTGATACGACACGACGAACTTATGAACGTTATAACAGAAGGTAGGATAGAAGGAAGGAGGGGGAGAGGGAGACCGAGACATAGTTACATCGGGCAGATCAAGAAAGGAATTGGTGTCGTGTCGTATCAAGAGGTGAAGAGACTCGCTGAAAATCGTAGTGAGTGGCAAGAGCTCCACCGACAAGAGCGCAGCTCCTGAATAGAATAGATAGATAGATAAACACATTTTATAGTAGGTCCTCGGCACCTGAATGATATTGTAATAAGTATTACCTGGAGCGCGACGGAGAACTGCAGATGCAGCGGGTCTAGCAGCGGGCGCGGCGCGGCTCGCGGCGGCGGCGGCGGTGCGGGGGCGGCGGGGGCGGCGGGGGGCGCGGGCGGCGGCGGCGGCGGGCTGCCGTCGTCGTCGGAGGCGGGCGGCGCGCGGCGCGCGGCGGGCCGCGTGACGCCCAGCTCCTGCAGCGTGCTGGACAGCTGGCGGCTGGAGCGCGTCATGACGCCGTGCAGCGCCACCGGGTGCTGCGGCAGCTCCACGCGCACGCCGCCCACGCTGCCCAGCGCCGTGCCCGCCGCGCGCGCCTCCCACGTGTACAGCGCCTGCGACTTGCCCACCGTCACGCGCACCACAGTCCTGCGCGACCGTCATACACGCCGGAAGCTCAATACTAAGTCACATCACTCACTAATATCATTCAAATAATAAGAAACTGGTATGTAACAGTAGAATTACGAGATACGAAAACATACTTGTTGGTAATAACAAAACAGATACCATGAGCGATAAAACGTTTTCTATGATATTCATAGTATTGCTCATATTTATAAACAACGGCAACCACTTTCGCTCAAACACAATTTTTTTTTGATCCCTCGAACCGGACACCCAAGTGTCTTTTAAAACAAATTAAAAAAGTATTTATTCAATAGTATTTTTCTTTTATGTTAATTCAAAATTTTACCAAAAACAATTCAACAGCTTTATACGTATTGTAAATATACGCTAGCAGGACACCACTGTGTAATAATAAGTGAAAACGAAGTTGAGTAAGCACTATGGTTCCCAGGGAAACTACGTGATTATTAGCAACAAAGCTATTAAACCAATAATCCCTTACCCCCTCGACAACCGGATGCCCCCAAGAAGCCTAGTGTCAATAAATATAAGCGTGCGTATACTGACTGCGCGGTAGGTTGCGGGAGGTGCGCGTGCTGCTGGTGGTGCGGCGGCGGCGGCGGCGGCGGCGGCGGCGGCGGCGGCGGCTGGGCGGCGCCCTCCAGCAGCACGATGGCGGCGCGGCCCAGCGTGCCGGCCAGCGAGCGCGGCCCGCGGCCCGCCAGCGAGCCCTGCAGCGACGTCAGCTCCGCCTCCAGCTTCAGCCCCGACAGCGACGCCAGCAGCCGCGTGCGGTGGATCCTGCGCGCGCACATACACACATACGTTTATACGCTTTACGTCACCAGTGACGGTCCGAATACGTATGATCAGAAACGTAAGACACTACCTGCACCTGTATTCATGTAAAAGCGATTCGAAATAATAACTGCATGCTATTATCACTAATTTCAGCATAGAGATATAGTTAATTATAAGCGTTTTCACTGTTTGTATTGACTATGGTCATGTCAGTCGAAAAGGTTTGGGTCACTTAAATAAAAATATGAATGAAAACTTTTTATTATTTTCTTCAGAGAATGATATAGATTATAAAGATAACCAATATGTATACAAACAAAATAAATGCTTAATTACATAAAAGCAAGGCCAAAGAACGGTCCTATGGCTAAAAAGTATTCTCAACTAGGCAACTTTAGGATCGAGAAGAATAGTTAAAAATGTGTCTAGTCAAGGTGTAACAGAAAAACAATAAGATTAAAAAAAGGAGAAAAAAGATAAATTAAATATCATCCATGTCAAAGTTTAAACCAAAATAAACACTAGAGTGAGAGAACATAAGATGGACGCAAAATTTTAAACTTGCAAAAACTTAACGCGCGGTGTTCGGTGCTTCAACTCAATTAGATAATCGTCACTCGTGTTACCACCACTAGGAAACTACGCTTAAGCTCCTATACTTTCAGTTCAAAAGGTAAAAGAGTAAAATTACAAAATATGAAAACATAATTGTTAGAAATAAAAAAACAAATACAATGAGCGATAAAATGTTTTTTTTTTTATGATATTCATAATATTGTTCATATCTATAAACGGTAACAATTTTCGGCCAAACACAATTATTTTTTGATCCTTCGAGCCGGACACCAAAGTGTCTTTTTAACATAAGATGGACGCAAAATTTGAAACTTGCAAAAACTTAACATAGTAATTTACAAGTAATAACTAAAAGAACCTGGCCAGGCCGACGACGACGAGCCCGCGCGGCGCGGCGGTGGCGGTGGTGACGGCGGAGGTGACGGCGGAGGTGACGGCGGCGGCGGACGAGTTGCTGGCCGTCTGCTCGCGCGAGCTGGGCCGCGCCCGGCCCGCGCGATACTGCTCCGGGATCTCCGTCGTCACGGAAAACCTGCCCCACACGGAGCGACCTCACATTATATATTTATTTATTCACAAAAAAATCAGAGATACACTAGAGCAAATAGATACGAAGTAGGATCATAAAAAAAGCCTATCAGTAGCTTTCAGTGGTTTTCACAAGTAGCAATAATATAGATAAAAGGTGCTGCACACAGAGTAATAAAATAGCTTGAACCCTTCGACTCAGTGCAACGACGAGCTATGAGAATTGTCAATGATTCCAGGCTTGCAAGCCGTATCGAACACTAAAGTCTTAGAAGAGATTTTGCCTCACTCTATGTTCTACCTCTTGTACAACGGATTGTGCTCAGAGGAATTATTCAATATGATGCCTACGGCCACTTTCTATCATCGTACGGCTCGCCATCGACAGGAAGTTCACCCTCATACCCTACAGCCTAAATGGTTTCAGAGATGTTTTTTTCCACGAACACTCAGGTTATGGAATTAACTTCCTGCCAAGATTTTTCCAAGAGACTACAGCATGAAGTAAAGAGGTTTCTTCAGGATTGGCAACGCGCTTAATACCTCTAGTATTGCAGGTGTTCATAGACTACGGTAACCGTTTAACATCAGGTGGGGCTTGTTTGCCATCTCAGTGGTATAAAAAAAATAGGAATTAACAAAAAAATACATACAAAAAAGGGATAAAAACAAAGTAATAATGATGAATAAAATACATAGTAAAAATTACATGTAAATATTTGATTATAGCCTTCTTATCCATACAATATGCATAACATACAATATAAATAAAGTGAATTGTTCGAAAAAATCGGCTCAATTTTTTCATACACTTTTGCATGATAAATAATTGAGTGATTCTTTTATAACTTATATATTTATTTTGTCTTATATTTTTCTATCTCTTTAATGCATAAAATCACATTTTATTTATAAAGTAATTAAATATAGATACGTCAAAAAACATTGGGTGCGTAAGTATAAAAAACACTAATAAAAAACGGATCAGATAATTTGACAATTAGCTGACAAAAAAATCGACCCGTTATTGAGACTCGATGCGCGATCTGTATAATCTAAGGGTGCAATATTAACGATAAATATGGCAGTTCATTAAATTAATATACAATTGTCAATGCTAATGTGGTTTTCGGTAATAGAGTACAATGAAAAGCGTTTAAACCTGTGAGTGATGGTCTCGGCGTCGGGCATGTTGGCATAGAGGTCGAGCAGCTGGTACACGGTGCGCCAGCAGCGCGGCGCCAACTTGGTGTCGGCGGGCGTGGGGCCGACAGCGGCAACGGCGGTCGCGGGGGGAGGGGCCGGCGACGTCGCCAGCAGCTCCGAGCTGAACATGGGCGTGTGCGCGCCCTCGTTCAGGGAACTGTAGCCTGTACACATACAGGAGAATTCCACTGTTAAACAAGTTGCGTCACAGCGTATCAATTTATTTTATAAGCTATTTTTGAAGCCTACAGAGCAGCGCTTCAAAAGTGATTACATAATTAAGGGTTGAATATGAATAATGAAAGGTTGTCTGGAAGAGATTGCTTAGCAATAAGACCGCCTTTTGTACTACACTATACTTATCGAAAACTGTTCAACAAATCCTGTAATATTGGTACAATAGTGTTAAATAAATAAATAATAGTACATTACTGCAGCGGCCAGCAAATAAGGCATTGATGGACGAACGTGCAAATGTGGGCTGAGGCGTAGCCGAGGCACACATATGTGAGTCCATTAATGCCTAGTTGTGGCCAAGGCTTGTATATTACTTTTCTCAAACAATGAGCGGAAATCAAAAACACAATTTTACTTTTTAAGTTCAATGACGAATAACGAACAATAATAATTTTTCACGCGGCATAATGTTTCTTTGTTTTTTTTTTTCAATAAACAGCTTTCTATTTGCAAGCCAGTTTCAAATTTAAATAAAACCTTTTATTAGTTACTTCCTTGGTAGCCATGTTTCGTAGTAAAAGGTCATTCCATTTTTAAATTACAGGACAGATATGAGTTTACATAGTAATTTATCTGATCGCAAAACACGACAGATATGGATTTTCATACAACTTTTGCCGGCCGCTGCCCGCATGTATCTGGCCAGTACGGCAATTTTGATTATCTCGAAGAAGATTGTCAAAATAATGCTCACATTTCCAAGCATGTTTGAGAAAAATTTATTTATACTATATGAGGTACATTTTATATAGATATAGTTATTATATATGAAAATATACTTAGATTTAATTTCATTGAACATAGAAAAAAAATGCAGAGGTAAGACAAAACAGGTAAAGTAATATCTGACCGAGCTTCCCCTTGACGGTCTTGCCGGTGGAGCGCAGCTTCTGCGCGAAGGACTGCGGGCGCGGGCGCGGCGCGGCCAGCGGCGCCCGCGCCGCGCTCAGCTGCGAGCCGCGCCGCGCGCCGCCCTCCGCCGCCGCCTCCCCCGCCACACCCGCCACACCCGCCACACCCGCCACACCCGCCACACCCGGCACGGCCACCGCCGACACCAACGGGGGCTCCTTTTCCAGCGACGACACGCTCACTAGCGTCTCACGGAAGTCCGACACTGGAAATGGTCGAACTTTCTACCATAGTACGGCTCGCCATCGACAGGGAGTTCATCCTCATGTCCTACAGCCTCAATGGTCGCGTACTACGCGGTTTCAAAAACGTTTCCTCCCACGAACACTCAGGTTGTGGAATGAGCTCCCTGCCAAGGTTTACCCTAAAGACTACACAGCATGGGGTTCTTCAAAAGAGGAGTTAAAGAGGTTTCTTCGGGGTCAGCAATGCGCGTGTAATACCTCTGGTATTGCAGGTGTTCATAGGCTACGGTAACAACTTACCATCAGGTAGGCCGTATGCTTGTTTGCCACCTCAGTGGTATAAAAAAAACCCACAACTGTTACAGATGAATGGATAAGATCGCTCTCAGCAATAATTAAGTTCTGCGGCGTATGCTGTGTGCAGGGTTAAACAATGAACCAATATTGAGACTGCCAGATTAGTTTATTTTTATTACTTTCATAGTATACTGTCCTATGGAATATTACTATGGGGTAAAACAGTCAACATCCAAAGCATACTTCTATAAAAATTCGTGAATCACTGAGAGAAATATTTATAGAAATAAATATTCTCACCGTAACTTCACAATGCATATACGCAAACATTTTGTATATACGCAAGAATCTTCTACTAGATACAAATTCAAACCTGCTGTTCTGAAGTATCATTTAGAAAAAATTAATAGGTCTTTATGGGAATGAGTATTAAATGTTACAATAAGGTACCAAAAGATATTTTGAATCTATCTTTTAATAAGTTTTAAACTATTATTAAAAATACTTATTAAAAAAACAGACTAAACGATTACTTGAATGACAAATGTGCACGGTGTCAGTCGATCTCATGCACGAGCTTTTAACGACCATGTCACTTTAGACATAACATTATGTGTACTTGTATTTATTTAAATGTATTAAATAAATACAAGTACACATAATGTTAACACAGATTTAAAACAGTAACTGTGAACATCTTACTTATTATTCATAATCTAATTCCATATTTACTTGCAGATGACATAATTTATCTGCATTTCCAAAATACTCAAATTATTTAAAAAATATACCTAATAAAATGATAGACCAATGCAGTCATTCGGGCACAAATTTACCAGAGGGAGACTTTGTACAAAAGTCGATTGCTTGGGTACCTCTGTCCTATTCGTGTTTCTACCGTGAAGCAGTTGTGTTTGCATGGCTGTGTTTCGGTTTGAAGGGTGGGATATGGCGTGAATTTACAGGGCACAGAGGAATAACACCTGAGTCCTCAGGAATGGCAACGCATGGGGGGTATCATGGGCGAAACAGTATACTCTGTTATGTCCATAGTACTACTGCTCGTGTCTATAGGCGACGGTTACCACTTTCCATTAGGTGAGCCGACAACTTGTTTGCCATTCTAAGTTGTATAAAAAAAAATTGTCATGAACATTGTATTCTGTGAAATTTATAGTGCTACAGGTAACAGTTACCACTTTCCATCAGGTGGGCCATCAGCTCGTTTGCGATTACAGGATAGGCATAAAGGAGTGAACATACCTGATGAGGAGGTGTGCTTGTTCTGCCTGTGCGATATCTTGGTCTGGGTGCGCAGCTCCGTCTGCGTGTCCTTCACGTTCTGGTACATGTTGCTGATCTGATGCAGCAGTCGCAGCAGCGGCATATTCACCTGCGCACACGCAACACACCCGTTCATTCACTGTACACTCACACTCACAAGTGTTCCTTCCCACTGATTCCCAGATAAATCCATTTAAGGAAAAAACTTTTCTAAATTGGCTCAAATCTGGGTGTCCTGGGTTTTGTTCCCAGATGTTCTTTACTTGCTTCCTCATTACATAAGGTATCCTAGCTCAAGGAGGAAGGTATTGATGTGATCGTAAAGTGCTTATACAGAGTGCAAGGGACAGGTTAGCGAAAACTGAAATAATTTGTTATATACATGTTTTAATTTAATATGCTATTGGTATTCCTAAGAATAAATAAATAGTGAATGCAGTCCACTATTCTGAATTGAAAACCAGTAGTAATTGTTTTCAGAAACTTTCTATTTTTTTCGTTGTTTTTTTTTTTATATATTTAAAAACATGTAATCTATGATATTACGTCATAAAACATAATATAGAGAAATAGTAGAATTTTATAGTAAAATACTATGCAATACAAAAAATCAGCAATGTAATATTCGTATTAAAATTGTTCTGCGACGCGCGGAATCAGCTGTACGCTACAAGCGTACGAAAACTACCTACGAAGAAGCGCCGTTGACTGCGCATGGTACGTGGAGCATAGTACGTCGTAAAATTACAAATACATTGCGCGGCGTCAATACTAAAAATCGCTAATTGTATCGCTATGACGCATTTCCAATGTGAAAATAATCTGCCATCTGATTGAGAGCATCCATCTGGCCAACCTGTCCCTTCCACCCTGTATACTAACCACCTGCTATATGTGTACGCGATAGTGACGCATAGATAGCATAATACCATCACCAGAGGGAGACTTTGTACAAAAGTCGGTTGCTTGGGTACCTCTGTCCTATTCGTGTTTCTACTGTGAAGCAGTTGTGTTTGCATGGCTATGTTTCGGTTTGAAGGGGATATGGCGTGAATTTACAGGGTACAGAGGAATAACGCCTGAGTCCTCAGGAATGGCAACGCATGGTGGGTATCATGGGCGAAACAGTATACTCTGTTATGTCCATGGTACTGCTCATGTCTATAGGCGACGGTTACCACTTTCCATCAGGTGGACCGTCAGCTCGTTTGCCATTCTATGTTGTATAAAAAAATATATACAGCAGTATCTTATCACCAAGCACTTACCTGTTGCGATATGAAGCGCACGCTGACATTGAAGTTGAGCATGGTGCTGATGTGCTTCTTGAGCTGGCCGCGCGAAATGTACAGCACATTCTGCCGCTGGATCAGGTCGTCCACCGTCACGTCCGCTACCTTCTTCACGTCCACGTCGATCGACACCTTCTCGCAGAGGAACGCCGGCGTCTCTGACGGTATGTCTGTGTGGCTCGAAGTGCCTGCATGAATGAGAAGTGCGATAAATATCTTCATCATCTATCAGCCTTTAACTGTCCATTGCTGAACATAAGGCTTCCTCTTGAGAGACATTGCCAGTAGTTGCCACGCTTGAAAGGCGGATCAGCAACCACAGTTAGACTTTGGAGATGTTTTAAGAGAGACGCTGCTGCCCAACCCTCGCCCTCCGGGGGGAAAGGGTTTGTTAGTAATGGTGTCAAATAGCCCCATCACTAGCAATATACCCTGTCAGATCGACCTCCACGTGGTTCCTCCTGGAAACCATCGTGGCTAATTCTAGTTGAATTCGTTACGATGGGCTAACTGACCTGCTTCCATCCTGATCAGTCATCTATCACTGGTGCTCCGCCAGTGTATACCAATAGCGCAGACGGGGTTACCATACCATTATCAGCCATTAAAAAAAACCTCGCCCTCCCTTAGTCGCCTCTTACAACACCCACGGGATAGGACGGGGAGGCCTATTGTATGCCGGGACCACATGGTGATAAATATATTTTTGTTTAAATACTTGGTATAAATATATTTGTAACAAGAATCAAGTGTACTACAAAATGATGATCCCTCCCTTTCCAAACTATTTGTGTTTACGATAATATTCTTGTGGGGCAAGCTGTGGAATGAGCTCCCTATCGAGATTTCCCCTAGAAACTACAGTATGGGGTTCTTCAAAAAGGATATGTGAAGACTCCTTCAGGGTCAACAACGCGTACATTACACCCCTAGTGTTGCAGGCGTTATAGGCTACAGTGACCGTTTAGCATCAAACGGGCTGTATGCTTGTTTGCCACCTATGTGATATAAAAAAGTGAATTTATCCAATATTTCCAATGGAAAGACAGTTTAACGCAGAAAAGAATATTCTATAATGTTAACCAGGCATTAAGCCTGGTTTAAGTTCTTGCCACACTATTTTTCATCAAAATGCGCCCAGTAATTTAAGCGTGATGTACGCACAGACACGAGAGTATTCACAAGGTATCAAACTGACCCTTCCCCTTGGCGTGCCGTCGGTCGCGGGCCGGCAGGTGGCTGACGACGATGTCAATGCGGAACATGTCCATCCAGGCCAGCAGCGACAGTTTCGAGCCCAGCGACTCCAGCGCCGGCGCCGCGCCGCCGCCGCCGCCGCCGGCCTCGCCCGGACCGCTCTTGTTCTTCGACTCGCCTGCAACAAATGTCCTTTATGTTTAGACCTTAGATTACTTAGATAAAGTGTTTCCATACAAATGCTTCGAGAAAAAATGGGTTAACTTTTTCATATATTTTTGCATGATAAATAGTTATTAATGATTCCTTTATAACTTCTATATTTATTTTGTCTTGTAAATTCTGCATCTTTTTAATACGTAATTACTCATTTTATTTATTAAATAATACGTCAAAGTACATTTTGTGCGTAAATATATAAAATACTGATAAAAAAAACTAGCCAGTTAATTTGACAATTAGCTGACAAAAATTTTACTCGTTTTTGATCTATATAATCAAAGGTTAAGACATAACCTCTTGTAGTAAAACGATGTAGTAAACTGCGTTTTGCTCGGTCACCACTTGTTTTACAACGTACTAATGAATCGAGTTTGACATAACTCAATTTACGTTTATACAAATTTTTATATTGATAAATGAAATCAGCAAAGTAAGTAATTTACAGCAACCATTTATTTCTGAATTCACAATTAAGGCGACAATATTGCAGCTGGAATACCGTGTGTAGTTTTGCCACTTTCCATAAAGTGGGCAGTCAGCTTCTTTACCATTCTAAGTTGCATACCATAGCAGCGGTTACAGGTGCAGGCGGTTGGAGTGCACCGTGTACGCACCGTGTGCGACCTGGTGCGGCGAGACGCCGAGCGCGGCCAGCAGCGGCTGGAACACCAGGTGCGCGTCCAGCAGCATCAGCGAGCCCTGCAGCGGGTACAGGCTGCACGCCGGCAGCGACGCCGCCATCGTGCGAGGGTTTATCTTCGACGCTGGGAAAGGCTTCTTGCTTTTTGGCTCCTGAATATTGTAAAATAAGGATTTTATACTTACAGCCGAGATTAATAAAATCAGACTGCGGCCTAAGATAAGAATTTGATCCAGTCTAAATCCCTGATTTTTTTTAATAAAATAAAACTATTTCAATCGTAACTATTAATATGGCCGAAGATCAGCAACCAAACGGAGCAGTCTCATGTATCTTCTTTCGAAATAGCAGTTAACTATCATTAGTCGCTCTTACGACACCCACGGGAAGGGAAGGGGTGGCCCATTCTATGCCGGGACCACATGGACAACTATGTTGTCCGACAATTGAACACGAACAACTCAGGTATATTACAACTACCCTCCATTGGGAAATATTTGGTAAAATGGCCACTTACGACTTTGATGGGCTCCTGTTTGGCCATCCACTGGTACAGGTCCTCCCGGGCGCGGTCGTTCTTGATGTTCTCGTCGCTGCCGTGCGGCGAGTACAGCGACGGGTTCGAGCCCACTGTGGGCAGGTCCTCCTTCAACGTGCCGTAGTCTGCACATTGCATTGTTATATTGCATATGGCAACACCACTGGTAAAACTACCCAAGCTTGGATATTTTTATTATCATATCAGCTGTTAAGTGTTGAACATAAACCTTCTCAATATAGAAAATATTGCCAGTATTTGTCACACTTGGCAGGTAGATTGGCAACTACAGTTAAACTTTGGTGATATTTTAAGAGGGACACTATTGCCCATTCTTCGAGCATTAAGTTCCCTTAGTCGCCTCTCACGACACCCACGGGAAAGGCAGAGGTGACACTTTCTATGCCGGGATTACACGACAAAGCTTGGATGCTTATATAGATATATAGTAATTAGTACTTACTTTATGTATTTACATTATAATAAAATATTGACGTCCAATATATTCTGGCGTCCAAATCTGGCATCTTTGTGCTAGTTTTTGACGTCAAACGGTAAACTTTGGTATTGTTTGCTTTATAACATTACGTTAAACTAGAAATTTGTCATAACGAAAGTGTTAATTTAATCATAACAATGTTGTATCTCTAATAAATGATTTCATAGCGGTATATTCATAGCATATGGTATCTTAGGCAGTCTATTACTTAGGTATTAAAAGTAAGGGTCGGAAAGACGAGGGACAGTCCTTTACCAGGGGTACATTTTGTTCATCTAAATAGAACATTCAGAATTGTCATGCGTGACCTAATTGTTTCTAATTGATGCTTCATTTATCATGGCGGATAGCTATAATTTTGCATTATATTTTATTAAAAAAATCTTGGAATATTTTAATATATAAAATCTTAATTTCATAGACTTTTTCGACTTCAAATAGGGTTCTTTATTCGGTCTATATATATATATATATATATATATATATATATATATATATATATATATATATATATATATATATATATATATACACCGAATTGGAAAATTCTTTTTTTATCTTACAGATTGGTCTCGCAGAAATTTTATCAAAATCGCATCAGTAATTTAGTTTTTAGGTCAAAATAACTGATTATGTCCCAATCGAAATAGATTTTTTTTGTGGGACATTATCTTTAATTATTATTGCAATTATGCCGAAATTAAAAATACCCCCTTTTTAATAAACAAGAACCTAAATGCCCTCCGTGGAGTGTCCCTCGCCTGCATAAGCCCCGCAACTTACTAGCAATAGCATCATCCTGGAAGGCGGGCTTCCTGGTGGAGAAGGGCAGCGACGGGAACACTAGGCTCGCGCGGCTGCTCTGCGCGCCGCGCACTGTACCGGACGCGGGCTCGTTAGCCACGGACTACTCACTAGCACTAATGGCTGCACCAGAGTTGGCTTTAAGGACGGCCTCTTAGATAACCAGCTTACAGTAACCGCCATTAATTACCGAGTAAAATTAGGGCTCAGCAAAAACGACAGGGACATTAATGGTAATGATGATGGTGGTGGTGGTGGTGATGGGGTGGTGGTGATGGGATGGTGGTGATGATAGGATGGCGGCGATGATGATGGAATGGTGTTGTTGATGATGATGGTGCGGTGTTGGTGATAATGCGGTGATGGTGGTGGGTGATGGGGTGCTGATGATGGGATGGTGGTGGTGATAATGGGATGATGATGATGGAGTGGTGATGACGATGGTGGTGGTGGTGGTGATGACCTTGCTACACGCACACCTGATCCTTACAGGATACTGCGTACGCAGTTGAAGAGTTATACGAGAGTTATACCTTTTAATGACTTTAAAAAGAAGTGCCGTGTCGCTAAAACCAACTCTGACTGATACGGTCAAACAATGTACCTTAATAAGAGTTAATTTAGACACAAAATTGCATGATAGGGAAAATATGCAAAGGTGAAAAAAAAAAGAGAATGTTCGAATCAATTGGATAACACTTTATACAGCCATAACATTAACACAAAACAAAATATAAGTTTATTGATAATTACTGAACACATAAAATGCAATGGATTCTGAACGTACTGAAGTATGAATGATCCGTTTGTAGGTCACGTGGGACACACAAGCGTGGTGGGCGCATGAGTTTAAAACAATGTATGTACACAAGCGTATATTAAACAGAATGAGGTGTAGCTGTAATGCAGCCATGGTAACGACATAAAAAGGAGCATATCTCATTCGACAGTCAACCACAACGATCTCAACACACAAACGCAGGTCATTTAAAATGAATATTATATATTTTTGTACGTATATAACAACTTGGGAGTCTACCATGAAATGAAATTCCGAATTTTCGGACTTTATATAATACCGAAATCGGCCCAGTAAATAGAGTTATAAATCCTACCATAAAAGTCTAACAGAACAATATTCTTGATAATTGTATAATTTTGATAATTTTAAACGATATGTATAATGTAATTTTAACGTTAAATTTGTGTTTCGTTCGACACTGAAATTTCGAAAAGCATTCCATGGTAGGTCCTCTGGTTATCTAACCATAGATATAAAAAGAATAAATCAGGTGTTAGAACCTCAAATTAATATAAAATGACCATATTGGTGATTTGTAATAGTAAACCGAGACATTTTATACTTGTAATTCTAATAATTTAATACAATTTGCAGAATACGATTTTCCTGACACGAAGAAAACCAGGGACAACGAATAGAAAACTGCTTCCCTAGACATGTGACAAGTGAATCCATCGATGGAATCGTTATCGCTAGTCCATGAGTTGGAATGAGACATCCGACATTGCTATCTCATTCTATCCCACAGACTCGCCAGCGATGTCGATTCCATCGACGAATTCGCTTGCCACTTGTCTAGAGGGTATGGATGGATGACACCAAGATCCTACTACGAATCACCAAAGTGATCATTTTACTCATTAACATGTTGAATTAAAAATACATTTCATTTTAAACGACTTAACGTAACGTTGGGATTTGTAGACGATATATATTAACGTTAAAAGTATTAACAAATACGTTAAATTATGATAAGGCAGTGGCAGATGGAGTTTTTGACACTTGGACTGTTCATTTGATCTGTAAATGTATACGGTTACGTAAATATTATTTTTAAAAGTTATATTCATTTTTTAATTTAATCCGATATCTCTATACATATCTAGCTATTTATTTATTTTTATTTATTTATTTACTTACAAGAAACATGGTAAGTGTATAGATGTTACAATAAGTATAAGTCCTCATATTTCGCCATAATTAGGCGTGCTAATATTAAAACTTAAAAAGAATAAATGTTAAATGTGCTATGCGAACTGCGGCCTGCAACGCGAGGCGAAACGCCCCCAGAAGACTTCCGAATGAAGTCGAAACAATAGAATGAAGGAACGAGTGAGTATACTTTATTTGCATTATACAATATAGGGAATGAGCAAGACAATTAATAAATGTAACGATACAATTGTATAAGTACAGTAAGGCGGTCTTATTGCTGGTTATTATAACAATTGTCGAAAACGACAAGAACACAAAACTCATTAATAATTTCTCTTTACATATGGTATAGAGCTACATAAATATGGCAGTTTCGACATTATATAAATTATTTATATAAAAAAGTAGACTAAAAATATATAATGTATAATGGACTATATTAATATTATTCAAAATACTTGTACTTTATTTTTTTTTTACAACACAGAGGGCAAACGACCATGCGGCTCACCTGATGGTAAGTGACTACCGCCTCCCATGGTCACCCACAACACCAGCGGCATTGCAGGTGTGCTTTATTAAGAACTCACAATACAAACTGTGAATTAATACACTTCAGTGCAGAATTTTTGTCTGTGTTAACTTGGTAAACAAGCACTTTTAAATTATCATTTCTTTTTAATCTACTGTAGGGTTCGGAAGGCTGCCATCTGTTGAGAAGAGACCGCAAGAAACTCAACATTTACTCTTTTAAATCTCTGTTAACATTATGTGTATTTATTTAAATGTACTATGTCTAAAATTACATGGTCGTCAAAAGCCCGTGCATGATCGACTAACACCATGCACGCTTGTCATTCAAGTAATCGTTTAGTATGCAATAGAGTTTATTCAATAAGTGTTTTTAATAACAGTTCTCAAATAAGATAGGCGATATGTTGTAAAAGGGTCAAATTAAATGTACCCGTAACCGGAGAACGTGTATAACAAAGATTGATGAATGTGGAGGAAGCGAAAGAGGCTTGTTTGAATCGAAGCATTTGGCGTTCCATTGTTTCTGCCTACCCTAATGGGAGACAGGCGTAACAGATACGTATGTATGTATGTTGTCAAATAAGAATGTGGTCAAAAACCCCATCGTACTCTGCTGCTCCTATGTGTTAATGCACATCAGCGAAGGCCGTGTAAGTCACAATTCCCAATGTGCAGCGGCAGCAAGCATGTGTACGAACCGGAAGGCGGCGTGGACGGGAAGGAGTGCGGCCGCGGACTACCGCCCGCCGCCGACGCTTCACGCCAACACGCAACACTTGTTATAGTACTTTTATAGATCCCTTATTAATACCACATGTGCTGGTTAGTATACCGTGCTCACTATACAGTGGCCATTTGATCCACATAGTAATCGATTTAATTCGTCACAAGTTCGTTCAATTAGATGAAAACTAACATGACAATAAACAAATCTGAACAGCACATAAATAATAAAGAAAAATAAACTTTAAAACCGATATTTTATCAACATTTTAGTGTATAGAGTAAATTTAAATCTATACTTATAATAAATCTGTAGAGAGGTCAATTCTGTACATGAAATATATTTCTAAAATAACTATCAGCGGGTGATTAGTGATCGACACTGATGCCAGAAATGCAATCAATAAAATTTTTGCCCGTCTGTCTGTATGTTCGTTATAGAAACAAAAACTACTCGACGGATTTTAACGAAACTTGGTACAATTATTCTTTATAACCCTGGGCAGGTCACAGTATACTTTTCATCACGCTACGATCAATAGGAGCAGAGCAGTGAAGGGAAATGTTGGGAAAACGGGAGAAGTTACTCCATTTTTAAGCTTCCGTCGCGTGTGTAGCCTTAATGGGCACTTCTTAAAATGTAATAATGTCCACCCGTGCGACGCCGGGACGGACCACTAGTAATTAATATATTTTGAAATTATTGAACGAAGCAAATTAATAGTATTTTTATGATAGATTGGAAATCAAATCGTCACATAGTTCTTGACTTTACAGTTACTAGATTATTTGACCCTCGTTATTATTTCATAGTATCTAAACACAAAGACAGATATATCACGAGATAGTGAGCTCATTACGTACAAGATTTATAGAGAAAAAAGACGTATAGATACATACAAACATTTGCACCTGGATTTTATACCTTAATTTTTAAAGTATCATGTAATAATTGAATAATCTATAAAGGGCATCTTCACCATTGCATTTTGTCAAAAGACTATGAAATGTTTATTATTTGTTTTGTGCCATTATAATACATACCAGGAATGTGAAGTTTGTCCGTCTCTATGTTGAGCAGTAGACAGTTCTCGTCCAGGGTCTCGTTGTCCAGCTGATACTCCTGCCAGCCTTCTACTGAGTCCTGTTGGAAGAAATATACTTCTGTTTATACTGTACTTCCATATTCTTTTAAGAGTTCCAACTAAACTAGTTTTTTTTTTGATGGATGAAAATGGTATGGTCACCCCGCCTGCGCTAACGGAATACGCTGGCGGAGCACCAGTGAAGGGTGATCGATGAGTATGAAAACAGGCCAGTTAGCCCATCATGATGAATTCATCAGGAATTAACCATGATAGTTTCCAGGGGGAACCGCGAGGAGGTCGACCTGGTTGGGCATATTGCTAGCAATGGGATTCTCAGTCTCCATTACTAACAATCCCTTTTCCCCCTTAACTAAACTAGTTGTATTAAACATTGGTATTTTTAACATCCACTCACTCATGTAGGTCTGTCTGTAAATATTGCCAGTAACGTCAAAGATTCGTTTAATGCGATAAGAAAGACATATACTGCTCCAATCCCAATTACCAGAGGGAGACTTTGTACAAAAGTCGATTGCTTGGGTACCTCTGTCCCATTCGTGTTTCAACCGTGAAGCAGTTGTGTTCGCATGGCTGTGTTTCGGTTTGAATGGTGGGATATGACAGTGAATTTACGGGGTACAGAGAAATAAAACCTGAGTCCTCATGTATGGCAACGCATGGGGGGTATCATGGGCGAAACAGTATACTCTGTTATGTTCATGGTACTGCTAATGTCTATAGGCGACGGTTACCACCTTCCATCAGGTGGGCCGTCAGCTTGTTTGCCATTCTAAGTTGTATATAAAAAAAATCCCTAAAAGCCCCATGAACAATAAAATTTAAATGAGTAATCGATCAATCGCATTAATGTAAGACGTTGTTCACGTCTACAGGCGACGGTTACCTAATACTTTCGGTGGGGGAAAGGGATTGTTAGTAATGAGGTCTAATAGCCCCATTGCTAGCAATACACCTTATCAGGTCGACCTCCACGCGATTCCCTCTGGAAACTATCATGAGTAATTTTTGTCGAATACATAGTGGTGGGCCAACTGACCTACATTCATTCTCACCTATCATCTTTCCCTGGTGCCCCGTCGGTGTATACCGATAGTGCGGGCGGATTTACCATTCCATTATCACCCATTAAAAAAATAAACTTTCGGTGTGCCGTTATCCTGTTTACCATTTGACGTTGCATAAAAAATATACTAACACATCTTATTCATAAAAACAAAAGCAAATTGTGCAGTAAGTGCAACAATCACCATTTTAAGCTGAACTTAATACGAATACAAATCCACTTCATTCACGTTTAAAGCAGCAGTCTTTAAAAATGAATTAAATGGATAAATAAATGCCCATTGTCATTTTTTTTTCTCATTCAATTATCCATTAAATAAAAACACTGTTATTATAACAGTTTTCACAACATAAATTATATGTAAATAAATTGTAAGTTATCAATGCAAGAGCGCTATGACCGCTCATTTACTAACATAGGTTAAGTCATTTATAACTAACAAAATGGACCTTATGTAGTCTGATTAAATTATTATTATTAATAGCAATGGAGTTGACAAAATTATGGGTATGGGTGCATATTATTTACAATACATAAAAGCCAATCTATATACACTAGTAATGATTATTGTTTTAATAATACACTAATATTGATTTATTTTTTCATAATAATACATACTTCGAGAAGGTCCGGCAGTGCAAACGTTACGTTGAGCGGTTTCATCACTTTGCTCTTGTAGTTATGCTCCAGCAACAGTGGCGTGTACAAGATGTTCTTCCACTGCCGACTCAGCACTATCACGCCCTGTGAAGTGCGAACATGTCTCGTACTAGGGCGGCTAGTATTTACAAGCGGCTATGATACTTTTCTAATATATTAGGTTCTATATGGATGTGCAAAAATTGTGCCAACCAATATTACGTACCGGCGAAATTTAGTCTATGCAATGTAGGTATGTGATTTATCAAAATTATAAAGTGTACTAATTGCATGGTGTACCAACCCGTTTTACTCATTAAAAATCATTTGTGTCGGATACATGCAATCTCCGAATATTTCTAATTATCCATATTATTTTATATATTACTTTTATGTCTAACTTAGATTATTCGACATTGGATGGCGATGCGTGTATTTGTACACGATTATGGCTCAAACATTTTGTGGTCGACCTTGAAGTGAATCTATGAAAGAAGATTATAAAAGGAACACATTTGAGGGGAAAGAGTAGAGATGTAAATAGCAGCTATTATAAAAGGACGTGTGTTGACTAAATAGGTGACGTAATAAAGTTAAAATATAATAATATATAAATGAAAGTGTAAAAGGCGATAAATACAAAGAACTGTATAGAAAAAAAGTCTCAATATTATTTTCTCAAACATGCTTAGAAATGTGAGCATTATTTTGACAATCTTCTTCGAGATAAATCAAAATTGCCGTACTGGCCAGATACATGCGGGCAGCGGCCGGCAAAAGTTGTATGAAAATCCATATCTGTCGTGTTTTGCGGCCAGATAAATTACTATGAAAACTCATATCTGTCCTGTAATTTAAAAGTGGAATGACCTTTTACTTCGAAACATGGCTACCAAGGGGGTAACTAATAAAAGGTTTTATTTAAATTTCGAACTGACTTGCAAATAGTAAGCTGTTTATTGAAAAAAAAAAAATCAAAGGAATATTATGGCGCGTGAAAAATTGTTATTGTTCGTTATTCGTCATTGAACTTAAAAAGTAAAATTGTGTTTTTAATTTCCGCGCATTGTTTGAGAAAAGTACTATACAAGCCTTGGCCACAACTAGACATTGATGGACTCACGTATGTGTGCCTCGGCTACGCCTCGGCCCACATTTGCACGCTCGTCCATCAATGCCTCAGTTGTTGGCCGCAGCAGTAATGTACTATAATAGGCGTGTCGTATTTATTCAATCTTAAGTAAAGTGAAGATTCTAAGTTACGCCTTTTGTGTGGTATGGTGCGAGATGTGAAAGTGTGAGGCGTGTACCTGCCGGAGCGTGGAGAGCGAGGGCAGGTGGCGCTCGGCGAGGTCAGCCTGCACGGCAGCCGCGTCGGCCTGCAGCGCGTGCCGTAGCAGCACGCCGCACAGCTGCAGCGACGGCTCCTCGCGCAGCTGCTTCGCCATCGGCGTGTGCCGCCCGTACCGGCTCTGCGGCCAAACAACAATACCTAACTGCACTGGTAGTCGGGGGAACGGATAGTTAGTAATACGGATTATCAGTCTCATTGCTAGCAAGGTGCCCTGTCGGGTGTTCCCCTTGTCCACGTGGTCGTCCTGGAAACCATCAGTTGCCTTTTCATTCTCATCTGTCATCCCTCAATGGTGTCTCGCTAGCGTGACATTACATTATCATGCATAAAAAAATTGTATTGGTAGCTTCCATGTATTCTTCCAAGTTGCGTTTGAAACACACGCATGCGCTATGACCACGCATCATGCGCGGTAGCAATAAAACATGTGTTAAATGAAAACTTGTAGAGATTGTATTCTATCTCTTGTTTAAAATGCATCATATAAATGATAATATTTTTTTTATACAACTTAGAATGGCAAACAAGCTGACGGCCCACCTGATGGAAAGTGGTAACCGTCGCCTGAAGATATAAGCAGTACCATGGACATAACAGAGTATACTGTTTCGACCATGACACCCCCCATGCGTTGCCATTCCTGAGGACTCAGGTGTTATTCCTCTGTACCCTGTAAATTACTACCATGTCCCACCCTTCAAACCGAAACATAGCCATGCAATCAAAACTGCGTTACGGTTGAAACACGAATGGGACAGAGGTACCCAAGCAAACAACTTTTGTATAGTCTCCCTAATAATTTAAAAAATATATACACATTTAGATGAAAAAGTGTAACGAAGAGACTAAAAATTTAATTTTTCCTTCAAAATTTACACTAGAAACCGTCAAAAATTTGCTTATGGATACTCCAATAAGGGATCACATGATGGCCTTGATTTTTTCTTTGCCAGAGTGAGGAGGGACATTAAAAACTTGGCCAGAAGCGTCAGGAAGGCTAGCGCCGATCCTGATTGCAAGCAACGGATCTGATACGCACCTTGGGCAGCGCGTGATGTGGCGCGAGGTCGAGCGCGGCGGCCATGAGGCTGGCGGCGGTGGCGGTGAGGCGGCGGGCGTGGGCGCGGTACAGCGCCACCACGCGGATACCCAACCGGTTACACGGGTTCATCCACGCGTTGATCGCCGGCGACGCAGTACTCAGCAAGTTCCAATCCAATCTTCAAAGGAATAATTAATACATGTGCAAGAAACCTAATAAAATCTCAACTGCCAAACAAAAACAATGATCAGACTGCTAAGATTAGCATCAAGTCGATGAACACGTTAACATTTTTAAAACCATTTTGCCAATATTCGATATACATCCAATTCTAGCACAAACTTTTTAGAGCTACTTTTCGTTAGACTATTAATGCCAATATACTTGAAAAAACATCAGGGTACATTTACTGTTACAGGTGTATAGGCGTATTTAGAGAGGGGCCGAGTGGGCCGTATCTATCTCAGAATCATTTGATTTCCATCCCAAAATGCGAGCAAAGCTTCGCAGAGACATGTCTGACAGAACATGCGCACTTTTTTAAGGGATCAAGCCCCCCTTGGAAAATAATTTTAAATGCCAATATACTGGGAATTCATATTTCAGTAGTTACTAAACCAGTCCAAATTATTAAGCATAAATACAGGCACATCTTTTAAATACCTGGTATAGTCAATCTTCTTTGTGATTGGCGTCCGAGGTGGAGCAGCAAAATTGAACCAAACTACTTTGAGATCTATCGCACAGGACGACATATTCCCATTGTCCTTTACGGGTACCATAGTACTGCTGCTGTCGTTAATGGAGGGCTCGTCGGGACCCGGCGTGGAGGGTTCTGGCGGAACTGGAGGTGGCTGAGCATTCCCCAAATTGGGGGTACTAGGTTTGGAATTCGACTCTCTCTTACGGAATAGGTCTTCGATACCGGCACTTCGACTTTTTGAATTCCGCTCCTTATCTGGTTTCAACTCCTCTGCCGATTTCACGGACTCCCTACAGCTTTCGCTGTCCGTTCGAACCGGTTTCTTATCTTCATTCGGTTTATGGCATTGTAAATGTTTTGATACTTTAATCGCTATACCTTCGAGGCCGCATTCAAACATTATGTAGCCAATAGCATTCTCCTTATCTCTATCAGTTGTTCCATTTTGACAACACTAAAACAAATATTTTAGTAAACTATTTGATATTTTGCGAAAATCACTGGTTATTTGATTAGAATTATATTGTTTAATTCCACTACCATGAATACGTGCACCTGCCAACACTCGAAGATTGATTACTATCAAATTCGCAATTTGAGTACCGACCGGTTAACACTAGGCTGAAAATACGTCGTTTAGAGGTTTATGCAACCTTTTTTTATGAATGGCAAACAAGCTGACGGCCCAGCTGATGGAAAGTGGTAACCGTCGTCTATAGATATGATCAGTACCATGGACATAACAGAGTATACTGTTTCGCCCATAATACCCCTCATGCGTTGCCATTCCTGAGGACTCATGAGACACTGAGTGTTATTCTGTAGATTGTAAATTCACTGCCTGAAGACTCAGGTGTTATTCCTCTGTACCCAGTAAATTCACGCTGTATCCCACCCTTCAAACCGAAACCCAGACATACAAACACAACTGATTTAAAAATACGAATAGAGGTGAAACATGCGTGGCAAAATATGAGTGAACTGAATAGTGGTCGGAAATTGATAGCTAATATGGAAGGCTATAGAATTTCTGGTAATAAAAAAAACAGTCAATCTAATATTGACAGTCGCACACATACTAATGAGAGCAGAATTAAACAAAACAATTTTAATAAACAAAACATATATAAATTTAAGGAAAAAAAAATTATTTATCAAATATCAGACAACAATGAAGTCTTTGAATAACTTATGGAGCCATATCTATGTTAATGTGTGCAGTGCAATAAAATTGTTGGTTTACTAAAAAATTTAATAATTGTTAATTTAGCACTACATGTACTACGTCAATGTATTGCCCCACCCGTTTCGTATTGATTTCCTATATTTGTATTTAGTATATAAGATAATTTTTATTTCTTAATTTTGTCAGTTATAACCGAGCCATTGGAAATATACGAGTACATTTCCACAAACCTCGTCGTCTCAATACAACAGCGCAACAAACTCACCATAGATTCGCAGCCTTTGGAGCAAGAGTCCGCTCTAATGAACTTGAACGCTACTTTGGAGTGCTGGCACGGTATGCCCGTGATCGTCGCATCCTTCAGTTGCGATGACTCGTTACGTATACGTCTCAGTTGACCGTGCACCTTGCCTGTTCAAGTTTCGTTTCATTTCATTAATGAAAATAAAGTTTATATTGTTCAGCAAAAAGAGAAAGTAAACATTTGAGTACTTATTGCTTACTTAATTCTGAAAATCATAACAATAACACTGTGCATGATTTTTTATGTATATGGATGAATTCTTTAAGTAATTTGCTGCAGCTGCAAACTATAAGTAAAGAGCAATTTTCATTAAATAGCATTAAAGAGCGATGTAAAGATATTTTTTATATTAGGTATTTTTTTTTTCAAATTAGAAAACTTAACCCAACGAATTGTTTGAAAATCACACATCAAATTTTCGATTTCATGCGACATTAATATCATTAACAAAATCAAGCAGAATAGGTTATTTTCCTTTTACTGAAATTCAGAAAATAAAAAAAATATTAAGTATGTTAGAAAAAAAAATAGAAAGATACTCACCAACATTCAAAGTAAACGTTGTATCCTCGCACTGCTGTTGAGATGTTTCTATGTACACCGGGTCTCCTTTCTCCGGTCCTCTCTTTCGTCCAGATCCACCGGAATGTGTAGATATTAGTGCTCTGGGGCCTTTCATGATTCCAAAAGTCTTCTTGCTCCCAAGAGCTCGCAATGTAGGTCTATAATACAACTGCACGGAATCCAAGGTCTTCTTTGAACTCACATATTTTGCCGTAATATTCTCCACCGAGACGCCAAACAGAGACACACATGTCAAGTCTTGAATATTGTCTAAAGCAGAAAACGAGATCATATCTTCGACAACAGAAGACTGAATGAATATCATATTCACTTTAGGCACTGATACAGTGGCCTGCAATTGGTCACATATTGTTTCTTCGTACACATTCGAGTGCGGTATTGTCGCAAGCTTGCATTTGTCATCAAAGTTGGATTGGCTATGCGCCTGCATCTGTGGCAGCCAGTTCATTACATACTGCTTCTGTTTTAATACGTTAGCACTTTCAACAGAAGAAATACAGAGAAGTCTTAAATGGTTGATCACTGTAATAGGGTGAACATTTGCCAACACCGGAGTTAGTGATTCAACAAATTTCTGCGTGCTTTCCAGGACTAGTGGAGTTAACATGATGTCTATTTCTCCACGGAGTTTTACAAACACTCCATTTTTACTATCACTGGTTGTTGTTGCTGTAGACGTCGTACTCTTATCAGTATTATTCTCCTGATTATCTTGGACACTTTGCTGCACGTCCCACCAGGCATGAGGATAAGGATGTGCTTTGATTTGAGAATTAAAATGAGGCGTTAAGTTCGAATATGGGCCATGTTGGTTCTGATTGTTGTGAACATCTTTCTTTGGAATCAGTTTTAAAATATTATTAACCTTTCCAGACATCTCGAACTTCGGCAGATACTTTTGTCCGACGTAAACCAAAGTGCCATCTTCTGCTCTTTTAAACAAGGGCAGGGTATAAACATCACTACCACTGGGTAGAGAACAAGTAGCCCAATTAAAGCACTTGTATTGTGGCAAATTATGCATATAGCTGGACATAAGCAATGGTGAGTCCACTATAGGTTTATTTGTTTGCATATGTAAATTGACAAGCGTCATATCCTCTTGTGATGATATAGCAGATATAAAAGATGTCGATGATACAGACCCACTTTCAGAGTCAGGTTGAGCACCTGTGCTCAAATTGCTTATAGTATCTGCTGGCCCATCAAAAATGTCTGATCTTGGCATGGAATTAGTCCATTTCTCATTAGTTATGTCATTTATACCGAAAGAACTTTTATCTTTATGGTTGCTATGTCTACTGCCGAAGGAATGTTTTAAACTTGAAGAGCGACTCGGGAACATGTCTTCGTCAGCTGAGAAGAAGGCTTCGGAATGATTCTCGCTGGTTATCGACATAGTCCTCTGTACTTCTAGTGGCACAGTGTCCTCCGGAGGTGCTTGCGAGTTGAGAGAATAGTGAGATTCAGAAACTCCGACACTCCTGGTTGGCACTTTAGGCACTATAAATGATTCGCTATCGGGTTGCATCTGTTTTTTTAAGCTCGCGCTAGTATTATCTTTTACACCACAACTTAAAGCCAGCTTAGAATCAGAAACGCTGCTCTCCATTTGTGGCACATTCAGAATGCTTTTGTTCAATTTCGAATCACTATCGATTTTGGAACTTCCCAATGGAACATTGGAATCAACTAGGCGTGCATATGGAACATCGCTCTTTGTGCTCGAGACCAGAACATTATTACTCCCTTTGCTCATACTTGTATACGAGAACCTTCTGGTTAAGCTCCGGCGTTCTACAGTTTGAGGAGATTTGTTCAGATTTTGAGGAAGTGGTGATGGTATCAAAGTAGCGACATTTGTTGGCTGAAGACATACATTTAAACTGTTATAAGGCGGTGTATGGAACACCAGTTGTCCAGGATGTAATAGACTCTGGCCATAACCGTATTCTCCAGGGGTCGTTTCTATTACATTAAATACAGCCACGTTAATGCCGTCATTAAGATCTGATGGATTTGGTTTTAAGAAATTAGGACCATTTCTGTTGGAACCAAAAAATGCACAACCTCCTGTGCAGCCACATTGTGTGCTTTTTAATTCGTTTGGCCACATAAACCACAGCCGTTTTGTCTTTTCATCGTGTAATTTAAGGAACTTTTGCTGAACAAAATGTAAGTTCTTTGGGCTTTGGGGTAGAGACGAAGCCCCTTCGATCAACACAGGACCCAACGATACAGATCCAACTCCTACCCAATTATCATTATCTGCCTGTTTACTATGCTGGCTGCTGTTGCTCCCATTGGAATGATGATGAGATTGCAAATTCGTTTGAGTGTAAAGCGCTAGTTTTATGTTTGGTAATAATGCTGTGATGCCTGTACCAAAACCAACTCCATGAAGGTTACAGAAACTCAATCTTATTGGTGATATCCAAGACTGCAAAGTCGTATTCGTATCGGCTACATAGATATCGATCAGATCGATGGCAACTCGAATCATTCTATATTTTATCTCATTTGTAGTTGGACATCGGTACTTTAAAGTACTATCGGTTTCAGGGCACATTATGGTATTAGTGCCATGATGACAATTTTTAGTAGAATTTGGTGGAACCAATTCATTTTCGCTGTCACAAATTAACAACAAAAAGGTCTCTAAAGATGAAATGATTTGATAAAGTTGGGGCAAAGTCAGACGGCCCGTTAACTGACCTAACTGTAGTTCCATCATCCAAGCATATTCTATGGTATCTTCTTCAACAGAACGATTTGTATCACTAAAGAAACCATTTCCTCGTAATTGGAAAGAGGACAGCATCAAGTGGCCTTGGTATAATGCTCCAGAATTATTTGGATTATTCCGTGACATATTAGTAGATGACACCAATATTGAAGGGCTCAAAAGTAATTGAAGTTTAGTTTCTTTAAAGCTTTTGTCCATTTCAAATCCAAATCTCTCTATTAATATTACAGGACACGGAGGCTCATTTTCACTACAATTCTTTACTAAATGTGCCTGAATGTCGTGAATAATAATCGAAACCGTAACATCCAGCGGTCTGCAACGTCGAGGATCAAAAGGGCCCTTGCTTGTATCTGTCGAGTCATCAATCGATATATCAGTATGTTGATTGATACTGCTTCTGTCATTCAGTTTCATAGTGTTTTCATTGACTGGTACTTTTTGCATATCTGTAAAAGTTTGATCTTCTCCAAATATATTTTCAAGTAAATTCATGAAACTTGTTATAATTGTTCCATAGGCGAGTAAGATAGATGGCCCTACCTCTAGTTCTACGCTCACCTTATCAGGCGGCAATGAAGTACGGTCAAATTTGTTTCCGTCTAAGGCCCAGTTTAGTTGAGGCTGTTTTCTCATTCTGGGTATTCTCATTGGAGATAAAAGAATCTCTTCTTTTTCCGGTGTAGTAATGTCAGCTTGTGGCTCAGGCCCCAGTGGTGGAATTGGATGATAGTTATACCTGACACTTAAGGCCACAATAGGGACAGACCAACAATCCACCCATCCCTGTGATTTTACACACTTTCTTCGCCATTTTGACGCCTTTAATCTGCAAGGAATCAATTTCATATTTTTGTCAATAGACAGTAGTAACAGTCTTGAAGTATTCACTTCTGGTAAATAGAGGCTCATATCTACCGCTTCCCCTTGAATCCAGATTTTCAAAGGTATAACATCAGGTAGGAAATCAATGAAGGGCAAATCAAACGACACGTCCAAAAGATCGCCACAGAAAGCGACGTGATTATTCTCTTGATTAGTCGAACTGCAGTCTATCCAATTATATTGATTACTCACTGTTACCACCTCACACTCCTTTAGTAATAGCGAAATTTTCCATGTATATGGAACAAAATGCAAAATATCGGGACGTGATTTGTTTGACCAATCATTTATCAGATCCTGAAAGAAATCTATATGGGTATAGACAAGGTGAGCTGTTGCTTTGCATCCTGTCAAACCTAACTGCCAACATTGATGATGATTCCAAACAAGAGGGTAATGGCATTTGACGGTATATTCCAGAGTTTCACTTTCTGCCAAGCTTCTATATTGAAGACTTGTTGTCGCTTCAAGATGAAGTAGCTGCCCAGTAATTTTGGTGGTATATCCATCTTGCAAAACAATCCATGGTAGAGTTACTTCCAAATAAGATCCAGCACCAATATTAATATGGACAGCATTGGTTTCTTTGTTTTTTGTGAATAAAATGTCTATAGTCGCTTCATTTAGCGTCGATAACCGGATATCGAAAGATTGTGTTTGCCTTCTGTCGCCAGGTTTTGGTTGCGGTGTAACTTCTAAACTTTTGTAATTTGGCGGGAAAAAGAATCTGAATAAATGGTCTCTCTGTCTATCAGCCCATGGACCGTAACTGAAATCTGTGCCTTTGCCACATTTTATATCGACTCCCCAAATAGGCGGTGCGGACTCCACTATATCACCATTAGCCAACTGGAGAAGAACCGGCTGTTCAGGCACCAATCCCGGTTCATCCATATAGAAATAGACTTCAATGTAATTTGAACTCATTACCACGAATCCCTCTCCCATGAATCTCGGTGGCTCGTCTACCATAGCTGTGTAATTAGGACTGGGAGCTAAAATGACTTTGCAATTTTCTGCTTTGGCTTTTACAAAATGCATAAGGTGGTCTAAACTAGAGGCGGGTGGTTTTGTACTGTAAACTAAGTGAGATTCTTCAATGCTTATAGACAATGTTGTTGGTACTAAACGATTTCCAAAAACGATTCTACCCGAGCAGATGTCGATCTTAATAACCGGTATGAGGTCGCGCCACGTCCTGGCCATAGCCGCCTCTGACCTCACCGTGTCTTGGGCGCGGCGTCTCTTCTCGTTAGCGTCATTCATAGCTTTATCTCTATCTGTAGAGTCATCGTCGTTTTGCTGTTTAATTACGGGGTCTAATCCAAATATTTTCTCTAGTTCATTGTAAAGGTCGCACCGATTGTAGAAATGAAGTTCGAAGCCGTTTAACATAATGGATAACCGGGTATCAGAATGTGACAAGTCTGTGAACAACAGTAAATTGAGATCATGAGAATTAATGAATAACCATGAAATCTGGATTGTTACGAAAGAATTCAGCTTTCACAGAAGTCAAATATATATACTAAAATGGATACGAAATCATGTTTGAATAAATAGGCAATACCGTATTTACATACAATGGAGTAAACATAATGCAATTAGTATTGAGTTTGTGAAACAATAAAAAACATCGGAAACGCAAAAGGAATATCTTTCAATGATTCAGCCTTTGAGTTCTTAATCTTAGGGTTACGAAATATACACCCTGCAAGTTCAGTAATACGATAATGAATTGTGATAAGATTTTGTGTTATATGTATTTGTATTTATTTCATTTAACACAGTAAATAATAACAGCATAGCATATTAAACATGAGTTTGTATTTGGCAAGGATTTTAAGAGATTTTTGTACGTGATAGAAATAGTTAACTGTAAGCAAATTTATTACTTTTACATTTCAATATTTGAAATGAAAATAAAAGATAAGCAGGAGCATTATCAAGGTATTATATTGCGAGTTTGATAAACACCATTATTGATGACATCATGTAGGCATCATTCCTATAAACGGTCATAATTGTGATTAATTATGTGCAAATCAGAAGGGAACTAAGTTTTGTTAAATGGACAGCAAACAACCAAAAATGTTTCGAACATAGAATCAGCGCAGTAAATTATATAATTTATATATTTCGCTACGTCGTAAAGTAATTTTAAAGTAATCATCATCATCATCATCATCTCAGCCATTATCCGTTCACTGTTAAATATAGGCCTCCCTTATAGACTGCCATCAGGAAATTAAATAGAGTGATTAAAACAATAAATAAGACAGCCAGTTTGGTCGATTCTGGAGTGCATTTGACCACAATATCCCCTGATCTTAAATGACGATGTAGTTTAAGATGTTACACGCAAATTCAAATATTGTTTAATATTTAATAATTTGTTAATTGTCCACCACTGAACATAAGCCTCCCTCTATTGGAAGAACTTGCCAGTAAGTTGCCTCGTTTGGCCGGCGGGTTGATGACCGCAGTTAGGACCTGTAGATATTTTAAGAGGGACGCTGCTGCCCATCCCTCGCCCTCCCTTAGTCGCCTCTTACGACACCCACGAGAAAGGAAAGGATGGATATTCTATGCGGAGATCGCAAGGACACTTTTTTGTCTTAATCTAATACTTTGTAATACGATAGTTTCTCGAAATTTTTGTTATATGGATCTTTGAAATTTCAATCAAATTTGATTATTTTTTATTTGTACATACACTCTTAATTTACATATAAAGTTATAACAAAATTGTAAAGAGCAAGAAAAGAGCATACTCCTCTTTAAAAGGCCGGCAGCACACCTACAATGCCGTTGGTGTTGTGGGTGATCATGGGCGGCGGTAGTCACTTACCATCAGGTGAGCTGTATGCTCGTTTGCCCCCTGTGTAAAAAATTGATAACATTTTTAAAAGATAATGTAATACTTTCACTCACCTTCAGAGACATCTTTAGGCACGTAAGAGCGCCACCACCTGAATATCAAGTATCCGTCCTGTATGCGCAGCGTGTAATCATAGTTGATGTACACTATGTCTCGGAACATTATTTTACCAGAGAGAGCGTTGAGTGTGAACGATCCTGTAACAATCAATTTTGTAAAAATCAGTCAAATATGCTCATGAGTATAATCCCAAAAGTGCCGTGTAGTTCCGGTATAGAACGGGCCTTGCTTTACCGTGGGTGTCGTAAGAAGTTACTAAGGGTATTTAATAGTTGAGAGGTGGGCAGCAGCGTCCCTCTTAGAAAATCACTAAGGCCAAACTGCGAATTCCGGCAAAACCCTCCTTATGGGGAAGACCTATGTTCAGCAATGGCCAGGTAACAACTGAAATTATGATTACCAGAGGGAGACTGTACAAAAGTTGCTTGCTTGGCTACCTCTGTCCCATTCGTGTTTCAACCGTGAAGCAGTTGTGTTTACATGGCTGTGTTTCGGTTTAAAGGGTGGTATATGGCGTAAATTTACTGGGTACAGAGGAAAAACATCTGAGTCCTCAGGAATGGCAACGCATGGGGGCTGTCATGGGCGAAACAGTATACTCTGTTACGTCCATGGTACTACTCATGTCTATAGGCGACGGTTGCCACTTTCCATCAGGTGGGCCATCAGCTTGTTTGCCATTCTAAGTTGTATAAAAAAAATCCCAAAATTTGTCAGTCAGAGTAGTCGGAGGCATTTATCAACTTACTCTTGTATTTGTTACTAAAGGTAATCTAAAATATTTATTTATTTTATTTTATTAAAATAATTATAACATTAATAATATCAGAAAATATGTATTAATAACAGAAAAATGACGTTATATTTCGTATTTTGCATAATTGTATTACAAACTAATAATTAGTTGAGCATTGTTTTAATAAACATACACTAATAAACTGAATATAAATAAACCATTTTGAAGTTATTTGTTGTTATAATATTATCTTAAAAGATTATTTCAGTACTGAATACTAGATAAAATACCTATCTAATCAATAATATCATTACAAAACAAATAAAATATTTATAAAAAACTAATAATGAACCTATTTCTTTACAACTTCTACCGTCTGTATAATGAATAGTGTTCTGAAAAACTCTTCAATATGACACGTACAGCCACCTTTCACCATTGTACCGTTCGCCATCGGAAGGGAATCCGTTCTCACATCTTACAACCAGAATGCTCAAGCACAGCGCGTTTTCAGAGGAACTTCCTCGCACGAATACTCAGGTTATGGAATGACCTTCCTGCCGAGGCTTTCCTTAGAGACTACAGCATGAGGTTCTTCAAAAAGGGTGTATTAAGATTTCTTAAAGGTTACAGTCGTCCATAGGTTACGGTAACCCCGTTTAACATTAGACGGGTCGTATGCTTATTTTCCACTATAGTAGACAGTATAAAAAAATTACATATAAGAAGGTATAATTAAAAGAATTTTTTATTCATTCATTTCTGAATACATATATTTGAGAGCACTCTAAATAGATTAGTGGTTGGATTCTAATCTTGTTAGTACTAATAATGGATCAGCGTTAATTTGTACTGACTCATGCTGTTATTTATAGTTCCCCTTTACAGCACTGCTTACTTGGTCAGAAATTATTGTAATTGGAAATAAAATGTACTTACCTACATTAATTGTTATAATAATTGTTTATATAAAATATATATTTATGTAAACAAATATAAATGCTCAATCTAATTGTATAGTTTGCATTTATGTCAGTCGAGCACTTAATGTATCTACATGGATAAATCATATTTCTGAATTACAATCTAAGTAAAAGTGTTTTGCCATATAAATATTCACTTCATTTCAATTACATAAATGTCATATAAATTACCTTTAAATAAATGACTGGATATCCCATTATTTTTATTCATAAACAATTTACAATAAAAATAAAAAAATGCTTCATTTAAAGTATTATATATGTTCAACAATAGACAGATAATGCCTGAGATGAATAAAAAAAAATGGTCCTATGATAATGTGATATAATATAAAAAGAAATGTCTAACAACATACTAATAAAGAAATATATAAAAGTAAAAAAGAGAATCAAAAAAGGGTCTCAAAAAAAATCCAAACCTTGCATTGATTAAATAGTTTTTTACCACTGTTTATTTAATAATATATTAAATTTAATAATATATTAAATTTAATAATATATTAAATTTAATAATATATTAAATTTAATAATATATTAAATTTTAAAATGTATAAACAGTGGTAAAAAATTAACATTCAATAGTATTTTATTGAAAACATACATGCAGTAACTATGAGGAACTTCACTGGCCTTCAATTTTCTTTGTACAATGTAAATGTTGTTATTGAATTCAGCATGATTAATTTAATTGTGATTTGTGATTATAAACCCTTGTAGTTCACACAGAATTTGAATTACAGATATTAAACACAAATCAATTTTAACTATTACACTGTTGTGACTTTCTCCCAAATTGGGAATTTAACTCGAAATAAAGAGATTTTTTATACCACTGAGGTGGCAAACAAGCATATGGTCCACGCATGATGGTAAGCGGTTACCGTAGCCTATGAACACCTGCAATACCAGAGGTATTATGTGTGCGTTGCCGACCCTGAAGAAACCTCTTTACCCCCCTTTTGAAGAATAAGAAGATAAAACATTTGTACAAATTTTATTGTGCAATAAATAAATAAAACAGTTCCATAGCCAAAATAGGTTTTGAGAGCTTTAATGTTTTTATAAATAAGAGGAATTAATCTTATTCAGTTAATGAGTCAGCAAGAATCAATAATGTATACATTATTAATTAATTTTCAAACACAATTTAATTCTATTTTAATGTTTTGGAATGATTATTTAAAAAGTAATTTTGATTGAAATTATATAAAAAGCACTTTCGTAACAAACTGAACATTATTATTAATGATTTGAACATTTCGTTCAAATCATTAATAATATTTCTATTGAACTATCACAGAAATTTTAGATTTTTATGTTTGAAAAGGCAAAATAATAAACTATTTTTTTTTTTATTAAATTATTATTATTTTTTTAATTCATATATATTACATTATTAGACTAGGCACTCAATATGAATACTTTTTAATACAAATCAGATTTTTATTATGCAATTTAGAATTATTAGCAAATAATCCTGTCCATCTAATAGAAAGTGGTAACCGTTGTCTATAGACATAAATAGTATTATGGACATAACAGAGTATATAAATATATTTTATATTACATATAGCACAATAATTTTTTCATATTAATTAGAATAGTAAACAAGATGATGAAAAGTAGTATTTGTCACCAATAGAAATAAACAGTGCCATTGGTATTAAAAAGTATATTGTAATGTATCATATAATATAATCCATAGTACTCTCCAATATTAATGTTATTAATGCTGTATTATTATTATTTTATACAACTTAAAATGGCAAACAAGCCGACGGCAAGTATTTACCCGCAACTTTATCTACATGATTATGTATAGATATTGATGGACAGGATAACAATTGGGCTGTCCTTCTTCATTTTTAATACTATGTATACACTAAATTGCTTAACATTAACAATTAAAGTTGTTAATGGCTGAACAGATTTTAGTGGGATTTGATATATAGTTAAGAGATGGAGGTGTCACAGGATATTTTATATCATATTCGTGTGGACAAAGCCTAGACTTACAGTTAGTGTTTTATTAGTTACAATTAATAAAGAAAAGTATGACAATAAATAAAATGAGGTCACTCACCAATCTTGAAGTTCTCATCTTGGAAGTAAAATCTGTTGATCAGTCTCGTCAATAGGTAGCCGAGAACACGGCTGTTGTAGTATGTGATGTAGACGATCCATAGAACAGCGGAGATGAGCGACACCAGCAGGAGGGCGAAGTTTCGGTCCATCGTAATCTCCGCGAAGTCTATGGACGACGAATTCCATCTTTGTGCCACCGGATCGGTGAAGTTATCCCTTAATACGCGAACAAATCACAATTCAATCACCAATTAATACACAACGAGTAAAACTATAATAACATAAACATCGATGGGAGAAGGCGTAAATGCAAATAACTTACATGTTGTCAGATAAATAACTTCACAACTGTTCTTCACATTGTATACGGTGGAGAAAGTGTAATAAGTTCAGCACAATATACATTTTCATCGTAATTTTTTATTGTTTCTTTTCTTATCAATTAGAATCACTTCCCATCCGTAGTTCGCTTTTTGACATATCTAAATCTCAGTGTTGCCAGTATTTAAACATTTTATCAATTTCCCTATAGTAAAATTAGGCACAGCAATTTTCTGACAATATTTTTTTAGTAAAGTTAATCGTCTTAAACATTCATTTTTGACAGTAATTAATAATATAAATTTAAGGAAATTATTATATTCAAGTACGGCTAGGCTTTCTATTCTACTAATTAATGAACATTTATGACAAATGTTATCAAATTAATTATTTTAGTACTATAAGAAACTATTAACAGCAATAAACTTATTGTCTTCATTATTTATTTAACAGTTGTTAAAGTTAAAATAAAATTAATTTAATTGATAGAATTTTAAATTTTATTTGTTTATTTATTTTTTTATACTACTATGGTGGCAAACAAGTACACAGCCTGTCTGATGGTAAACGGAGTTACAATAGCCTATGGACGCCTGGAATAGTATTTACTATTATAAATTAATCCTATTAAGAAGTATAGATCAATTGAAATTAATAACTATTAATTAAAAACGATAGCTTGTCAATAAAAATCAAGTTTCCTAAATGTTTCTTCTTAATTTTGGGGACATTATTTTTTTTTTTTTGGTCGTCCTACTAATAAATCATTTTATTTCCAGAGGTAATTTTTCTTTTTATATAATTATTCTTAGGTTTTGGGCACAGAGTGCATCTGCCAAAAACAAATTCTGGGAATGTGCATTTTAGTAAAATTTATTATTAATATGGTTTCGTTAATATTTAAAAATTTTATTGATAAATTACTGTATACGAATATTTTTTGGTAGAATATTTTCAATTTACTGGAACGGCTTAGTCGCTATTTCTATGTATCCACTATACCTACTATTTACGAGTCATATAAATGTATCTATGTTTAATAGTTACATTGTTAGCAAATTATTTTCCTTCCATGTGGAAACTATTTTAGTTTTATATTAACATTTTCAATTTTTTTTTGTACAAAAATCAAGGCCGTGAGGTAAAATCTGCCCGTCATGTAAACTGTGTGCTTAGGACACATGCTCCTTTTTTGAAGTCGGTTAATTAATGTCTCAGCCTATTCCCATACGAAATTATGGTCGTAATTATATATATTTATAAATAGAAATTATCAAAGGAACAATTATTTAAACATTTGCGGTTGCGGTCAAAGTTTACAGTTTATGTAGCCTATAATCGTGACCATGGATTAATACCTATATTTTATTATAATTTGTTTATATATAAATATGAGAAGCCACTATTATCTCTCAATTCTCTCCGTTTACACCATAAAAAACATATAATATCAAAATTAAATAATCCATTCACATGCAGTCAAATGACTGTATATAGTTTCATCAGAGGTTCTTCTTCTTTTCATCTAAGAGTTTCCTCTTGTCGGTTCTACTAATTCATGCATCTTCTTCCAGCCAGTTCTATCCCAGGCCATATCCTTGACCTCCCTATACGACATGACACCTAGTGGTGATCGGTCGTCTCTCGAATTGGGGCCGGTAGACAGCAGAGGTCGCCAAGGGGGAAAGGGATTGTTAGTAATAGAGACTGAGAATCCCATTGCTAGCAATATACTCAACCAGGTCGACCTCCTTGCGGTTCTCTCTAGAAACTATCATGGTTAATTCCTGATAAATTCATCATGATGGGTTAACTGGCCTGTTTTCATTCTCATCTATCACCCTTCACTGGTGCTTTGCCAGCGCATCCCGTTAGCGCAGGCTAGGTTACCATACCATTTTCACCTATCAAAAAAAGTGGTTATTTTATCTCTCTGCTAAGGACAATAACTGTGATGCCATTCTCTTTCTATGGTATCCGCGTTCCTATCATAATTTAATTGTTTGTTGCCATGGAGAACTTATTGAGTGGTGTAGTTATTTAGTTAGCGTTTATGTCTATTAAACACATTATTTATTTTGTTAAAATTAACTAAAAAGAAAATAAAAAATGACTGAACGACATTCAGAAGGCTCTAATATAGCAAGCGAAACTTTTAAACCGAAAGTTAGGTAAACTATATGCTTATACCTTATATTGTTTATAGATAAAAGTAGATAGTAAATAAATCTAGATGGTACTCTCATTGGCTGGAAAATTATAAACTCAAAGGGTGAAGGGACCATCACAAAGGGGTCACCAGAAGGGTGACAGTATAGTTTTTGAATGTGTGTAAATTGAATGGTAACTCTGCCTGCGCTATTGGTGCACGCAGTCGGAACATCAGCGAGATATGATAGATGAGAATGAAAACAGGTCAGTTGGCCCATTGTGGAAAAGACCAGAGGGAGACTTTGTACAAAAGTCGATTGCTTGGGTACCTCTGTGCCATTCGTGTTTCTACCGTGAAGCAGTTGTGTTTGCATGGCTGTGTTTCGGTTTGAAGGGTGGGATATGGCGTGAATTTACTGGGTACAGAGGAATAACATCTGAGTCCTCAGGAATGGCAACGCATGGGGGGTATCATGGGCGAAACAGTATACTCTGTTATGTTCATGGTCCTGCTCATGTCTATAGGCGACGGTTACCACTTTCCATCAGGTGGGCGGTCAGCTTGTTTGCTATTCTAAGTTGTATATATAAAAAAATCAAGAAATATCCACGATGATTCCCAGGGGGAACCGTGTGGAGGTCGACCTGATAGGGTGTGTGACAGCATGGTTGAACAAATCTCGTCTGTGGTCTGGGTATCCCAACTTCGAATCCTAGTCTAAATTTCTGGATATTTCATATTCATATTTGGTGTACTTGTTTTTTGCCAACGCACGTGTGTTTGCCGACATTGCCGACCCTGAAGAAATCTTAATACATCCTTTAAGTAAATTCTATACTGTACTTTTTAAGGAAAATCTCGGCATTCCATTCTTATTTTATTTTTATGCAACTTAGAATGACATACAAGCCACTGCCCACCTGAAGGAAAGTGGTAACCGTTGTTTATAGACATTACCATGGACATAACAGAGTATACCGTTTCGTCCATGATACCCCCCATGCATTGCCAATTCCTGAGGACTCAGGTATTATTCATCTGTATCCTGTAAAGTCACTGCTATATCCCACCCTTCGAACTGAACACGGCTATACAAACATAACTGCTTCATGGTAGAAACACGAATGGGACAGAGGTGCCTAAACAAATAACTTTTGTACAAAGTCTCCCTCTGGTAATGGCATTCCATTCGTTTCGCATTACACAGCCTAAGCTTCCGAAGTAGGTAACTTTAGTAATGATGGCGCTTCGTATTTCGAAGAACACGTAAAGAGGATACCACCCTCAGACTAATAACAGTACCTTATTGTAATGCTCTGCTACCACTTTGTGGGCACCATAATATAAATTGTCTATTTTGCAACAAACAAATCTGTATGACACTGCTTTTCTAGGTGGGCAATCCCTCAGAGGCTGGATTTTATGACATTCGTCGGCAGAGACGTGTTGGCTGTTGCCCACGATATCTACATCATATTTTTCAATTTTAAGACCCAATCAGAGCTGGTGTATGTGGCCAACAACCATAAATCCGGCGACGGTGTTGATGTAATAGCAGGTAATTTTGGACTGTTCATCTTTATTCGAAACGCGCTAAGTACGGGCTTCAACTGAGTGATTAAACTTGAGAATCAAGTATGCAGTAGATGATATAAGTAAAATTGTAAACCCCATATGTATCTATCATTAGTAAGTAGTGATACATGAAAACTAGAGCAGGTTAGTTGGCTTTTAGCAGTGAATTCATCAAGAATTTGCCACATTTGTTTCCAGGGGTAACCACATAGGCCTCAATGTTAAACTTAGACAAGTCAAACTTGGTGTTATCCGGTTTCAATTCCAGTGTGAAACTAAACTACTTTTCCCAATGAACATTGAAAGAAAGACGAAAATATATTCTCGATTCCTGAAACTGCATGAATTTCGGTTGCGTCAATATATTCTCGTTGGATTTTAGCGTATCTATATGCTACATCGTATTTAGTTTTTCTTTTTTTTTTAATTCTATATTTGTAGAATAAGTTAAGTAAGTAATACGTTTATAATAATAATATTGTGAGTACAACGGCTGTTATGCCTTAGTCCTTAAGAAGGGCAACGTATGAGGGGTACAATGGACGAAACAGTGTATTCTTTTATGCCCATGTCCTGTCCATGTCTACTGGCGACAGTTACCACTTTCCATCAGGTGGACCGTTAGCTTATTTGTCATTCTAAGTTGTATAAAAAAAATTAAACATTTTTTTCCAAACTACCATAACCAGTTAGGATGCAGTGATGTAGAGCTTAAGAGATAACGACATCGCTGTTTCAAAAAAAATTATATACTGCAGTAAAAATTTCATATGCAAAACTTTCTACACACTTAATACATGTAAAAACTAAATGGAATAAATTTTACCATGTTACAGGTCACAAATCACAGATGTTCGCGTTTGCTGAAAAAACAAAAAACGCTAGAATATTCATAGTGATGTATCCGAGTTTCGTCATTCTATCCGAACTACAAGGTAGATAATGCTTTATACCCTTAATAATATTATTAATTCGAAAAAGAAGTGTTTTACTTGTTATGAAATGAAATGAGATTTATTCGTAAAAAACATAACTGTAGTTTCTTAACTAATATTAATATTATAGTTTTATAAGGGTACAATAATTATGGTTTTAGAACTGGGCTCCTAAATAGGTTAATATAATAACCTGTGTTATGGGGCCACAATTATGAATTTATTGCTGAGCTCATTTATCACCATCAGCGTCAGACGAGCCGCACGCTTGTTTGCTATTATTATATATATAATTATATTCTAATCTATTTCATTATTAACCCATGATGTCTTACTACTGGGCAAAGGGAGACCTTTAATAAAGGGATATCTCCTTCCAAGACTCAAACTAAACTCTTTTAAATCCATCTAGGTCGTCACGCCATTGGTTCATGGGCTAGCCTCGTTGTCCATCAGTAGGCATCCATTGGGTGGAGATCTTTGGCTACTTGTTTTTTTTTTAATGGGTGATAATGGAATGTTAACCCCGCCTGCGCTATCGGTATACGCTGCCGGGGCACCAGTGAGAGATGATTGGTGAGGATGAAAGCAGGTCAGTTAGCCCATCCTGACGAATTCTACTAGAATTAACCACGATGGTTTCCAGGGGGAACAGCGTGGAGGTCGACCTGACAGGGTGTATAGCTAGCTATAGGTCAGTTAGAACCCATTACCAACAATTCCTTTCCTCCCTTGGCTGCTTGTTAGGACCCATACAGCTAATATGACCCGTCCAATCTCACTTAAATTTGGCCTACTTCTGACCTACGTCTTTACCGCCAGTTTGGGAGTGAAGTAAGATTTTGGATATGCGATACGGTCTCTTCCCCCTTTAACTTAACGAGAATTAGCGAATTAAAAAAAAAGAGATTTAATTGTTTGTCATTAAAAACGTGATATCAACTTATTTTAAATACCTATGCCACTTATTATCAGATAAAGACGTTAATCGCTACAAGGGACTGTGTATGATGGAATGTGACCTGATAGCCGGCTTCAGCGGCTTCCCTAATTACCTGATCTCGGTGTGGAACTGGCGCACCCATCAGCGGCTCATTTCCGTGCCCACGGGCGTGATACGACGCAGCCAAATTTATATGTAAGCCCATATTATTATAAGCATGACATACTCGTAATTAGCAATTATTTATTGACTTCATGTTGTACAAGTGCATTGCATTAGCTAAATACATATCAGGTACTTAGTTCTCAATCGGGACTTTTTTCAATTGATTTCAATTTAAGTACACGAGGTTGTCATAAAATTTGTGTTTTTTAATGGGTGAGAATTAAATGGTAACCCGCGTCATCGGTATACAGGTTGTCTAACGAAGACAATCAGTGAGAGATGATAGGTGAGGATGAAAGCTGGTCAGTTGGCTCATCGTGACAAATTCGACAAGAATTTATCACAATAATTTCCAAGAGGAACTGCGTGGATGTCGACAGCCTCATTGCTAGTAATACACCCTGTATTGCTAGCAATGAGGCTGTTAGACCCAAATATTAATAATCCTTGTCTCCTTTAAAGAATAGGTTATCACAAATATATCACCCGTGATAAACATCATGCACAATATTATTGCATTTAGCAAGACGCTTCCCACATTTATGATATTGTTTCAATATTCTTTACTTAATTGAAAGTGGTTTATCTTGCTGATCTATGTCTCAATTGTCTTGAAATAATACTTTCGTTTTTTCGCATAATAAACGATTATTTTTTAATTCTCTGTAATTTCTTTGGTACTTGTATAATAAATTTTATTATTGAGCTTACAGAAGATTCGGTGTTTATTTATTGTTTGGTCACCATAATGGCATGTATGTAATGTGATATGTAGCAATAAATATAATTACAGTTGTTAATACAATTTCTGGCTGTCAGGGCGAGTCGTACACACTTGCTAGTGTGCGAGTGCTGGGGCGAAGGTCTGATCGTGTGGGAGGTGGCACAATGTTACAAGAAATGCTTTGTTATGAAGAGACTCAAAGAGGAGAAAACAGGCTGGGAGGTGTCTGTGCCGTCTCTAATCGGCGTTTGCTGGAACAGCGAGGGGCAGTTGTATGCAATCGATCCTGATGCCAAATTGTACAGCGTTAGTTCACATTCTGCACCTAATGAATAATAATAATCATCATCATCGGCTTATCAACATTTAACTATCCACTGCTAAACATAAACACTGCTTCCCCACCGCTTCTCACCCTTCGGGGGGTTGTGCCAGTAGTTCTCACGCTTGGCAGGCAGATTGGCAACCGCAGTAAGGCTTTGGAGATGTTTTAAGATGGACGCTGCTGCCCATCCCTCGTCTTCCCTTAGTCGCATTTTATGACACCCACGAGAAAGGAAGGGATGGCCTATTCTAAACCAGAACCACACGGAAGGATGATAGTAAATTATTCGTTTCATTTATAAAGTAAACAAGCATGGAACCGTTTACTATAAACTATTATTTTATACACCATCGCGCAATCTGCCTAAATCTAATGTATACACTTAATTTATTACATTACTAAGCTGAGAATTATTTTTTATTTCAACTAGTAGACGAGTTGTCCTTTAGAACAAAGCGGTAAAAAAGAAATAACAAAAATAGATCGTGTCGTTCTGTTACGACCTTGATCACTATAGGTCAGTCTAGATCTCGCCTGATGTATTCTCTGACGACCTCCGTGAAACTGAGATATTCACATTGTTTTCCAATGTAAAGCAACCTCCACCGCGTTCTTCTCACTGCACGGCGACTAACTGCTCAACGCCCGCTAAATTAAAAATCATTCGCGGACCATATTTTGACTTCTGTGGTGTACTGGTTGGGAACCATTGCTTTACATAAATAGGGATTGATTTTCAAGAGGCTTAATTTAAAAGCCGAAGTTGCTTAAATTGGCTCGTTTTAGATTAATTCTATCCGTAAATATGACTGGCTTCTTATAACATAGGATATTTGATCACTCAAAGACCTGACAATCAGTGTGACGGTACAATTTACTTTTATTATTTTAAATTTAGAATTATCTTGTGCCTGATGAGAAACTGTAACGTAGGTGCTGTCTGACGGCATCGGTATGGTGACGAATTTAGAATGGTGCGAAGACATAAAAGGGAACATAAAGCCTCGCGTATGTTCCTTCGGCAGCGGCTTACTTATTTACGGGCCAGACAAGTATTTAAGGGTTGGTATACTTTTTCTATTTATATTATTGAAATCGAAAATAATTACTTATTGGTGAATGGTGAACGGAATTTAATTTCTTTGGTCATCAATCAATTCATCATTAAGATGAAGGCATGTAGACTCAGAGATTGTGTCATCAATTCTATTGCGTAGCGTATTTATTTCAGCCGTTAACTCTCCACTGCTGGACATTAGCTTTCCCCATAAGGAGAGTTTAGCCAGTAGTTGCCACGCTTGGCAGGCGGGTTGGACACCACAGTTAGGCTTTTACATATGTTTTAAGAGAAACGCTGCTGCCAATCTCTCTACCATATGCTCCCTTAGTCGCCTCTTACGACACCCACGGAAAAGGAAGGGGTGGCCCATTCTATGCAGGGACCTATACGGCGTGGCGTATTACTGGCCGTCATATTTCTCTACTTATGTTCTCTTAGTCTTTTTGGAAACAAAAAGATCGATGTAGATGTGATAAAACAGAACTACTCTATGAAGTTTTTTTAATTATTCACCCGTCTCTCTTAAATAGAAAGAATTGGAACGTAAATAAACAATGCGAACAATAATAATTCAATTTTTATTTACAGTCATTAAAGAAAACTGAAACTAAATGGCAAGTGGTGTGGAAGTATTTGCTTCACGATGAGGTGGTGCGGCTGGTTTCTAACGCGAACTCAGATGTCGCCGCTATCTGGACAGACAGCGGGTTCGTGTATAAAATTACTGGAGAGTCAGAGGAGAAGATAGATGTCAAATTATTCACGTTCAAGCAGAGGTAAAGTAAGGACTGAAGAGTCGAGTGGATTATTTGTTTTGCTATTAGATTGAGAAGCAGGTTAAGAGGAATGTAGGAATTTTTTTCTTTATTGTCTAATAATTGTACTTTGCTGTCTAGCAAAGTACAATTAGGTAATCCAGTAGAAGTAATGGAAGTAAAGTTTTTATTAAATGAAGTTGGTGAAACTAGAGTTGTGATCTAGAACTAGAAATGTGATCACTTATACACTAGAGCTTTTATAAATCTAAGACCATCTTAGTTATTTTTTTACTGAACTAGGTGTTATTTTTCGGAAGTACATATCACTGGTTACTTGATTAGAATTAATTTCTTACTGCTTTACTTCAGACATGTTCAAATTGTCACGAAGATTCTTATTTTCGCGTTTTATCTATTCAAAATGTATACTTGAAATACTTCCAGGAACGTCATGAAGATCCAACTGATTGCGCCGGATTGTAAACATATCGCCATGGTCAATGATAAAGGAATTCTTTGTATTTATGAAGTGGACTCTGCTAAATTGGTGAGTCATTAATACAGCCTGTATCTAATGTAATATGACAATTATATTCATTGTTCTCACTTGTATTACTATGTATCAGGGTGTACTTGGTGATGTCTATGGCGGTATTAATGTTTCTAGGCGAAGGTTACTACTTTCCTGCTTTATGTTTAAAATTTTTATATATGATTTTGATCTGCTGATTTCCACCACCGTACAACCCGCCACAAACTAAAGTTTCATCCTAATCATCTGGACGAGTGGCGGTCTTCCACCGTGCGTTTTTCAAGGCACTTTCTTTCACGCACAACCATTCTTTAAAATCAACTTCCAGCAGCAGTATTTCCGAACCGATACGACAACATAACCTTCAAGAAAAGAGTATATTCCTTTTTAAAAGGCCGGCAGCACACGTGCAATACCGCTGGTGTTGTAAGTGATCATGGGCGGCGGTAGTCACTTACCATCAGGTGAGCCGCATACTCGTTTGCCCCCTGTGTTGTAAAAAAAATGTAGACATGAGATTCCTAATATTGCCTTAAAACTGGAAGAGACCTTAGACCTTAAAAACCCTGGAGAAAGGACTTGGAGAAATGGACTTTACTCCATTCATTTGCCTGCTTAAATCCTTTAAGTTTTGTTTTTTGCACCTATGTTTTCTACTTTATTTTTTTATTACTAGGTGTCAATGAAGTATATAGAAGGTGAGGATATATCTTTCGAAGCAAGCCTAGTTGATCCTATTATTATTGTGTTCGGTGATGTCGATCAGAAGTATGGACTGGCGCTATTAAAATTCACCCCGGAGGAAGGCCTCCACAAAATAGGTAGCATGTGCCTGACGCAGCAGATCGTATCGCACGTTGTGTTCTCGCCCACTGGGAGAGAGCTGACTGCAGCTGCCATGTCCGCCGGCCACATATTTATCATGAAGGTATATTTTTTTTTATTCAAACAGTACTTACAGGCGTATATAATATATATCTATTGCTGAATATAGGCCTTCCCCATAGACTGCTATAAAAACAGTCCTGAGCATGAAGAAGGACATTGCAGGGAAACAGATGTATTTGAGGTCGTCCTTCCAACTAATGAGGGGGGGGGGGGAGGGAGCTTATCCTACGGACAAGACATACTAAACGGATAGAGACAGCAGCATGGGGTTCTTAAAAAAAGGGGTAAGGAGGTTTCTTCAAGGTCGGCAACGCACGCGTAATATCCTTGTTATTGTACGCATTCATAGGCTATGCTAACCGCTTATCTATTAACAGATGGGCCATTTGCTTGTTTGCCACCACAGTGGTAAAAAAAAACGTAACAACTTCTTTAAAATTAAAATAAAATTCTCCTGTGATGTACTACAATTATACTTCATCATCATACAAGAGGGAGACTTTGTACAAAAGTCGTTTGTTTGGGTACCTCTGTCCCATTCGTGTTTCTATCGTGAAGCAGTTGTATTTGCATGGCTGCATTTCGGTTTGAAAGGTGGGATATAGCAGTGAATTTACAGGGTACAGAGGAATAACACCTGACTCTTCAGGAATAGCAACGCATGGGGGGTATCATGGGCGAAACAGTATACTCTGTTATGTCCATAGTACTGCTCATGTCTATAGGCGACGGTTACCACTTTCCATCAGGTGGGCCGTCAATTTGTTTGCTATTCTAAATTGCATAAAAAAAAAAACTTATTTCTTCATTTTTGACATGCTACCAGTTATCCGAGGATTTTAAACTGACGCTGGTGCGTTACGCGGAGCTAGGCCGCGGTCTCGCCGACTCCTTCCTCATGAAGGTGGGCGAATCCATGCGCTCATTCAGTCTTGTGCTTTTCTCCGACAAATACGCAATAGGTTAGTAACTTCTTAATTCTTATATTTGAATTTAAAATTACCTCAATTTTAAATTTAGATAGATTTACTCTTTATTGTTTCCTCCAAAAGATTACAATAGTAAACTTATTATAAATATAAACAATTACAAGAAATAAATTTACTGATTTACCAAGTTACATATTCTTTATTAGTACCTAAACAAGGTTGTGTTTCCATTTAAGGGAAGAATATATCAGTGAAATTACATATGTATGCATAATATCCTAGTCCTTAGGACAGTCATGAAGGGTATTATAAGCAGATCAGTATACTCTGTTTGTCCATGGTACTGTTTATGCCTGCGAGTAAAGGCGACAATTACCACTTTCCATCAGATGGGTCGTCAGCTTGTTTGCCATTCTAAGTTGCTTTAAAAACCTGATTCGATTTTGGTGTATTGTGAGACCAATTCATGTGATACCTAATGGCGGTGGAACTTTTAATTATTTTATATTCATTTAATTGGATAATTAAGTTTAATTGATTATTTAAATAACTAAATATATTTTATTACAGATAACTACAATCAATATTTAAAGCTTGTATGGTATACGAGTCGATGGCATGGTCATTGGTGGTCATTTGCCACTGTGTTTTCCCTTAGTTCTTTTTTTTTTATTTAATTGTTAATACATTATTTATTGTCCTCTACATGAACATATATATATATATATATATATATATATATATATATATATATATATATATATATATATATATATATATATATATATATATATATATACTATACGTAAAATGTAAATTAAAATTTTAATTTAAAACGTTGCAAATTATATATATATATATATATATATATATATATATATATATATATATATATATATATATATATATATATATATATATATATATATACTCATTAATCGTACATTGATTATAGTAAATTACATAATTAAATATATTTTAGTGATAATAGAATTAGACTGTAAAATGTAAATTAAAATTTTAATTTAAAACGTGTAATTTCTATTACATAAAGTAAAATTTCGCATTCAATTAAAATTCACATTTAATTACATTAATATATAATTTAAAATTGATAACAAAAGATACTTATTATTAAGACTTATCGTCTCAATTAGGTGAGCGTATAATATGCATAAACGCTGACACGGGCAAAGACAACAAGTTCGCGGGCAAGATGCAGGGTCCTTACGCGCGGCTGCTGCCTCTAGCGACCAAGGACACTATGCTGGGCATTCCGCACATCTCCAAGCAGTTCCATGTACTCAAATTATCTGGTGAAGTGAGTTAGCTGCTTTAATTTTGTGTTAATGACGATTAAGAGAAGAAGTGCTTGAAGCATTTACACTCTGAATGATTTTCAGCTATACACAATGATACCTACACAATGAATGATGAAAAAGTATAAAAAAAACATCTTTTAAGAGACTTAGTGATACTCTTGTTAAGAATGAAAGTAAACATTTTACTCAAAGAGTTAAGAGGCAACGGAATACTATAATAAATGACGAACTAAGCAAAAAAAATGTAACGGCAATGCAGAACATCCTGACCCCGGCTAATTCAGAAAAACTCGTTTCCTAAATCAGTCCAACCGGGAGTCGAATCCGGTACCTCATTTACGCAAAGAAACGTACATACTCATCACTGCACGGCTGGAAGGGATTGTTAGTAATTAGGGCTACCAGTCCCATTGCTAACAATATACGCTGTCAAGTAAACCCCTACGTGGTCCACCCTGGAAACCCTGAATCCCAGGTGTATTCATCACAATGGGCTAACAGACCTGTTTTTTTATTCTCACCTGTCATCCCTCACTGGTGTATACCGTTAACGCAGGCGGGGTAGGCATTTCATTGCCATCCATTAAAAAAAACTCATCACTGCGCTTTTTTTTAATAGATGATATTGAAATGGTAACTCCGCCTGCGCTAATAATGTATTACTGCGCTGTGGAGGTCGTGGTTAACTAGTAACAGTAAAGTGTTTACAAACGATTGTACAGAAAGGCGTAACGATCTCGGTGAAGATGGGCCCGATCATCGAGTCCGGGCACGACATGCGCCAGTTCGGCGGGTACTTCAACAACGTCGCGGTGCTGACCTACGGCTATGATGGCACGGTCATCATACGGCAGCCGGACGCGCCGTCTGAGTACGGTCAGTCGATTTACTGTATCGTCATCATAATTTAATCTGATAACTGTCCACTGCTGCACATAATCCTCCATAAAGGTGGTTTAGCTTGTAGTTGCTATGCTTGATAGGTACGTTGACAATCAGTTAGGCTTTTAGAGATGTTTGGTGTCTGTGACTCCAAATATCATAATGAAGCTATTTAAAAAAGTAATTATCCTTAAAAGCATGATAATGATTATCAGTATACATAGTTTCCAGTCTCTACTTCACCTGTTTTTTTTTTGATGAGTGAAAATGGTATGGTAATCCCGCCCGCGCTAACGGGATACGCCGGCGGAGCACCAGTGAAGGGTGACAGATGAGAATGAAAACAGGCCAGTTGGCCCATCATGATGAATTCTTTAGGAATTAATCATGATAGTTTCCAAGGGGAAGCGCGAGGAGGTCGACCTGGTTGGGTATATTGCTAGCAATGGGATTCTCAGTCTCCAGTACTATCAACAATCACTTTCCCCCTTTTTTCACCTGTTCGATCAGCTAAACTATTTGACGATCTAAAAATATAAGCAAAAGAGAATCAACGCCTTGTGTTTTAAGTTTGCAAACAGATCGTTACCCACCGCTACGAATGCGGCATCCGACAAGCTCTTGTGGATGGCGAAAGAAGTTATATCACACACTTGGCCGGCAATCGTACTATAGCCGTATTGCGGCTCCATGACCGCGGTGAACCGGATCCACAACACGAACCGCTAAACAAGAACATCTTCGAACGGAACGGAAACACGCTTTTAATCATCAATGATACAGACAGTAAGTGTATAAATCAATACGAGGTACTAACATAGTACTTTTTTGCTAAAAATACGACATCATAACCTTCGGGAAAAGAGCAAATTCCTTTTTAAACGGCCGGCAGCACACCTGCAATGCCGTTGATGTTGTGGGTGATCATGGGCGGCGGTAGTCACTTACCACCAGGTGAGTCGCATGCTCGTTTGCCCCCTGTATTGTAAAAAAATAAGAAGAAATTAATGTTGTTTGCTGCATTCAAGTTGTAGATAAATTTATTATTTTAAACTTAAAATCTAAATGTTCCGTTCTTATAAATGTTCTTATGTCGTTCCATTTCATTGGTCGTGCTGGAAAAATAATAAACTTAGTAACAGTGACAATAACATAAAAGAGCCCGTCTGTTCTTTCAAAGCCAAATTGTGCTCGAAACAATTTTTGACATCTAAAGGTCGTCATTTTAATTTATATTGTTACTCTATATCCTATAATATTCTCAATTTATTCAAATGAGTCAAGCTATGTAGTGCTGGTGGCTCAAGACCGTTCCTTACGGCAGTCTACGAGAGAGGCCTAGGATCAGAAATCTAATCTCAAAAAAAAATTATCGGCCGTTTTTGACAGCCGAGTAAAAATAATCTATATTTAAATTTAAAGGGTTAGAAAGTAAATCCATGTAAATAAAGCCTCAGGTTCTACTAAATGCTATTTTTTCTATAGAAACATACTTAGATTTGCAAGAGGAGAAGAAAGTCCGCGAAGAAGCGTTGGACTACAAACAGCAGCGCGAAGAGGTGGTCCGGGCATTTGAAGCGATACAGTCTCGACTGGTGGCGCTGTTGGAGGAGAATCTATCGGAGCCGCCGCTACACCAACTCTCACTGGCAGAGTTTAACTTGCATCTTGAGCACAAGAAGGAGAGGCTCAAGCAGGTGATTCTTTATAGACAAGTACTGTAACCTTTGTGGTTTACCTTCCGCTGGTTTCAGTTGGTTTCTCGTACAATTTTTTAAACATTCGTATTCACGATGTCTAGACTTTTTCTAGGTATATCATCTCATCATCATCATCATCTCAGCTTATAGTTGGGGGTTTTGCCAGTAGTAGCCACGTTTAGCAGGCGGGTTAGCAACCGCATTTAGACCCATGGTGATGTTTTAAGTGAAACACTGCTGCCTATCCCTCGACTATTTCCTTTGGTCGCCTCTTACGACATCCACGGGAAAGGAAGAGGTGGCCCATTCTATGTGGGGATCGACACGGCGATAGGTATATCATCTATTTACAAATGATACAATATCCGTTTAGTTTGGAGAACATGACGCTGTGTGATATCTTCAAGGGTATTTATTTATCATTCATCATCACATAATAACTTAATAAACCTGCTGATGAGCACGAATCAATCCTCACATGAGGAGAACGGTAATAGTACATTTTCAATATCTATCACGCCGGCTAGTTGGCTTGGTCTATATCAAACCAACATGAGACGAATGTTCTAACTATGGGATATTAACACTCGTCTCGGGTCCACAGAAAAAATATTATTAAAATCAGACCCATAGAAAATTTTCTCAGCTAAATTTATGAATGTTATGTAAATCGGAATATTTTTCAGGCGGAGCGCGAACGAGAAGATATCCGGCTAAAGACAGAGGCTCGTATCCGCGCCCAGGACAAGGTCACCGCGTGGATCAAACGGACCTGCTGGGACACCATGCTCACGCCCAGAGTCAAACTGTTTGCTATATTCAGTCATTACCAAGCAAGTACTTTAATTTGAGGATATATACTAAGATAATTCTAAATAAAAAGATTATTTTTATACTATTCTACTAATCTAATATTAGTCACGAGTTTCACTAGACTTCACGCTTCTACTTTGGAAGGAAAAGAATTGTTAATAAGGGAGTCTAAAAGTCCTATTGCTAATATTATATCAGGTCGACCTCCACGTCGTTCCTCTTGGAGACCGTCGTGGTTAATTCTTGTTAAATTCATTACGATGGGCCAACTGTCCTCACCTAAAATCCCTGACAGTTACCTCGCCAGCATATGTCGATAGCATAGGCGGAGTAATCATTCCATTATCTCTTATTAAAAAAAGAAATTTATTAAAAGAAGGAATTCCCAAAGAGGGTTGACGTCAGGCAGGCGGCCGGTCGTAAAACTATAAGCCAAATCTTTTTGCAATATGGATAAAAAGCATATTACGCCGACCCCAAATAATAATTGGGATAAGGGTAGGAAAATGATGATGATCTCTTATTAAAAAAACATCCTATCTTGTACGGCGACTCCGTCAGCCTATCTTGCATTATTGTCAAAGGCAAAGGTTGTGTTGTGGTAGATCAGTGAAAAATTAAGACACATTGCATTGGAACAGGTAGAGAATTATGCGGTGCTGCCGACGCAGCGCGACTATTGGCCAGAGTTGCAGCAGATTGAGGCATTGCGTGCTATAGAGATGGAGAACGACGCCGCAGTCTTTCGACCCTGGGAAGAGACGATTGACAGAGCGAGCGCCGACAAGAGCCAAATACCGTAACATACTTAATTTAATACTATATTACATTAGTTAGTTGCTGTATGATCCCGACAAAGAATGCCATCCCTTCCTTTACCATGAGTGTCGTAGGAGGCGACTAAGGGACCCTAATGGTCGAAGAATGACAGACAACCGCGTCCATCTTAAAACATCATTAAAATCAAAACCGCGGTTGCCAACTCGCCTGCCAAGCGTCGCTACTACTGACAAAACCCCCCAAGGGAGAGGCTTATGTTCAGCAGCAGACAGTTAAAAGGCTGATATGATGATGATGATGATGGTGACAGTATTTAATGTAAGAGGACAACTAATTTAAATAATAACTGTGTTTGACATTTTCGACAACGGTTTCCAGACATGTATATAAAACAGAATATATAAATATGTTTTAATAATAATAAATAATAGGCTCCCGGAGAGCTCGGTGATGTCGGTGAAGGAAGGCCGCAAGAGCATGGAGAGCAAGGTGGGCGAGTTTAAGCAGCAGGAGTCGGAGGAGGTGGCCGGCAACCCTCACGCGCTGTACGGCACTAGTGCGCACAAGTTCATGCAATTGCCCGCCTACATGATACCGCAGACGTTTGCTTTCTCCTTCCTGCACATGAATTGGCTGCAGCACATCGTCAAGGTTGGATTGTAGTTTTTTTTTATTTTATAGGATGAAAATGGAATTTTAACCCATTTGCGCTAACGGTGGCAGTGCGCCAGTGAAAGATGATAGGTGAAAATGCTATCAACAGATCAATTAGTGCGTCGTGAAGAATTCGACAAGAATTAATCACGATGGTTTTCTGATGCCACGTGGAGATCAACCGGAACAATATACCCTATATTGCTGTCAATGAGGCCGCTAGACTTCATTACTAACAACAGAGCAGTGCAAACAGCAATGTTAACTTTTGAGAAACTTATGCTTTATTGGTCAAATAATGAAAACTAGGTATATTGTTCCGTTCTTAGGAAAATTTTGGAAATAACGACGGCCAAATTTTGATGTTCATGGGGTCATGCACAATAACCGTTAGGTGTGAAATATGCAGTTTTGTTTTTTTTTTTCAGCTAAATGTACAGAACATGCGGCTGTGGTTCAACAAGCAATTTGATGATCTGATGAACCTCAAGAAGCGGGAGGTTGGCCTCGTCGAAGAGCGAAATGCGAGGCTACGCTTCATTGTAGAGGGTTCGAGAATTTTCGACACCAGTTACATTAATTTGTGCCCGAATAGTTAATAGATTTCACGCTTGACTGAAGTCCATGTTGTTTGCATTTATTGTTTCTTTTTTGTTATTAAGTAGTTGTTATTTTTCTTTTTGTACTTATGTATATAAAATTACATAATTTTTAAGTAGATTTGAACTCTTATACCACAATTAAGTCACTCCTAAATAAACAATAGTTATTTGCAAGTATTTAGATGCAAGGCATTTTATGTGTAATATACAATCTTTAATATACTTAGTTTGTGTATATTTACAGGAGTATTAGTATATAAATAATTCGATATTAGTCTGAACATTTCCCAAGATGATACCAGTCTAAATTCTAAGTTTTTTTTTTAGTGTATGATAATGGAATGATAACCCCGCCTGCGCTAACGGTATACGCTTGCGGAGCACCAGTGATGGATGATAGGTGAGAATTAATATGCAGGTCAGTTAGCCGATCATGATGAATTCATCAGGAATTAATCATGATAGTTTCTAAGGGGAACCGCGAGGAGGTCGACCTGGTTGGGTATATTGCTAGCAATGGGATTCTTCGTCTCCATTACTAACAATCCCTTTTCCCCCCTCTAAATTCTAAGTTGTGTACAATTACATACCTTAAAATGCCTAAAACTAATATTTCTTGAAACTTGACAGTGACTCGAGAATTGAATCTATCTTATTTATATAAAGCGACTTATCCATTACTATGCCATAAAAATACACACTAGAGTCTTTTTCTAATAAGTAATATTTCATAATACAGAGTTAAACAAGCTGTCGGATCTGCGCGGCAGCTTCCATCACTTAGTTATAGACATCAAGAACCCTGAGTGGCGACAGGAGGAACTGCCAGAGCGTTTGATCAAAGTCGATCCAGAAGAAGTGAGTAACGTTATAAATAACTTCATATTTTTTATACAACTTAGAATGGCAAACAAGCTGACGGCCCACCTGATGGAAAGTGGTAACCGTCGCCTATAGACATGAGCAGTACCATGGACATAACATAATAACTGTTTCGCCCATGATACCCCCCATGCGTTGCCATTCCTGAGGACTCAGGTATTATTCCTCTGTACCCAGTAAATTCACGCCATATCCCACCCTTTAAACCGACACACAGCCATGCAAACACAACTGCTTCACGATAGAAACATGAATGGGGCAGAGGTACGCAAGCAAACGATTTTTGTACAAAGTCTCCCTCTGGTGATCTACGAACTACACTTGTAGGTTTATTATGAACGCTTACAACCTAATAATTTTACAGATTAAATTGTGGCATTAGTCACATGATCCAAATCTATTAAGTTTTTCGATTCTTGATTTTTTTTATACCACTGAGATGCCAAACAAGTATACGACCCACTTGATTGTAATATAATAAGCCCCTTACTAATTCGCATGCCCATTTTTTCCATGACAATTGCTATATAAATATAATAGAATAGAAACATTTATTGTCATACAATTACAATATAAAATATAAATGACATATACAAAAAGTGTCCCATACTCGGCAAAAGGAACCGGCTCAGCTGATGCTGTGAGTGTCCCAGCGCAATGTGAACAGCTGCACAGCGCTGGTGTTCAGCCAGTCCCTCTCTTAACAAAACAACCAAAGTGCAGGGTACCACTTTACATTACTTTTTACAAGAATTATTTCTCAATACTAATTAAAAAAAATACTAATAAAAAAAAAGGAAATAAGTTCTTAATTGTGCCTATATTTGACACATACACATATATATATATACACACATATACATGCACAGACATATATACACATATACATACACACATGAGTAAAATATCATATTGAGGATCAGATACTACCGATAGTTATGTTCTCCTTTATTTTGTTTCTCCAACAGTACTCGTTTTAGTCTATATTTGAAACAGAGCTGGGACATTTCCTCGTGGAGAGGCGGAGGTAAATTCCAGCTTTTCAACTCAAGCTTTTGTTGTAATATCATAATGAGAAGAATTAATTTTGGCACATTTAGTTCGAAGTATTTATTGCAATATCTATTTAAACATACGTCTTAGATATTACTAGACATATACCTAATTCAAATACAGTTGTTTACATTTATGATTGTTACATGCAATAAATATACACGCTTGTCAACATTATTCGGACTTGTTTTTAATAACTGGGTACTTTATTTATTTATTTTTTATTGTACACAAAAATTACAAACATATGTATAATATATATTAAATAAAGATGTACAACAGGCGAGCTTAACTCTGTAAGAGTTCTCTTCCAGCACACCCTTAGTGGAAAGGAGCATTAATTACCAGCGGGCAGTGTGCGTACAATAATAGGAGGAAACAGTATAGTTGTTTATATTAAGGAATAATAAATATGTTGACATATATACAAAGTAACTCATATAATTAAAATCAAAATACATACATATCTGTGTACAATAATACATATACATATATACATAGACATAAAATATTCCTTTACATACAAAATACGTATATATACACACATGTACATAATAAGTTTATGAGGACAGAAGATGCTCTTTTAATCTACTCTTGAGGGGGGAAAGGGATTGTTAGTAATAGAGACTGAGAATCCCATTGCTAGCAATATACCCAACCAGGTCGACCTCCTCGCGGTTCTCCCTGGAAACTATCATGGTTAATTCCTGATGAATTCATCATGATGGGCTAACTGGCCTGGTTTTCATTCTCATCTATCACCCTTCACTGGTGCTCCGCCAGCGTATCCCGTTAGCGCGGGCAGGGTTACCATACCATTTACACCCATTGAAAAAAAAATCTACTCTTGAATATATTCAGTGATTGATTTTCACGAATATGCAGTGGAAGAGTGTTCCATACTTCATACTTTGTGACTGATTCTTACATGTATATGGCTATAGTGCAGCATCGAACCGTACATCAGTCCAAGCCAGATCGTGATTTCACCACCTGAACCGAAGCCAAAGGACGACTTCCGCGAGCGCGCTTTAATGGAGATGATGGACGGTGTGCTTGAGAAACTATGGCATGAGGAGATCAAGAAACCGATACCGATGCCTCAATGCATGGTAAGTGTGATATGCGTGGTGTGTCCGAATTTTGTTCTTAATGTGTTACCTTTATTTATACACTATAGTTGCCCATCCTTGACCATAATTTCCCTTAGTTACCTTTTATGAAATTAAATGAAATGAAATGAATTTATTTTGTTAGAATGCAGGTAATTTTAGATGATAGAGGTTTATATTTCCCGTGTACATTCTGCCTCTATGTCGGCGTGCAAATTTTTAACAATATAAGAAATTTATATATACATTCTACATTATATTTCCTTTCCTTAGTCATACAATATATTATTATTATTTATTACAGTAAACGGAAAATAAAAGCCTGTACAATAGTTACGATAAATAGTAATACGATAGTTTACGATACCTATAAAGGGAAAGATGGCCTATTCTATACCTGCAACGCATACGAGTGCGATGGAATACTGGACATTAATTTTTAATTTTCTCCGTGCCCAAGTAGTACTTATAGGAAACACGATTTTTTTTTGTATCTGCGAAAACCTAACTCAATCCAATTGGACTGAGTTAGGACTAATTAGGAATTCCTAAATAGTAATCCATGTTGCTTATAGTGAACATATGTTATTGCCTACAAGCCAAATAATTACTTTTGTATTCATCAGTATTGCATACAAAACCAGATTTAGTGGATATTCGAAATATTATTTTGGAAGTCTCTAAAATTTTTACATGCTCTCGTAAAATTTATCATGTCCAGTTGGAGAAAGATCCTGAGCATTTCAACGAGGATGACCTACGGCTTGTGTTCGAGTACGAAGAGAAGGTGGCGTCCCGCAACGAGGAGCGGGACAAGTACCGCAAGATGCTGCACGCCGAGTATGCCAAGCTCGCGCAGGTGCTCGACGAGGGCATCGTCAAATTCAACCAGAAGGTACCTTTCACCAATATACCTAAAGAGTGAAATCTGCATCGTTAGCGAAACGTAAAGTTAAGAATCTGTTTTGTCGTGAACACAATGGATTTTATTTATAACTAGCGGCCCGTCCCGGCGTCGCACGGGTGGACACTTTTATCATTTCCCTTCACTGCTCTGCTCGTATTGATCGTAGCGTGATGAAAAGTATACTATAACCTGCCCAGGAGTATGAAGAATAATTGTACCAAGTTTCGTTAAAATCCATCGAGTAGTTTTTGTTTCAATAACGAATATACACAGACAGACAGACAAAAATTTTACTGATTGCATTTTTGGCATCAGTATCGATCACTAATCACCCGCTGATAGTTATTTTGGAAATATTTTCCATGTACAGAATTGACCTCTCTACAGATTTATTATAAGTATAGATAAACTCTGATATTCGATGATAAATAAGTTTAATTTTAATATATAAATTTACAGTAAATTATTAATTGCTGCTACAACTGTCCAATGTAACAAGATGATACGGTACTAATATATATAAAAATGGATAATAATAAATAAATATAATATAATGGATACAATAATAATAACAAAGGAAGCGCCTGCTTGAATAGGCTTAGCACACAGTTACAAATTTGTCATTAAACGTACTTTTTTTTTATACACTTTAGAATAGCAAACAAGTAGATGGGCCACCTGATGGAAACTGGTAGCTGTTGCCTACAGACTGTATACGGGTTTACCTATGATACACTTCATACGCTGTACTCTGTAATTTCACTGTCATATCCCACCATTTAAATCGAAATACAGCCATGCAAACACAACATGCTTCACGGCAGAAACACGAGTGGGTCAGAAATATTCATGCAGACAACTTTTGTACTAAGGGGGGAAAGGGATTGTTAGTAATGGAGACTGAAAATCCCATTGCTAGCAATATACCCAACCAGGTCGACCTCTTCGCGGTTCCCCCTGAAAACTATCATGGTTAGTTCCTGATGAATTCATCATGATGGGCTAACTGGCCTGGTTTTCATTCTCATCGATCACCCTTCACTGGTGCTCCGCCAGCGTATCCCGTTAGCGCAGGCGGGGTTACCATACCATTTACATCTATCAAAAAAAAAACTTTTGTACTAAGTCTCTCACTCTGGTTGGAGGGAATTTTCGTAATTCAAAAAGTCAAAAACAGAAAAATATGTTAGTCTTTCATACTAACTCAACAACTCAACTTTAATTTCCATTCGTGACCCATGTTTTTAGAGAAAATATTTATTTTCACTGTTAGAACTCTCCCTTCAAAGATTGCTAACGACGTCAACTTGACCGTTGTATGCCAGTATTCATTTACTTGGATCTTTGAAAGGTGTCTCGTCCGATGGATCAGTAATAGAAGAATTCCCTAGTATGATTTCTTTAATTCCAAATTTAATTTTAGGTGAAGGAGTTGTGGCTAACCAAACTTCAAGTGGACTCTGTTATTGGCCAAGAGAATCTAAATCTGATGCGCTTACGTCGTATTAACTTGGACCGAGTTGAAATGGATGAAAAATTAGAGGATATGCGGTAATTATATCAAGAAGGCTTAAAAATGCAGTTTCCCACGAGTTCTTTTAAAAATTAGATTAAATTTTTACAATTATTAATTATAAATTTTATAAAATATAAAATTTTATTAATTATAAGCACTGAATTATTTTACTATTGAATTAATTACATAAAATTAACACGAATTCTAGAATAAAGGCAAACATTTAAAATAAACAGTGTCGTAAACTTTCCATCACTATAAGAATTATTTCTTATTAGTTTAAACTGTTAACTATAGAGATTTTCTTTTATACAACTTAGAATGGCAAACAAGCTGACGGCCCACCTGATAGAAAGTGGTTACCGTCGCCTATAGACATGAGCAGTACCATGGACATAACAGAGTATACTGTTTCGCTCATGATACCTCCTATGCGTTGCCATTCCTGAAGACTCAGGTGTTATTCCTCTGTACCCAGTAAATTCACGCCATATCCCACCCTTCAAACCGAAACACAGCCATGCAAACACAACTGCTTCACGGTAGAAACACGAATGGGACAGAGGTGGCGAAACAATCGACTTTTGTACAAAGTCTCCCTCTGGTGGTGATTATAAATATGTGAATATTAAATCAACCAGTCAAATAATAATAAGTCGTTAATTTAGTAAAAAAAAAAATTAAAAATCGTCCACACAGAGCAGAAATATCACGCTTGGAGGGCGAAATAGAGGTGCTGCAGAAAGAGGCAAACAGTGCAGCTGTGCAGGCCGAGGAGTGTCAGGCGACGTATGATGCGCTTGCGCAGAAGGACAAGTACATGGAGCGCACCTTCAAAAACCACTTCGCGGATCTCTCACCGATCATCGTCGACCAGTGCTACAAGTTCTACAAGTTAGTACCATTATACCTAATGATTCGTTTTTCTTTACCTAAAACCAATTGTCTTAGAAATATGTAAGCGGAAATAGATATATTTCTATATAGCATATTATAAAATTTGGTGAAAACATGATACGGGTGTCAATAGCAAAATTTTACCTGTCGCTTGATGTAATAGTAGCTATGTTGTTTTGCGGCATGAATAACGTTTCGAGTACAATTAATATGTTTTTAACGAATGACTATGGAATGGTAACTCCGCCTGCGGGGGGTAGAGGGATTGTTAGTAATGGAGACTGAGAATCCCATTGTTAGCAATATACCCAACCAGGTCGACCTCCTCGCGATTCTCCCTGGAAACTATCATGGTTAATTCCTGATGAATTCATCATGATGGGCTAACTGGCCTGTTTTCATTCTCATCTATCACCCTTCACTGGTGCTCCGCCGGCGTATCCCGTTAGCGCAGGCGGGAGTACCATATCATTTTCAACCATAAAAAAAAACCCCCCTGCGCTATCGGTATATGGTAGCGGGACACTATTGAGGGACGATAGATGAGAATGTAGCAGGTCAGTTGGCCTAACGACGAATACAAAATTAACCTCGATGGTTTCCAGAGAGAATCGCGTGGAGGTCGGCCTGATAGGATATATTGCTAGCAATGGGACCCTCTTACGATTAATAGTTGGGTCAATTCAGAAACGTTGCTAAACTGCTTTTCTAATGGGATACCTATTCGTTACATACCTTTCTCATCTACCTCCGAGGAAAGTGGCCATAAGGCTAGACGCTGCGCTGCACTATGCGGACTCTACATTATTCATATTGGGCAGTAAATTTGCCAATAATGCATTACCGCGCCTCACCTCACGATGAAGTTTTTATGGGTGAAAATGGAATGGTAACCCCGCCCGAGGTATCGATGAGAATGAAAGCAGGCCCATTGCTCGATGAACTGCATTACATGGAGGTCGATTTAATGAGATATATTGAATAAATAAATAAATAAATAAATACTAACAATTCCTTTCCTCCCGTCGTGAGGTGTACTGACGTGGAGTCTTTACAACTGTGGAACGTCTAGTCAGTGGTGAAGTGAGTTTGGTGGATACCTATGATGCACTCACGTGGTGTGGTGCGCAGGAAGCGTCCGAAGTGGCAGCAGCGCGCGTCGCACACGCCGGCCGTGCTGAACGAGCTGGCCGGAGCGGTGCTGGCGGCCGCACGCCCGCCGCTGTTGCACCCCGACTGCCTCGACTACTACAAGGGGTACACGCCACCACTAGGTCACCACGCTACCACGTCACTACATTACATATTACACGCATACATACTTCTGTTTTGTTTTTCTTTTTTATGTTTTTTCTGTGATAAAATTTAATCATCATCAAATCAACCTTTAACTAACTGTCCACTTTTTTTATACCACTGAGGTGGCAAACAAGCATACGGCCCACCTGATGGTAAGCGGTTACCGTAGCCTATGAATGCCTGCAATACCAGAGGTATTACGCGCGCGTTGCCGACCCTGAAGAAACCTCTTTACTCCCCTTTTGAAGAATCCCATGCTGTAGTCTCTTGGGAAAAATTCGGCAGGGAGTTCATTCCATAACCTGAGTGTTCGACTGTCCACTGCTGAACATAAGCCTCACTCTTAAGAAGGTTTGGTCAGTAGTTACCACGCTTGGCAGACAGATTAGTAACCGCAGTTAGGCTTTAGAGATGTTTTAAGACAGACGCTGCTGCCCACCCTTCGCCCTCAGTTAGTCGCCTCTTACGACACCCGCGGGAAAGGAAGGGTTGGCACATTCTGAGCTGAGAGCATACGGCCTTCGGGTAAAATTGAATGATAGTAAGATATTCCACCATCAAAAATCAAAGACTTTTGAATGATTTAAATTAAAATACCATTATATTAACATATATTTATATAATAATTTCACATGCAGTCGTTTAAGCATGATTGAGTAACAAACTATTTTACTATTTTATTTTATTTTATTTTATTTTGAGCAAAAGTCGTTTGCTTTTAGTAAAATAGTTTGTCTCTCTCCTCTCTCTCTCTCTTGCTCACTTGTCACCTCTGTCCCAAGTCTGTTCTGTTTCTACCATGCACCAGTTGTGTTTGCATGGCTGTTTCGGTTTGAAGGGTGGGATATGGCGGTGAATTTACAGGATTCAGAGGAAATAACACCTGTCATCTCAGGAATGGCAACGCATTGGGAGTATCATGGGCGAAACAGTATACTCTGTTGTGTCCATGGTACTGCTCATGTCTATAGGCGACGGTTACCACTTTCCATCAGCTGGGCCGTCAGCTTATTTGGCATTCTAAATTGCATAAAAAATTTTTTATGACGGATTTATCTCTGCGTTTCAAATAGCTAGATTGAACGGAGTTTCGGTATTTTTTTATTTACGTTTTTTAATTAGAAAACGATTCTATATTGTCACTCTTTCACATTCTTTTTACATACCTACATACATAGTTAACAACTATAAAGCCAATTATAATAAACGTTCTGAAGTTAACTGTAGTTCTAATATAAGTACTAATGCATTAGGGTGGAACAGTTGGACCTGATCAGCAACATGCCGCCGGTGATGGACGACGGCCTGTGGGCCACGATGTGCAAGCTGCGACGCGCCAAAATAGAGAACGAGATACGCGTGGGTATTGTCTATGGTTACAACCTTAGATACAGGTAGACTGTCTCTATAGAAATGCTTTTAGAAAAACGGGTCAATTGATAAATAGTTATGAGTGATTCCTTTATAACTTCTATATTTATTTTGTCTTATAATTTCTGCATCTTTTTAATGCGTAAACACTTATTTTATTTATTAAATAATACGTCAAGTTACATTTTATGCGTAAGTATATAGAATACTGACAAAAAAAAAAAGAGTCAGTTAATTTGACAATTAGCTGACAAAAAGTAGACCCGTTTTTGAGGCTCGATGCTTTATCTATGAAATCTAAGGTTACAACAAACAAGTTTTTTTTTTTTTTTAATTTATAAAAAACAGTTATTTATAGAAAATATCAGAATACTTAGATACTATAATCGTGGCAAAATTAAAACCAAGAATTAATTTTATATATTGTAAAAAGCCTATCAAGATTTACATTCCATACATTCAATGTATATCAAAGATTTAAATGAAAAACAAAAAGGGATCAAAGCTTCTACTACGGTGGGGTGAAGAATTCAAGAAATCCTTCGACATATCTCGACCGCAAGACGATGTGTCATGGGTTATCGGACTGAGGAGGCCGCAAGGGCCGGACTTGGTTTTGAAACCATAGGACTGACGCGACATGGCGTCGGATTGCATTACAATAGCTCCCCCCAAGCGTATTGTGGAATGCGTTGGGGCAGATTTAAGCGGCTCTGCCCCAGGTACCGCTTGACCGAGTAGAAACGGATCCCCGATAACACTGTCGTCTTGTTTGTATATATACTTAACGATCAAAAATATTTCGATAGCGCGTTTTAGGATTCGCACTGCTATTCACACAACAAAGAATGCCGTGTTATCGTTTATTTATTATAAGTTATGTCGTTTTTTGGAGGGTTCTTTAGTGGTCGCTCATTGGTCGAAATTCGACCATAACGTACATTGTAATAAATGAATTTATTATGGTTATGTTTGACATTAAGTAAGACTATAGACAAATAATATTTAAAACAAACAATATTAATCTATTCTCAATTTGACCATAGACTTAACAATAAGCAAAATATATAATACGTATGTGTTTTTTTTTTATTGATTTAATGTATTTTTTATGTATAATTTAATATATTTATATATTAAATTATACATATATATATATATATATATATATATATATATATATATATATATATATATATATATATATATGTACTCCTTCTCTGTATAAACTATAAGTGTGCGAAATTTCATACTCCTCCGTAAATTTCGTAAAAAGTTTTTTGCTTCACGTATTAATATATAGATAACTTTCCTTATTATTTTTTATATATATTAGAATGTTATATACATAATATATATGAGTTTTATGTTGTATCTCCATACAAAAGCATTTGTTTGACATTATCTATATAATCTAAGATAAATGTTTAATTATTGTTAAACCCACGCCGCTACCTACAGGCATTACAAAAATATATATAAATTAATTTACTTCTACAAAATTATGAATTGGTAACCCCGACTGCGATAACGGTATCACTGGCGGGGCACCAATCAGAGATGAAAGGTGAGAATGAACAGGCAAGTCAGTTAGCCCATTGTGATGTATACACCTGGAATTTAATACGATGGCTTCCAGGGGGGACCGCGCGCGAAGGTCACCTGATATGGTATATTATTAGCAATAGGACTGGTAGTTCGCATTACTAACAATCCCTCCCCCCCCACTATATATTATAGTTGGTTGTCCCTCGAAATTTAACTTGCTATACTTTAATACTAACAATAAATATATATATCCTAGTATTAGGTATTATATATATATATATATATATATATATATATATATATATATATATATATTTTATTTTTTTTTATTTTTTATATGTTTTCTGATGGAAAGTGGTAACCGTCGCTTATAGTCACGAGCAGTACCATGGACATAACAGAGTATACTGTTTCGCCCATGATACCCCCCATGCGTTGCCATTCCTGAGGACTCAGGTGTTATTCCTCTGTACCCAGTAAATTCACGCCAGGTCAATCCCTTTCCTTCTCCTAAACAAACAGGTTGCTTATTATAATAATTCAGCAGTAGGTGATGAATCACTGAAATGATAATGATGCCTTTTCATTGTTCTTTTCTACATACCATAGATGCGGGCGATAGTGCAGGAGATAGCGTATGTGGACAGCATGAGCAATGGGTGGAGCAAGGCGATCGCGGCGCGACGGAACTTGCTCGCCAACATGCACGAGCGCATCCACCAGCATCGGGAGGCTGTCGAGCTCGCCGCCAGGAACAGAACCATACAGGTTATTTACGAATGTAACTAGCTTTTATCCGTGATTTCGTCCACATAACCGGAATATATTCACTGACCAGTATAATAAGCCTATGTAAAGGGTAAAGAAGGTACCCCATATAATACTTGTAAACAGGGGAAAGGGATTGTTAGTAACTAGGAAAAATGGCTCCATTGCTAGCAAGCCCTGTCAGGTCGACCTCCTTGTGGTTCCTCCTGGAAAACATTGTGATTAATTCTTGTTACATTCGTCACGAGGGGCTAACTGATCTGCTATCGTACACGTCTATTATCCCTCACTGGTGCCCCGCCAGTGTATACGGATAGAGCAGGCGGGGCCACCATTCCATTAAAAAGAAGTACGTGTATTTTATATTTTCAAACTTATTCGTTAATTCATTAAGGCACTAAGAAGTTGTTACTTTACTTTAATATTTGTAATATTATATTAGTAAGAATTCATGTTCAAATAGAATGTGTTGATATGGTCATGTTCATATCATACGAAGAAATGAAAGCCATGTTTTAAAGAAAGCGTTAAGTATAAAAGTGGATGGATTGTGTGAAAGATAAAATACATAAAAGAGTGTAGTCAGTGTATAAAGCGCCTGCACTCTGTACTACAATTATTAAGTGCATAGTCGACATTGCAGCTGGTCTTGCCCGCGGGGCAAGTGGAAATAATAACGACCGGCCACATGGAGGACTTCGAAGATGCCACCCTTATACTGCGTGAGGACATCGAAAAGATCAACAATGTTATATTGGTTAGTGTGCACACTATGTGGAGTCCTGTATACATACTCTATGTGGAGAAACAACCGTAATAATAAAGGATTGCCCCCAATACGACTTTTTATGTATACTGCCCAATTCCAATTCTGTTGACAGCCTTTACAACTTATAACTAACCTAGTTATGTAAGTTTGTTTAGGTGTCTACTATTTCGTCGTTATAACTAACTTAGTTATGTAAGTTAGTTTAGGTGTCCACTATTTCGTCGTTATAACTAACCTAGTTATGTAAGTTTGTTTAGGTGTCCACTATTTCGTCGTTTTTTTTTTAAATACTTTGTTTCTGTCGCTATGTTTTTTGCGACAACCTTCTAATCTGTAATCTTATTTTATCTGTGTATAAAACTGAGGATTTTTTTTCTATATATATAAATTTAAGTATATATAAAGTTGTAACTACTATTTCATCGTTATAACTAACCTAGTTATGTAAGTTTGTTTAGGTGTCCACTATTTATCCGATATAAATAACCCGTCAATAGACAAGATGCTATAGTTAATTAGATTGGTGTAAAGGGAATTGGATTTGATCGATTGATTGGTTAGCAAATCGACTTTTTTAAAACACAATGCAACAAAACATGAGTTATGCAAGTGAAATTAATGTAACCAGAGATCTTTATAAGAATAGGACAAGATTAGTTATTGACATTAAGTGTAGACATTTTCGGAACAATAATTTTTTTTATAACTCCTGAACGCATGAGAAAGAATAAGGCCTTGGTATGTTTTTTTTTATACGACTTAGAATAGCAAACAAGCTGACGGCCCACCTGATGGAAAGTGATAACCGTCGCCTATAGACATTATCTCGTGTTAAACATTAATTATATTATTTATTATTATTTCAGCCATCAACTGTCCACTGCTGGACATAAGTCTTTCCCATAATAGCTGTTTTGCTAGTAGTTGCCACGCTTGGCAAGCGGATTGGTAACCGCAGTTAGGCTTTTAGAGATGTTAGTCGCTGTTTACGACATCTACGGGAAAGGAAGGGGCGGCCCATTCTATGCCGGGACCACACGGCGAATTATAAACATTAATACGGTATCGAAAATGTATCGATCGATAAATTTGTTTGTTACTCGTCTAAAGGCGTTTTTCAAGGCACTTTCTTTACGTACAACCACGTTTTGGAACCAACTTCCAGCACCAGTATTTCGGAACCGTCACGACATCGTAATCTTCAGGAAAAGAGCACATTCCTTTATAAAAGTTCAGCAGCACACTTGCAATTCCTATGATGTTGCGTGTGCTCATAGACGACAGTAGTCACTTACCATCAGGCGAACCGCATGCTCGTTTGCCTTCTGTATTATATAAAAAAAAATCGATATGAAGATAAAATTTCTTATACACAGAAAGTAGGCGAAATGAAGTTGCGCATGATGCGCAAACAGATGGAGTTCCGCAAGGGCATCCTCAGCAAGGAGTGGGAGCACGCGCAGACCAAGATGAAGCTGCGCCACATGGAGCAAGAGCTGCAATCATACAAGCGGCTTAAGGTAACGTTACCGATGCAAACACGATGGATCCTACCGTTGATGGTGACTTAGTCTTATCTCTGTATTTAGTTTAGAAGATTGAGATCATCATTATCATAATAAAAAGCTATTAAGAGGTCCACTTGTCAGTACAGGTCTTCCATAAAAATAGATACAATTCAAACAGATTTCACCACCGTACAACCCGCCATAAACTAAAATTTCATCCCAACCATCTGGACGAGTAGCGCTCTTCCGCCGTGCGTTTTTCAATGCACTTTCTTCCACGCACAACCATTCTTTGGAATTAACTACCAGTAGCAGTATTTCCGAACCGATACGACAACATAACTTTTAAGGAAAGAGCATATTCCGTTTTAAAAGGCCGGCAGCACACCTGCAATGCCGTTGGTGTTGTGGGGGATCATGGGCGGCGGTAGTCACTTACCAACAGGTGAGCCGCTTGCTCGTTTGCCCCCTGTGTTGTAAAGAAAATACAGAAGTACACGAAACATACATAGGTATTTTAAAATCTTAATAATTAAATAAAATAATAGTATTAGTCCGTTATTAAAAATTTAAAAGTGCTATTTTAAGCTCTCTCTTCAGTCGTACACTCTTGGCAGAGTGGTCGTGGTTTTCACAATGACGGTGGATCGTCGGTGAGGCTCTCCTTCGCGATTGAGGTCCTCGCAATATGTCTCCATCTACTTCTGTTCGCCGCCGAGCGAGAGCATTCCACAATAGACTGCTGAATAGACACTATAGAAATTTTAAGCTAGGTTGCTGTAATATTGCAACTAGTAGCTACGAGAACTACGAGGATTGAAGTGTATGTTCACTACAAACGACAAGACGAATTCTACAAATTCCTCTAAGTTTGTAGCCCTGAATGGGGTAGATTCAGGGCTACAAACGTGAACATATTTATTTCATTAACAGATCCCGAAGGAGTTGCAGTTGTATCTGAAGAACAAGGAGCTCGGCTACACGGATGAGCAGGACTACGTGCGCATGGAGAAGGAGATGGAAGCTTCCAAGGTGTCAGTCAACAAGATGCTCACAGAGCAGATACATCAAGTCGAAGAGTTGGAGGTACGCTAAAGTTTGTTTCCTAAATTGACCCTATCGAGAATCGAACCTAAAACTTAATTAGAAAAAATCCCATCACTAGGCAGAGTGATCAATCGTATATGGCAATATATGATTGATTGTCACCTATTCATACCAAAGGCAGGGGAAAGGGATTGTTAGTTATGGGGTCTAACAGCTCCACTGCTCTGGAAACCATCATGGTTAATTCTTGTGGAATTCGTCACGACAGGATAACTGAGCTGCTTTTGTCCTCACTTCATTTATCACTGATGCCCTGCTAGCATATACCGATAGCGCAGGCCATTCCATTATCCATAAAAAACCTATTCATACCTATATTTGTTATCGTTTATAGTTGAAAATCAGTGCGATAGAAGCGCAGTCGGCACAGCTGGAGAACCTGATCGCATCGCTCAATGTGAAAGTGTCCGAGAAGCGGCTCAACGAAGACCCTCTCGAACCGATACGCATTCGCAGGATCTTCAAACGGAGGTGACTAGCTTTTGAAGATTTTAAACGTCTTCAGCAAAAGAGGTTCTCAGTTCATCTGTATTTTTGTGGGATTATTGATGACTTTTTAATCCTGTGTGTTAGTCTAATTAAAGGAACTATTATATTTCGCAAAGTAAAATTTAATTTTTATAATAGGAATTTAAATCTTTTTGTTTTGTATTGTATTTTTGCTAATTATTACCTCAATACTAAGGTAAAATCATTCATCATTTTAATCATTTTCATACCCAGCATAGTGCAAGAGTGTGATAAGTCCAGCGGTAGGAAATAATTGGTTCGTTTTGATAATGTTGTTTCATGCTTAGAATGTTGTGGCAAATAAACTGTCGGGTTCATGTAATGGAGAGTGGTAATCCAATGCAATTCCAAATTACATAAAATTTGGAATAGCAAATATCATGGCATCTAATAGAAAATGCTAATGATCGCCTACTGCCATCAAAAGCACCATGAACATCACATTTTGTATGCTTATGGCTCTCTTCTTGTTTTCCATTCTTACAGTGTTGTAACTTCTTAACGTTGGGCTTGTATCAGGATGGAGACCTTGGTGATGCGCAGTCAACTGGTGCGCGAGGTACAGGCGAACCACAGCAGCATCGTGCTGCTGCAGACCGAGCTGGAGCTGCTGCGGCTCAAGACCTACCCCACACTGGCCAGCTTCCGCACCTTCTCCTAACTGTAATGTCTACCAACTACCTAGAATATACAGAGTGATACAAACAGTGCTGGCTTTTTATTTATGTTCGTGATTTTGGCTGTGCAACTGGACAATAGGCCAGTATGCATTGTGCATTTTCGACCATAACTGACAATTGGAAGATTATATATATATATAAATCTTTTGTTTTCGTTATGTCTTTTAGTTGAATGCTTTAATTATAAATCATCACGATTCCACGACATAAAGTTCACAAACGAGGCTACATAAGCTTTTTTAGCAGGTACATAAAAGTTTTTTTTAAGCAACTTAGAATAGCAAACAAGAGCAAACAAGCTGACGGTCCACCTGCTGGAAAGTGGTAATCGTCGCCTATAGACATGAGCAGTACCATGGACGTAATAAAGTATACTATTTCGCCTATGATACCCCCCATGTGTTGTCATTCCTGAGGGTGTTTTTTCTCTGTACCCTGTAAATTTACTGCCATATCTCATCCTTTAAACTGAAATACAGCCGTACAAACAACTGCTTCACGGTAGAAACATGAATGGGATAGGTGTCCAAGCCAATAAATTTTGTACAATGTCTCCCTCTGGTAAGGTACATACAAAATGCTCAAAAAAAATTATTAGTTGATTCCAATACCAACAAAGTACAGAAGACACAGTACCTAAAGGATTCAAAATTACACGGACCACAGAATGCCTAAGGACGTCGCATTAAAGGAGAGGACGTCTGTCGGGTTAGGTAATTTAAAAAAAAGTCATTTTTCGGTTATAAAAATGTTATTAACATTAACAAATCTACAAATATTGTGTACAATGAAACCAGTATATGCTAACTTTGGGCTTTTACAGTAGGCCATACTTTGCTAATGATATAGGGAATTGCACTACGACCGTTATTTTTTTATGCAACTTAGAATGGCAAACAAGCTGACGGCCCACCTGATGGAAAGTGGTAACCGTCGCCTATAGACATGAGCAGTACTATGGACATAACAGAGTATACTGTTTCGCCCATGATACTCCCCATGCGTTGCCATTCCTGAGGACTCAGATGTTATTTCTCCATACCCAGTAAATTCACGTCATATCCCACCCTTCAAACCGAAACACAGCCATGCGAACACAACTGCTTCACGGTTGAAACACGTTATAGGCTGTTACATAGTGTTCAATCAAAAGTCCAATCAATCGGGGAAATAGTTTTTTTCTTAGATTCCTCGTTCCTCGAACTTTTTACTTCAATGTGTGTGACTATATACAGATGTGATGCTCTGTTTGTGAAGATACGTTATCAGTAACGGTCCAGCCAAAGGAGTGTTATAGTCCTTGGTCGATATCTTTTAAATATTTTCACTCATACATTTTTAGTTCTTCGGATTTTGGAGGGCCATGCCATATTCACAATCTATACCGGAATAGATGTCTCTGCCTTTATTTAAAAATTTAATGCGAATAACTGTTTTTGATCTTTGAATCAGTTGGATAATTAAAAAAAAAAAAACGATTTCGCCATTTGATAGGATTCGATTACAGAATGTGAAACACTAGAACAATTGACGATAACAGTCAACACGTTTCAACGTTCGACGGACACTACAAGAATCTGCAAAACCATAGGAGTTGATTTGCCCAGGAGTTTCTTCTAACAACTATGTAATTAGACTCATCAGTCGTTTACCATATATTAATGAACAAGCCCAGAATAATTTACAGATTCTCATAGAAACTATCAAATAGATGAATTACAATCCCTGATCTTTCATCGATCCAGTTAGATATCACCTATAGTGGTCATTTTAGGTCTTTCTATCTAATTTGATAGCGTTCCTGTTGACGCTACTTCTTGGAAAGTCTAGGCGCAGCTGTATAAAAAGTACAAAATCTGCAGTCTCAAAAGTTGGAACTCCAAAGTATGGGACATTACTGAAACAAGTGATTGCCTACAAATTCAACAACAATTTTAAACTACGACATTTACTATATTGTTATAAACATCTATCTATCTATTATACAATTTTATACAGCGCAACAAAAATGAGTCTAGACGTGTAGAAAAGTGTTTGATATTGTAATAATTTTTTTTTATTACAATACAATCACACCAGCTGCTTTATCCTCAAACGAGGATAATACTCGAGAAACCAGGCAATTTATATCACAACCCAGAACACGCTAAATCAAAAGACTTCTTCGAAAAAAATCGCCATCTTGACAAAATTAAAAGAATGTATATAAACGCTAAGTATGGGGTAGACCCCCATGATATACTTTTAGCCATTTTATTGATTTACCCCTTTATTCATAAAAACTAAAACCTTCTACAAATTTATTTTAACTATAACACTGTTATGTTACTTTCTTTCAAATTGGAAATTTATGGTAAAAGAAAGAGACAAAACAGTTCAATAGCTAAAATAAATAAACATGAGAGATTTTATGTTTTTTATGATTGAATTATTTTTATTATTATATATTTGTTTGGATTAGAGTTTGGAAAATTTAAAAAAAGCGACGAAGCCTATATTTTAATTACACATTTTTTAACAAGTATGTCATTGTAAGTACCAGTTTGTTAGGCATTGCTAAATGTACCTTTAGCGTTTTAAGTAGTATCATACAAATAGTCTGTAGTCAAATAATAAGCTTTAAAGCTTTAGTTTCAGCGAAGTAAAATAATTTATCACTAATGACAAAAACGCCCAATGTACTGTTCTCGAATGCAGGCACTCGCAACAGTAGACAGGTAGTAAGGTCGATTCCGAAGTCCATTAAATATTATTTTCAGTAAATCTACCGCCTTAGACAATCTCAAAAATTTTAAATTTAACTTTATTTTTTCTTTGTTTTTATTTTGCAAAAGTATTACTGTATTGTAAAATCTTTATTGTTCATAATTCACATGGAATGCATTAAAAAGATTAGTATTATCTTACCAGAATCTTCCAAGAATTTTTGTTCCTAGTTCTGACTGCATTTATACAAACTATGTATTAGAATAATGATTGTGTTGTAAAATCAATCTTAAGATTGAAATTTTAAGTTTTAATATCTAAAGATAAAAAATGGTGCTCCTGAATTGATCTCTTCCAATAAAGAATATAAGAAATAAACGTTATTTCACTTCGCTGAGACTAATATTAAGAAATATAAATACTTGTCTTTAGACACTTTACTTTTCGCTTTCCTTAAAGGCCTATTAAAATGTATCAATTTAAATAACTCACGCACTTTTGCACGCGACTATACACACACGCAGTCAAACGTTTATATATATTATTTTTTTTTTAAATTAGGCCACAATTTCGTTAACGTATATCACATGATTCAAAATCACAATTTCGCCAATTTTATACAAGTAATTATAGTATAAATTCTTTATGAAAATGGACAACATTTTTTTTTTTCTATAACACCGAAATTTAACGTATCAATTAAGTTTAGGGTTGGATCGAATTAGATAACCGTTCGTACAATTAGAACACGGAATAGACAATACCGATATATAGATACCGATCGATATCAGTATCGCTTTTTAAAAAATAGACTTTATTTGAATTATAATAAAAAATCTCCTTTTTTAAACTGACTTCAAACCGGTTCCCCAGACCGGTCGTATTTTTTTGTTTGTTACTTCATAACTCCGTCAGTTCTAAACCAATTTTCAAAATCAAAGATTAAAATATTTGATTTAGTCACAATAGTTTTTTTTTTTTTTTTGTAGGAAACAATTTTGATTATTTATAATTTACTTAGCTCCCTTATGGTAACCCTTACACATTTGTCGGCACGTCAAAAGAGTTTTCCTTCTGGGTATTGTCTATTCTTTGACCAGAGTGTACAACTAACTGTGCGCATTATTTATACTTACTAGATACCTATTTGACTTTTGCTATCGCAAAATGATACTTATATGTATTATTTTATGTCTCACGAATATGTTCACTCGATAATACTGATATGTAGAGGAGAAAGGACTTATCTATGGTAGGTTTTAAAGTACGATTTCTACTATTATATTAATGGATTCGTAGCTATAATGTATGTTTAAATGGATAATTAAGGGGCAAATAGTTTCCCCACTCTGCTAGAGAGGGTATAGAAAGTTGATTTAATCCTATTTTCATTCCTGGCAGGAGTTGGAGAAGTTTTAGATTTTAAACAGGAACGAATAAAAGAAACCTTACAATAATATATTACAATCGTACGGTTTCTTACAATTAATGGAAATGAGCAGTTTAATGACTGAAATACATTTTATGATATCTGATTCTCTTCTCTTATTAATATCATTTCGTTAATCATTGCATTTAAAGTAGATTGTGCAATACCCTCAATGCTGTCACATGAAGAAGTTCAAATATACTGTCTACCCTTAGATTATATAGATAGAGTGTTTCCATACAAATGCTTCGAGAAAAGTGGGTCAACTGTTTCATACAATTTTGCGTGATAAATAGTTATGAGTGGGGGGAAAGGGATTGTTAGTAATGGGGTCTAATAACCCCATTACTGGCAATATACCCTCTCAGGTTGACCTCCACGCGGTTCCCCGTGGAAACCATCATGTTTAATTCTTGTCGAATTCATCATGGTGGGCCAACTGACCTGCATTCATTCTCACCTATCATCTTCCACTGGTGCCTCGTCGGTGTATACCAATAGCGCGGGCGGGGTTACCAATCCATTTTCACCCATTAAAAAAAAAAATAGTAACTATTTTAATTATGAGTGATTCCTATGATTAATATTTATTTTGTCTTATAAATTTTGCATCTTTTTAGTACATATACACTCATTTTATTTATTAAATATATACACGTCAAGATACATTGTAAGCGTAAGTATATAGAAGACAGATAAAAAACACCTGTCAGCTAATTTGACAATTAAAATTGACCCATTTTTTTCAGACTCGATGCTCTATCTATGTCGTCATAGTCGTAGAATACTGACGGATCTTTATATGTAATCTTTGTCAGATCCGTCAGTATTCTACGACTATGACGATATAATCTACGTATCTATTCTTCTTCTACAGATAGGTATCCAAGAGCACAGTGGAATCGATTCTCAGGCGCCGATTTTCTAAACCTATCTACAAAATTAAAATTTGATATTACAGCAAAATCCTTTGCGTCAAAAATTTGAGTTAGAGTTATTAGGATATGATGGCCCATAAAATTGTTATTTCGTGAAACTATCAAATTAAAATATTAGCTAGAGAGCTAAATGTAGAGAAATAGCGCCTCAGAACCGAATCCCAATGTTTCTGTATATTAAGCTGCTCTATCCTACAGACGCGCATTTTTTTTTTATAACACAGAGGGCACGAGCACTGCCGGCATTTTATAAGATAGAAGAGATGACCGAAGTGTGGATACGTTTGCGAGCTAGCATTACAATGGTCAGCATATTTTATAACGTTTCCTCATAGGCCTAGGGCCATATTTGGACCGCATTGTTGTTTTTTCGATCTGTACTTGGTCGCAAATGGTCTTAACAGTTTCATCGGATGCGTGCAGGAACGATTGCATATAGCACTCCAAACCTGCGAGAGGAGTAAAGAAATGTCGATTCTTACTGGTAGATTGTGGGGTACACCCAAGAGCGTCAGTGCGGCTCAGACCTCGACGATTGCGTTGTGTGCATTTCGTATGTTTTCGATACCTATGTACTCTATACCAACAAGCTTACCAAAATAAACAGCCCCGCATCCCAAATCAATTTTCAACATCTAAAATTTGCCCTCCTACGCCAGGTAATCTAAGGTCGGCTCTAAATACTTCAGTGCCAAGTAAACGGTCACTCTAGGCTTTATCACCAGTATTCAGAGCGCAGTCCTCTGGTCGTACACGATGACCGCGTCCGCGTCGAAGAACTGGCTGTGGGACTTGCTCAACGCGATGATCGCTGCGTGCTCGCTCCGCATGCGGTTCTTGTATTTCTTGCTCAAGTTCACCTGCACATTGTAAGAGAAAAATATAAACCCACAACTCACGTTTGAAAAAAGGAGTTAAAAGTTTGCCAACTGATAACTCCTGTGATGTAACTAAAATCACACTCAGTTTGGATAGTAGAGGGATATGAGTTTGAATCCTATTGGGTCGAATTGTAGGAAGGTATTTTTTTATAAATGCTCCAAAACATAGCGGAGATAATTTTTCTGGAAATACTATATCAGAGGGAGACTAGAAGTCATCTGCGTGCTTGCTCTATTCTACTTACGTTTCAACAGAAGATATGCTGATATATTTCTGTTCGAGGGGTAGGATACAGCAGTAAAATCACAAGGCATGGGATCATAAGAATAGACGCATGAAGGACACAATGAGCATCCCAGTGTACTCGTATTCTGCGATCTTTATTGTACTGTTCATGTATAAAGTTATGTGTAAAGTTTCTTTCATTCTTTCTTATATAGCAATAGTTACCACTTACCAGCACCAGAAAGGAACGATAGGTGAAGATGAAGCAGTTCAGTTGGCCCATCGTGACGAATTCAACATTAATTAATCTCAATACTCGCAGTTCTATTTCCTAACCTTAGCGTATAGCTGGTGTAAATCATCCTCTGTGGAGAGCGGGCGCGGCTTCGGTCTCAGGAAGGCGGGCAGCGAACGGGTCTTCAGCGCGTCCATATTCGCAGCGCCCTCGATTTCGTCCAACACTGATTATAGCAAAACATCTTCCTAATATATTTGGTTATTACAATTATCCATTTAATTCATAATTATTTAATGTAACTTTTTATATCGGAGTTTCTTCTGGGAATTGATATCATAAGGCGGTAGGGAGTATATGTATATACTATAACCTAATAAGTACACAGGAAATTTGGACAGCAAATTACGACATTTGCTGGAGCATAGTATCTATGAACAAAAACAGGGAAAGAGTTCTTGGCCATTCGCATGCGAAAATACGACGAAAAGCGGTTCGTGCGTATAAATGATAAATCTATGATGTGGGAGCTCTCGCCCTGTTTGGTCGTCCGAAAAGGTGAAAGAAGGATTAAGTCATGCAGTTTCTAAGGGTTTGGTGCCTTTCTCTTTGATGGAGTACTGATGGTAGGCAGGACCGGCCTTAGCCTACCTACCTAACTCCACTGGCCAAGTTTTTAACGACATCCTCTTTCCTAACGACAAAAGGTTATTGGGAATTCGTATTGTTCACTTCAATAACGTTAAATATGACTCGATTTTTGTTTGTTTAATTTGTACATTATTTATCCTATGACGCTGTTATTAAACCTCGGCGTCCTCTTTAGTGTTTGAAGTCCCTGGCGCTGCTTGAACACCTCGGTCCCTGTCCACGAATAGGGCATGGAATGGAACATGTCTACTGACCAGTGCTGGAGGAGTACTGCGCGGGCGATGGACGCGGCTCGGGCACGCGGTTCACGTAGCAGTGCGCTCGCCGCTCGGCCGCCGCCCCGCCGCCCGCCCCGCCGCCCGCCCCGCTGCCCGCGCCGCCCGCGTAACTCGCGGGCCGCACCGCGCGACCACCACCCGACTGCAACATGTTTATTTTCACATTAGCCTAATATTCTATTACTTAGAATGAGATTTTTAGTTATTTGTTATTTTTATATCAATTTAATTTTTTTATTTTCATGTATATAAAAACACAACTAATAAAATATAGTGAAACAAATTAAAGCCCAATCATCAGGTGAGGATAGTTATCGATGACGCGCCGATATATGCACCGGACCATATTCAGAAAGGCAGAGGAAAAAAAAAACAATTGTACATTTAATAGCATCATTACCCGACGTTATTAACAATATGACAACATCAGACAAGTCTTAAGCTTGTTTAATATTATTGTAGTATAAAAAAATCAAGAGGTGAAACGGAAAAGGAATAATTATTATTACGGTTTAAAAAGCATGCCTAAACCCTTTTGCTTTTTTTTATGGGTGAAAATGGTATGGTTACCCCGCCTGCGCTAAAGGGATACGCTGGCGGAGTACCAGTGAAGGGTGATAGATGAGAATGAAAACAGGCCAGTTAGCCCATCATGATGAATTCATCAGGAATTAACCATGATAGTTAGTTAGATAGAGGAATAGCGAGGAGGTCGACTTGGTTGGGTATATTGCTAGCAATGGGATTCTCAGTCTCCATTACTAACAAACCCTTTCCCCCAACCCATTTGGGTTAGGTACATACACCAATATACATTAATAAACCCTACCTCGGCATGTTTTATTCTATAATTCTCTTGACTCGTATAAGCATGGTTCTCCTTAACTGCATAGTTTTCTTTGAGATACTGTTCATCTGAAAATGAAAACACTGAAATAACCTCAATTCATTCATTATTTAGGATTAGTATCGCATACGTAAGGGATGCCCATTGATAGCATATTGAACTACAATATATAAGCAACGATTTCGTATGTATTACAAAAAATAAATTAATTACTAATATCTTTATAGGTTAATCAGAACTTACCGAACGATTTCTGATGGCGCGGCATTAGGCGACAGTAACATATAATAATTAACAAAATAACAACACCGCTTATACCGCCAATAAACCAGGACAACCAAATGATTATAACACGACCCTGTAACCAAATAATTGTAAGTAATCTCCTCAAATATTATATCGATTTTATGCACAGTGTATACCTGCTGAAACATTTCAATTCCTAAGAAGAAAGCGAAATTCGCTTCTTTTTGATCCCTTACATCGTATGATTAACATTTTATCTTTATATTTATTAAAATACTACTTAAATTTATTAAAAATAGATAAAAAATACTACAAACAACTATGGAAGGACAAACCCCATTTTAGAACTTTTTTTTTCAAATATTCGCGCTTGCGCGCCAGCTGTATGGTATGTTCTGAAGTGAATATTTTTAGACTAAAAAGAATAATAGTTCTATAAATATTGCACGGTCTAATTCATTAAAAAGTAAACATTTTATTTTTCCTATTTAATACAAAACTATAAAATTAGAAATTCAATTCATGTATTAACTACGAACATTTATCCTAGTGTCAATTTTATATATAGTGTTATTATTATATGTCTGTCGTTTAATTCTTCAGAATACTTCTTTTTATTTCTTTTGTACCTATATATCGTAGGTATAAAAATTTCGGAATTGAATTATGCTTAGGTACATATTTTTTAATGAGGTGCAATTTGCAAACAATGCAATTTTTAAGGGTTTAATATTAATAGAAATTGACAACTTTTAATAAGGATTGATAAAAATAATTGACAATAAAAACAGCATTACTAGTAGTTACTAACGTATAAATAAATAAATAAGCAAATAATAATTTATTGTAGTAGTTTGAAATTAATGTACACTAATTACTTACTATACACATACAATAAAAACGAAGAACGAAATGCAAAATCACTTTAAGCTTTTGACGTTGACGTTGACAGTGACAGTGGATGTGTAGGTATTATTTAATACTGTATTATTTTTGTTTATTATATTATCTTGTCGTCAAGTATTCAAAACAATTAAAATTTTTCATTTATTAAAAACAATACGGTGTTATCAATTGTATGTTTACTCCCAACAGTATCAACGTCTTATATCTTAAACGAAGTAAAAGCACAGAAAACCGCTCGTCATACGATTCTAAACGTCACCCCGCGCCACTCGTAGGAACCTATAAAAAAGTAGTATGAATACGACGATCAACTGTAAATTACGTGAAATCTGTACCTAACTATTAATTTGTTTTCGCGTCTATTGCTCTTTCAACTGGCAACCGGTTTAAATGTGTTTATAGTTTTATACTTGTTTGGTACAGTCTAGCGTAACATGGATGGTACAAAATTATTTTTAGGATTTCTATTTACTTACGGACTGCTTGCACGGAATTCTTTTGGACTGTCACCAGTAATATTAAGTAAGTATTTCTGTTATGATTGGTATTTAATAACGTCCTTGTTTACATTTTAAACCAACGTGCAACATTCTAGAACTAGAAATGTTTTAGCAAACGACTTGGTACTTAAATAACAGTTAGTTATAATACTTCACCTACTCATTTCCTTTAAAAAAGAGAGAAGTACATTTATTATAAGCCAAAGTGTGATAGAATAATATGGTAATATACATATTTTTGTTTTAATGGTAATTATATTATATTTACATTACAAGTTATGTAAATAATATTGTAAATGTGAAAGTTGTATTAAGATTTCTGCTAATCATGCTGAAATGCCTCAGTGAATGGTAATTTAATTTAGTTAAACTAAAATCTATACAATACCAATACCTGGCCACCAATACATTGCTGGAATAGCTGTTAATTTTTCTTTTTATACTGTTAGTTTTAATTTTTCTATTTATAAGTTTATGCTATATGGAAATACTCATATCTACTTCATAACTTTAGAATTATTGTTACATTGTATTGTTTATTTTTTTATTTCAGAATTAATATAAAAACACTTAAATATATTTAACTTATTATTTTTATTATAAATATCTATTTAGTTTATTTAGTTTCTGTATTGTTATTTTAATAAAAAAAGCATATCAAACTGATTATTTACTAAATTTAACATAAACTTTGCAAATTTTAAATTGTTAAGAAAGGTTACTTTTGTTTTCATTAATAATATTCAGACATATACAAAGTTATTTTTAGGACTAAACCCTCTTTGTATTTTTATAAAAAGTCAAGTTTCAATGTTGATTAACAACTATAGTGAAGTAAAAGCTACTTTTAATTATAATTATCATAAGTTATATATTGTAATTGTTTATATCAGCTTACTTGACATATAAATCACTTACATTATCATAATAAAGTAGTTTAAATGTATATATATTTTTTTATTGTATTACTTATAATAATATTACAAATTCATTTTATGTTAACTATTTATCCATTGTCCAGTACCTGGAGATGGAGGCAGTCGTCTGGAAGCAAAGTTGAACAGAACATCAGTTGTGCATTACATCTGTACCAAAACATCAGACTTTTTCAATGTCTGGTTGAATCTGGAACTGCTGGTTCCCATAGTCATCGACTGTTGGGTTGACAACACGAGACTCGAGTATGATAATGTCACAAGAGTCACTAGAAACCCTCCAGGTGTCGAAATAAGAATCCCTGGATGGGGTAGCCCAGAACCAGTGGAGTGGATAGACCCATCGCACCAGTCCTCAGGGGCCTACTTTAACAAGATAGCTGATGCTTTAGTGAAGATTGGTTATGTGCGAAATGTTTCCATTAGAGGAGCACCATATGACTTTAGAAAGGCACCAAGTAAGTATATATATATGAATGAATAAGTATATTTTATTTGCATTATACAATATAGAAAATAAACAAGACAATTAATAAATATAATGATACAATTGTATAAGTACAGTAAGGCGGTCTTATTGCTGAGAGCAATCTTATATGTATATATATATTTATTTTATAATTGTAGCTCAATGGTATCTGTACATAAGAATTATTTATATCCTTCATATTATTTTTTTTTTTTTACAAAACACACCTTTTTTTCACTTACAAAAGATTACTAAATATGAGAATAACATAAATATTTTATTCGCTGTCTATGTCCTGGCATAGAATAGGCCATCCTTTCCTTTCCCATAGGTGTTGTAAGAGGCGACTAAGGGAGGGTTAGGGATGAGCAGCAGCGTCCCTCTTAAAATATCTCCAAAGTCTAACCGCAATTGCCAATTCGCCTGCCAAGCATGGCAACAACTGGCAAAACTCCCCTAGGGGGAGGCCTATGTCCAGCAGTGGACAGTTAAAGGCTGATATGATGATGATGATGAAGTAATTTATTATATAACTGGAGCAAAAATAAAATATCGATTAAAGGTTGTATAAAAAATGTTACCTCTATTTCATGTTTGTATTTGCGAATACTGCCATTGTATGGTATTGTATGGGGATATTGATGTTACGGAATAGTTCTGATTGTTATAGAGCATTGATACAATGATGAATGTTTGTAGACAAAATAATCTTGTTCTTAAACAAGTTTCCAGCGGGTCTACCATGAAATGAAATTCCGAATTTTCGGACTCAATTTCGTGTTTTTGTTTATACCAAAATCGGACCAATAAATGGAGTTTAACATTTCGTTCGTCATACATCCTATCGTAAAAGTGCAAAGGAACGATATTTTAACATTTTTAATATTTCCAAATGGGGCATGTATTATGTATCTAATTTTAACATCAAATTTGTGTTTCGTTTGGCTCCGAAATTTCGGAAATCATTTCATGTTAGGCAGGTTTAACAGTGTATGTTTAATTAAATATCACAATTGCCTGATATTACTTTGATGTTAATTAAAACAAATTCAAGTAAGGCATAACTATTAACTTCATTATAAATTATAAATCGTTTGTTTGTATTTTTTTTTCAATGGGTGAAAATGGTATAGTAACCCTGCCTGCGCTAATGGGATACGCTGGCGAAGCACCAGTAAAGGGTGATAGATGAGAATGAAAACAGGCCAGTTAGCCCATCATGATAAATTCATCAGGAATTAACCATGATAGTTTCCAAGGAGAACCGCGAGGAGGTCGACCTGGTTGGGTATATTGCTAGCAATGGGATTCTCAGTCTCTATTACTAACAATCCCTTTCCCCCCCGTTTGTTTGTATTGACCTAGGTGTTTTTTATATATTTTTTATGAATGATAATGGAATGCTAACCCACCTGTGCTGTCAGTATACGCTGGCGGCTATCAACCGCATTATTTTTAAATCCAACTAGTACTTCTAGTATTATCGCGTTCAGACAAACAAGCTAATCCGGTTTTATTATATTAGTAAATTGTTTTTATTTATTTCTTCATAAATAATTTATATATTCTATAACTACATTCTATATGCCTCACATTTGTTTCTTTTTTATTTTTTTTTTAATATCACAAGGGGCAAATGAGCATGTTCAATCGAGTTTAAAAAGGAAGTTCTTAGTTCAGTTGTATTTTTTCAGTTGTTTAGTTGAAATTTTATCAAAATCGGTTTAGTAGTTTAGTTTTTTAGATCAAAGTAACTGATCCTGTCATAATCACAATCTTTAAGTGAGTTAAAAAAATGAAGTAACAAGTGAATGTTTTCCACAGATGAGAATGCGGAGTTCTTTGTTAAGTTAAAATCGCTAGTGGAAGAGACGTACGCGATGAATAACAAGTCCGCGGTGACGCTGCTGGTGCACAGCATGGGCGGCTCGATGGCGCTGCACTTTCTGCGGTTGCAGCCGCAGTCCTGGAAGGACCGGTACATCAGGCGGCTGCTGTCCCTCGCCACACCCTGGGGTGGCTCTATGAAGGCTGTTAAAGTTTTTGCCATAGGTAAGTAAATATTCTTATCTTAACAGGTGATAATTTTTTTTTATAAGGCAGTGGGCAAACGAGCATAGGGCTCATATGGGCACCCGCAACCTTAGAGGCATTGAAGATAATGGAATGGTAACTCCGCCTGTGCTATCGGTGTTCGATAGGCCACCAGTGAAAGGTGATAGACGAGGATAAATTAGGGAATTTACCATAAAATAAAGTTCCTAATTTTCAGACTCAATTTCGTGTTTTTGTTCACACCGAAATAGGCTCAATAAATCGAGCTTAACATTTCATTCGTCATAAATTCTTTTATAAAAGTCCAAAGGAACGATATTTTAATATTTTTATACTGTATATACTATGATTAGATTATCTATTGCACTAGATAACGCACATGAGTCCGTGCAAGTCCGTGGTTAAAATGAGGAATGAAACCACTAGGAACAAAAAATCCTTTGTCTACACAAGCGCTTATCGTTTAGTAGGCTTTGGTATAGGTGTAGTCTTTGTGACACATCTTGGTCGTTGAAAATAATGCATCATGCATGTGTCTAAAGTCAAAATGCCATAGATTAATTATATTTATTTACTTTTTAACTTTTCCCAAAGAGGGTTGACGTTAGACAGGCGGCCGGTCGTAAAATTATAAGCCAAATCCTTTTTTTTTATGGCAAACAAGCTGACGGCCCACCTGATGGAAAGTGGTAACCGTCGCCTATAGACATGAGCAGTACCATGGACGTAACAGAGTATACTGTTTCGCCCATGATACCCCCCATGCGTTGTCATTCCTGAGGACTCAGATGTTATTCTTCCGTACCCAGTAAATTCACGCCATATCCCACCCTTCAAACCGAAACACAGCCATGCAAACACAACTGCTTCACGGTTGAAACACGAATGAGACAGAGGTACCCAAGCAATCGACTTTTGTACAAAGTCTCCCTCTGGTAATATCATTTAGTAATATGGATGAAATCATATTACGCCGACCCCAAATAATAATTGGGATAAGGATAGGACGATGATGATATACTATGTAATTTTAACATCAAACGTATATTTCGTTCGGCACTGATATTTTGGAAAATATTTCATGGTAACCCCTCTGGCTAGTCGGCTCATCGTGACGAATTTATTATTTAATACGTTATAACGGAACAATGTAATGGAAGACGTACATTTGGTCGCGGACACAAATAGACATGCTTATTATTGTTACGAATTCGTAATGACATCAGATAAGAGATATATAATAGAAGACCAATAATAGATATAAATTTCTGTTAAAAACAGCCAATATCAAGTATTGTAAACAATATAGATAAGTGTTAACAATAATAATAACAACAATAACTGAGTTGTGACCATTTTGTATTGCTATGGCACACGCGCAAACGTAAATTTGCTTTAAATGTATTTAGCTTTGTGTATTTTTTTAATCATTCAAGTAATTTGTGTGTTGTAAGTAAGTAATGCAAATAAATTATCTATCTATATATATATATATATATATATATATATATATATATATATATATATATATATATATATATATATATATATATATATATATATATATATATATATATATATATATATATAATGACGTATATAATAAGAAAATTATTTCAATTTAAATTAGTTTTTAGACATATGTTTTAAGTTTTATCAGTGACGGGAATTCAAATTTAAATCCTTTTTATTCAAATATATTTGTTTACAAGCACTTTTAAATCATCCTTTTTTTTTTTAAATGTACTTTTTTTTTTGATGGGTGAAAATGGTATGGTAAGCCCGCCTGCGCTACCGGTATACGCTAATGGAGCACCAGTGAAGGGTGATAGATGAGAATGAAAACAGGCCAGTTAGCCCATCATGATGAATTCATCAGGAATTAACCATGATAGTTTCCAAGGGGAACCGCGAGGAGGTCGACCTGACAGGGTATAGTTGCTAGCAATGGAGCTGGTAATCCACATTACTGACAAATGCTCCCCCTACCAACGTGTTGTAGCGGTTTAACACAACCACCGGGATTGTTAATAATTGAGACCAAGAGCCCCATTGCTAGCAATAAACCCAACCAGGTCGTCCTCCACGCGGTCCCCCTTGGAAACTGTTATGATTAACTCCTTATTAATTCATCATGATGGGCTAACTGGCCTGTTTTCGTTCTCATCTATCACCCTTCACTGGTGCTCCGCCAGCGTATCCCGTTAGCGCAGGCGAGGTTACCATACCATTATCATGCATTAAAAATATTTTTGAACCTCTGATAATTTTTACACACAGAACAAAAGAAATGATGTTTTCAAAACGTGGAATCGGATATTATTATTGGTATACACATGTAATTATGTTGTTTCGACACCGGGTTGCTTGTATCGACCGGTAGAGAGATTAAGCAATGCACAAGTTGTTTTGTATGGATGGATGGTATAGGGGCCGACTCTGGCGTGTCATTTCTTTAAACTTGCCTCTTAATGTAGTATTTTAATTTAATAGTTTAAGCGAAAGTACTGTTTTATATATCATTATAAACTTAATTTATAATAATTTTTAATGGACTTCAAAAAAAAGTAGATTCTTAATTCGATTGTATTTTTTTTTATTTAACTTAGAATGGCAAACTAGCTGACGGCCCACCTGATGGAGAGTGGTATCCGTCGCCTATAGACATGAGCAGTAGCATAGACATAACAGAGTATACTGTTTCGCCCATGATACCCCCCATGCGTTGCCATTCCTGAGGACTCGGGTATAATTCCTCTGTACCCTATAAATTCACTGCCATATCCCACCCTTTAAACTGAAACACAGCCATCCGAACACAACTGCTTCATAGTAGAAACACGAATGGGACAGAGGTAGCCAAGCAAACGACTTTTGTACAAAGTCTTCCTTTGTGATATTTATTTATTTAAATAACTTTACTGACAAAAAAAAAATAAGGTACAAAAGGCGGTCTTAATGCTAGTAGCATTCTGTTCAGTCAACCTTTGGAAAAATACTTATGACAATTTTTCCAATTTTTTTCCGATAATGTATTTAAAATGTCTCAATAACGCGAAATTTTAAAATTGACCTGTATTACACCCTGTATAACCTGCGCAGGCGACGACCTCGGCTCGCTGATGCTGCGCGAGAGCATAATGCGCACGCAGGAGATCACGTGCCCGTCGCTCGCGTGGCTGATGCCGTCGCCGCTGCTGTGGAAGCCCACCGAGGTGCTGGTGCAGACCGACAAGTATAACTACACAATCAACGACTTCCAGAAGTGGTTCGCGTAAGTTTTCTACCGCTTCATTAGTTAATTCTCACGGATTTGCCCGCGAGCGTCCGTATATAAAGTATCCTGTTTTTTTAATAGGTCAAAATGGATTAGTAGATGGCGAGGCGCTAGTGAAGGATGATAGATAAGTATGAAAGCAAGTCAGTCGGCCTATCGTGACAAAATTCCACAGGAATTAAGTGTGATTGTTTTCAGGGGGAACTGCGTGGAGGTCGACAGGAAGGCATTATTAATAATGGGGATTAGTAGCCCCATTGCTAACAATACATCCTATCAGGTCGACCTCTTCGCGGTTTTTTCTGGAAACCATGTCTTATTTCAAGTAAATCACTAGGGCTCCGGCCGTCGTATACCGTTAGCACGGGCGGGGTCACCATTCCAATATTATCTATTAAAAACGAATAGAGTATATTGCTTGCAGTGAATCTCTTAAGCCCCTTTACTAACAATCCCCTTCCCTCCTATTGTACATTTAAACGTAAACGACCAACGTGCCCTTATTTCAGTAACTTACATTGTCATACTGGTGTTATTAGTATTGATAATTCATTATTTATTTATTTATTATTATTGACTGCAGCGATATGGATCTGCCGGACGCGTGGGAGATGTTCAAGGACACGCAGAAGTACAAGAGCGACTTCACAGCGCCCGGCGTCGAGGTGCACTGCCTCTACGGCTCCAATATATCCACTGTGGAGAGGTAACATACATTTGTACAACTCGAACATGTTCTACTCTGTGTATACATTTTTTTTTATACAACTTAGAATGGCAAACAAGCTCGCGGCCCACCTGATGGAAAGTGGTAACCGTCGCCTATAGACATGAGCAGTACCATGGACATAACAGAGTATACTGTTTCGCCCATGATACCCCCCATGCGTTGCCATTCCTGAGGACTCAGGTGTTATTCCTCTGTACCCGGTAAATTCACGCCATATCCCACCCTTCGAAACCAAAACGCAGCCATGCAAACACAATTTTACGGTTTCTATTTTCATTGCGTAAATTAAACCGGTAGTTTTTTTTTTTTTGTCTAATTGTACTGTTTGTTTCTTCAAACAAAACAAAATAAAATATATTTCTATGCACGGACAGGTTGGTATACAAGCCGGGCACCTGGCTGGACGGGTACCCGACGCTGGCGATGGGCGACGGCGACGGCACCGTTAACCAGCGCTCGCTCGCCGCCTGCCAGTACTGGCGCGGCGGCCGCGGCCGGCGGCTCAACGCCGGCAAGCCCGTCAAGACGCTGCAGCTACCCAACGCGGAGCACCTGAAGATCCTGCAGGACCAGAGGGTCGTCGACTACGTAGTCGCCGTTATGAAAAACTGATCCGCTTACACTAGTTGAGGTATTTTGAGTGTATATGTTGCAGTTAAAACTCTTAACCAGTCATAAGTATTATTGACTAGCAAAATCAGTCAAAAGTACTTTTGAATGAATGGCAAACAAGCTGACGGCCCACCTGATGGAAAGTGGTAACCGTCGCCTATAGACATGAGCAGTACCGTGGACATAACAGAGTATACTGTTTCGCCCATGATACCCCCCATGCGTTGCCATTCCTGAGGACTCGGATGTTATTCCTCTGTATCCTGTAAATTCACGCCATATCCCACCCTTCAAACCGAAACACAGCCATGCGAACACAACTGCTTTACGGTTGAAACACGAATGGGACAGAGGTAGTCAAGTAAACATGTGTATTATGTAGTATTAGGTTTCAATTTTTAACCAACTTTGAAAAAGTAGGTCCTATATTCGACTATATACTTTTTTAGTATCTATATAAATAACTTACTGATATGTTAATAATATTTATATTTGTTGCAACCTTTTCAAAGATTTTTAATGTAACAACCACCGCTTTAATTTACGTGGCAGGCTCGTGCTCGCGTCACAGTCGCTCATGACCAAGGATAACGAACTGATCCCGAAATTAGTCGAGCTTTTTCGATCTACTTAATTACACGTAAGTTAAACCGTTAGTTATTGCATTAAAATATAAAGTGCGCTAACGAAACTTTTAACAATAACATTTCAAAGGTTGCTTGAAACAGAATCTAAATTCTGCAGAACTTGAAATGTTTTGTAAAAAAACCTGTGTATAAATAAATGAAACATTAAACAAGCATTTATTAAACTCAAATTTAATGCATTTCTAGTTGTCACAGCTAGATTCAGTTACAGTGACTATGTACATCGATGTAATTGATGCAGATAAATCATTGACCTCGTCATTGAACTATCATTGCTATCAAGAGTTTATAAATAATGTAATAATTAATTCAATTTATATTTTACCAGAGGGAGACTTTGTACAAAAGTCGTTTGCTAGAGCATTTCTGTCTCATTCGTGTTTCAACCGTGGAGCAGTTGTGTTTGCATGGCTGTATTTCGGTTTGAAGGGTGGAATATGTCAGTGAATTTACAGGATACAAAAAATAACACCTGTGTCCTCAGGAATGACAACGTATGAGGGCTAAACAGTATACTCTGTTATGTCCATGGTATTGTTCACGTCTATCGGCGAGGGTTACCACTTACCATCAGATGGGCCGTAAGCTTGTTTGTCATTCTAAGTTGCATAAAAAATACTGCCTTAAAAAGCCTTTTTATGTTTTTGAAAAAAAAAGTAGCTAAGTTCGATGTTTTATATATACATATATATACGTCACGGCTTTCTCCTATTAGGGTAGGCAGAAACAATGGAATACTAAATTTATAATATTAAAACTCAGTATAATTTTGAGTTATCTCCATATTTTAATAATAATGCGCCGGTGCGTTGCTTCAAACAATACATTTGCGTATTTAGCGTAAAATATACATTTCTTCTACGTATTACAATGATAACTTCTGTTACTAGTCAATAATACGTAATAATCTACGTTTATCAATACTGTTTTAAATATTATATCTATGTTTTATTTTTGTTTATTTAACATATATATATATATATATATATATATATATATATATATATATATATATATATATATATATATATATATATATATATATATATATATATATATATATATATATATATTAATATCTGATAGTTATCGTTTTCTTTGTGTACGATACGATCAATGCATAGTTTTGTATGTGTAGACAAAATGTATGTATAAGTATTTTATTGTACGAGGTTTGTCCGGAAAGTACGTATAAAAGTTTTTTAAAAATTTTATTTTACAATTATTCAGGTAAATCAATTTTATCCCCTTCAAAGTACTCCCCCTGTGACATAATGCACTTGTGCCAACGCCGTTTCCACTGTGAGAAGGCTCCTTGAAAGTCCTCTGGTTGTAGGTTTCTCAGCTGCCCCGTCGTAGCTTTTTTTATCTCATTTATGTCCCCCAAATGCCGCCCCCGAAGTACCAATTTGGTTTTTGGGAACAAGAAGAAGTCACACGGGGCCAAATCCGGCGAATAGGGGGTGTTCGGTCACCGTAATGGAATTTTTACTCAAAAACTCACGGACAACAAGAGAGGTGTGGGCAGGGGCATTGTCGTGGTGAAGAATCCAACGCCCCTCTCGCGCCAATTCTGGACGAACTCGTGCCACACGAGCTTTGAGGCGTCTGAGCACATCGACGTAGAATTTTCCATCAACTGTCTGGCCTGTGTTCGTCGGAATGTGAAGTGGAAGGACGTCCTGAACGTGGGTCATCTTGAACGCTTTCTCGGCCCTCTCTGAATCTTTTTAGCCACTTGTGGACGGTTGGTTCCTTCACAGCATCATCCCCATAAACTGTTCTGAGATCGGCAAAAATTTCACGGCCATTCTTGCCGAGTTTCGAGAGAAACTTGATTACGACGCGCTGCTCTTCAACGGAAGCGGGCTCCATGCCGACGGGGTTTCGTTAAGAGGTAACTTCACAGATGGCGTGACAAGCCAGTTCGCACCGCACGGCGGTCAGACCAGAACTGAAGCATTGTTAGGGACATAAGGAAGGGGTCCTGCGCTTACCTGGCCTCCCCACTCCTCTTTCTCGCATTCCAGAACACTTTTATACGAACTTTCCGGACAGACCTCGTACTAGGCATTGTCTTACAGAAGTCCACATCACTGGTTATTTGATCAGAATTATTTTGTTTAATTCCGCTACCATTAGTATGTGTGTGACTGCCAACACTCGAAGATTGACCACCACTATTACTAGCAGAAGTGTCACAACCTTCCATATTAGCTATCAGTCTCCGAACGCCATTTTGTTGACGCACGGTTTGCGAGTTTAACCTTCAAGAAAAGAGCATATTCCGTTTTAAAAGGCCGGCAGCACATCTACAATGCCGCTGGTGTTGTGGGTGATCATGGGCGGCAGTAGTCACTTACCATCAGGTGAGCCGCATGCCCGTTTGCCCCCTGCGTTGTAAAAAAAAAACGTTTCGCGATACGAGTTTCACCTCTAAACGAGGCATCTTCAGGCAAATTATTAGATTGCTCCTCGGAGCTTAGTGTTAACCGTTCAGCGTTCAAACTGCGAATTAAATGGCTAATATGGAAGGTTGTGGAACTTCTGGTAGTAATAGTGGTGATAAATTTTTTAGTGTTGGCAGTCACACATGCTAATGGTAGATGAGTTTTTTTTTATGGGTGAAAATGGTATGGTAACCCCGCCTGAGTTAATGGGATACGCTGGCGGAGCACCAGTGAAGGGTGATAGATGAGAATGAAAACAGGCCAGTTAGCCCATCATGATAAATTCATCAGGAATTAACCATGATAGTTTCCAGGGGGAACCGGGAAGAGGTCGACCTGGTTGGATATATTGCTAGCAATGGGATTCTCAGTCTCCATTACTAACAATCCCTTTCCCCCCGATGGTAGTTGAGTTGAACAAAATAATGATAGTCAAATGATCAGTTGTATATATAAATATCTTTATTTAGAACCTTTATTAGTATAATTTTATAAGTTGAAATAGATTTATTATTTTCTGATTTTTATACTTATTGATTAAGTACATGTAAAGTTTTTTCGAATATCTATAGCATTTACTACTTATAAATCTTCCTTACTGTTTAACACGTTGAGCCCGGCGCCGAATTTGCTATCCTTCCCCTTCTGCCGGCAGCTGGCGAGAGATACAATGTTGTATGCTATCGCCAAGAGATTACCTTGGTACTAATGAGTTAAGGAATTCTTTGTCGCACTATTTTGGACGTTTTTTAGGTGTATGTGTAATGTATGTGTGATTCTATTCCATATTTTCGTATGATGTATAGTAAAACCACGTACGTACTCCAGAGACCGACGCTGGCCATACGGAAAGTTCGCTGCCGGTGCCCAGGGACCGGCGCCGGGCACAACGTGTTAAGTTATATCCTTGGCCATGATTTTGTAATTCCTTTACGCTATCTCAAAAAAGGAATAAAAATATATATTATAAGGTAACAAATATTAGCTAGTTTGTTTTTATAGGGCAGAGAGGTCATAACAAATGGAGGGTTGGTATAACAGTGAAATTATTATTCTAAGGAACTATAGAATTAAATTTGTCGAAATTAAATTTATTTAGATTTATAGTAATCTTTCGTATATTATAGACAGCTTTAAGGATCAGAGGGCCTACCATGACATAATTTTTCAGAAATTTCAGTAGCGTACGACTGTTTAAAAGTAACACACACACACACAAGCACACTGTTTAAAAGTAATAAAATATTATTATCAGAATTGATCACGAATGAAATGTTAAGCTTTATTTACTAGGCAGATTTCGGTATTAACGAAAACACGAAAATTAAGCCTGAAAATTTGAAATTTCAAAACATGGTAGATCTTCATACTACTTACTTAGTAGAGTACTTCATAATCGACTCTTTGGAATCAACTTCCAGCAGCAGTATTTCCGAACCGATACGACAACATAACCTTCGAGAAAAGAGCATATTCCTTTTTAAAAGGCCGGCAGCACACCTGCAATGCCGTAGGTGTTGTGGGTGATCATGGGCGGCGGTAGTCACTTACCATCAGGTGAGCCGCATGCTAGTTTGCCCACTGTGTTGTAAAAAAAAAACAATGGTTCATTTGAACATATTTAGAATAGAATAAAATATTATATAATATAGAATATTCTATCCTATTCTTGAACATATTTCATAAATGTCTTCAGAAATATTTTAATCTGTGCTCATTACTTATTATTATATTGTAATAGGTTAATACTCTATGTAAGGTTAAATTTAAATAAACTATAGCATGACAACTGCATTAGATCTTATATTGTTAAGAGAATACTTAAGCCAGCAATTAAATGCCAATGAGCTTCGTAGTGTAGCTTATAAGAAGCTTAAAAGCTCTCTAAGATTGTATTAAATTAATTATTTTTATTTAGAAAGTATAATTTTTATATATTTACATATTTTAACTGTGTCCACAGTGGTGAAATGTAACAAAACAAATAATAAAAATATGTTTTAGCCAATAATGTAAAGGGTGTATTTTTAATTGTTTTGGTTACTTGTTTCTGTTAAGTTTCGGCCACGCGAATACGGCTTTATGCTTCAGCCGCTAAGTTTAGTTAGTAAGGATTAGTTCAGATTGACCGAAAAAATTATCAGTTGTAATGCACAGTGAAGGTCATTTGTTGTACTTACCAATTTGAACCTAATTTTCAAGTAATTCCAAAGTCAATTTTCAATTAACATTAGTCAGTCTGCATTGATCCTTGTTAGATATCTCGTAAGTAGATTATATGTTGCGTGATATTGAACACTTATAAATACATAGTTACCTTCTGTGTTAATAAACTTAGCAAATTCTATCATAAACTAAGAAAAATAATAAAAGCCAAGCTTTTATGGCTGTGATATATACGAGTACTTCTCTCTATCTCTCGTTCTATTTTCAAATTGATCGGATTTTCGATATTTGAAATTTATAATTATTATTTAACATATTGTTTTAATCGTTCGCATTTATTTTCGTATATGAACTGCTGGGAATTTATGTTATTAATTTCGGTTCAGAAATTTGAAAATATCAATATTGTTATGTGTTAATGTAAACCTACTAAGTTTCCTATAATAGATAAAACTGTTAATAAATTAATCCGATAGATGGCGGTAGACTTGCAGTCTACCATATTGGAATAATATACTCTGAGAAATGGCGGGAAAATAGAATGTTACGTTTACCACAACGGTAACAGTTAATAACTGTCTCTGACTTCCCTATTTCGGTTTGCAGTCGAGTGCATATTTTGTTTATAATGCACAGGCTATATACAATTAGCAATGCCACCACGTTACTTGATGTAATAAAAATAGCCGAAAATAAAAGTGTATTAAAAATTAATTCTCGTTTTATTGCCAACCCAATATAGCCCTTATTACTTATACCTCCAGAGTCGAGTGCTTGCTGTCCCTGAAATAAACAAATGAATAGTGCGTACTTAGATTACATATATAGATACATCGAATCTCAAAAACGGGTCAACTTTTTGTCAGCTACTTGTCAAATTAGCTTTTTTGTGTTCTATATACTTATCTTGACGTATCTATATTTAATTATTTAATAAATAGAGTTTTTACGCATTAAAAAGGATTTATAAGAAAGACGTTATGAAGGAATCACTCATAACTATTTATCACGCAAAATTGTATGAAAAAGTTGACCCGCTTTTCTCGAAGCATTTATATATTATATAGCAGAGACACTATCTATATAATTTAAGGGTGCGTAGTATGTAGCTCAAATATCAAATTTTGAAAAGTGAAATTAAGAGGGCGCAAACCATAGTAACTTTTTAATATATACTTATTACTACTTAATACTCATACATGCGTATGAAGCAAGAAGCAGAGATCGTGATTCTGTGTACCTATTTTTCTAGGTACAAAAAATTTGAAATGAGCATAGATTAAGTATAGTTTCTATTTGTAGGAGCGAGAGAACACTTCCAAAGATATTGGACTATATTTATTTATCTACAGAGCACATAGACTAAGGATTGCGAGCCATTTATCTGAGGGGCATATAAATTAAGAATATAGTACCTGGTCATCCTCTTTCTACGATCAAATCTGTTCATTTTGACTATCAAAATGTGTGCACCCTCTTAGAGCAATATTACACTATCAAATATGAATTATTTCGTCAATTAGGTATAATATCGAAATTACCTCAGTTTGGTCATGCATTTTTAATATGAGTAAAATATTTGAAAATAAACAATGTATAATTTAGGAAATATATAGCAATAAGAACATGTATATATGATATACATATGTATGTTCCTATTTATTTGATAGTGTAATTGATACAAAATAAAAAAAACTACATATATATACATACATAGTTTCTACATGTGAAAAAAAAAATTAAAAATCCATTACAATAAAACACACTGTAGTATTAAACATTATTATTATTATTGAGTCGTTTCAATTCACACGTTCGTTTTTTGCCAACTCTATGGTATGGTTTGTCTATGCATTAAGCCTAGTTAACCATGTTTAACATCCATATAAAAAGACGTATAAACATGCAAAGACATTAAATAAATAGTGTTTATCCGTAGCCCAGTACATAAAGCACTTATTACTAATTCTATCTAAATGTTTAAAATTTAATCTCAACACTAATAGAAACACAAGACCAACGCTCGACAATGTTACGTCCAATACGATTATACGACCGACCTTTCGTTTAGACTTTACTTAGTTTAAATAATTAACTATAACGTTGTAATAATACAATTCGTTCATAGTTGGATACCTTTGACTTTTTAAACCGGAATCAACGAATAAGTTTAGATAGATACACTTTATTGTTTCCTCCATAATATTACAATAGTAAACTTATTAATACAAACAATTACAAGAAAATATTACATTGCGAAAAGAATGGGCGTCCTTATCGCTAAGAGCGATCTCTTCCAGGCAACCTTTGGATGGAGAAGAGTAATTTTAAGTTTTAATAAGTTTTTATTTCTTTTTTCGTGTCGATTATGTAATATCTAACCAGTATTTCAGAAGTCTGAATGTAATATTACCTCGTTCTATCGTTTGATTCTATATTCTGTACGCATAGATATTGGAATAATTTTACATTCACATTTCAAGATACCATATTTGTCCTATATCCACAGGTCTATTTGACTGCATTCTTTAATGGGATATATGTAGCTTAGATAGAGGACTAATAGAGAACAATTAGTAACTTACCTATTATGAGTTTAAAAAAAAAACTTGCAGTCTTACGTTTCTAATTATTAATCTGACAACTTGAGACAAGCGTATAATCGTATCAGAATAACAGATCACCTAAATAAATTACTACATATACAAAGTTTCGTCGTTCGACACGTAAAAATCAACACACAAAAGATCTTACAATCACAATATTTTACTTTCATTATATGAAATAAAATTTTTAAATAAACGATAAACTGAACACAAATCAGTAACACATATGAATTACTCTTATATTTAGGTACAATTTGGTTTGTGATTTTACAATTTGTTCACTATTAGTGACGACTATGTGGCCGATTCTGAGGTGTCGCTTCTCTTAACTCGACCTAATATTTTAACTTGATAATTTCACTAAATTACTATTCTATGGACCATGGTAAACTAAAATTACAATAATTTTGAATTAAATGTATTAGAAAATTAGTTTCTATTGGTCCTTATAATAATGATATCGCTGTGTTATCAAATTGATACATAGAGTAGAAGAATGTGGTAAGAAATATGCATAAATATGGATGGTTATAAGTCTAGAGGAAGACTCAAAAAGAGATAAGATGTATTGTGTGAAAGACGACACGATCAGAAAGAGAGTAATTAGTGAAATAACTACAAGTAGAGATGAATGGAAGAAGAAAAATATACGCTGACCCTAAACAGATATGGGAATAGGGCAGGAAGAAGACGGTTTAGAGTGACACCTAAGAATCGACCCCAATATCTATGATACTATTTACATAAAAAAAAAAAAACATTTTAACATTATAAATGCTTAACTTCTTCTGTTGTAACATTCAGACAATGCGATTATTATGGTTCAAACGAAATTTTCAAAACAGAAATTTTAATAGAGATTCAAATTTGGAATCTTTGGACTATAAACAAGAATGATAATTTATGAAATCAAAAAAAGGTTGGTTGGTTTCATATCGAGTATTTAAAACATCGCATCGTCTGAATATCCTATAACTGCTTAAATACCGTTTCATGTGTTTATGATTCACTATACATCTACACGAGGAATGAATCGCATAAACCTACATATATATAGTAACAAAATTAATATCACAATTGATCGAAACAATAAGGGCCTCCACACAACACCGCGGCGACCGCTACAATAGACGATCACGGCGGTGCCGTGTGAAGGAGCCCTATCGCAATGTACAAACGAGACAAAGTCTACACTGACCCTATACATATGCCAACACGAACAAACAAACTTAATAACAAAAGGAATTATTGATTTTGTCAAATTATATACGCCTCGAACGTTATCATTGTTAAATAGTATTATTGAGCAATTAAAACTTTTAAGTATCCGATGCTATTTAATCCCGAACCGATAAGATAGGCTAATACAAGATTTCTATTGTTTCTATTGAAACAAAAGTAATCATAATAAAAATTTACCTACATTACTAAATGTCTTTCAGATCTCTTTTTTGTCTATATTCAAATAATAATGTCGCAAACAACTTCCAAACAGTAAGTTGTAACTTTGATTTTATCCCGGAAAAAATATTCAAATGTGTTTATGAATCGCACATATTTCATGTGATTTACATATATCATTCATAATCACAGGCACACACTATATTGCACGCAGGGGGGAGAGGGATTGTTAGTGATGCGGTTTAATTGACCCATTGCTAACAATATACTCTGTCAGGTCGACCTCCACGCGGTTCCCCTTGGAAACCATCGTGGTTAATCATAGCGGAATTCGTCACGATGCGCTAACTGACCTGCTTTCATCGCCACCTGTCATCCCTCACTGGTGCTTCGCCAGCGTATACCGATAGCGTGGGCGGGGTTGTCATTCCATTTTCACTCATTAAAAAATATATATTGCAGGTATAATTTGCTAATGTTGCCTGAAACGATGCCACCTAGACAAGTACAAAACGAATCTATCGACACATTCATTTCGGTTAGCGCTCGCAATAGAAAGAGCAAGACACTGGATATCGCTATCTCGTTCTATCTCATTGAGTCACTAGCGATAACGATTCTAATGACAAATTAATTTGCTACTTTTGTCTAGGGGCAAGTAGTGCAGATTCCAGCTTACAGCTTTTGTCGTCAATTGTGTTTACGACGGTTCACAAGCGGATTTCTGCAGCGGGCGAACCGCTCGTGTAGCTCGAGCTTTACGAATTATAATGGCGGACCAAATTGTTTTTACATCAAACGATAGATGGCGTTAATATCGAAATAATCGTGATAATAATTATAAAGTCCCACAAATCACTAAATAGATCACCAATGATGATCAGTAGATGTTATGTCGCAGCTAGAGGATAGAGCACGTCGCGCGACTTTCTGAGGCAAGCTTCGACCGTGTTGTGAGGCGTCTCCAGTACCTACGTTAGATTTGAAGTTTTACTACCCTCCAAAATGTTTTTAGCAAAGAAATTTTAACTGTACCTTGACCGCAAGCAATACGCATCTCTAGTAGTCGTGAAATGGGTAGGACGGGAGGACACGACAAATTCAGTATACATACATAAGATTTTTTATTAATTATTATATAAGTACCACAAAGATTTGTAGATGAATTTATAGGCTGTATTAATAGAACATTACACATGTATAAAAAAGATTCTGATCTTTTTATGCAACTTAGTATGGCAAACAAGCTGACAACCCACTTGATGGTAAGTGGTAACGGTCGCCTATAGACATGAGCAGGACCATGGACATAACAAAGTATACTGTTGCGCCCACGATACTCCTCACACGTTGTCATTATTCCTGAGAACTAAGGCGTTATACTTCTGTACCCCGTAAGTTAATTACCATATCCCATCCTTCGAATCGCAGCTTAGTTCCTTCACGTGCGAAACACGAATGCGATAGTGGTACCCAAATCAGGATGACTTGTACAAAGTCTTCCTCTGGTATTTCAAGTTTAAAAAACGTTTCTGTGATAATTAAAAAAAAAGACTACAGTCTTTGCACTTAATTTCAGTTTTAATCTGAGCGTGGACAAACACTCGTGGATTGTTGTTATAAATTTTTATATAAACTAATTTTTTAATAGACAAAAACTGGGGGGAAAGGGATTGTTAGTAATGGAGACTGAGAATCCTATTGCTGGCAATATTGCCAGTATATACCCATCCAGGTCGACATCCTCGCGGTTCCCCCTGGAAACTATCATGGTTAATTCCTGATGAATTCATCATGATGGGCTAACTGGCCTGTTTTCATTCTCATCTATCACCCTTCACTGGTGCTCCGCCAGCGTATCCTGTTAGCGCAGGCGGGGTTACCATAGCATTTTCACCCATCAAAAAAAAATAGACAGAAACTCAGCATCATCTCAGCGACATTTAGTCCCAAAGAGGCGGAATTTATATTATGGGTATTACAAAAAATAACTTTATTTTACAGTGACCGTTTATAAGACGGGCTGTATACTTGTTTGCCACCTTCGTGCTATAAAAAAAAATGTTTTAATTATCAAAATAATGTATTATTAGTATAAACATAATACTTAATATATCGGTCTGATCTTTCTTTTCCCGCGCAAAATCCTGTCATTGCTAATGGCGTGGTACGATGCATGCGGTCTGCCTACTAAGAGTATAGTCATTTAGCTTTTTAGCAGTAATGATGGTGCTGCCCATGTAATGGTGAATGGTAGCTCTATGTCCCAATAAACCACTAATGTCATAAAATGGGCATGAATTGTGAAGTATTCCTCACCGTCCCACTCACACCGATTAGTAAGAAATTACGCGAACAGGTTATTTTTAACGTAAGTGAAATTTTAAAACACAAAATACCCGTGTTAATTAAATTAATAAATGTAATTCGAGGCATGTATAATTGAATATTATATGAATATTAATAACACTTCAATAATTGCAATAAAAGTGCATTCATATGTCAGAGGTCTTAGTCTCTCTCACAGAGAAGTCTATGTCACAGAGAATTTAAAATATTTTTTGACAGATTAATTTAAAAGTTGACGAGTGTTTATACATTCTTTTGCTTGCCGAAGTGTGATAATTACCTGTCAATTTTTGAAATACATTTGAACATTTTTCAATGATTTCAATGTTTGCGATTGATTATTTGAAAAGTGTTCTAAAATTTCAATCATAGAATTCTTTGAAAATGAACGAATCCACTACTAAAAATTTTGCACCAACTTCAGATTTTTTCAAAAACATTTTGGAAACTCTACCCAAGTTTTTAGTGACAGCTTTTAAAGTATATTATTGTACAGTTAACTTAAAATTTTATTTCGCTAGTAGAACAATTTTTAAATTATTTATTTAACTCTTTACTGCACCAAAAACAGAAATATACAATAAAATGACAGAAAATTCAAGTGGAATACAGTAGCATAAAGTACAGGTTTTGAGCTGTATATATTTTAGGGCAGGGTAATCTCTTACAGACAACCTTTGATTAAATAAGTAGGTGGGTGGCTAAAATGTGAATTAATAATTTTTACGTGCATAAAATACTAAAACTTATATTGAAATGAAATGAAATTTATTTTGCTAGAAAAGGTGTTGCGTTTGTGAAGTTTATAAGATGTCCATTATGTTTCGCCACATCAAATGGCATGCAAATATTAATTGTTGAATTTATCTACAGATAGGCCATTTTATACAAAAATAATAAATAATCAATCAGTAAAATCGATAAAAACCCAATTGTTTTTGGACATTTGACAGATAATTACGTCGTTGCAACACTTGCTTATCAACGCTCTCAACTAGGACGAGGTACTAAATTATATTAACATTAAATATACTGTTTAAAGTATTAGATAACAGTATTTACTCAATACACTAGTAGCATCGTCGAAGTCTTTGTAATATCTATTTGCCAGCCAACTGGCAAAGCCAAGTGGCAAAGGTGTGTTATGATTCATTATAAATAATTAAATAATAATTATCAAGTGATTTACCCTCTTATTCATAAAAACGTAAAATCTCCCATAAATCTAGCTATTCAACTGTTTTGTCTCTTTCTATTGTGTTATATTCTCAATTTGAAAAAAGGGACAAAACAGTGTAAAGATAGATTTGTAAGTTTTAGTTTTTATAAATAAGGAGGATGCTGTATTGTAATTAATTATGTTGACTTTATGCTTTATTGCACTAGTAAAATAATTAAGATTTTGTTGTCCAAAAAAAAAAAGAATACTGAACTGATTTTGATAAATTTTTTATGAGACCAATCGAAATCGATTTCCAACTAATGGAGTTATAAGGAAACAACATTAAAAAAAATATACTGAATTCTTTCTTTTTGAAGTCAATTAAAAAAAAAGATACAGCGATTAGTAGATCTACATACCAGAGGGAGACTTTGTACAAAAGTCGATTGCTTGGCTACCTCTGTCTCATTCGTGTTTCAACCGTGAAGCAGTTGTGTTTGCATGGCTGTGTTTCGGTTTGAAGGGTGGAATATGGCGTGAATTTACAGGGTACAGAGGAATAACACCTGAGTCCTCAGGATTGGCAACGCATGGGGGGTATTATGGGCGAAACAGTATACTCTGTTATGTCCAGGTACTGCTCATGTTTATAGGCGACGGTTACCACTTTCCATCAGGTGGACCATCAGCTTGTTTGCCATTCTAAGTTGTATAAAAAAAATAGTTTACTCAAATTTTAAATTCGGAGATGCCCAATTAATTTCTAAATTAATAACGTGCGTAGCAACAAACAGTGCACTGGCCGCGCAATGCTGCTCGCGGCACTGCCGTGAACTGTGCTCATGAATAAGGGCTCCTATTGAGTTCGAAACTAGTCGACCTCGAATTTAAAACGTGAGTAAAGCCATAATTAATTACAATACTGTGTTATGTATAGTTTATAAATATATAACAATATGTACAACACGAGTAATCCTCGAGTTATATTGGTGACGTGAGAGACCTAACAATCTAAAATCTGCTCAAACAATTATAGTCCTTAACTACTGTCACTTAAGTGCTAATTTCAAACGATCATATCGAGAAATTTGTTAAGTTCTTTGCTGTTATATCCCATTGTTTAATTAGAAAAAACCATGCAAGACAACCGTTTGGGACCGAGGTGATCATGCAGTGAAGATTAGCTTGATTCTGTTCATTTGAAATTAACTGTAGGAGCTCATTTACGCAAAACACCACACGACTATTTACTATTTTATGTAAACAACCTTGTATTTTTATGTAATAACTAACTTAACGGTTTACGTGTAATTTGGTTGAGTAGTTTCGACTAGTTTCGAGATTATTCGTGACCCTTAATATTAAGCAGCTGTAATGCGAGCGCGAGCCTGAGGGCCTACCATGAAATGTTTTCCGAAATTTCGGAGCCAAACGAAACACAAATTTGATGTTAAAATTATATAATACATGCCCCATTTGGAAATATTAAAAATGTTAAAATATTGTTCCTTTGGATTTTTATGATAGGATGTATGACGAACGAAATGTTAAACTACATTTATTGGTCCGATTTTGGTATAAACAAAAACACGAAATTGAGTCCGAAATTTCGGAATTTCATTTCATGGTAGACCCGCTGATTGCACTGAGCGTGAGCTGTAGACATTCGCGGCATTGTCACAGATACGAAATTGGCATTCGGAAATCTTTGGATATGAAGGAATAGACTTTAAAATCTTCTCTTCGTCTGCCTTAATCAGCCTCGCGCTCGGGTCACAGCCGCTCAAGATGAAGGGTCCCGAATGGTCTTGAAACTAGTCGAGCTTTACGACTAAATTGCACGTAAGTTAAACCGGTAGTTATTACATTAAAATATAATGTGTACTGAGGAAACTTTTAATAATAAAACAATCTTGTATTAAAAACATGGATTTGATCGTTTGAATAACCAAGAACTATGGCGACAAAGTTCCTAAAATAACATCGTTTCTCGCATTGCACTGATACCTTAGATTTTTTATATCAGACACAAATACTTTAGTACATTCTAAAGGCGTTTCCACAACGACACAACCTTTGCAAACTAAATCAGTTGGCCACGCTTCAAATTTGTCACTGTGGATGCGCCATAACACTTGTGGTGTTAACAAAACTACAGGCTGAATTCGAAAGGATTAGCTTACTTTTTCCTCTGTTAAAAGAGTATCAGTAAATTTGAAGAAATAAATGTCTTAAAACGTAGAAAAATTTAAAGCTTCTTATACTAACGTGACTGTTGTACACGCCGTGTTAGTATGGGACGCGAAAGCTATCTACAAAGTGTTTAACCATTTCTCGATTTAAGTTTTTTTTTTTTGGAAAAAAATCACTTTTTTGTTCGAACATAAGTTAGAAAGAATGCTAATAATTTCGACCTCATCCTGTAAACATGAATTCTTTTAGAACCCTTCACATACCATTACATTATACGTAAGGCATTTTTATGTCGTTAGAGAATAGACATAGAGAATGGACTGAGCGCGAGAGCTGTGCGTGAGAGAGACAAAACGATCGCTACAGTTCTCTCTAGAAATCTGTTTGGTCCATATCATAGGCAGAAGCGGATTTGATTATAAACCATTGTACTGTTTACGTTAATTTTATGATAGTATTGTTCAGTCCATTTTCTACATGTGTAATTGTATGTAAATTTAAAAAATTAATTGGCTCATATATTATTATGTATATAAAAGATACAGTCTTCATAGTTCGTATATAATGTACAAGTCCTCGATACCAGAGGGAGACTTTGTGCAAAAGTCGATTGCTTGGGTACCTCTGTCCCATTCGTGTTTCAACCGTGAAGCAGTTGTGTTTGCATGGCTGTGTTTCGGTTTGAAGGGTGGGATATGGCGTGAATTTACTGGGTACAGAGGAATAACACCTGAGTCCTCAGGAATGGCAGCGCATGGGGGTATCATGGGCGAAACAGTGCACTGTTATGTCCATGGTACTGCTCATGTCTATAGGCGACGGTTACCACTTTCCATCAGGTGGGCCGTCGGCTTGTTTGCCATTCTAAGTTGTATAAAAAAAAAAAACCAACGTATTGCTGGAATCCGAGATGCCTAGTCCAACATAGAATTATTTATATCATAAATCCGTGTATTATTTTTTAATTTTAAAACATAATAATATATGAGAATTATATATTAAACTTAAAGTAATCGTTGATATCTAATTACATAGCTATCAATACTAAAATACACCGAGGTTGACCAGTACAGTACATGTGGCCACCCAAAAATGTCCTTTAACAGCAACAGAATAAAATCGAATATAATTTTAACTCCTACCAAATCAGTTTGCCTTTCAACTTTTGGTGTTAGTACAGCATCGAGGTGGACTCAACCTACGTCACCCAAGCACCATGTTCCAATGAAACTAAATCTATCTTTTACGTATCAACATTAATATCTGGAGAACGACAGCTATATTGAAATAAAAAAAAAAGTTTAATACTTTATTTATTTTTATAGCAAATTACAAATTTCAGTTGTCATATTTGAATATATTAATGCAGATACAAGTAAAGATCGGTAGAACCACTAAACACCAATTTCTTTATTGATTCAATAAAAAAAAAGAAAAACTAAGAGTTTAAACGCTTCAACAGTTCCATGGTGTTTTTCTAATAGTTACAATTTGCAATAGCGGCTTTATGAGGTAATTATAGGAAACTTTACATTTATGGTTTGGCAATGAAATAACATTTTACATTATATGAATTTTAAATGTTATTTTTGACGTATAAAAGCCGCTATAAAAATAATTAGATATATTTCATTTAATATATAACATATTCTATCTATATATTGTTTACATATAAATTAAAATTAGAAACGAAATATTGGTGATTATGGTCTTATCTATTATGTAATACCAACAATGTGAAGTGATTATTTCCACATACGTAACAATTGAAGTAAGCTTAGAAAAGCGGGTACAGCACACGCAATAGAAACTGCTCGAAACATGATCCTGGGTCGTCGGCTACGACACGCCGGCCCGGAAAACATAATGCGACTACAGATTACCATCGGGTGAGTACCTACAGCCGGAGCTCGATCTAAATGGTGGGCCAGTCGGTTTGAAAGAAAAATAAAACTAAATATTACTCATTTGAGCGGCTACTCGCTTGAAAAGTGTCGAATTTTTTTTTATTAATACAGAAATATTGTTTCTATATATCCGTATAAATAAATATAATCATAGCGCACAAATAATATGCAAAATTAAACTGTCCCGGCTCCTTTATCACGCGTAGATCGAGCTCCGCCCGGGGGAGTCGCGGAGGCTGGCCGTAAAGTGTGCGACGGCACAGTCGGGCGCGACACCTAGAAGCGGAAGAGGACAAACTGATAGGCGTGGCGCTACCTGTTGAAGAGCAGGTCGGGGCGGTAGTAGACGTAGACGCCGAGCAGCACGGTGGCGGCGGCGAGCAGTGCGCCGCGTGGTAGGCGGCCGCCGCAGCGCCGCTGCAGGCGCCGCAGCTGCAGCCGCGCGCGCGCCCACAGCGGCGCCGGTGCACGCGCACGCGCCGCCGCCCGTCGCCGCGCGCGCTCCTCCTCCTCCAGCCGCCGCGCCTCCTCCCTGCACGCGGGACACACACTGATTACTACCCCCTGCACGCGGGCACACACACTGATTACTACCCCCTGCACGCGGGCACACACACTGATTACTACCCCCTGCACGCGGGCACACACACTGATTACTACCCCCTGCACGCGGGCACACACACTGATTACTACCCCCTGCACGCGGGCACACACACTGATTACTACCCCCTGCACGCGGGCACACACACTGATTACTACCCCCTGCACGCGGGCACACACACACACTGATTACTACCCCCTGCACGCGGGCACACACACTGATTACTACCCCCTGCACGCGGGCACACACACTGATTAATACCCCCTGCACATAGGAGGAAGGGATTGTTAGTAATGCGGACTACCAGTCCCATTGCTAGCAATATTCCCTATCAAGTCGCCCTCCACGTGGTTCCCCCTGGAAACCATCGTGCTGAATTCGAGATGTATTCATCACGATGGGCTAACTGGCCTGTTTTTTCATTCTCACCTATCGTCCCTCACTGGTGCCCTGCCAGCGTATACCGTTAGCATATGCGGGATTCCCATTCCATTATCATCTAATAAAAAAAAACCTCGTGTGCAATTTTTTTTAAAACTGCATTATGAATTAAAATAATAGGGGGGAAAAGGATTGTTAGCAATGGAGTTTGACAGCCCCATTGCTAGCAATATACCTTATTAGGTCGACCTCCACGTGGTTCCCCCTGGAAACCATCGTGAACAATTCTTGTTGAATTCGTCACGATGGGCTAACTGACCTACTTCATCCTCACCTATCATCCTTCACTGGTGCCTCGCCGGTGTATACCGGTAGCGCGGGTGGGGTTACCATTCCATTATCATCCATTTAAAAAAAAATAAAATAATAATTCAAAAAATGAACCACAACCACATGAAAATCAGGTCTATTAAACATTTGACATCTATAAATAAAAGAGTTCACCCTATACAATACTGTAAGAGACAACAGAAGAAAAACTTGACGTAAAATCCTATATTAAACCACTTTGCCAGTTAATTATAGAGAAATTTATGTCTCTAATGAAGGGATATGCTTTAAAACCCTACTGAAGATTTTGATTACACCTTGTAAATTAACTACATAATTACTATATCTAAAAATATCTATACTAATATATTAACCATGTGATCCCAGCATAGAATTGGTCACCACTTCCTTTCCCATAAGTATTGTAAGAGGCAACTAAGAGAATTCAATTATCAAGAAATAGACAACTGCATCGATCTTAAAAACCTAACTGCAGCTGCCAGGTGGGAAAGGGATTATTAGTAATGGAGACTGAGAATCCCATTGCTAGCAATATACCCAGCCAGATCGACCACCTCGCGGTTCCCCCTGGAAACTATCATGGTTAATTCCTGATGAATTCATCATGATGGGCTAACTGGCCTGTTTTCATTCTCATCTATCATCCTTCACTGGTGCTCCGCCAGCGTATCCCGTTAGCGCAGGCGGGCTTACCATACCATTTTCACCCATCAAAAAACTGCAGTTGCCAACGCTATTACTGGCAAGACCTGCCAAGAGGGAGGCCTATAATCTACAATAAGCAGTTAACGACTGAAGTGACAATTACTAATATAATAAATTAGAATGTTTATTTATTTAAACGCCTTAATTTCTGCGAGTAATAACTGCGAGTTGGATTTGAAAACTCTTTGTATTTAATAGATCATTTCTTTAAAAAAAACTTTCTTATTTTATTCAATATCACAATACGACTACGGGCGAGATCGCAGGATACAGCTAGTTAAAATATAACAGTGCAAGTGACTCACTCTCTCCTTTCCAAAGCGATCACCTCAGGCTCGAGATCAACGGGATCGTTTTCGTCGTACAGTCTTTTGGCAGTCACCAAGATGTCTTCAAATGGTAAGTCATCCGGTAACTAAATTAAAAATAAAAGATATATAAATAAGCTAGAAAGTGGAATGTCGTAAAACATTGTAATTTAATATTACTATTGTAATATGTAAAAAAGTTTAAGATTGTACAGTGAAAATTTATTGATCGTGTTGGAGTTTTAATACTGGCTGTTGACACTGAGGTTTTTTAGAACAATGTATTATTTTTAAGTTTGTTCTATGTCTGATTTTTATAAGACATGTCTAGTTTTTTTTTACTAAACTTATTATTTTATATCACAAATACATATATGTTTTATTATTGCATCCTGCTATTTACAACAGATAGTATTAAAAGAGATGTGCATAATAGATAGAGTGAGGTATCTAGGAGAGTATATAGAAGTAAGGAGACAGGTTACAGGAGGAGAGACAGAGAGAGTTACCCTGGAGAGCATGCAGTGCAGCACGGCCATGTCGCAGTCGGCGGCCAGCACGGCGGCGGCGCGGTGCAGCACGAGCGCGGCGGTGACGTAGACGGGCAGCAGCGGCGGCGCGCACAGGAAGTAGTCGTACAGGCGCACCACGTCCGCGTAGCGCGGCAGGCTGTGCCCGAACCACGTCAGGTACCACGGCAGCGCGAACATCGTGCCCACGCCCGCCCTGCATCGCCGCACCGCCACACGTCAAACAAATGGATTACAATGGACACTGCGTTGTCAATATGAATCTCAATACATTACATCATACTTTTTTCTTTCATTCCCATCATTTCAGCCATTATCCGTCCACTGCTGGACATAAGCCTCCACCATAAACTGCCGTAAAGAACGGTCCTGAGCCACCTGCATCCACTGACTCTCTGCAACGCATTTCAGATCATTATATATTATATACATTTAGTGGGGGGGGGAGGGGGTCGTCCTACGCTGCGTTTATCCGTACGTGGTCGCCACTCAAGAACCTTTCTTTCCCATCGGTAGTCGGTTCTTCAAGCTACGTGAACAGTCCATTGCCACTTTAACTTGCTTATCTATCGGGTATGTATTTTTGGTCGCCGATCATCCGCAACGGAAAGCTAGGTAGATTAGCTAGCGTAGGTTACGCTACGTAGAAGAATGCTTATTACGTAGACGTAATGTCGCGAAAAGCTAGTGCTTGGCTCGCAACCAGTGCGGCGCACGTAGAATGCGTCGTTGCCGATCTTCCATCGACGGAAGATCGACAATCGCCGCATTGCATGTTATCGTATATGACGCACCATATTAGGCGGACGGTACGCGTTGACTGCTCACGTTGTTATTCATGCTACAAATGATCAGCAATCGAAGATACGCTGAATATGGCTACTAGGCTAAGGCAGTTACTTGTCAAGGAAGTGCGCGAGGTCGGGATGAGCTCGCGCGATTACTGGCAGCATGTAGTTGAGCAGGTGCTGCGTGGGCTGCATGGTGAGCTGCATGAAGGGCGCGAGCGGCGCCGCCGGCCCGTACGACAGCCGGCACAGCAGTGGGAACGACGCGCGTTCCCCGCACACCAGCAGCAGCGTGATGGCTACGTCGTGGTAACCCTGACACGTGAAGTGTTTATATTACTATATTAATATCTAGGGGGGGAAGGGATTGTTAGTAATGGGGCCTGACAACCCCCTTTCTAGCAATATACCCTATCAGGTCGACCTCCACGTGGTTCCCCCTGGAAACCATCGTGGTTAATTCCTGCGGACTTGTCACGATGGGCTAACTGACCTGCTTTCATCCTCATCTATCATCCGTCACTGGTGCCCCGCCAGTGTATACCGATAGCGTAGGCGGGATCACTATTTCATTTTCACCTATTAAAAAAAAACAAGGGTATCTGTCGCGAAGCAGTTATAGTTTAAGAGCTACACGTATTAAAATTTAAATTCGAACATAATTTACTAAAAAATAAATCTAAAAATAAAAAATAACGCTAAAAGAACTAATCAATAATAGATATATTTCTCAATAAATAATATATTTAAATTCAATACATTTTATTCAAATAGACTTGTTTAGAAGCACTTTTAAATCGTCATGTTTTATTTTATATCGGCCGTTAACTGTCCACTGCCGGACATAGGCCTTCCCCATAAGAGGGGTTTTGCTAGTAGTTACTACCATTTTTTTTTATACAACTTAGAATGGCAAACAAGCTGACGGCCCACCTGATGGAAAGTGGTAACCGTCATATAAATGAACAGTACCATGGACATAACAGAGTATACTGTTTCGCCCATGATACCTCCCATGCGTTGCTATTCCTGAGGACTCAGGTGTTATTCCTCTATACTCTTTAAATTCACGCCATATACCACCTTTCAAACCGAAACACAGCCATGCAAACACAACTGCTTCACGGTATAAACACGAATGGGACAGAGTGTCCAAGCAAACGACTTTTGTACAAAGTCTCCTTCTGGAAGAAGTTCCTTTTAGAAATCGCTGTCAGATACTTAAAAATAGGTTACGATAATTGAAATCTGTCAATGAATTATAAATTCCAATATTACTTGATAAGAACACAATACAACTTCAATTAAGATAACGGACCGTTATTTGTTTGTATTTCCCAATAGATAATCGCATAACATACATATTAAAAATTGATTTTTAATTAATTCACATATTAAATATATTATAAATCAAATAAAAATATATATATTGAACATCTTACATACATTTGAACAAATAAATATTGCATTCTTCACACTAAAGACCTGTGAAAATTTAAATTAATTCAAATTTTCACAGGTCTTAGAGTGAAGGTTGCATACAGAATTACAGAAAGTGGAGCACCTTTATTCTAGATGGATTTGGATATTAATTAGGCAATGGTACACTGTCTGCTCGTTTGCCTCCCTAGCAATAATAAAAAATATTGAGAAAAGATGTGGGAAAGCAGAGTATCTTCTGGTCAGATGACTGATCATCATCATTTCACTGGTGCTCCACCAGCATATAACAATAGTGCGGGTGAAGTTACCATTTCAATATTCAACTCATTAAAAAATATAACCTGTGACAATGATTTTGTAGTTTTCGGTTTGAAGGGTGGGATATAGCAGTGAATTTACAGGGTACAGAGGCATAACACCCGAGTCCTCAGGAATGGCAACGCATGGGGGGTATCATGGGCGAAACAGTATATCTGTATCTCTGTTATGTCCATGGTACTGCTCATATCTATAGGCGATAGTTACCACTATCCATTAGGTGGGCAGTCAGCTTGTTTGCTATTCTAAGTTGCATAAAAAAAAATCAATTAGAATAATGTATATATTGTATTAATATAATATATGGCTGACTGATAGAGAATAAGTATACTATGTTCGCTATTTATACCAAATTTTATTAGTCATTAAAGTTTAAATAAATTAATATTTTATCTATGTCCCATATTTATTTAATTCCATTCAGCCATTTACATTGAGGGACAATTATCTATAACTACGAACTAACATATTATTAATAAGGTTATAACTTCATATTTTTATTTACCTGATAATATTTTAAATGCGGGTACTTTATAATGACTCGGAGAATTAGCACCGTGAGCTGGTCCTGCAACGCCACACGCTGCTCGTATGGAATGCCCGGCGGAAACCTCTTCAGGGAACGATTTACATCTAGCACCACCTGAAAAATAGACATTGTATTGAAAAACAATTTAAAAGACAAACTTTAAATTGGAAAGTAACCTTCGCCCATAGACTTAAACAACACCTTAGTACTACTCATGCATTGCTATCCTTGAAGATTAAAATATGGCTTTATACACTGTAAATCCAATGGCATATCCCAACCTTTGCTGTATGGTCCCGAGAATGAGCTATCCCTTCTGTCCTTATGGGTGTTGTAAGAGGCCACTAAGGGAACCTTATGGTTAAGGGATGGGCAGTAGTGTGCTATTTAAAACATCACCAAAAGCTAACCGCAGTTATCAATTTGGCTGCCAAGGGTAGTAAAACCCTCCTTATGAGGGAGGCCTATGTTCAGCAGTGAACAGTTAATGGCTGATATGATAATCCCAACCTTCAGACTGACTTAACCACAGCTGTACAAGTAGAGCTGCTTACCTGCAGAAACATAAGTTGGACAGTGGTACTCAAGAAGATGACTTGTATAAAGTCTCATTTCATAAGACTAGAAATGTTTTACTGATTAAAACAATTACCTGATTATACTCCTGATGTGCGGAGAGGTCGTCCAGAGACGGAGGGTCTGTCATCTCATCTTGAGTGACTCCCACCAATAGCGGCCATATCACTTTTCTATATTCATCTGTACACATTGAATAGTTTTAATGTAACACAAATATGTGCATAATAAATATCAGATTTAATATCAGGGCTTCACAACTTTTCTGTTGTTCAGTTTTTCCAGATTATATATAATACTTTAATAGTCCTCTTTTATTTTATTATTAGAAAAAAAAAACACATTATTTTCAATTCAATTCAATTCAATTCAATTTATTGCATTCTACAATATTATTATGAAAGATGTTAATAATGGATAAAGTACATTGTAGACCCTGTCGGGCGCAGCAATTAGAAACGAGGAGGGCGACGATCCTTAAATTGTCATATAGATTTAAATAATTCAATTTCAATTTCATCAATTTAATTAAATTCGAATTAAATTCCAAATTAATTTAATTATTTTATTATTTTAACGATTTTTTTATTTCCATATGTTTTATTTTATTTTAATGCAATTTAATGTAGTTGTTCATATTTTTATATCTTTTTAGTATCATTATCAATTTTAGTATTATTAATTAATAATTAATTATATATAAATTATATTTATATATTATGCGTTATTTTTTTATTAAAAATTTTTATCATTTAAATATTCATCTATATCGTAATAACATTTTTTAGCTAATAGTTGTTTTAATTGTGATATGAATACTTTATTGTTCTGTTCATTTCGTAATGTTTCCGGTAGATGATTATAAATGTTTACAGACATTACATAAGGGCTTGACAAATGGAGTTTAAGTTGAGAGGAAGGCAGTTGGAGTTTATTTCTCTGTCTAAGACAATATTTGGAAGGAAGGAAGGTCACGTTTCTTGTAGAAAACTTGATATTTCCTTACAAATTTGCTAATATCCAAAATATATATGCATATATATTTTGTATTTTTGGAAATAAGGTACAGCTATCTGTTGATTTGATGTTAATTAAAATTCGTATTAATTTTTTTGGATAATGATATCAGTGCTATTTCCCCACAGAAGGATACCGTAGCTCAGCCATGCATATGCGTATGCATAGTATGTAACTATATATATATATATATATATATATTATATTATTGTATTAAATTTAATTTTCCTTGTGTAAGCCAGGTTTCTGTGATACACATAGCTTGATAATTTGGATTTTGTTCTAAAAATGCTTCTAGTATATGGATTTTGTTAAATAAACTTTGGAAATTTTGATATAATATTTTAAACTGTGGTTATTTGATTTAGAAAGGAATTATTGTTGTATTGTAAATTTCTATTGCCTTGTAAAGTTTTTCCAGTTTCATGACTCTTATTCAGCTTTAAAGTTTTATAGACACTGTCTTCGCTATATATATATACCAGCATTTCCTCGCGCATTTGTTTCCTTCTTTCTTGGGCTGTTCTATCTAAAAATTCAGAAACTGAAAGCCGGTTCCGCTGTTATTATTTACAATGTATCTAACCATTTTTTTGCTTAGAAGCTCAATTACTATCAGTCGGTTATTATAGTTATTTTTACCAAGCCTATATGTTTCCTCAATGTATCCTGTTAAATTTATATTTAAGATATTTTGAAATAGCTCAATCAATCTAGAATGTAACTCGAATTCAGATTCATTTCGGTATTCTTGTAAACCATATAATACTATTTTTTTACTATAATCATTTGTATTTTTGAATTTTGTCTCTAATTCTCTTATTCCCTTTTTTATTTCTTCATTTTCTTCTTGTAACTTTTCTATATTAGTTTTAAGCAATTCTATGTCCTTTTTCCTTAGTTCATTTTGTTTATTTAGTACTGTTATATTTTGTCGAAATTCATCTCTTATTTCTTGAATAGCTTTATTTATTTCTAACTGGATTGTAGACTGTATTTCAGTAACTAAATTTTTATTGTTTTCTATAAGGGTTTTTGTTATCATATCATTAAATTTTTTTAAGGTTATTTCCGCTGATACATGTGAGCATTCGTGTATAGTATCGCCTTGTATATCGTCTATAGAAACATCACTTTCATCGCATACATATTTTATTGATTGAAGTTATACTTTTTTTCCTTTGTGTAATGTTAGTTGGTTGTAATTCGTCTTCGGGCTTTATTGGAGTGTTTGTATTGTCTCCTTTAGGGAACTTGCATCTACAACTTTGGCATTTCCATTTATTTTTGTGTTCAGTTGACATCGTATTATAATATCGTTTGTCTGAAACATTTGCACATTGCAAATCGTAATTCTCGCTACATATCGAGCATTTGAGATGTTCTCTTGTAGGAATATTCTGTTTGCATCCAGCGCATTTCAAGGCCATCCTGTTAGTTGTTAATATAACTTCGGAGTAGTACGATTATTTATTTATTTGAAGTCTCTATTTATGTCTTTATGAACATCTGTGACACAAAAAGATGTAAAAAGTTACATGTATCGGAGCGCGCACTAAAAGCCTTTGAGGTTGATATAAGAGCTTTAGCTTTAACGCTGGGCCAGCTTAGTAACAAAGATTACGCGCAAAATTAAGTTTCACTTACTTGATTGAATAAACGGTAATCTTATTTGGGTCCAAAGGTCAATTATTTGTTTTTTGATTAATGTGAGGGTATTCGTATTTAAACGGTTTTTTTTTTTTTCAGATATTATAATTTTCCACTATTTCACTGATTAATCACTTATGATGTTTAAATACGAAGTTTCGTATATCACTTTTAGCTGTATAATGCTCACTTAGTTGTTTTCAATAATATTTTTATGATGATTCTATAGGGCAATTTAAAATTTCTTGATTTATTTTTTCTTGATTGAATTCTATGTAATGAAGTTATTGTATACGTTTTTATTTATATGTAATATACTTTTCTATTTTTATTTAATAAAATGTACGGAGCTAATGTTTACCGTGACGCGCCCTCTAGCGGATCTAGCGGATTTTAATGATTTCTATATTAAAAAAAAAAAAAAACAAAATTCAAACAAATTTAAACTGTGTTTATATTATTTAGACCATATATATATATAATAGAGAATTAATGAGAAACTTAAGGTTGCATGCTCTGTATCAATTGGTTGATTTTAGGTTCAGTTTTATATTAGTTCGGCCTATGAAACATTTAATACTACACAGTTTTCTTTATGATTGCAGTTATTATTGGCAAATTTAAATCTATTTTTCAGGGGCAGCCTGGCCCCATAAAAAGGTAATGGAGATGGAAATAAAGGAATATGTATGGCTTTAAGTAGCTTCACTCACATCTGAGTTGGACACCAGACAATTCTAGGATGAGCATAAATATGCCTATTACAGTTGCTGTTCTTTTTCAGAGCAAAATATATTTATATCTCTATCTTGTTTCTGCCTACTATGCGAGACAATGTATGTATATACTAAATTGACAAATCAACAGAAAATATTTTACAATAATCATTAAATATTTTTTTATTTCTGGATCTTTGTGAAACTAACTGCATAGAACATACTTCTACGTACTAATCATTAGATTATTGCGAAAAATCCGTAGCTGACGCAAGTAGGAGTAATAATTATTTTATGATGTAAACAAAGTGTAATTAATTTTGACAGTTTACCAGATATGAGGCCTCCTTTGCTCTGTGCAAAACTCTTCCACTGTTCCAAATTGACGTTGTCCGGACTGCTGAGGCATTTTTCAATCTCTTTTCGCTTTTTTGTGATTTCAGGGTCTTCGAAGTCCGACTCTGCAATACAATGAAGTTTGATAGATTGATACCACTTTCCATCACTTTCACTTCCATGTTGTAGTTCACCACGATATAGTCCATGATATACAAAACTAAATAGTTTTTATTATAAATAAAAAACTCTAATAAATAACTATAATTACTGTTTACAATACCTTGATCGAAATTCAATTCAGAAGGCGTAGATATGTCATCAATATTTTTAGTATGATTCAAGTCGAAGGCCTGTTTTTCAGACAGTGGCGAACAATCCCCATTTGAGATAGACTTATCACCAATATCGGTGTCTGTATTGAAAGACTCCATCGCCGAAATTATAAAAATTAATCGAGTGAAAACATTACATTACAAATCCTTTGGTCGAGACGAAATGACACAAGATGACAAAATTTGACATAACAGACAATTACCCACATACATATATACAAATACAGATTACCTTATAGATCCAGAGAGGTTAACTAACCTATGTCGAAAAGAATGACAATTCTAACTGACACTGACTGCAGGCAGCATGGTCTCCGACCTTAGCCTGTTCCACAACGGAACAAACGTACTAAAAAAAAAAAAATGACACTGACTGCATAATTGACAAACGTTGACAAATTACATATACTTTTTCCTTTACTTATAAAGAAAACGTGCAAAGGGTCTTCACTTATTCAGCCAAATTATAATTATATTTTTTTTTATACAACTTAGAATGGCAAACAAGCTGACGGTTCACCTGATGGAAGGTGGTATCCGTCGCCAATAGACATAAGCAGTACTATGGACCTAACAGAGTATACTGTTTCGCCAATGATACCCCCATGGGTTGCCATTCCTGAGGACTCAGGTGTTATTCCTCTGTACTCTGTAAGTTCACGCCTTATCCTACCCTTCAAACCGAAACACAGCCATGCAAACACAACTGCTTCAGGGTAGAAACACACAATAGACGGAGCTGTCAGTCTATATTCATTCTTGAAAAATTTTTTAGATAATTAATTGGCAATCCGGTTTTGATATTTAGTTTGTGATATTGTACACTAGGAACAATTGTTTCCTTACAAAAGATTCTTTATTTTGATATATGTATAATGAACATACAGTCTATCTGTTCGTATCAAAAAAGAAATAAAAACATAATAATAATGTCATTGTCAAAAGTTAACCATCTTGATCAGATTATTTCTGTATAAAAATTTTAAAATATTAAATATTACAAAAAAATACCCTTTAAAATGGATTCAGGTGTTCGTTCACAGGATGAGTGTATAAGAAAAATTGAAGACATAATAGATATACAGAAAGCGAGAGGGAATTACAACGTCCGGCAAGTGGCATTCAACTTGCCGTCAGAAACTGGTAGCGCGGTCTTTACAAACTTAGCGAGAAGCTTGGAATCTGGTTTATCCGAGCCCAAACAAGAATACGCCTGTAAAAAGTCTATAAAGTTTAGAACTAGACGACATAAGAGCCCCGTGCCAGACGTGACATCGTGGCCGAGTGATTCAGATATCACGGTGCTAAGAATGAAACTCTGTTTGAAGAATAACGATTTGAAAGAAAACGTAGCGACTGCGATTCCTGGTGACGGTCTTCATCAGTCGGACAGTTCGTCTATGGTTAACTTAGCTACGCTCGTACTGCAGTCGCAGCATCCTTCAAAACATAGCGTTAACATCGAAGAATATCTTCTACCATTGACTTCTTGGGAACAGACTCAGGACCAAGAAATCAAGGTAAAAGATCTGCAAGAAGAACAAGCTAGTGATTATTTAAGACAATTAAACGGCGAAGTTAAATTGTATGAAGCGATGTGTAGTTATAAAAACAACGACGACTTGAATTTACCAGACAGAGAGATTTTTAGAAGAAACAAAAAATCCAGAGTGGCAAGATTTTTAAGACTTTATTTTTGTCCTTGCTGTACATGTCTTTATAAAATTGAGAGAAGGCGTGACGAATCATCGGCGTGTTTTACTAAACGCAAGGAATGTAAATAAATTATTAAGTGTTACATGATGGTCGAATGCATGAAATTATTGATTGACATTTGTTATTTGGATTACAAATTTCTAGTTTATTAAATTGTTTCTTCAACTTATAAATATTGTTTTAAATCTAGAATTATTTAGACATTGTACTCATAACCAAAAGAAATACGAATAATCACTTAATGTAAAAACGCCTACGATTATTAAATAGCAATCTTTACATATTTGCCTACAAAATCTCGTCGTTATTTTTCTACGTAGCTTTCATAATCTATTGTATTCATTAAAAAAAAAAGTCTATACGTAGGTAATAATAAAAAATAATACGTTTTTAAGTTGATTCTATGTCTCGATTATTTTAACAATATCAGAGCATTTAAAAATCTGTTGCTTCTGTTTATATCAATACGAGACAGGCATAGTTAGTGTACATATACGTAAATAAATAATCTATTGGTGTTTAATTACATTGAAATCATTTAAGATTTATACTCATTTTTTGTTTCTCTATGAAATATATAAAAATTTGTCTAAAATGATAATTTATACCCATAAATAAATATGCCATTCCTATTTCATAAACGAATGAATTCAATTAACGCCAATTCTGCTTCCGGAACGAATTAAATTTTCTTTCGTAGGATATTTAATATTTAAAGAAAATCGTACAATTCGCGGGGCATTGCCAAATGGTTTCATTTCTTCGGCCCCCCAGCTTGCAGGCTGCACCGGCACAAGTTATAAAGCGAGAGAAAGCACGCCGTCCGCGCAGTCGCGTTGAGCACCGTCCGATTATTACGTTACGTTCGCGCGCTTTTTTGACGTGCAATCCAGTGCTGCTGTAACGGACATTATTTTGTGTGTTTAAAAATGGAAATGAGGTAATTATTTTAATTTTAAGTGTTTAAATTGACTTGCACCAAGTAAAGGACAACGATATATACAGGTATAATCTACGTCTTAGGATTTATGGTATATGACGACACCATCACCATAAGTATAACATTTAGAAAACTAGCTACATCCCGCAGTTTTGCATGTATGAATATTTTCATATTTTACTCTATGATATTTATTTAGGATATGGCCCATCTGTATTTTCTGTAATTTCACTCAAATAAATTCGAACGATTCATTAAGAACGATTGAGTAACAAAATATATAACGTTCAAAATTTATAATATTAGTAAGATCAAATATGAAATATAAAAATATTGTATATATTTTAATAAAAGAAAAATCTGGGTAAAACTTAAACCGCAAATTATTTGAATTTTAGCTTGACTTGATATTGCATTGAATTAGTTTTTATACAGATTGTTAAAGTTTTAGACAATTTTATTATAGATATAGTTGCCAACTTTAAGACAACAAATTATTGTTCCATAAATAAAACCTGACCGTGAAAAAATTAATTAGATATTTATATATTTAACTATTTACTTACTACAATAAATATTGTTTGATATCCTAAATAATTTACATTTAAGCTTTGTGTTAACTAGAATGACATACATATTTTAAAAAAAAATATGTAAAATCGAATTTAATGATAATTAGATAGATACTTAAAATGACAAAATTTGTTTGTCATGATTTTTAAGTAACTTCAGAAGTCATCGTGTTAAATCATTCACTTTCTCTGAGACAGTCGGTAGACCTAATATCTATATCATTACATACAGCGTATCGCTGTAACAGCGTTATTATGAACTAGGTATATAATTATCATACCAGTTTACTAGTAAGTATTGCTAATAAGTATAGGAGGCGAATATGCATATGGCCCGTCTCATAGCAATCGTTACCTTATGCTTCAATATCATTAGAATTCACTATTATTTTAGTATGAATAAAAATAGGAATAGTTACCCCAAGCATTATGTCAGTGAAATTTTTTTTTTAATTTTCATACAAAATTCGCGTGCTCGCGTAATTGATAAAGAAAATTCTAAATTTAAAACTATGTTCTTTAAAGAGTAGTACTATATACCATTAACGATTCCTGTTTTATGAATTATGGACCCATGGTTTTGAAATGCCATTTATTAATTATGGTATTTCAAAAACCATCATCGTCATCATCATATGATTAAAAATTAATGAGAAATACTGCCTCTAATATGTAATGTTATATAAATTATGAACAAGTAATTATTTGTTAAAAAAATTATCCGAGTTCAAACCAAGTCCTTTCGGTCAAAGTAAATACAATGATTGAATGACATTGATAAAGATATCATAGATTAAGATTATATATATATATATATATATATATATATATATATATATATATATATATATATATGTATGTATGTAAACCGATTATATATATATGTATGTATGTATGTACGTATGTATATATATAAAATAAATAAAGAAGAAACAATAGTGGTTGACATTATCGCTAAACTATCTGTTTCTCCCTAATTTTTTTTGTGTAAATCATTCTCATCATCATCATCATCTTATTTAAAACAAAAATAAGAAATAAAAATAAATATATACCTACGGAAGAGTAATATAGGTATAATTATGCCATAATATCAATATATATAAATATAGCTTTAGGCAAATATTTTATAGTAGTAATAGACCCTTTCTATTTTAGCTTTTTATTTACATTCTTCACTGTCATTTCGATAAAAAAAAAACATGCCAAGTTAGTTTACTCATTATGCCAAGCATATAAAAAAAAGAATTGTACAGTTTCAATGCAAAAGTTTCAGTAAGAGCAATAAAAAAGCAATATTAAAAATACGTTGGAATTACTAATTTCACAATTATACAATGAAAGTGACATTTTTTACTACAAAATATAAGCTACGAATCGTTGCAAAATAACTTCCTACCGTATCGACTATTTCCAAGTGATTTTAGTGTTGCGTGAATGAATTTAAATTTCCTATATAGCGGCGCGGTCGACGCGCACGGCGATCCGTTGGTTTGTACGTGTGTTTGTACATCGTAACCGTCGCGTAATATGCGTAATACAATGTAATTATTTGCACGTTCATTGCATATTTACGCCACGAAGCGTCTTTCATTCATAGACAATAACATATCATATTAATTTTTTAAATTGTCATTTTTTTTTAATGTTGGCATAATGGCAAAAAAAAAATACGAGTAGAAAGTGTCCTTAAATTATTTTGACTATCTGATAGTTACAATTTAAATAAAAAATATTTTTTTGCTACTTTGTATGAGTGAATTTCTGAATTAGAAAAATTAATAAATTGCGCCACTAATAGCTAACATACCATGGTAAAATATTATACAGATTTTAAGCTACAGAGACATAACACCTCTGTCCTTAGTAGTGGCAACGCATGTAGGGTTATGGGCGAAATAGTACACTCTGTTGTGTCCATGGTACTGTTCATGTATATAGGCGACGGTTACTACTTTCCATCAGGTGGACCGTCAGCTTGTTTGCCATTCAAAGTTGTATAAAAAAAAAAAGTTTACTCACATTTTAAATTCGGAGATGCCCAATTAATTTCTAAATTAATAATTGTATAAAAAAAATTACATTTCCTAATTAGTTAAGTGCTTAATTATAATTAAATTATCATGAAAGTAGATAGATACTTTCAGAGTTACAAGACTGACCGATGGTTACGGATCTAGTGATTGATTATAGAAAATTTCAAGGCTGTAACCTTCCCCCATAAACAACAAGTCTATAACTGGACTTGAAGGTTATGTCACTTACGAACCTTGTTATTTTGTTGATGAAATAGTTTTAATGTCATTTATTATGTTGTGGTCAACGCTGGTATCTTCATACTAGTTGTAAACCCTGACTTGTTCTTCTAAAGTACGTAATACATGTGAACATGAGTTTGTGTATTAAACTCCTTAAAAATTTTGGTATCATCTTTTTTTTTATACAACTTAGAATGGCAAACAAGCTGACTGTCCACCTGATGGAAAGTGGTATCCTTCGCCTATAGACACGAGTAGTACCATGGACATAACAGAGTATACTGTTTCGCTCATGATACCACCCATGCGTTGCTATTCCTGAGGACTCAGGTGTTATTCCTCTGCACCCTGTAAATTCACGCCATATCCCACCCTCCAAACCGAAACAGCCATGCAAACACAACTGTTTCACAGTTAATCGGCTAACTGTGGTTGCCAATCAGTCTGCCAAGCGTGGCAACTACTGACAAAATCCTTTGTCCAACAGTGGACTGTTAACGGTTGATATGATAATTTATTTATTTATTTAAATAAATATCTATTAATTTAAATACATAAATAATGATGGTGATATTGCTTCGGGTCATGTTTACATAGCGCGAGAGAACGGGACGAAAATATTATTATAACGGATATTATGAATCTGCAATCGTGATCTCGTAACAGGTCATGAAATGTCAGTTACGTCAGTGGTGCAGGTTCGTCAGTGACCACCGCTAGTGATGTGCCGAGTGGGCCTTATCCGAAATTCGAGTACTTAATACATATTAATAGATATAAAAAAACCTCTTTTATCGCGGTAAAAAAAAAATTAAGAATCTAAGTCCTGAACGAATTTTTGATGAAGTTCCCCTTGGAACCAATCTAAAAGTTTTAAAAATCTCCAAATCTGTTTATTAATGATGGAGTTGAGGAAACAAATATAAAAAAAAATACAATCGAATTCAGAAGTTTCTTATTTTTTTTTTAATAGAATACAATACTGAGGACCTACCATGAAATGTTTTCCGAAATTTAGGGCCCGAACGATATACAGATATGATGTTAAAATTACATAATACATACAGTTTAAAGATGTTAAAATATCATTCCTTTGGACTTTTATGGTAGGATTCATGACGAATGAAATGTTAAGATCCATTTACTGGGCCGATCTCCGTATGAATAAAAACACGAAATTGAGTCCGAAAATTCGGAATTTCGTTTAACGGTAGACCCCCTGATTCTATTATAGTCTAAGAACCTAGAGCAGTACTTTTTTGAGTTTAGCTAACAGTGTGATAACATGTAAAATTATTTTATATATATATATATATATATATATATATATATATATATATATATATATATATATATATATATATATATATATATACCAGGCGGAGCACCAGTGAGGAATAATAGATAAGCTTGAAAATATAGTTAGCTCATCGTGATGAATACACTTGGAATTCAGCCCGATAGTTTTCAGGTCGACCTGCCAGAGCATATTGCTAGCAATGGAACTTGTAGTCCGTCTTACAATCAACAACAATTAACAATCCCCTCCACCTATTGTGACATATTCTTTATTATTTCTTACACCTCACTATCACCGCTGGCCAGTTTCCACGGGTCAGAGAACAGACGGGCTCAGATGGAGACGATAATATCTCGCGTTCCGCCCGTTAGAGAAAATGGCGCAAACAAAACCGCCTCCGATAATGAGAAATTATAATGTTATACAACAAATAATCAACGGCAATGGTTTGGAACTTAATTTGGGCAATTTCCTATTCAATCTAATCGTAAACATAATTTAAAATTTCGTTCCACGAAAAAAAAAAACAAGCGTTTCAATCTTACTTAAACTTATATGGGTTACTCGATTGAACGGGGATCATCAAAGCCGATTACTTTATTGGCAAAAACATAGTGTAAATGTATACATATACTAGGGGTCGTTAGCGTAACATGTCAGCGAGTAAAGTAGAAGACTTAGCCATGTGGTCCCGCTATAGAATAGGCCACCCTTTTTTCCCGCGGCTGTCGTAAGAAAAAAAATTAATTCATTCTTGCCCAGCCTACCCACTTCCATCTATTCTCTTTTAACCAAAGGTTGTCTGTAAGAGATTTATCTAGCAATAAGAGCGCCTTTTATACCTCTATGTATATATTTTAATCTATATTT